ATGTGGCAGACCTTTATACGTAAATTTTGTGTAGTGATTATTCGTTATTTTAAATTGAGCTAGAGGTGGAAAATTTGGGCTAAGATATTTTGGAAAACTGTTGTAAAACCTCGTGTAGTGAGAATTTCGTGCGACGTCTAGATTTGCCTGAAGCAAATTTCTTTTTATTTAATAAGGATATTAGGCAAAGATTTTACCATGCAGTGAGACGGCTTTATTATTAAATTTGTTTAGAAATGATTGAACGTTCTAATAATATTTTTATTGAATGAGAAATCAGTGGCGTACTATCAATATCATTAAATTAAATAATGCCTCTGGATACATAGTACATGTTTGTCAAATTTCATTAAAATATGTAAAGTGGTATTACAGATATTAAGAAAATATATATTTTATTTGTGAAAGCCTTGCCACTCTGCATCTCCAAAGTTTTCTTTTTAAAATGTACCCAAAAATTGAGCCCTTATTCATTCACATTTAATTATAAAACATCTTGTATATTCTTGGAAAGGTAATTTCAAGTGATTTTCAGTGATTTAGCAATATACTGATATTGAGCTTATTGTTAAAACATAAAATCCTTTATTTATTTAAGCAAAAGTGGGTGGCTTCCAAAAGGGTGCAATTTAAATACATCTGAGAAACCATGTTCTATTTAGTGGTGTACAAGAGACTGTATTTTTAAGTACGTTTTAGTTTACTTCGTAACATCATAGACGTATCAATATTTCGGTGTTTTATTTAAAATGGAACCTCTGTAAATTTAATAATATATATATTAAAACCATTAATGCTTTGTAAATGTTTTCAATGAAAAATTCTACGCATACAACAATAACAAACACGCACTATAACAAAGAATTTTAAGCTCCTCATTCCAAAAATTTTTAATCCTAGTTTGACAGACTATATCTGTTCCCATCACATTGTCAATTAACAAGAGACGTATGTACGTTAGATCAATTTGGTGCCCGCGTACCGCACGAACGCTAGCGAACAATTTACATCGATATACGAACACGAGACCCGATTACCATTGCATAACCACATATTATACACTCACGCGAACTGAAAAAGTGAAACCTCTCGAAATTATTTACGATGTCACGTACAAGTTTCGATCTCGAGAGTGCCCCGCATCGCAATCTCGCGTAAAACCGAAGACCATGCCCCGCAATCTGACCAGCATTTTCGTGTCGTACCAATTTTCAAATTGTATAGTCAAAATTCGCTAATTGTGTTTGGTGCATCCGATTCTGAAAGACAGTTTTGCAAGTGATGCCCGCTCAGCGACGACCATGGCATCATGGAAACCATATCCGAAGACCAGGAATCCGAATACGAGTTTGGTAAGTTGACTTCGTCATGCTAATCCAGCAACGAACTATATTTGCTTGACGGGTAACAATAATTTGGTAGAAATATTAAGAGATTATCGAACTTTCATTGTCTTAATTTTATTTTGTCTGCACTTGCCGTAGCATTTTTTTGTGCTCTGAGTTAGACAGTACCTATGCGAGTAACGCATTTTCAGCGCTGAATACGTCTTGAATTTTAATCCAATATGTTCATCTCATCATCAATCTCAGTTTATAATCTAATAATAGATTTAAGTTTTCCACAGTATTATTAGGGATTTCACGGATTTAGGAAATTGAGAAGTATAAATTGTGAATAATAAAGCATCTGAAATACTACCCTATGGAACACGACAGGTCATATCAAGAAATTCTGACACATTTTCATCCACTAAAGTATCGTTACCAAAATCACTAAAGCGTAAAATCGATAATAAAAGTTTAGTCCAGTCCAAACACCAATATAGTTACGATATCATTATGAAGCCCTCTCACTATATGAGCGCAGTGGAACAGCTACAACCAGCCCTAAATCTAGATTGCTTACGTGATAGTTAATTGTTAGTTAAGTTGTTTTTGTATTATAAATCGAAAATCAAATTGACCAGCATTCGCAAATTAATAATAATAAGAATAAGATTTATTGTCTAACAGAATGGCAAGGCAATTAATGCCCTAACATAGTTACCAGAGCACGTATGGTCTGTTCATAGATATAAGAAAGTGACCAATTGCTTTTGAATGGGATTATCCAATTATTATCGATTAACATACAATACAACAAGAATATTACCTAAAGTTTCGGAATTTAAATTTAGGTAAAATTGTGGTCCGTAATAGAAAATAATTTTATACCTACCTGTGTTTAATATTCTTTGGTTTGGTATACTACTTAGTTTAAGTTTATTAGTATCATTCTCATTTCGTGTGTAATACAGCGTGTGTTGAATCGTGGGCGAATTATGTACAATATGTGCGAGTCTAGTGTATCTCCCGTCCAAATGTAGAAAACACTATTCTATTGAGACTAAGGAAGTTATAAACAACGTTTATTTGACTATCATTAAACGTGGTGCCAGCAAGCAAGCATCTTTAGAAGAAACAGCCACATTGACGAAAATTCCAACATCAACTGTATGGAAAATTGTGAATAATCTCATTTCAACAAGGAAAAATCAAGATCAAGATATAATACGGCGTAAAATTTAAAAATTATACTAGGAACAAAGCCTGCCTACATTGGATATTTCAATTAGGAGGCTTGAAAAAGATGAAACCGGTGTTAAATGTGGCAGAACTACCTTATGGAAGTGTATTCAACACATGGGTTTTAGATTTAAAAAAATTGACAAAAGGTCCGTTATAATGGGAGCTTTTAGAATTCGAAAATGGCTACTGGAATATCTAGAAAAAATTAGGATTTACAGCAAAGGCCAATTATTTACTTGGATGAAACCTGGTTCGACACTTATGATACCCCGGAAAAAGGTTGGGTTGACTCGCCTGATAAGTGTATAACAAACGCGTCATCAAAAAGAGGTAAACGAATAACTATTTTGCATGCTGGCTCTAAAGATAGTTGGATTCCAAATGTACTTTCTCTGTCTGCGAAAAATATTAAAGATTCTTCTGTGGATTACCATGAAGACACCACCGCTGATTTATTTGAAAGTTGGTTTAAAAACAAACTAGTTCCAAACATTCCTCCTAATAGCGTTATTGTAATGGATAATGCACGTTAACACAGTAGACAGTTGACTAAAACCCCTCCCTCATGTGACACATGGTTCTACATAGCTTGAACCTACACATGAATACGTCTGTGATAATTATGCAAGAAATCTAGGGCATAGAGTTTTACCACTTTAATCCCATTGAACATGTTCGGCACCAACTGAAATCTGCCATACGTCGTAACAATGTTTTTCCCCGTGTTAACTCCAGTGTCCTCAAACTTATAGAAACCGAAGTTTTTAACATCCCTCCACAAAGTTTGGCAAAATATCCATATTGCAAATAAATAGAACAAATAATAATTAGAACAGGCGATGATAGCGATAGTGATACTAATATATTTTGTGAATAATTTTAAGTAATTTAAGTAGGTAATAAAAATAATTTGTACTTTTATTTTAGATTTAAACATAAATATATACATAAATAAATAAATGTTGTTTAGTATATTTCCTAGCAAAAGCCCAAATAATTAAATTCTAAGCAAAGTATGGACCTGTTCGGCCATATTTCATTCTTACAGCTTGCTCTGTTCTTTCCTTAATTCGTATCAGTTAGTCACTTTCTTATATCTATGACTTTACCAATAAACAATGTAGTATAAACGTCTCTGTGGAAAGATACCATCCCGATTAAAAGCTAGAAATTTTAAAAGATTCCTTTGAACTTTTTCTAGCTGAATAATATATAGATTGAAAATAGATTGCCATATAATGACTCCATGCTCCAGCTAAGATCTAACATAATTGGAGTAGACTAGAGTGCCTTTAGTGCATGTTCGCCGGTAAGCTCACTGTTAAATTTAGTATCAAACAAAACTCCTAAATCTTTGGAGCCAAGCATGTTATGAGACTACTCTATGGCTGATACGTGCGAAAAGTACCTATTTCACGCTTTTTTTTGTGCAGAATAAGCCTCCTATTCCGTAAACAAGTCTTCCCGATTTGTTTAAGATATTCAGTGCGACACAACACATTTCAGTTGGCGAACTACTACATCTACTTTTAACGCCCACCTGTGCAATTATCATAATTATTGCAGTGCGTTGCATATTAATTAAGTAAATAGGGTTGTCTGTTTTATCGCAGCTCAAATTCCACTATAATCTCCGTTGTTTGACCCTCTAAATTACGAAAATGGTTTCCACGCCAAACGCTTTCACAAGCATACAATACAAATATCAATTCCAGCTCTATAGGTTATTTAAATTAAAAAAGAAATATGCCTTGTCGAAACGTGTTGGCGTTTTTGTTGCACACGTATGTAACTTAAAAATTAATCTGAGTCAAAGCAAATGTTCCACAAGGTCGGTTTTTAATCGAATTGAACCAAACCTAGAGCGAAAAATGGTCAAAAGTTCAACATGACCGTTTCTAATACCGCTGAAGCTTTGCAAAATAGCCATAGAATTATGAGACCTAAAAACTTGGGAACTGGAACGCGCAATTACTTTACATTAATTACATTTTACCGAAATTCTTCTACTTATTTTTTTTTTATTGTAAATGTGAAATTAACAACATTACAATTATGCCAATATTTGATATTGTATTACTATTTAATTAATTGTTGGATTATAGAAAAATGCGGACAACAAAAAATTGGAACATGTTTTGCTTTTCCTCAAAGGAGTGTAGAGTTTCTACATCCTTTCTTCGCCCAGAGATTTTATCCTTCAACGACGGAGCCTCGTGTCATATGCCATAGGGCTAAATCTACCGAAAAATGGAATAATAGTAATTAACATAAAATTTATACAAAAAATGTTGTTAATTTTATAATTACAATAAAAAACTAAATAAATTAAAGAATTTTGGTTAACTTGAAGTTTATTCGCTGCTTGTTCACACATTAGGGCTCGTAGTAGTGTTGTTGACTTCGTTAAAGGATTGCATTTAATTTCAGATAAAGTGAAAAAAAAATACAGCAACCTGGGGCACACGATACTGATAGTGCAGTTGGAACGCGGGACTCACGGCGGTCTTGGATTGAGCTTGGCTGGCCACAAGGACCGCAATTGCATGGCTGTCTTTGTATGTGGTCTGAATCCTAACGGGGCTGCCTTCAAGACAGGCTCCATACAAATTGGCGATGAAATACTTGAGGTAAAAAAAGAAAAATGCAAAAGTACAACATTGGTACAGAATTTCTGCACATTTTTTTTCCTGTTGCCTGATCTTTTTCAAGAGTTCATTCACAACAATTAACTGAAATATCTGAATTTTTTGACTCAAGTAACGGATTCAAAATGAAGCAGCATTATGCAAGAATAGTACAATATTATTTAAATTCATTTAAATGAGGGTCAAACTTAGAGATCATTAACCCTCACCTGCCTCATTGTATTATGCAGAAAACATTATCAGAGAAATATCGATCAAGCAAAAATTATTATTAAATTAAATTAAATTAAATATTTAATATTGATGATTTCGTTTCAATTTTTGTTGTAATATTCTGCAATTGTTACGTTTGGTATTAAATTCGGTATTTCTTATAATAAATGCAATATAGACACGAGTAAGAAAATAAAATGATGAAAAACATTGTTTTTAAAAGATTCAAGTTGCAGTTTAAAAAAAATGTATGTCCATATCGAATTATTAGTTTGCGAGAAAAATAAGTTTTGAATTGACCAAAATTTTTGTGGTGCTTTAATTTGCGATGTGATAAACTTCCGAAATAAAATAATCGAATTTTCAAAATTCTTTAAATACGAAACCTCCCTTTCAGCGGTACCTTTGTCCTCGCTTTTGACGGTATGCTGCGAACAAACTTCGAATCAAGAAAATCCCTAAATTATTTCAGATTTATTTTTAGAAAATTCACGCGAAATATGCCACAACGTTACGGGCCTACAACATTCGATTTCGCGTGAGAAAATCCGCAATACCTTTACGTTACAGATTTCTTGCATTGCGCCGCACAAGATAAGCGTCGCACAGTATTAACTTTATTGCTCGCGATCCGCGATAAAAGCAGTTTGTTGATAATAATCGCTGATAGGAATTATGTTTTTGTTTATTTTCCACAGGCGTTCGGAAAGCGAGGCGCGTCGTGAGTAGTTTTGAACCGGCGAAGGGTTTCACCATTACACGATTTAAATGCACTCAATTTATGAATTTCTTTCTCAGCTGCGTAGCCAGGTTAGTAATTTTTGTTTTTCTTTTCTGGTTTTAGGTGAACGGCGTCGTGTTGCACGGCCGATGTCACCTAAACGCTTCTGCCATTATTAAAAGTTTATCCGGACCAGTTTTTAAAGTGATTATCTTAAGGTAAACAAACCGCTTTGCGCAGAATATGGCAGAATACACAACAATCAGCACGTGTAAAAATTTTCACGTAGTTTATAAAATTGTACCTTGCTTATATATACATATAAATGCTTTTACCTCATATCTCCCTTATTAGTAAAACTAACCTGTTGCGCCTTTCATGACCAAGGCTACAGTTTCATTAAATAAAAGTTGGCACACAAACAGAACTGTCCCAGCTAAACTTTTTTAATTGTTGTTAATTTTTAAAAAATATACAGGGCGTTTTCTAAATACATGGTTTTTGGCAAACGATATTCCAATGATATGTAGTATGCATAATAAGTGGTTTTAGTATTTTCTTTTGCGTCATTATTATTATTATATAGCACTTATTGTCATAAAGTTCAAATACAATGTTATAAGACCAAAACATTCTACGAAGACAATAAATACAGTTTTCATTGCACAAGAGTAACCTCGCCGATGGAAAAAAGACCATTGTGATACTGAATACTCTCCCAAACTATAAACAATAAACTACTTAGACAACTTAAAACTTTACCAAATTCCAGCCTTAAAGGCAATTTTTTAAAAGCTTGATAGAACCAAAAAAAAAGGAAAAATAAAAGAAAAAACATTAACTAATTAAAAGAGTGTTGTACAATTAAGCAATCCTATTATTTCCTGTAAAACTGTTACAGAGAGATAAAGAAACCATCTCTTACCTATTGTTTTAGATACTTTGGTTCATTACATTTCTGGTTGAATTCGGATTTCTAATAGGAATTTCATTTAAAAAGATTTGGACTGCAATTTTTTCAAAATAGAGCTATCTGTTTCAAATGTTTTCAATTAGTTCATTCGCGGAGTAATGAGTAGCATAATTTCGAAAAAATAGATAATGTTCATCATTGAAAGTTTTTATCTTGTCTACGTAAAAATCAATTTGAAGAAAATTACGTCTCTTGTATTTTTCCCGTATCTCCTATGGTCTTAGCAATCATGTCGTTTAAATTAAGGTAGGTAGGTACAGCAATAATAATTATCATTATTTTGATGAACTATTAAAAATCTATAAGAATAGTTTATTATATCAACAATAAAAAAACAACGCATCAAATGTTATTTTTTCAACACCCTGTATTTCAAAAACGAAGCCACATTTTATACCGTTTTACATTGGCTTTCTCGCAAAATGTATTTGAAATACCTTTTATGAAAATACCTTTTTATTCAAAAGCTCATTCCGAGCCTAATAGAATTATTAAACGACCTACTACCTACAGGGCGCTCCATTAAAAAAAAAACATACACACACACACAAGTTTGTATAACAATATTTATGAATTTGAAGAGAAAACTCACTACGCAATAAATTTACATAAACGAACTACACAAGGTGTCAAAAATGCGAAATTTCCAAATTCACACTGCATCTAAAAATCCAAGGGAGGTATGATATTTCCGTTTGTGCTACTATAGAAAAGGAGCCTTGGCATCCTTGGTATGTTCAACAAAAGACACTCACACTTTTGGGTTTTAGAAACTGGCAATTTGTTTTGTTATAGTAATAAATCGTTAGTGGACTATAAATTCACCACATCAAAAAAGCATAAAATTTCTTACAAAATTATTTGATAAATACTACTTTCCAATTTTATTAGCCATAAACAAAATTTCAGATTTACTGCTATAACAGTTGAAAGGTATTTCCGATTTTTTTATCACCAAAATACCTCAAGAATCCAAAGGGTATGTTACATACAAACAGTGAGGTTGTTTGTTGAATTTAAGTTGATGTGTGGCAGAACAGTATTTTAAACATTCTATGGCCGCAACACAATTTTTAATACTTATTTTTAATTCTTTATACCTTGTGATTCAAGTTGAGTGCCCGATTAGAAGTTTTACAAAACTAAATACGTTTGTTTTTCAAATTTGGTATATGGCTTTTTGAAATATTTACACACCTGCAGGGTTGTTAATTCAACTCAAAGAAAACTACAGCACTGGAAATTGGAATGGTACGTTTTCCGGTTTTGCGCAAAATTCTGAGTAACTTTTGCTCACATTTCCCTATTACCCTCTCTGTCTCTTACTTCGAAAAAAAAAGTTTTTTTGCATAGAAACCACTTTATTGCAGATTAATATATTGTAAAGCGTACATTTTTGGGACACCCTGTATGACTTTCCATCAAATTCATGTATGGGTCATTTCGTTAAACGAATGTATTAGCTAACATCTCTAAAATTTTGAAATATCTTGCTCACTTACGCAAAACGATAAGCTATAAAGAGGTGTTTTCCCACAAAAAAAATATTTACTTCCGAAGTAAGGGAAGAAAATGTTAACAAAAGTTGCTCAGAATTTTACGCAAAACCAGACAGGTTTTCCTTTCGAATTTCCAATTAGAGTTAATTTGACAACACTACAGGTGCCTAAATATTGCAAAAAGGTGGCGCACTATAACCATGTAGCAAATTAAAAAAAACATTTAGTTCTCCAGAACTTCCAATGGGATACTCGATGTGAATCACCCTTTATTTTTCGATTTTGCGGAACCTTGTAAAGGAAGTTATGGTGTATTTCGTGTTTTCGAGTTGATTAGTGTAGGTTAACTAAACTAACTAAGTTAGAACTTCTGGAACGTAAAATGTTAATAATATGGACGTCCCGTATAGCCAAACTATTCGATTTGATTAAGAAATACAATATCATCGCCCAAAGGTCAATCCAATCATTTCCTATGCGTGTGATTATAGAACCCGCCATGCACGCGGGTCGTTAAAATAGCGTGCCTCGCTGCCTACAGTTGTTATGATTTCGGTATCATGTGGGAAGATATTTTCAATGTAAACACGATAGGACATCGTCTATTAATTTTAGCGTTGGTTTTGCATGTGTTTCCTAAATAATTTTACATACAAACGAATTAAAATCGCGGATTGTGAATGTTTTAAATTATTAAGTTTTCGTTTGTTTAATCATTAACAGGTAGACGCTAGAATAGTTTGTTTATTTTAAATTCACCGCATTTTTTCGTTCACCTTTAGTCAAGGTTTCGTTTTTTTTCCATCAACTGTTTTGATATTATTTATTTTATGATCGGGAGGAGTACAGTCTTTCGAGTTAGCGTTATTCATTGGGTTATCTAAATGTTAATTTTTTGCAATTTTTTGTTCAGGTAAATTTCACGTACTGTTTAATAACTAAAGAGCTAATTTTAGTTTTATGCTTTTAGGCGGAAAACTGCTATCGATGACATTGCCGTTAAACCAATCACCCAGTTTCCTATTTCATTGGCAGAGGAGGTAAGCTTGACTTATTTTTCTAAACCTTAATGAATAAATAGAGGTTATGTGCACTAATAATTGGTACACTGGAAATAATACATCGCTGGATAATTAACCACCAAACTTAAAAATAAACTGAATTGATCGATCCTTCGTTTAGCATAAAAGAATTTGCTATACAAATTAGAAACGTGTTTGTTTTGTTTTGGTGCATGCGCCAGTTTTCGGTCACTGGGTTTTCTTGTGTATACTTTTCTCAAAGCATATCGTTTTGGCTTTTGACGGCACTTATCGGATTAACCTGCCTACGGCAAGAAAACACATGACCAGTCGGTTTTATAGGACAGAGCATCGGGTATGGGACATAAATTATGGGGATGCTTTTTGCTTTATTTGAAGGTGCTTTTCTATCACAGTTTTTAATGGAATCAACCCATACTTTGGATTCTGTATCATGTGTATCGAAGCAAGTTTCATCTAAGTAAATTATACATCTATTTTCGGATTTATGCATTTTAATTTCCTGGACGTAATTAAATCTTCAAGTGCGCAAATCACATCTTACAAATAACTATGAAAGGTGGCACGGCTAATAATAATTATATTGGTTTCATCTTCTTGTAGCTTTCTTTTTAGTTTATCCAACAATCTGGGTTTGATATCGCTCAGATGGTGAGATTGAAAAAACTGCGTTTTTTTCTTTCATTCAATAATTCACTTTTGAAAATAGCCTGCATCGAAGATATTGGCGTTTTTATAAGTTATCAGGTTTCTTTTAAAGCTTATTGAATACCTACACTGATATCAGCCGCTACGTCTTCGAAGTCCCTGATAAAATATTGGCGCATTTTGTTCTAAAAATACATTTACGAGAAACATCAGGAATTTAATTTCTGTAATTTGTTTTAAGTGGTGGTATAAGCGCCATCTAATAAAAAAACTCTATAGTTTGATTTCGCTACCAATGAGAATTATTGTTATTTGTGGGAATAAATTGTTATTGGTGAAACTAATAAATAAATTATTAGAAAATGGCCGAAATTTCCGGATTTGAGTGCAAGAATTTATAAATACGAATTTAGAAAAAATAATAAAAATTTGAACACATTATTTTTTATAACATATTTGGTATTTGCACGCACAATTACTTAATAGTGCATGAAAAATGAATTATTTTTATGCTCTTGAGAAAGCATAGGTACGTTTTAAAATTTTTAAAAATCTTAGATGCAAGATTAATTTTTTACTGATTTTAACACTGCGATTATCAGTTGATCAAATCAAATTGATAATTGACATTGACCAAATCAATATTATCATGTAAAAAATATCAAGAAAACTAATCAAAACTTAAGGACAAAATTTTTATGCTTATATGTTTGTGTGTGTGTATATATATGTTTGTGTACGTACACGTATGGGAACTATGTGTACTGGTGTTGTACAGTAGGATCGGTCCCTGACGTTTCGCCAGCGTAACTCTACATTTGGTACACTGTTATCCTAGGAGTTTCAGGCATTCCTTATAATGACGGAATTATTTCAGTCAAACGCTGTAATTATTAAAATCATTTAGGCTACCCAGTTTGCCGGTTTTAGTAAATCATTGTAATTAGGACAGTGTTGCCAGTAGTACATGAAAAGGATTCAAATTAAAACGTAAACTCATTTATTATCAGTATGTAATTAAATCAGGAAAATGGAGACCAATGCAAAAAATTAAGTATGGTTCTGAGATTCTGAGCATACCTCAGTATTCATGTTATAAAAAAATCATAGAACGAACAGATAGCAACGAAACTAAATAATTGCTACATATAAAAATATTTTTAAAAAATTATGCGTTTGGACGAATAACGGTCTATGTTACAAATTTCCTATAATCTAGTTTTGATTAAAATAGGGCTCTAGTCTTTATTGTCTTAATAGTGTGGTAGATTGATTTTATAGGGAGATTGTGGTCATGGAGTATCACAAAAATATTAGCATTTTCCTGGACAAAGACCACAAATTCTACAAACATTACAGACCATTGGAGAGCAATAAATGTAATGTAGTGGTTTTCTGTCTGTTTTCCTCAATTATTGCTGTATTTTGACATAATATACATTTACCTCTTTAAGGCATGTAATGCATAACGCAAATTCTTCTTCAATGTTTCTATTTCTTCCAGATCCTCAGCAATTGAGTCAGCAATACATTCACATTTCCCCCTCGATTAGCTCTATACCATGTGTTTCTTCCCTTTCATCTTGCAGGTTTTTATTTTCCTTATGTTCTTCTTATAACATAGGCAAGTCACTTTATCCGAATCTCCAGGTAAATTCATAGTAGAAAATCCAGCTTTAGGGTCAACTCCAAATAATGCTTTATATGGTGAACGTGGTAGGAACTATTCTTCTAAAACTGCACGAAATAACATCCTAGTGACCAGTTTTTTGAACTGTGGTCGTAAAACCATGCTCTAAGCATATTTGCTACATCTTCATTACTTCTCTCTATGCTTCTTTGTGATTAGGGATGCCTTGGTTGACTCTTTTATTTATTAATATCCTGTATATTAAGGCATTGTTGAATTCTATCCTATACTTACTGTTTGTGACATATTTTCAATTTTATGTCAAAATTGTCATTTGCAGTTCCAAATGTATCTACCTGTTTCTCCTTTGTTATATATTCCAAATTGATTTCCTTTTCTATGTATGTATGTAAATAAATACGAAGGGCTAAAATTATATTGAAAATTTGAATGAATAACACGGTAAAAGGTTTTTTTTTTTTTCATGGAAACATCCCATTTTTATAATTTCCATCATATTTGGCACCACACAGGACTTCTCCTTTTCCAATAAACTTCTCCTATAACGTTTACAAACTTTACGTTTTCTTTTTTTGCTATAGTTATCTCATGCGAACTAATAATTTTAAAATAGTTGCTATATATTATTTTATAGGGGTTGAACTTGGAACAATTTTAACTGCTTTCATCTCCTTTTTTACAATTTATGTGGTTTATTGGTATTTTATTGCATTGTAAATTTAACATTGCAGAATAAATTTATTATTATTATTATTATTATTATTATTATTTTATATTACTATTATTACTATTACCACCTATTCAAAGAGTTGTAGATTTCGAAATATTTGCAATAAAACTTGTGAATAAAATGACATTTATCAAATATGTTGCATAATATTATTAGAACTATGGAAAATTTGTAATATAAAAAATTCGCTGATATAAACAAAATAATAATAAAAGCCAAAAATGTCAAAAATTATTTATTTTTTAATTGTTATGCTGTCCGTTGCATTTTTTTTTGCTAGTTTTGGCCTTATTTTTAATATTTTGACATAGAAGGTAGAAGTTAAATAAATAAAACCCAAAATAAGAATATACTTTTATATATAACAAAATTTTGGTTCAACAATGAGGCAACCAATAGTTAACAAATATATCACTCAAATTGAAAATATACAAAAACATTTTGTAAAATTTTTACACTTTTATGTAAATACTTTCTATAATAAACTGTAAACTGTAACTGCCGCAGAGTGATCCATTGGAAATATAATGTAATGGAATAGTTGTAGTTTATAGATGCTAGGATAATATTGTCTTGTAAATCGATGTTTTTTTGTTAGAGAATAAAGATCGTTATTATTATTATTATTACTATTGTTATTATTATTATTATTATTATTATTATTATTATTATTATTATTATTATTATTATTATTATTATTATTATTATTATTATTATTATTATAAGTATTATAACCCTAAGTATTATATGTTTAAGTAATTTAAATTTTCGCTTCATTTTCTATAATCTTCTATATTTTTCTAAAGAAAAGGCAGTGTCTTATACGTCATCCTATACATACTCCCAGTCTTAGAAATCGTATAGGTTGTTCGACCTTAACCTGCCTGTGTTTTTTTTTCGATTTAATTGTCAGAGTAGATGTTTTACATACCCAAGGTGCTATAAAATTTGTAAATTTGTTTACATTTTATTGAACCATTTGAATTTCTCTGAATGAATTACACAAATTCCGTTTTACGCAAAATGCCGACGATGAAAATGCGGGAAATTTTCATTCGGTTGCAAAATTAACTTTGTTTGGGAAACTCGGAAACGTAAATTAAATAGTTACGTGTATTTACTAATAATTATTCGTGAAGTGAACTAAAAACAATTTTCTGAACGTTGACGTCTGATGCTAATAGGATTTTTTTCACATTGATGAGGAGCACTTTTTTTTCATTCATCGCCTGCATAAAATTGAAAATCTAGAAAAATGTATTCAGTTACAGAACAAAACAATTAAACAATCGATAGAGAAAAAAGAAAGACAGAATTACGGCGGAAGAGTTAAAATGTTGCAATGAAATTCACTGTAAATTATTTTAAATTAACTTTACATTAACATTATACGGTTTGCACAATAAATTTTATTAAATTCTTTATTCGCATATTAAACAACAAAATATTTTATCCATAAATTCTATTTTTAATAAAATCGCCGCCAGTTATTGATTTATCTAACACAATAATGACTTGCTTGCATATTTATCCTTTCGCGGACAATTTTTATCTCAGAAAAGAAATATGTGTAGTTGAGGGGTCGAGTTACCTGCTAGCGAGCAAACTAATTTTGACGTAATCCTGTTGCTAAATTGTTATAAGTAATATGGGACACCATTATTGGGTTGTTATTATAAGTTCTTGTTGTTTTTTAATTGTTATTGTTTTAGTTTATCAATGTTGCAAACTAGGTTCGCAGGGACACAAATTTTAGTTTTTTTCTCTTATCTTCCGCCATTTAGCCTATACTCTATAACCTTATTAAAAAAAACACACCGTACAGCCTAATTTTTTTTCAAAGAAACTTCCACAGGCCATTGTAATACTTTTTATAAAACTTCTAGATTTCTCCTGCGTCGGTTTTTGTTGAGTCGAAGTAGCTAACGAGTCATCCGAGACGGTGTTTATGCCCCTCATTTAGCTCCGCCTCCCTCAAACAATAGAAAAGCAAGTACAGAGTTAATTGCGAACCAGTTTCAGTCAAGCTCTGAAGAAGCCAACAGGATGATTGGCAAAACGTTAGCTAGTTCGAATCAACAAAAACCGACGCAGGAGGAATCCAGAAGTTTTATAAAATGTATCACTGTACAGGCTGCTTGTTTATATTTTACACCAGCCTTTTTATCTATTATTTTTTGATAATTATAATTATAATATGACATAAAAAATTAGTTCCAAATGTTTCTGCCTAATTTCAAGAATATACAGATTTCCTAAATTACTAAAAATTAAATAGAATCAATATAGTCATGGATTCTTTTAATATTCGCATAAAGTCGCACAATATTAGCTTTTTCTTCTTCTAAATACGCCATCGTAATTAACAAGTTTGACAGAAAAATTACAATCACTGATATCCACGGTTATCTAAATTTGCAAATAAATGAATATTAACAGATAGATGTGGTTATCGCTCTGTTATGTCTTTCCCAATCCTCATAATTAATTTATTAGTTTTAATAAATTTAATAACGATCTGAGTTTTTACTGACTTGATTTTTTTGTTAAAAATAAACTAGCAAACATGGAAAATTGAAATGACACTTTTACTTATATGATACTTTGATTCTGCAATTGTTATACAGATTTTATTTATTTATTACAGATTTTATTTAAGTTTTACTCATTTCATCTGAAATGTATAATTTTAAAAATATTGGAAAAACGACTAAAGATAATATAGGCAAACTTTTCAATAACTCTTATGGAATAAATTCAAATATAGTGGGTGTTATATTTAAAACAATGCAAGTTATGTTATTTTGATAGGTTTCCAACTCAGTTTTGTCTATTTTTCACTCGGTACGAAGATCCACCGAACCATCCGGTACTACAGTGTCATTTTCTTATCTACCTAGATTGAATAATTAGTAACAATAACAAGCGAAGGTCGGTAACTCGAGTGTTTTTATACGTTATGGCTAATACGGTTTTTCGTATTTCTCGAACTACATCTATAATTTTCTGTGTTCTATTTTGGAAAATCCTTTTTTGCATTGTTCGTAGTTTAATTTAGTAATTATACCTGACACCCGAACAAATATTTGCGGCAAACGTAAAACGCTTACAAGAAACATTTGCCGGCTTACGGGCGCGACTTCACATCGTTCATTGTCATTTTTTTTAGTTGATATCTAGATTTTTACGTGGCGGGAATTGTGCTCTCCATTGATCGGAATATTAATTTGGTGATGATGGTGATTATTAATGTTATGCCTTCGTCCATTATTCGCAAACTGAGTTACAGGCGAAGCAAGAAAGAAAAGGTATCTTTGTAAATACTGTAAAACTATTCATGCTGGTATAGGATTTTTCATTATTTCTTCGACATATTTTGAAAAATGTGGTCTCAGTTATTTTTATTCGATTTTTTTTTTGCTGTTTTGTCAAAATTTCATTAAGCCTCTGCAATTGTGACGCTAATTTTTACCATTACGTGCAATTTGCAAGCGTTATGATGTCTGCGATAACCAGTCTGATCCGCATAGACTGACATATTTAAAAGCGGAGTTCACTAATGGCATGCGTCAATGCTTGGACGGACATCTCTTTACTGTATCCAACTAACATTTTTTCTTTTATAATGGTAACGGTTACGCTTGGATTACCTATTTTAAAAAACCTGAGAACTTACCAGTTGTTCTTATAAAACCGCCGTAACACTTAAATGGCGAATCTTATAAAGGTTACGGTGACCAAATTTTTGTCCTATATAAAACTGTTACTCTTCATTTATTTGTAACTAAGACATTGCCCTTACCTCTATAAACCATAAAGAGTTTCATAGCATCAGAGAATTCAAATTCGTTCCGCATCAAGCAAGAAACGCTCAATTTTCGCATGAACTTTTTGTATATAATTTGCTTATATAATTTATTTCGAGTCGTTGTCATCGTATTTTGCTTTTATTCTTAAGTTGAAAACAATGGATTTTTACTTTGACGTATTATGAAAATTTCTAAATAAATATTATGACTCAAAAGTTACGACTACTTAATTTTATTTGGTATCAAAAATTTATCGAATAATTTTATATTTTACCCTTTCTAAAACTAATTTTTTGCAAAAACCTAAAAGTTAAAATTATGCCTCATAATTTTTGTTGAAATTAAAATTGACATAATTTTTTAATTGTTTATTTTTTAAGTAATATGTTTTGAAGTTTTAGGAATATTGCTTAATTACGATATTCTTCTATTTTTATGCCAATTCGAAAAAACATAACAGTGCCCTCCATATAAATGGACGCCATGTTCACCAGCTTCGTTTTTTAAAAACTTTTAGTTTAAACTTGGTTTTATATGGCCTGTCAAATATTATTAAACACATTAGAAACATATCTTATCAATATCAATTTTGATTATAAGTTACCAAAATTAATAAAATCTCAATGTCAAATGTCAATTATGCAATCATGCATATCCAATTTTTCATTTGTTGTTTCTTTATTTGTTCTTCAAAGAATTTAATTTGTTATATATATTGACGGAAAGTTTATAATTAAAGTAAAAGTGCCTTTTAAAATTGTCAATTGTTAATGAAGTTGGGAAAAGAGCGCCGTCTCTGGTTTTTAAGAAAGCTACAAAATCTTTTTACAAATCCTGAAGTAACCATCACGATTTTAATTTTTACGGCATTTTGTTAAGTTTTAACTATTAAACGTGGAAGATTCAAAGACAATTTTCGCGCTTATAAATGGAGAAAGTGGAGAAAATATAGAATCAGCTTCTTTCAAACTCTTTGGAGCACCCAATTGCCGAGATAAATGCTTTTCTATCTAAAAAATAGTTCAGTGAGCCATGACTTTCTTAAACAACAATGTTGTTTCATATAGTAAACGTCTTTGATGGCCACAAAGTGATGAATAAAATCTAGCGATCATCAAGCCTTATTCCTGTAGTACTATACTCCTCTTTATGAACAAATTGTTCTTTAAAATACCACGATGTGCCCAGGGGTTTACCTTTTAATCATAAAATTTGTTTGTTATTAAAAAAAGATTTTTAAAAGCAACTTTAGCCATAAGTAATAAAATATTTGAATCTAACTTCAAGCGTGTCTAATGCATTGCTCATTTGCAATACAATATTTTATTTTTTATATTTACAATAAAATATTGAGTAGATCTTCAAAACACATAAGAATTCAGATTTCTTTGAAAACGTTCTTGGCAGCATTTTGTTAATACAAGGAGTTAAAAACTCGCTGTTTGTTGAATTCTTGATTTTGAAGCTTCGAAAATGCCAAGTGGCAGAATATTTCCAACATTGTAATCGGAATTCAATAAAAGAACGATTTTAATGTCTTCTTTTTTGATCGTCAATCCGGTTTGCCAAACGTAGACGTGTCTATTATCATAAAATTTTTATTAAATTTTACGATATTATGTCAAAGTGTTTTGCGCTCTGAGATAAAATTATACGGGCGTTTTCAAACGTCGGTTATTCGTTTTTATTATACGTAACAGGTTAATATAAAATAAAGCTATAAAACCACGTTTTCTGTCCCGAAGTGTTTTAAATTTAAATACACCATGCACCCCCTCCTAGATGTTAGATGTTATCTTCCGTAAAAAGTTCTGTGTTCTAAAATCCAAAATATAGTACTCAAATTTACAATACCTTCTACGTTCACATATGAAATTACATACATTCATATTGAAAATAATTATTAATTTTTGAAATGCATTTCTAGATGCAGTAACAGTGCAAAGTTTAATGTAGTTATGTGTAATCTAAGATGCACTGACAAACTAATAAATGTTTGATAGCAACAAATGAATGTTCGATAGCAACAAATGTTTGACAGTAACTATCAAAAGGCGTTAGAATTTTACCCATAAATATGATAGTTAGAGAAAGTTAAAAAAAAACCAAAGAACAGCGACAATTATTTTTAATAATTGTTACGAAAATAATGATTAAGTTGAAGAATACTGGAAGTTTTAATAATAAGTTTGATGCAAAATGCCGATGATAATACCCAGCTTGAAGCAATTTTGCGCGTTGAAGTCAACGTGTCATGGGGCACTATATAAACAGATTAATAAGACCTTTTTTGTCAAACCATGAATGCCGAAAGTTTTTGTTGTTACAAACACACACTTATGACTTCATGAACTACCCATACAAAACGTGTACTTGAAGGTGGTAGACAATGATTCTGTACAAATTCTAAAAGATTGTAGAACATTTCGCCAGAAAAAAATAATGGTGCTATGGTACAGCCGATGAAGATGATGAAGTTGATATCTCAATCGTGTTTCCAAAAATCTAGGTTTGAGTACTCGTTGTTTAAGTGCGGAAAAAAATCATCCATATTATTATACTCCGGTTCAGCAGTTATTGCCTCAAGATTCACTTACCAGCTCGCGTACAGTTTGATCAATTTTGACAGAATATGCAAATCGCATACCCAAATTTCCTTAATAAGATTCTTTTTACCGACTATGCTACATTTACATAATCAGGAATCTTTAATTCAAAAAATAATCATTTGTGGGATGCTGTAGAAGACAGACATTTTCAACATAAGTTTATGTCTTTATGTCTTATGTCTTTGAACATAGCAGAAAAGTTCCAAATTAAAAATTTGGATAAGTTTGACTCACTGTCTTGGCGTTTGGAGTTTTTTAGCTGTCTTTGCAAGCTGTAAAATTTTAACAAACTCTCATTTGTTTTCTAATTCCACAGACTTCCGAAGAGCATTTCAGCGCCAGCTATCCAAACGTCCGCACTGTCGCTGTCAAAAAGGTACGTAGCATATTTTCGCCATTGTTAATTTTCGAAGAACTGATTTTCTCTAAAGTTTCATAGCAAAACTTTTAGTGAGTTGAATAAAAACGTCCTAATATCGAACAACGGATATTTTTAGTACATACAATGGTATTGTTTTAGATTTTGTTATTCTTTGACCCAAAGGTATAATATGTGTTTTCGGTAAAATTCCTGGTCAATAGCCTTTCTCAAAAAGTTTTTGGATGTAACGTACTGCTAACTAAACTAAGTAAAATTTGTTTTAACATTAGGAAATAAAAATAAATTGTCTTAACCTTGAACGTGAATATCCAGGTGAAAAGGTATTTAAAAAAGTTGGACGTGATGCACATAATTGATGTAGCATAAACATTTACATCACAAAATGTAAAAAAAGCAAAACAATTTCTGAAAGTGATTAAAACTGTCATTATGACAGCTGACGAATACGAAAAAATGCGAAGAAAAAAATGCAAGCATTGTTGAATGACAAAAAATCATACATAGAAAAAATAAGCAATAATAATAATAATACTAAATAATAATAAATCTATACAAATACGAAAAGTGTTACTACCAAAAATGTATGCCCTCCTTAAAGTACAATCAATCGATCAATTGCATCATGTGTTCAATCACGCCACACTCCAATGGGATAAGATACAAAAAAATTACGGATATTCCGAGAGATGAAATATTAGAAGCAGTAAAAACAACCTTGAATTTAACTTATTTCCTTTACGAAAATAGATTATATAAATAAATTGACGGCTATACCATGAGATCTTCTGTCTCGAGGGTTGTGGGCCAGATAGTAATGGAAGAACTTGAAGAGACTGTTCTGGAAAATGATAACTTCGAAATTCCCTTCATCATAGCAGCGATTTCAATAGATAAAGATCAAACGTTGCTAGAGAAATTTAACAATGTCCACAAAAAATGCAATTTACCCATGAAGTGGAAGAAAATAACAAAATCAACTTCCTAGATATTACGTTACACGATATCACTAGCGAAGTTACGACAGAATGGTTCTCTAAAAAAACTTGGTCACCTTGATACCTAAACTATAATTCTCACCACCCTATTAACCAAAAAAAATCTGTCGTAATTAGTTTGGCCGATCGGGCTATAAACTGGTCAGACGTAGAGTTTAGAGAAAACGCCACAAAAAAAGCAAAGTCTGCACGACTAAAAAATAATTACCCCATAAAACTAATTAACAATATTTTCGAAAAAAGATTTCGTTTAATATGTAAGTAAGTTATTAAGTAATAAAAAAAATATATGATAAAGAAATACACACTATATCTCACTACCATATATTAGCGGTTTATCTCAACCAATTAATAAACTTTTCAAAAAATATAATTTAGAGGTTTGCCATAAGGGTTACAATCTAATATCCCAAACATTTTCTAAACTCAAACTAAAAACAAAAGAAGTAATGTTGTTTACGAAATTCCTTGAATAATGGAAATAAATCCTATATCCAGCCAATATCTTGAAAACCGAATATATATATATATATATATATATATATATATATATATATATATATATATATATATATATATATATATATATATATATATATATATATATATATATATATATATATATATATATATATATATATATATATATATATATAATTAGAAGGATAATGATTTCGCCAATGTCAATCAATATTAAAATATTGATTATAAACCGATTTAAAGAAGTAACTTCACACCCTGTACTTTGAGTATCTGGTTAATATTAAATTTTCTAATTTAAATTGGTTCAGGAATATCATTTTAAATTTAGTTACAGTTCTTTCAGAAAGTTCTTATTCTCTTGTCGTAATGGCCCCCGGTGGCGTTTTCAAAAACTTGCTTAAAGGTTTCAATTCTTTAAGAGCTGCAGTTTTAAAATATCTTCTCTAAATATTTAACCGAAATTTGGACACAATTTATCGTTGCTAATCCAAATTATTGAATTTAGATAATTTATTCAATTTAACAAAGAAGTTTTGTTTTTATTTTATAGGTTCGAATTCTCTTGTCGAAAACGAATTCTCTATTTTTCTCTCACTCTAGAAGTAAATATTTTCCACAACATAGATTAGATTAGTGGCGTCGGAGCCTCTGTACACGTATCATTATTAAATGAATATAATCGACTGTTTCCAGGAAGAGAAACTATTAGCGTCGGAAACTCTTATTTTTCTAATGCCCGCCATTAAGTATTTCGTGTGCACGTCTCACATTTCATTTTTGGGTCAAATCAGTTGCCAACCAACAATTTACAAATAAGGACGTGAATTTACTTTAAACAGAACAACACAAATAAAATTCTTTAAAAAGTAATTCTTGTCTTTGAACAAACAAAAAAAAAGTAAATTAATAGAAATTCTAGAAATATAAGATAAGCTATATTTCCTTTTGACGATTCAACGTATAGCGACTAATAAACCTCAGATATGCTTCGTTGAATATTCTATTAAACGAAAGAACGAACACTCTACCATGTTCGACAAAGGATCATGAGGAAACAAACTAATAATCACTTATACTAATCCTGTGAAGTCGGTGCTTGATGTTAATTAACTGCAACGCAAATTTATACCTGGCATCCACAGTTCTGTCACTCATCCCATGACCCTAACCTATTGATCAAAAAAACAACTCGTTGTATAATCAAATTTGACCACATTGATGAAGTATCGAAAAATTCTTATATTGTAAACCAAGCTTAAAAAATATGCCACAAAAAACTTCAAAAAATTGTACCTAGAATCTGACATGATAAGTAATAATTAAATTATAATATAATAAACTGCATTTAGTCATGTTTTTAGAATATTTGGCTTTTATAATTTTTGGGTGCTAATTTGAAAGATTTGATCACAGTGCGGCATAGTTTTACAGTCTAAATCATAGATTTTAGACAACAACGAAGTGCAATTTTTATTCAATTTGTAATTTTTTTTGTTTTTAATCAGATTAGGTACTTTGGTATATGAAATATTTTATTGAAAAAACTTGTGTTGCTTCTTTTGCGTTTGGAGCCGTTGTTTTTGTTGACTTTTGTTTTATTTATTTATTTATTCTTTTTTTAAAGCAGGCAAACCAAAGCTTGGGCATTATGATAATCGAAGGGAAGCATGCAAAAGTCGGACAAGGTATCTTTATATCAGACATACAGGAAGGCAGTTCTGCGGAAAAGGTATTGTAAAATTGCTAGAATCTTACACATAAACAAAGTAATTATTAATATGTTGTCGGTAGCTAACGAAAGCGTTTATTTTATTTGTGATGACCTGCGTTATATGTAAAATTATTAGAAATTGCTGATATCGCCGATTAGGTATGATATACCTAGTGTTTTTTGTGGTTTCAGCGTAGTGTAAAAATTATGTAGTGTAGTATATAAAAAGGAATCAAATTGTCAGCCTGTAGAAAATACATGATTTTCTAATTTTCTTGTGTTAAAATAACCAACTCCAAGTGGTGGTTCGTTGCTTAAAAAAATGTCCAAAATACAAAAATAATTTGAGTTTTGTGAAAATGTAATCTAATTTTAATTTCTCAAATACATAAGAAAGATTTTAATTGTATCAGCGAATCTTACCTTACCTTATCTTTTCAAAACTGGCATTCAAAAAGTGCCGAACAGAAACTAACTAACACTATTATTAAGTTATAGCCACTTAAAGTTATTAGATAAGAATTTTTGGTCACCCTGTATATAACGGAACGGCTTTCATAATTGAGATATAGAAAATGGTTTACGATACACAAACTTATTTTGCTCGTAGAATCCAAATGCTATGCTATGATTTAAAAAATACTACTGATCATAATAGCACTCCACATATAGCATATTACTTTTTGAAAACCTTTTATTGTGACCACAATATGTGCTGTATAGCGTGAACAACCTTGTATATAGAAACAAATTAAGAATTTAATTTTATTATAAGCAAACAACACATAACGGAAATATGCCTTGGGTTAAATTTGGTTGTGTATATTTGGAACACATAAAAAGTTCCTCATAAAAAGCACATTGATTTTATCCTTCAAATAAGTTTCTCCTTTAAAAAAAGAGATTTTGTTAGATTAATATGTCATAAGATTAGAAGTGCTTTCAAATACTAGAAATATACTATATGAAAAAATAAGAAACCTACAATTCTATTCAAAAATAGTTAATAAAAAAATAGTAATAATATTATGAAATTATATATATGTATTTATCGAGCAATTACGATGGTAGTTGCTTTTGTTGCGTTTGTTTCTGAATGCATGATGGTATGTAGCTAGTCAAGACTGTCGCTGTATAGTTTAGTGCATGGCATTATACTTATATTAAACATGTTGCGAATGTGCTAAACAACTTTCTTATTCTATTGATAGTTCCGAAACGAAATTTTACAATTATTTTAAATCGCTTTCAAGCAAAGACCCAATAGATAATCATAAAATAAAAGTGTTCGTGTTCAAATAGTTGTAACGCTATATTTGAACTAAAAAAAAATGTTAGTTCCTTATTGGAAAGTATAAAGAAGACAGAGAGAAAACGTCCCGAGAAGTCGATGATAAAATTAAGCGAAGGAGAATAAAAACACCGTGTTTATTAATTTATGGTTAAAGAGTTTTGTTTTGGTTTTGTTATTTTTGAAAACAAGTCTGTTCTTATATGGATATTTACTACGTTTAGGATCTATAACCTTAATTTGCAATTTTTTTTCTTTAATTGTAAATATAAAATTAACATTTTTATGATTTATGGAATTATTTTTAGGGTTTAGGATTACTATTTAATTAATTGTTTGGTAATCGAAAATTGCCTGGAGCTAAATATGTTTTGGTTTTCCTCTCTTTCTTGAGTTTTATCAGCCTGACGCAAAGGATGGGAGAAAAAGAAAATGGGCTGAAGTGCCCTGGCCAGATGTTTTTCCAGCTTGCATAATGGTGAGTTAAAGGCGCTTACGATTGGACGCAGGGGAACGCCGTCCTTATGCATCTTTGGGAGCCCGTAGAATTTTGGGCAACGACTCGATTTTTCCCTCGGAATAAGTTTCTTCTTTGTATCCTCGTTTATTGATGAATCGAGAATTTTGGACTTAGTTGTTTTTTCCAGATATGTCGTGGGAGCTCTGGTGACTAGTTTGTATATTGGGTCATTCAAAATATCCTCCAATTTTGCCTTATAATCCGACGTATTCATGACGACAGTGGCATTTCCTTTGTCTGCTGGCATTATTAGAATATTTTCGTTTTTGTTTAGATTCCTTAAGGCTTGCATTTCTTCTCTGCTTAAGTTTGGTTGCGGTGGTTTTGACTGTCTTAAGACTCTGGCGATATCTTGCCTAATTAACTCCGCATCTTGTTCGTCTATGGTGGAAAGACTTGCTTCGACTTTGGAAACGATCTCTTTTTGAAGCTATTGCATAGTTAAATCCTTTATTCAGTACGCTGACTTCTATATCGGGAAGATGGTATGCTGAAATATTATGAACTGTACTGCTTCAGTTTGTATTTGACACTTGACCTGATTGAAATTTGACTGAAGGATTTCTAGTTTCTTCTACAGTTTTTTTTCTCAGTGCGCCATGATGTTAATAATTCTATGCGGTCCCACAGCAACTGATGGATCTTTTTGCTCAGTTGCAGGTGAAGTCTGAGAAGTTGTAGCTCAGTCTCACTAATTTCGTACCGGGTCCGCCTGATGTGGTCTTGGAGTATGGCCTTGCTAGCTTTGTCCAGGATAGCTTGTGTCTGTCTAGTGCGTGTGTGATAAGACAACCTTGTAAATGTTGGCAGCACGTTCTGGTTGCGGCAATTTGTAGCAAAGGACTACCTCCACTTATATATATATATATATATATATATATATATATATATATATATATATATATATATATATATATATATATATATATATATATATATATATATATATATGATGGCACTATATTCCGGGATATCCGTTCGCTTGTTGAACTCTCAAGTGTTCTCTCTCAGTGTTCGAAGTGTTTTCGGAGCGCGAGCATTGAAGATGCCAAGTGAGATTTTGGCGAAACGTCTGCAGGATTCCAGTCGGAGTTCAACAAGCGAACGGATGATATCCCGGAATATAGTGTCATCACATTTCTCCATCCGTGAAAATATATATATATATATATATATATATATATATATATATATATATATATATATATATATATATATATATATATATATATATATATATATATATATATATATATATATATATATATATATCCAATTTCGGACCCGGTAAAACATATACCTATTACATATGTGGACGATTTTATATTTTGTTTATGTTCTTTCTAAACAGCGATTTTCACACACTTAACTCGTTTTTCCAGAACATTTGACGAGATCGAAGCATGTTTTGCGGTAATACTGCAGTAAAAATGCCGCATCCAAACTTATTGACGATCTGTCAGCAGCCATGTTGGTTGTTGAATGTCGCGAGGTCATTGGTTAAAATCTCCGGCAAGCCCATATGGAATGAACCTACTCAAAATTTTTTTCATGGTTGCTTTATAAGTTTCTGTTTTATCGGCATAGGCAGGGTGTCTCTATCTCTAGTAGCTATATGGTTGCAACATATAATGGAGCTCATATAAGATTATTTTGATTCTAAATAACCTCTTCCCGCTGATTAATTTTCATCAACTTCCTGGGACACCGTGTTTCAGTCTGGCATTATATTTATATATTTGCACATTATATAACTTCATTATTATTAGGTCGATACATACTCATTTTTTCTAATGTGCGAAAGTAATTAATTATTTTCGTCTAATTTAATTAGGAAATTGATATTGCCACGCAGGTTACAAGTTGGTACCACGCAAAGATTATTGTGTTTCGGAACTGTCGTAGATGTATGTAGGGCTTCAAGAGTTTCGGTAGGGTGCTTTATTTTAGTTGTTCGTGTGACTTGCTCAATGTTTCATTTTTATTTTTTGAAGGCTGGCCTTGAAATTGGAGAAATGATCCTGGCTGTCAATAAAGATTCGTTAGTCGGCGCTAGCTATGATACGGTAAGTAGATAGCAGTTAGGTTCCATTCTACTAAATTATTTAATCGGTAAGATGAAAAAATTATAAAAATTACTCTTGAACTTTTCAATTTTTTCAAGAACTGGTAATACCCAAAATTTTTAAATAGACTATAAACATTATTTAGTTTAATTTGTGTATGTGTTATCCTGCTTATAGTGACAGCTTTCGTTCGGATATTATTTAAGTTCTTGTTCTATGAAATTGCTTGTGGTTTTGATTTGTATGCAGCGATATTGTTGAATGCGCATAGAATTGTTTCACCGGAATGATCAAGTTAGATAATGGCATGTATTTAAGTGCAATGGGAGCATTAAAAACTAAGGACATGTGAATATAGTACAACTATTTAAGTACTTGTTTGCCCTTTAGACTAGATCATCTTGTTTTACTCTAATTAGTTAGAGTTTCGAAAGAAATATTAGAGTACAGTACAGATTATTTTTCCTACAAGTTTATTTTCATGAATTGAATTTGGGAATCGAGTTATAATTGCATAAACGTTTTTTCCAAAATAGTACTATATTTTGAATTATTTTCAGGCATGTTTGCAAAAATTAGCAGGAACGTACATAAACAATTAAATTTTAATTACTTGCTCAAGCCTCCGATCCACGTCGAGCCATAATATATCTTATATCCCATTCCAAAATTTTATCGCAAAAGCTTATAAAAAAACATACCCAACAAATATATCTCATTATATCGTGATGTCCTCTACAGGGTGTTTTAAATTGGACGCTTTTAAACGAAAACTAATGTTGGTGCTTGGAATTCCATTTTCATAAAACACAAAAAAGTTACTTTACCCTTACAGGGTATAGGTCCTAATACAAATTACTTGCTGTTCTGCATTTTGGAATAGAATTTTAATTAAAAATTCAAAAGTATCCAATTTGATCCACTCTACAAATTTAAAGGATATTTTTCTAATACGCAGGATATAATACATATTATCACATCGCTCGCTGTACGTGGCGGAATTTACAGAGTTTTATACGAATAGCAACCCGGATTTTATGCTTTTTGAGTTTTGGTTATTGTAAAATCGGATCACACCTCTTTCTAAAACCAGATCACATATCTTCTATCAATTTAAATTAATTGTTTGTAGGCTGCCACTTTATTAAGAAGGACAGAGGGATTGGTAACTCTGGTGGTATCTAATCCCAGCGCAAAAGATACTTCCAGATCGGTAACCCCCGTGCCCACCACACCAACTCCCGCCCTTCAGACCAACGATGTTGTTGATTTGAGGAATCATCATACCCCACGATCTGCTTTAAAAGTGACCGCTCCATCTCGTTCGCCCACGCCCATACCCGGTGAGCCAATTTAAATACAGATTTAGATTCTTATATTACGTGTCATTATGTGTACTACTTGCTGAGTGAGGAACAATTGCGATTTTTTCATTTAAATTTTTAATTTTACTTTTTATTTATTTTTTTGAATACCAACAAATACCACTAAAGTATATCCACTTCAATTATATAACACAGGCTTTCAGGCGGAGACATTGATAGATACATATATTTGTACCTACAAACGTAGGTATAGATTATTTAAATTAAAATATGTGAAGAAAGTTCCAAGGAATGAAAAAATGCCTTCATATATATTTATATTTTTTACAGATTTTCAAATAAAGTTAAACGGGCCGTACGTGAATAGCAACCAAACGGCTCTGATTTTGTTATAGAATATGGAATTAATGATTGTAATTTATTACATAAAATTTTGCTTTTCAAATAGCGTGATTTCGAACGTAAAAACGGCGTAAAACAGAATATTTTTTTCATCAAAAACCTTTTTTTCATTGGCTCAAAATATACAGTTTTATTGTGTAAAACTGTTTTTGCTTTTGCTTTCTCAAGAAATTTTCGTTTATTTTTTCTTTAGTTTTTATATTTGACAATTACAATGTTGTCAGTCTTCATTAAAATAAAAATAAAAATTAATTTTGTAGTTCTGATTGATTTCCCTTTTTAATGAAAATTATTATAGTTTTCAACACAAAAAAATATCTCTGATTAAAAAAATGAACTTCGTTTATTTATTTGTTTCTAATATGATAATAAATATTATAATTTTTAGAACCACCTCCCGACCCCCTAACGGCTTCCATTGTTCCCGGCAAGGAAACTAGTATCGAAATAAATACCGAAAATAAAACTCTGGGGGTTGTATTCGTAGGCGGCAAAGACACCGCAGTCACCGTGAGTATCCCATAATCCAAAGCGAGGTATAGTGTGTCTCAAAGTATATCGTCTTGGCTTTGGATGGACCTTCAACCAAAAAGTAATCACGATCTATTATTACTGGGTAAACCAAGTATGATTAATGTATAATTATTGAAAATTTGTATATATTTAATGTCAACGTTTTTTCAATTAGTACTAATGTGATCCTATTATAAATAAATAAACATAATGTAATATTTATTTTTAACCCTAAAAGTCTGTCCATAATGCTCTGTCCTACGATACTGACTGGTCACGTGTTTTTTTTTTGCCATCGACAGGTTATATCGATAATTTCCGTCAAATGCCAAGACGATACAGACACATTGAGATAAAGTATGCGTTCTACAATTTATATTACATGTATGGTATTTGTGTGTTTGTTGTTATACTTAAAGTATATTAAGTATGTAGCTTAATGTTAAGGAAGGATTCCTTTGCTAATTTTAATACAAAAAGGTCATATAAATAAGGGTCTGCAAGATCTTCGCAAAAAATAGATTTTTGTAAATTGTTAATAAAATGTAGAAATCCCTATAAGCAACCCTTCCTAAGAATCCGAGATATTTTAACTTGAAATAATTAACTTGAAAAATTACATTTTAAAATCATTTTTACTTTTCTTTTATTTATAAATCTACCAACTTCCAAAATTATTATTATTTATTTAATAAACTTTTTATTAAAAATTTCATTTAACTCATCAGCAGTGCAGCTACAATAATTTTCTTACACAAACAGTTGTTGAAAAATGATTCTAATTCAAAAAATAACGCAATTTATTTCATTTTTTAAATTTTTGTTGATGAATTCATAATCAGTAGAATTTTCTTATATTGACTGCTAAGAGCCATATCAAAATCTAATTCTAATTTCGCTTGTTAACAGACCACCCCAAACGTCAACATTATTTCAAATATTACGTACGAAAAACAAAACTTTAACATCATGTATCGCAAAAGCGAAACCACATTTGTATGAACTTTTTGACTTAAAATTATCTCAAAAATCATTCCTCAAAGTTAAGCTACATGATTAATACCCGGCATAAAAATATTCTATGGGTGGATTAAATTAGTATTTTCTTCTTTTTTGCGAGAGAGTTATTAAATGTAAATTTGCAATAATTAAAAAGCGTGGACAACTTAAAGAAAATATAAGTTCAGGGAAATTACAACAATAGTTTCCTACCAATTTCGTATTTTAGTTTTTAATACACACTACGAATCATTCCTCCATTAGGGATATACTAATTTGTATACTTTAGAAAGACGAGTTTGATGAGTGAGAATAATATGACAGCGCCGGTACTACATAATTATAGAGATGGGCAGATAAATAAAAACTCGAAAAATAATATGAAAATTGATGAATTGTAATAAATATTGTTATTTAAAAAATATTACTACTCCCGTTCCAAGTAGCGAATCCAGTGAAATAATTAGTGGCACTATCCACTGTATTTATTCCCTCTTGCAAGAGAGTTTCAACGTTCCCTATTTTAAAAATGATATCTTTCTTTCGCTAATAAATTGATTTTTGTTTTAAATTTTTGCGTAACGAAAATACATTTTTCATAATCATACTTTTTCATTTCAGACATTATTTTGTCCAATGTTAGGTATTTCTTTTTTAAATAAAACAAATGTATTATTTTTTAATGGCAATATTTTCATCCTTTACAGTTTCTCGTTACAGTTCACCGTTTGAACACAACTGCCCGAAAGTGACTATAATTCAAATTTTAAACACTAAGGAACGTCTAGCTACCACTCCGCGCATTGTCATCATAGCTGCAATGTTACGCCCATGGAATATGCCAAAAACCACTAAGTTTTATAGTTTAATAATGATTTATAACTCTCTAGCAGTAAGATACAGAGCATAGCTTAAAATACAATGGTCCCCAAATTCGATGGCATATTAAAACTATGGAGAGGATAAAGATGGGCATTTAACTCGAACCACACACCAGCTTCATTTTTTTTAAATATATATTATCACATTTTTAAATTCTATGACGTCCAAACCCTGTATTTAAATTCATTTTCATCTGTGACTAAAATAATATACGATGTTACGACCGTTTTAAATAAAAATCTGAAATTTTGTTGACAGCTTTACAATGATATTATCCAATAAAATATAAATTAAGAATCCAAAAATGTAATAATGTACAGGGAATTCCATTTAAAAAAATATGATGTTGGTGTCTGGTTCGAGTAGATTGTGGCAACGCCAATAGCCATATCCAAATATTTTAATAATAGAGATTATAGTTTCAGCAATCCAATTTTTGAATATCTATCTTTTTCCATTTTCGATATACTTCTAATATGCCATCGAGTGTGAGGAACCCTCTATATGGATAAACTTTGTCTCAAAGTATATCGACTTGACTTTTGAAGAACCGTCCCCCAAAATTAATTATTTTTCCCGTAATGATGTCGGTTGAAACAATTGAAATTGCGGAAAGCCGTTACTTCGGGTTTTAAAGCCGTCCAAAAAAAATATCGTACCTTTTTTGTCAGCGGTCGAAAACGGTTTCTCTGAACAGTGTACAAGGTTGGACAACACTGTACATTTAAGGTTTTTAATTGCCGAAACATTCAGTTTACCTTGAATACCCAAAATAATGAAAGCCATAAAAAATAAATCCTCCCATATTAATCGCAACAAAAAATCTTAATATTTTTAAAACACGTTAAAAGTACGTCCCTGATACTCGATCCTACAATATGATTGGTCAATACGGTATACTTTAAGACATACCATACTTACATTTTGAGTCACTTTTAACAAAATATTAACCATATTTTTTACATTGTCACCGATTAGTTTTGTTTAGTTAGTACTTAGCTTTTTAATATCATTTCTTATAACAAAAAAAAATAGTTTTTAATGAATTCGTTTAATTTCCGATAATTAACAATATTTTAATTGCAGGAAGGAATAATCCTGACAGATATATACCCCGGGGGCGCGGCACACAAGGACGGAAGATTGCAACCCGGCGATCAAGTCTTGGACGTGAACGGCACATCCTTGAAGGACGTCACCAATATCATCGCGTCTCAATCATTGAGACAAACACTGCCAAAGGTGATTAACCCCCGAACGCACGGCGGGCGTGTAGTGTGGTAAAGCTGGTTATTTTTGCAGATGAAGCTTCTCGTATATAGACCGATGAAGGTACAATTCATACCTGTGGAAATAGATTTGGTTAAGAAACCAGGAAAGGGCCTAGGGATAAGCGTTATGGCCTTGAAGTCCAAAAAGGGAGTGTTCATTTCGGATATCGTAAGTGGAGCCTAAATTGTCATTCATTAACACTAATATTAGAACCAAATCCTAATTAGTTATTTTATTGAACCTATTATCCATATATCCAGCATATACAATAAATATGTTTTATTAGATTTATATGCCATCCCCTCTCAGGTTATTACTAATAATAAGCTGTTATGACTTAAATAACCTTTTAAAAATTTGTGAAGAGCATCTTCTTCAAATCAATCCATATAAGTCGGTTGCCCCGTTATTTTGTAATAATAAAGTTCGAGAAGAAACCTTAGCTTGTATAACAGTTTTAATGACGTCCAATAAATACCAAATTACATTGAGTTTTATAATATTTTATCCAAAAACGATTCTGTTAGTTTCTTTATAAAACCTTTGGGGGGTTGGTTACTTCAGGTTTCATAAAAAGATTTTATAGTGTCTTTAAAAACCTTATAAGTAACATTTTAACTCTTGGGATACTCTGTAAAACCTTTATAAATCTTAAAGCATCTAATAAATATTCTACAGATACTCTGAAACCCCGACTCCCATGTGCTTCGAATAACCGTCATAGACAGTGCTGCTTTATACGAAAATGTTTATAAATACGTAAATAAGTATTCCAAAATCGCCTTAGGTTTTTTGCAAGAGCAATATTGCAGTAAGATATTTGGATACGTTTCTTAAAAGATTCCAAGATGTTTAATATTACTAATCAGATAAGTTATTCAAAAGTGAACCAAATGAACCTGGCTTCTTATTTTCGAATTGACAGAAATAATAAAAAAAATGGGTAGTATGTCGCATTTTAAGCAACATCCCGGAAACTTGGAGACATGTTCCTTTTCAAAAAATGATTAAAAGATGATCTTTGCAAAAAAAATATGAGATATAATTTTAACTTACAAAGCAATATATACAACGACAAGTACCCGAAATAAAATATATTGTAAACAAATTATGTAGTCTTTGGCGCTATAAAACGTTAGGTTATAAAGATAAGGGGAACCTCTTAGTTACAAATAAAGGTAAATAAAAGTTTTATTTGGTCATCGCTACCTTTACCGAAACATAACCGTTACTATTATAAAAAAAATGTTGAAACAGTGACCTATGGTTGTTGCATGATGTTCGTAACAAACAATCTTTTTCTTCTCTTCCTTTATTAACACGTCTCGGTTCTTTCTTTTTTCGCTGTTTCTAATTCCTGTTTCTTCTGTTAATTCCACGGATGTAGAGTTCTCCAAACGATATATCATTTTTACAACCTTTTATGGTTTTGACTTCGGAGTGAATTTAAGACCCGTCTATTGTAAAGCGGAATTGACCACTCTTTTTAGCACGCACAAGCCAGGGCCGTATTTAAGATGTTAGCAGACAAGAACTGTCTCGTGCAGATTGTTGTATTTTAAGGGTAGTGAAATATTCTTTGATTAAATTGTTATATTAATTTATTTTAGTGTGCTTTTTATAAATCTTCCTAAAACAGTCCCTACTTGAGGTAGATTTCAAGTTGAATTTGAACATTAGATAGGTTGATCTATATTAAAAACACATTAGAAAGCTCAAACATTTTAAGAGTTTAACATAATGACTCTAAAATGTTTTCCTAGGAAAGCAATACAAAATCTTATGTAGATAATTGATTTATAATGGATGTGGATGTGAAATCGTGAAAATTGTCCAAGAAAAACGGGGAAAGATCATGGAGTGCCAAAAAGTCTACTTGACATGCACCATGCCGGAATAGTGAGACCGGTTGATATATGATGCGTATCGGAAGGATATTGTTTTAACTAAATTAAATTAAAACTTTACATGACTGTTACCAAGAGACTTTGCGTGCTTTCGTACGAAGAATTTGTTTTTATTACAAACCATCAATAAGAGAAGTTTTGATGGAATCAAGAAGAATTTTAGAGTGGAGGACAAGATATTGAAATATTGAAATCGAGCTACCTCAAGTAGAGAGTGTTTTAGGAAGATTTATAAAAAGCACACTAATATGACTTAATATATCAGTTTAATCAAAGAAAATTTCCCCACATTTAAAATACAACAGTCCCTACGGTACAGTTCTTGTCGGCTAACATCTTAAATACGACATTGGATTGTGTTACACATGCTGCAAAGAATGGTTCCTTTCACTTTATAACAGGCGGGTCTTAAACTCATTCCGAAGTTAAAACCATAAAAGGTTGTAAAAACGGTATATCGTTTGGAGAACTCTAACTAGTCTGCAGCGTTTTTTGTTTTAGATCGCCGGAGGTGCAGCCGAAGCAGACGGTCGAATATCAATCGGCGATCTGCTGACTTCGGTCAATGGGCAAACCGTGGAAGGCGCGTCGACGGAGGAAGCCGGAGCCATATTAAAGACGGCCGTGGGAAAAGTGTCGATTAAACTAAATAGATATAAAGTTAGTATAAGTAAATAAATACGGTGATGTTGAACAATGTAAGTTGTGGGTGATCAACTTATCTTTTTCTTTCGACCGTTAGGCAAAGAACGAGAGGAACGTGTGATATTTCCATGATATTTTCAATCACGATTTACCGTTTTCATCGGCGCTTCAAAATACTCACGGCCGAGTGAGATACCGTTATTATCTTCTCAGATATACCCGTGTTACACCTGTGACAGAAAAATGTACACATCGCATTCTCAGGCGACACGCGTCACGTGTATACGGCCATTTTGAACATTTCAATTTGAGCGTAAACGATTATAGCATGTGTAGGAACCGCAAGAACTGCTGGGTTCAAATCCTACTGAAGACAAAATTTTTACAAAAAAATAAAACTAACCCAACATCAACGTCGTTTGTGTTAAAGATGTTTCTTATTTAACTTAGGACGTTGCATATTAGTTCACTTCGTTTTGCGTAAACTAAAAATGGCGCTATCATATACCCTATGCAATAAAAAATTGTGACCTTGATCTAGTCATAGCGACAAAAGTGACCAACATAATTCGATATTCCATTTTCAGAGAAATATATAAATAGACACTCCCAAGAAACAAGGTTTTTCACTTCCGAAGTTTTCCCTCTGTGGTAGATCAAGGGTCATAATGTTTTAATTGAGGTTTAAACGCATACAGTATTTCGCCTGAACCATTTGAGAAAGTATTGAAAATTTACACTGAGCAAGAGTGTCAATTTTCAGTAAAATAAACGTTCTCGCGATTAAAAAAAGTGTAGGGAACTATTTTAATGTAATTTAAATATAAATTATATATAGGAGACCAAAATTATTGTTATTGCCTATTTAAATTGCAAAAACGATTAAACTGCTGTTAAACTAAACTCAAAACCAATAAAAAAAAAACATATTTTGGAAATTACATTGCTAATCAAAAACATGTTTACCAAAAGGTTCTGAAGCTCTAAGATTTCAAGATTAAAAATATTTTTAACAGAACATTTAACGTCGCCACCAAATTGGCCATTAAAAATAGCAAGGAGGAGGAGCGTCCATTCGAATCCAGAAATCTCTACTTTTGGAATAAAATGCTGTCCTAAAATTTTTATTAGTTTCACTCAAATCGCGCACTCACTGGACCCAACTCAACATAAAAAAACTTCATTGTCCCTTGGGTACTAAACGTCGCAAATAAAATAGCAACAATAATCACTGGCTAAAGGTTTTCAAAATAACTTCACATCTGATTATTCATTTGAAATTATTAACCTCAGAATTTTTAATTAAGAAATAGTAAAGAGGCACTGAAAATGAATCACCACGTTTAACATTCACAAGTCGAAAACCTGGGGAGCAGCAATGTTTAATTAATTTTTTCAGCTCAAGTGTTATAATCCCCAATTTCCAAAGTTTTTAATTCCATTTTATGTCATAACTCGAAAATAAGTTGATGAATCCAAAACTGACCAAATATTAATACTCTTTCTGATCAAAATTTACTCAAAATAATTAAAATGTCATAAAAATTCGATAGGCAAGCATTTGAAACAATTACCCCTTTTAAGAAAAGAAAAACGGATAGAGCCACTCCCATTTATATGTGCTGTGTGTATATGATAACTAACGATGTAAAATTGTTAAACTTAACGAAATACCAAATAGTAAAATTGTTGACCTAAAAATATATTTTAAAAACTATTTTTCATTGTTGACATGTGTATAACAGATAAGTCTAATTAGACATTTACATTGATTTAGATGTCGCATTTACTTTTAGATAATGTAATTAAATACACAGATATATAATTTTAAAGTTGTTTATACATCTTTTATCTAGTCAAATTTACTCTTAAGTACTTATTAGGTTGAGAAAAATGTATATTAAGTGAATAGACTCCACCAGCTTAAAATGTGATAAATATATTAGCTTAATAAATTGATTAGTAAATTTGGCTTTTTTTTTATTGGTCTTTTCGCAGTCTGCAAAGTATGGAATCATTGTTTTAAGTTTTAAAAACTAATATATTCTAATTACTTCTTTTTCACCAACAATTAAGGGAGTATTAAAAATACATACAGAATAAAATTTGTATTGCTAATCATTTATAAACAGATAATCTTGTTTTTTTTTATATACAAGCAACTTTAGGTTTGGTTAGGTGTTAGGTTAGTATTATTTAAATTTTTTAATTATTTTTAAACAGCCAACCTATATTAATGGATATTTCGAATATGTGTGAAGTTTTGATCAAATTTTGTGTGTGTCCTATAATTGTCTAAAGTTTAGTATTTTAATTTTGACAGAGTTACCAGATTTCAAGGCAGTCAGCAGTATTGTGATTTTTTAAATTTAAAAAACCAGCAAGTAAGTGGTAAAACTAATTACTTTTTACAAAGCTTCTGAATTCCTCCTGCGGCGGTTTTTGTTGAATCGAACTTGCTAACATTTTGCCAATTATCCTGTTGGCTTGCTAACGTTTCGGAAATCATCCTGTTGGCTTCTTCAGAGCTTGAATGCAACAGTTTTAGTCAAGCTCTCAAGAAGCCAAGAAAATGATTGGATAAACGTTAGCAAGTTCTACTCAGCAAAAACCGATGGAAGTTTCTTTTAAAAGGTAAAATTAATTATTGTAAAGCTTTATCCTTTTCTAACTAGTAAAACAAATAACTACTTTTTTATCTTTAGGCAATTCGTGAGGCGTATAAGTTTTATAATATCAATTATTCCTGCAAAGCAGCGTTTATTAATCTGTTATGACAAGGTCAGTGAATTATTATAAATAATCGCTTCATTTGAATATTAACTAACAAATAATAAGCTAAATAACCATTGCAATTTACAGTACTAACCTATAAAAATTTGGATTGTCCACTTGAAAACCTATCATCCAAATGTTGGGCTTTTTTTAAAATTGCTTTTTTTTGTACCTCATCAAATCGATTGACTTGAAGATCCACTTCTCTACTAAAGGGTCTCCTTTCATTTGAAGCACCCTCTTTCTTCTGTTGATTTACTTTGTTTGTGTGCATTTCCAATAGACTTTTTTCTTTCTTTTTATATTTTCTGGAAAGGACTTCCTGCTCCTGGTCCCTTTTTACAATTTCTTTTAATTCAGCTTCCTTACTCAAATCTATTTTTTCTGTTTGGGATTCATTACTACTTTTTCCTTGTATTACTGTCCAGACGGATCTATCCGAAAGATCTGGACCAGCGCGTTTCCTAAATTGCCTTGGCCCTAATCCAAAATGTGCTACCTTCTGTTCAGGCAACTTTAACATCCAATCCTCCCTGGAAGGTTCTGCAAGTTTCGGATCTAGTTTGTCAATTTTAAGCTGCAGTGCTCTTTCTTCTAGTGCTAAATGGGAACTTGATAGTTTATGATTGTCGACTGGCCAAGGACCATAAGCTTCTTCATCTGACTCGTTACTTTGAATTTTTGTACTTTCACTTGAAGTTTGTTCATTTATGGATGAAACTGAATGCAGACAAGAGTCTATTGTGCTCGGCACATTCTTTGTAAAGCCGGGAGGTATACATGGACCTATCAATTTTGAAGGCTCAGTTAAATTTTCAACTTTTTTTTCTGAATCTTTGGCTAGATGTGGAGGTAATGCAGGACCTATTATCTTCTCTTGGTTACCTTGGTCAGAAATGGAATTAACTGATTGAGAAATATATGGTGGAAGTGGAGGGCCAATAATGTCTTTGTGACTGGAATTATTTGATTTTTTAATAACTAAGTGAGGTGGCAAGGCTGGCCCAAATGTTGTTTTCTTAATTTCTTTAAGCGCTTCGACAGAATCACTATCACCTATGCCTTTCATGTTATTACTTTACAAATAAGGAGCCAAACTGTATCAAATCCTAAACTTTCGTTACTCCTATTATGACGTTTATAAAATAGGTTACTACCACGACTTTTTCTTCTACTGCCAACATTAGTAAACAAACAGTTTATGCTACATACTCCTCGTGAATTAAACCTAATTCACCATAGAGTAATGATGATTATTTCAACTTTGAAAGCTTGGTAGGATAGAACTGTCTCTCTCTCTCTCTCTCTCTCTCTCTCATTTGCTCTTTACAAACAGTTGAGCAAGTCTACTATAGCCATTCGCCCATTACCGACTTCCGTCGAGGATTTTCCCTTTTGGTCAATGATCAACACGTACGAAGAAGAAATATAACCAAAATTTGCTCCTCCAGCAAAAAACGATTTTGACCGATACCAAAAAAAATCGGCTTCCCCCGCTGACCATCCGGCCACCATACCGGCATGAACAGGGAAAAACGACTGGGCCGACGTCGATTATCACTTTAAAACATACACTGAACACTCAAAACACTAAATCCACACAGTGGAAACCGATATCCAACTTTTGGGGACGAATACAAGGGATTCTATCGGGAGCGAACGGAGGTTAAACCGCCGCGTGCAATGCTCCACCACAGCCCCAGGATACAACTGTTATCGGTACAGTCCGCAATATAAGTTAAACCTTCGACTGACCTCGGTAATGGCCGAGTGTCTGGTCCTTTCCTAAAAAATTGGAAAAAAATGAAACCAAGCGAGAGGAGCCGGATTTTTATGGTATCAGTTAAGAAAAACTTTTGACGACGATTGCATTTACATTAAAATGTAAGATAGCCAAATTGCCTTATGTGGTAACCATGTAAAGCGGTAAAGAAGAAGAAGAGCCCAGATTAATTCCACTTTGCTTTATTTTTCAAACAATATCTTTTAACTCCGGTTAATTAAAAGGACATGATGTTTAGGATAATTGAATTTGAATCCCATGAATTTGTATAATCAAAAAAGAAAGTGGCATCCAGAGAAGTTTGACTAGCGTCGGGATTAAAAAATATCGTCGAAACGTGAATTCACGTGTTCCGTGTGCGAAAACATCCGATAGCTCCCAAACCCGTGCGGTAAAATCCCGGAAATGTCCGCAGTAGCAGTAATTAGGCATTTTGCAGACTGGAGTAGAAAAACAAATTTACTATAAAAATATCTACACTGAACTGTTAAGAAACATGATTCTAATTATCTAAAGTGTACATGGTTGCGAAAAATGCAAAACTTATACTGTTATATGTGTTTTAAATTAACTATTTTATCATGCGTAGTAATCAATCGTAATACTTTCCTTACTGGTTGCTTTGTTACCAGGGTGCCGCACGTGTGTAAATATCTTACGTTATTAAGCAACGTTAGGCATCACCAAGGCGATAACACAAACTAAATTGAAAAAAATCAACCCCCTTGATGATTTGGCATCACCAAGGGGATAACAGAAACTAACCAAAACCAACCAAAATTGAAAAAAATTAATTTTCACGGTATACAAACGAAAAATAGCACATACATCCTCTTTAAACGAGAACAATACAATAACGCTACATAAGAACATGGGTATTAACACACGAGCGTCACCCTGGTAACAAAGCAATTAATAAGGAAAATAGTTTAATTACTAGGCATTATAAAATAGTTCCAACTTAAAACGCGTATCAAAAGAAAAGTTTTGCATTTTCGCAAGCATCCACACTTTAGACGATTAGAATCATGTTTCTTAACAGTTCAGTGTAGGTATTTTTATAATAAATTTGTTTATCACGATTGCGCTAATGTGTAACAGTAACTTATTTTTTAATCCGAAATCTAAAAATCACACTTAAGTTTATTATTTATTCATTTATTTATTCAGCGTTGAAGAAACTTTACTTTTTGGAAACATAGGATATCAATTGTTGCAAGCGATTTTCATTTGTTTGGTTGGGTGAGCCCGAAGAAGTTTGATATTGGTCTGTGACCATTTATTATATAAAATAAATTAATTCTAGTTAAGATGTCCCCTTTTTTTTGGATCATGATAACAATAAATTTAGAGCTATGTATTCGCTCTTAGTGCCTACATTACATGGCAAATGACCGCGCAATCTATTAGTATCTCTGCAGTCTCTCATTGCGCTTGGTGCCCTCCATCTTTTTCTGTTCTACTTCATGTCCAAGAGACCATTTTACATGGAGATGGAGGAATTGATGCCTTTGAGGAATCCAAGCACATCTTTTGCATTAAAATACATCAGTTATTCTTTGCTATTGAACCACCTTAGCAAAGGAATATTCTCGGCCGCCGCCTGTTTTTCAATATAAGTAAGAGGCGGGACCGAGGATAGCTCGGTTGGTATTAGACCTGCCAACTCCACTTGCCGGAGGTTATAGGTTCGATTCCCACCGGGTGCCCTGGGTGTTTGTGCTTGAAAAATTGGTATTGGTAAATTTTCTTCGGCGGATGCCGGAAAATGGGTGAATATGCTAATTTGAGATGAGCCCAATTAATATAATTTAAAAAATAAGAGGCATTCGAGTCTGTAGAACTCTGCTCTCACCTCTTTTGCAGAAATAAACTCAGAGTTGAAGTTCAGGTTCCATATAGGGAAAATATCGTTGGGTTTGACGGTACATGAGGTAATCAGTCATAACATTTTTGCCCCACGCAAGCTCGCCGAATATCTAATCACCTTTGATAATTTCGTTTTTATTTACGATATATTGACCAAACAAGTTCAAGGGATTTGCTATTTGCTATGATCAAGATGAGATGGAGCAGGAAGGAACGATTTTGAATCACTGGCCGACCAATATCTTCTTTTGTATGATGGGCTAAATATGAACTGAAAAGAGACAAAAACTGTGCGCCTATTTTTTTTTACGCAACCAGCGACTAGCTAGCCGAGGAGCGTGCAAATTTCCTTAACACCTAAGAAGCTTAGCTTAAACCGGGTAGGCGTGTATTTCTGAATGTATTTTAAGCAGACAAAAAATTGCTGTTAAAAATGCATGAATTTTTAACATACTCTTAGCTACTAGACATATAGAGGCTCTGCCTATGCCGGCAATACAAAATTTACGAAATTTAAAATTCCGTTTTTAACCATTGCTATTGCTACATTAAATAACCAATGTGGCGGCCCAAATCGTTAATAAGCTTGGATGCTTCATTTTTAAGGTTGTATTTTCTCAAAATATGCGGAGATCTCGTTAAATGTTCTGTGAAAACGCGTTAAGTATGTGGAAATCGCTGTTTAAAAAAATGGCTCAAAGTGGGCAAATATAGAGGCATGCGCGGAAAATCATTCGCCTGCGGCGCAACAATTTTGACCGTAGTGGGGCCACTATATCATCTAAGGTGATACCAATTTGCCAATTGTCTTCGTTTTAATGCTAAGTTTAAATTGCACAAATTTTTCCACCACCAGTAAACAGTAGACCTACACGTATGCGATTATTGAATACAAATGTGTGAGCAAAACGATAAACGAGGAAAACTAATTACTTGCAATAGCTACTGTTCTAATTGTTAAATTATGATTTTGTATCTTAGATTTAAGTTGGCAATGTCTATTTTGTATTCTGTTTCTTTTGGTTGTAGTCTGTGTTTTGTTTGACCAGAAACTGAACAAAACAACAGAACGGATGGTTGCAAAACGAGCCATATAGCAGCATATGTTGTGTGATGTACGAATGGCCTGAAAAAAGAAAGAAGATCTATGAAGCGAGCAACAGAGAGAGCGGGAGAGAAAGAGAGAGCAAACAATTCAAATTTTTGACATGCGTATTACGATAACATGATCCATTTTTGAATTTCAAACATAACCTCCTTTTATTTGTAAAATGTTAGTCTGGGACAGCATCTACTTTAAATGAAAATCATGGCAATTTTGCATTATCGGTTACTACATGTACTATTCATTTTGTCGCTGGTATTCGCTGCATCCGCTTCCAAATTAAATGTGCCACGAGTGTTGCTACCAATTTTTAATGACTTTTCTACTCAATTCGTTTTGGAAGCGACCGAGGGTGGCTGTTATAGATGGTGATACTTTTAATAAGCAATTTTTGACAAAAGAAAGATGCAAATGTAAAAATTGTAGGAGTACTACTCGTGCCGATATTATACAGTTGACGCTAATTGGTGAAAATAAAGAATTAACTTGTTCTACCAAAGTTGTAGTTAGTACTATAACGAGGGAGGCAGCTAGAAATATTGCCGTCGTCCTGGCAGAAGATATTAATACAAAACAAAATTTAAGATGCGACGTTATAGTAGATGTCATTCATTCTTTAGCCATATCAACAACAACCAAAGAACTCTTTATGGAAGAGGCTCCAGAAAACTTTGAAGTCAAAGCCTATGATGATCAAGGTAATTTACATACCATCATTTGCAATACTTAAGGATTAAAAAATATCTAAGTCTGAAAGTATAACCGAATAAACTAGAGTTTAAAACTATAGAAATTATTGTCTATACTCTTTAAGGAAATGAATTTTCTTCGTTGGAGAGTATTGAGTTTGACTGGACCATTATACCACTAGGGCCCAATAAAGATAATGTAATCAGATATATTACCTACAGAGACTCACCTTATGAAACTCCTCCAGCCATAGAAGCCTTGGAAAATCAAAATAAAAAAGGTTATTCAATTTTACTTGAAGGCGTTAAGAGTGGATCCGCAAAGGTAAGTTATTCTCAATAGACTTAAAATACAGAATTACCACTTATTATAAATCCTAAATATGTATAAGTAAGTAATTGAAAGAGTTAATAAAATTTATTACAGTGATTCTGTTTTGATACTGGGTAACACTATCTCGTATTTTATCCAATTTGCCAATTCCAGGAAAATGCGTAATAAAAATTATAATAAAATTGTTAGTAATAATTTAAATTACAACCACTAAAGCGTAATTATGATTTAGTTTCTTATTTTGGCATGTTTTGTTTTTAATTATATTAATTTTTACTTAATATGTATACAGTATTTCAAAATTCAGTATCATGGATTTTTGGGACATATTTTTCCATTATGTGTGTGCAAGTTTGAAGATTTATGGTTTTTCAAATAAATTAAAGTGAATTTGACATATACTTTTTCCCAAAATATATTGCCTTGGTCTGAAGGCAATTACCAAAATAGCATGCTGATGGCAATAGACACCTGACCAGTGGGTATTTTAGGCCAGAACTTCGGAGACTGACTTTTAAGTCGTTTTGAAAATATAAAGAATAAATATATTTTTATTTAGGTATAGAAAATACTATGTCTAGAGTGTGGTTCAAAACAAATACGTGAAACTTAAGGTGATTACTTGTTTAAAATAATGTATAGTAATGTTGGGTCAAAAACCAACCATTAAGGAGATATCCCGCTACAAATACAGTGGAAAAACAAGGTTTTTATTTTTTATCGTAAAAATGAAAATGATACGGAATATAAAATAATAAAATATTGCGGAAATATTACAACTATTTACACATCTTCTGAACTGATGTTTCGCCAATCATCTTATTGGCTTCTTGAGAACTCAACTGACACTGGATGTATTATTGTAAGTCTTACTATTATAAAAACAGACTTTCTGCATTTTTTAAAAAATGGTGGTGAATTGAATTACACTATCCCTATCATTCTTCTTAACCAAATTTAAACAAAAATTTATGCAATGATATAAAATATATATATTTTTTATTTCCAAATAAAAAAATACATTGTCTTATATGTCGAACAAAAATAATTGGGTGCTATCAAACAGTTGTATCTTGTATCAAAATTTATCAATTATCTTCTAGACAATTACATTTTAAAAATAATTAATTTATAAATATTTCTGAAACTGTCTAATCTATTCATAGGTAAACTATGAATAAATACCTTTTTTAAAAACATTTTATTTAAACACTTCAACTCACGAATATACACTTTTTGTAGTAATTGTTGAAAATGCCTGCCTTGAGATATAAGACATGTATTTATGCTTTCAAGGAATTTTCGTTTGCAATTTCTGTAGTACCTCTTGTAATTCACCATTATTGAATTAAAACTTTTATTATTGAACAATTAAATGAATAGATTATAAATTTTCAACTAACTGAGCAATCTCAAATATAGAAATAATAAACGTCTTAAGAAGTGATAGCAGCGCACATTTTTTTTGTCTAATAAATTTTGTATCTTGTAGATTTTATTTTTTTATTTCTAAACGCGAAGTATGTAAATATCCTAAAAAAAACACGAAAAAAATTACAAATATTTTGATCTCACGAACTAATTGTAAGACTGGTAAGGACCCCTAAACTAAAACACGTTTTTGTAAGAAGTATCAAATATCTCATCTAAGACGTATAAACGGACATATAACTCTAGAGAGCAATGCAGTATCCGCTTTCCTGATGACTAATGGGTTATTTACAAAAACCAAAATCATTTGCTTTAGGCAGGGTGATCCAAATCTTCCCGAAAGGTCTTTTTTTCTAAATAAAAATCCTATTGAAGTAGTTAATCATAATCATCTTCTCATTCGTTTTTAAATTAAATGGTAGAATCTTCAGTAATCAAGGCCCAACAGTGCACAGGTGTTGCTCTTAGCATGTTCTATAAATCTAAACTTATCTTGTGAAGAGCCTTAATAGACATTTTCAATAGTACCACTGTCCGTTATTTTTCTAGTAACATTACTGTCTCGGGCTTATGCTCATATGTTTCCTACTTCCTACTTCTTCTGCTCTCTTGTGATTTAACCAACTAGGAAATTAGCTCAACTTAGACTAACGAATAATTATTTCACAAAAGTTATATAAGGTTTGTAGTATAAACTTAACCATACTGAACTTATGTATGTAATCCCCAAGACAATGAAACTCTATTCCACATACTGTTTACATGCCTTCTTTATAGGGAGGTTATAACTCTTCTGTTTAAAACTGTGTTGTTTTTTGTGGAACAACTGGATAATCTTACAACTAGATCCGGGATAGATATCTAAAACTTATTAATTAAATTAATGAATAACGTTTTTTTACCTTATCAGGGAAAATATTTCACAAATCATTGTTTCCGTGAGAATTGACTGTAGCTTTTCGTACGTATTAGATCAGATCCTTGTTATAGGAATAATTGTATTTTCTTATAAACATTAAATAACAATAAAAGCAAAATGTGAGATCGACAAATTACTGTAGGTGGCAGTGCGGTTGCCTTATCCCGAATACAAACACGTTGCGGCGAACGAGGTGCAACTGATGATCGTAGCCAACCTGCTAATATCTCCTGCGGAGGTTTATGTCATGCCCGGTGATGTCGTGTCCTTTAAAATATTTTTTGTAAGTGATTAACTCAATTTTCTTATGCAAAATGGCTTTTGACTACTTAAAAAAATTGGTCTGTTGTCATTTTGTTAACTTGAATTAACAAAAATGAAACAAACATCTATATAAATATGTTGGTTCACCCTTTATAAAAAATTGATTTCATGTTTCGTATTTAAAAGGCCATTCGATAAGCAAAATTATCCCAAACAATTTTATCTAAAAAGTAAGGTTTTTATTTATAATGGAATATTGTTAAAATTAAAGGAAAATTATCAAAATTCAAATAGTCAAGGACTACAACATACTAAAGTTTGTAAAAAATTGGCCAAAAATGGATTTCATGTTTCATATTTAAAAAGCCATACGATAAGCAAAATTCTCCGAAACAATTTTATCTAAAAAGTGAGGTTTTTGTTTATAATCGAATATTGTTAAAATTAGAGGAAAATTAGTAAAATTCAAATAGTCAAGGACGACAACTTACTGAAGTTTGTAAAAAATTGGCCAAAAATGGATTTCATGTTTCAAATTCTCCCAAACAATTTTATCTAAAAAGTAAGGTTTTTATTTATAATGGAATATTGTTAAAATTAAAGGAAAATTATTAAAATTCAAATAGTCAAGGACTACAACATACTAAATTTTGTAAAAAATTGGCCAAATGTCATTTTGTATACGAAGAAAGAAAAGTGAGGGGTCCTGTATAAATTAATTAAATATATTTTTAGTTGAACGGCGGTAGAATGGAAGAAATAACATTACCGGACTCGCAGTACTACATAGAAGCTGAAGATTCGGAGATTGCTTCATCTGTAAAGAACACCGGGAGCGTGACCGCCTTGCAAGAAGGAAAAACTAGGATCGTCTTAAGGGATCGAAATATCGGTAAAGATGATCCAATGTTGAAACTCCCCGCGGCCACGATTCACGTGTCCGCACCTGAATACATCCTGTTAAATATTTTACCCCACAAAAATTGGGCCGTTTTGATTGAACAGCGACACGATATCATCGCGGAGGTGTATTCGAGTACGGACCACAAGCTTTATCTAGGAGAGGCGGTTCAGGTATTTATTGAGGTTACACCGGAGTTTCACGTTCTCGACCGGACAGCAAACGGTACATGGATATCCGGCTATGGCGTCAAATCTGGCGTGGCGAGGATTCAAGCTTCTTTGGAAGGCGTTTTGAAAGGGAAAGAACTCGTTAAAGTGTGGAACCGAATTATAGCCAGGACCGACTTGATGATATATCCTCAGATAACTATCGAACCGTCGGAAGTTATTTTACCATGGGATCCCACAACCCGGCCGAAATACGATATAGATTTAGTTGCCAAAGGCGGGGATGGGAGATTTTTATGGAGCAGCAGTGACAATTCAGTGGGCATTGTTAGCCAATCCGGGCACGTCCGTACGCTTTCGAATGGGTTTTTCGAAGTGTCTGCAGTAATGATGAGAAATCACGACAACCGACAGTCTGCAAAAGTTATTATACTACCCCCATCTCGTCTCGAGATTGTCGAGTTTGTAATGGAAGCGGAAGTTGGGTCACCAGTCTACCTTCATATCGCCCTTTACGCAGAAACGTCACTTCCAGATGGAAAAACAATCATGGTACCTTTTACTAGGTGCCAAGAACTTCCATTTCAAGTAAAGCAATCGGACGTTAAGTTTAAGCACAACAAAACGGCGGTGTTGGCCCCCATCGGAATATCTTGCGGGAATATCGCCATGGTCGGTTTAAATGTTGGAACTAGCAAAGTAACCGTGTCGTATTACCAAGACGGGACAGTGCTGGAAGATTCGGTTACCATAAGCGCATTCCGACCTCTGCAGTTGCTACAACCGAGACGAGATATTGTGCTAGCTGTAGGGTCCTCTATAAATGTGGTCTATACCGGGGGACCTAGACCGATCATCGGTCGATCAAGTGAACACCAACGGGTCATCGTGAGTGAAAATGAAAGCATAGTTCAAGCTCAGGACAACACTCCATTGCATTCAATTCCTGGGGAGGACTTTACCGTTGTGCAGGTTCTATGCCGAAAAATCGGAGAAACCGATATAAAATTGATGATCTCCAACACGCCCAGTTCTGCCAACTGTCAAACCCGAACGAGTACTCTGACGACTAGAGTGGTGTGCGGCAAACCTAGAAAAATAACCCTGCAACCTCAGCTAAAAATAGCAGATACTTCGGCTTGTCCCATGGACTTGGGATCTGGCAACGTCATAGTTCAATGCACGAAAGTTATCGACGTCGACGTTGTACTCTTTGACGAATCAGGCAACAGATTCTTAAACTTTACGAGTCTCAACTTGCACTGGGCCGTCTATCCTTTCGATTCGGGGATATTGCTGAGCAAGGACAGCATTTTTCCCAAAAATATCACTTTGGGGACGGTCATGGTTGCCGATAAAAGTTTTCAGTCTTTTATGCCTTATATCGATGTAGGTCAAATAACGATTAACGTCACCGCTCTGGGTTATATAAAGTCGATATTAAATAAGAATCTTATAACGGCAGAGTGGCCGGAATTTTCGAGCGAAGAAGATCGAAATTCCGACCCTCCGGCCATCACTGCTTCGCTTTCGCTATTCCTCGTGGAAAACACGGAATTGTCTTCGAAATCCTTGACCATATTTAATCATCCCGGAAACAAAAAAACTATTCCCGTACTTCAGGGTTCTGGATTTTTCGAGTTGGCTTTAAGTGCTGATGACATTGTTGATGTAAGATATGTAGAAGGCACGAAGGAGTTGGAAATCACTCCGTTGAAGTCCGGCGAAGTTCTGGTGCAGCTTCTTGACCTTTGTCTCGTATCTAAACCGGCAACGTTAACGGTAAATGTCATTTCGATTGGCATCATTAGGATTGATATGCCTGACAAAGTCGAGATCGGTAAATGCATTCCTTGTATCGTAAGGCTGTACGATGAAAACGATAATTTAATGGACATTCCCGATTTGGGAATGATAGATTTGAGGCCCGAATTTGAAGAGAAAATTGCCAACATTGAGAGAGCCAAGGAAGACCCCAAAGAACCTTGGGGTAATGGTGAAATTCATTACATCGTGACAGGTTCGTATTTTTTGGCCACAAAAGGCGCAACAATTTTTGTTCCATTAAAATTACCTTTGTTACTCAAAAAATTACGCTAAAAAAATTGAAAAACTGACTCAGCCATCGAATTTTTTTACAAACTGTGGCACTCAGTAGAATTTTATAATTTTCCTTTACGTTTTGTTCTGTTCAGACATTTTACTTGAATGGTGAGGAAAAGGCAAAGCACCTGTCCTGCAGATTTTTTTTCTTCTGTTGCAACCTATTGCGACCTCTATGAATTCGTTATAAAATTCAGCTCATAATTATAATTTTTGTAATTACATCGTTGAAAACATTTAATTTTTACTTATAGTTCGAAGAGTTATACAAAATTTGGCGACATTCTTGGAGTAAACTTGTTATAAAATTTTGGACGCTTGCTTGAGAAATGTTTTTCTATTATAAGAGAACAGCACACTCTAGCAATTGCTAACTAATTGGGGCAGGGTTTTATTGATGTTGTATATTGCATTTAAATAATTGAAGACAGTCCTTGTAACGTGCGGCCTTGCGTTTTCTTGCAAGAAAAATAAAATATTATATAATAAATAATGCAAACGGCATTACGTGATCTTAAATCAGGTGCATGGCACCAAATGGCTCCTTTGGAGAGATAATACAATCATAAAATCTTAATCCGTGATTTCCAGCAAGTACCGGTGCAGTGGCAGGCTTTTTACTAGCCAATGCGACTTCTTTTAATCTTCTCCTGATAGTTAAGGGAGCAATGCAAGGGAGCAAATGACATTTTTGGCGGGTTCGAATTGATTACTAGAGATATAGGTGGCCCTGCCTATGCTAATAATACAAGAACTCATGGAGCAACTATGAAAAAAATTTTGAGGTCTACTCAATGTGCCTATTCGCGAGATTTAAAATTTCGTTTTTAATCAATGACCTTGCGACATTCAACAACCAACATGGTTGTTGAGAAATCATCAATATGTTTGGATGCGGCATTTTATTGCAGTATATTCTCAAAATATGCCTAGATCTCGTTAAATGTTTTGTGAGAACGAGTTAAGTCTGTGAAATTCGCTGTTTAGGAAGAAAATGGCGTGAAGTGCAGGTTAGTGGATGAAATGCGTGCTCTACGAAAATATCAACGCCGCCTGCGACACAATTTTACCGTGGTAGAGTTACTATATTATCTAGTAGCTGTATGGTAATACCTGTAGTTTAAGGAAGTGTTCATCAATTTGACTTGTAGTCCTTCTCCTGCACTGACAGTGTTGGTGTGTTCCGGTTTCCCTAAATCTAACCATTCGACTAATCGTTGAATTATTAACACCTAGTAAATTGATCGCATAACCTCTTCTGACAACACTCAAACAGCAATTTCAAATAATACACTTATCAAACTGAAAAAATGAATGGAGTACTTAGCTTTTTAACTTAATTAAATGACACGGTTATAAAAACGGTATAAAATTAACAAAAACAACCAGTTGACCTAAGCCAACTAATTGTTAAAAAGGACAAGATTTCTAACAGTAAATGCTAATATTTGGGGAATATCTGCTTGCCTTAATTTTGAGCAGGAGTTTAATTGTACTAGCTGATATAAAATCATATAGCTATTAGATAATACAGTGGTCGTAGTGCGGTAAAAATTTGATATTTTCATAGAGATGGGAATGATCTTCCGCGCATGCCCCTAAATTCAACCCGCTAACCTGCATTTTGCGCAATTTTCAGAAAGCAATGTCGTAAAAGGCTAAACTGAAACCTATCGAATTGTCGCATCAATATTCATTTTCATTATCTCTTGAAAAATTCATCATCGTATTTTAGGGGTGGACGTGGGAGACACAAAACTAATATTCATCGTGTCTGGTAATGACGAAGACGTTAACAGTGCACCTATGGATCTGCAAGTTTTCCAACCATTGAAATTGCATCCTCGCAATGGTACAATTTTAATTGGATCATCGGTTCAATTAATCATAAGAGGAGGACCTCAACCAGATACAAATATACAGTTCTTGGCGGTCAATAACAAAACCGCCATTGCTTCGGACAAAGGCATTGTCACGGGCCGATCAATTGGTACCACAAAAATTAAAGCATGGAGTGTCGGGATACATCCATCTACAGGTCAGAATATTGTGTACTCTGAAGTAAGAACGATATATTTTAGATGCGTACGTTACTGCATTAAATTTTGTTGCTCTAGGATACTGTCGAAATTACGGTAGTAGCTCTGCAGGGAGTTAAAATAGCTGCCCCTCTGTTGAGATTTAGAGTTGGCGCCACCGTCCCATTTTGGTGTTTCGGAGTACCAGATATTTCACCGGTAGTCTTGGGCACAGCAATTGATCCGTCTCTTGTGTTTAGGTGGAGGGTAGATGATAAACTTTTGGCTGATTTGACTGGTATATTTTACCCATTAGGTAAGAATTCTTTTCAAAACAACTGAAATGTGAGGTTATGATTATATATCTGACACTTGACATTTGTGCACTAGTACTTTTCAATTAGTTTTTTGCTTACTTATAAAATAGTAAGGATTTTAAAATTACCTGAAATTGCTGTAAGAGACCTAGATAAGTTATATAAAAGTTTCCAATAGATTTAATAGTATTTTAAAGTTCATGTAAAACTACAACTTTTTAGAAACCGAATGTGATTAACACGCATCCTTTCGTATGGCGGCTATTGTTATGTTTTTTCGAATTGAAATAAATACTTTCATAAAAAAGTTAGCATTTAAAGCAACAGTCCTGAAAAATGTTTCTTTTAAAATATGCAATTAAAAAATCATCTCCATTTTAATCGCAAAAAAAATTATTGATTGATAATTGAGTGATTAATTATTTTACCTTTCTCGTTTTTACCAAAATTAGGTTTTAAAATGCTTTAAACGAGTGCGAATTTTGGGAGCGGTAAAATATTAAATTATTGCATAACTTTTTTGTGCCAAAGAAAATTAAAGTCGCCATGGGATTTCTTTTTGAGTTGTTATAATATTTGTTAATACATTTTCATAATAATGCCCGTTACACTTATAATAATCTCAATTTAAGTGCTGTAACGGTTTTATAAGAGTAACGAAAATGTTTCGCGAAGAAATGTTAGTTTCTTTGGTTTTATAAAATAGGTAATCGAAATATAACCGTTACCATTATAAAACAAAAAATGTTAGATGGGTTATCTTCTTTTGCTTACTAGATCAATAAAATAGCATTATGAAATAGAAAATTAGACCTATGTGAACATAAAATTGTTGTCTCCCATAATTTTATTTGTTTGTTTGGTAGTGTTATCCATATATTTATCTTAATTATTTGATTATTAGGTATAGATATAGGACGACCTGACAGAGTAGTTCTAAAACTAACGGGCTTGCAAGCCGGTTCTACCAGAGTATTTGTAAATGTAACGACACCGGGCATAGTAGCAAACGTAGCTAGTATGAGTACCATTATGTACTCAGCATTTGTGGATATCGAAATTGTCGATGAGTTTCACCTTAATAGACCGGTAAATATTCAGGGGTCATCATTGCTAATGGCGCCATTTTCTCAACTGCAGCTCGAGACTAACATGGACTCCATTACTAAAATTGTTTATGCGTAAGTAGACGGGTTATATATTTTTTTTGTTTACAGCAAGTAGGTATTCCATCGCTCGGGCGAGACATTTAAACTACTTGAACTTACCTTTGTTAAACTAAGACAAATTAAAATGGACCTAGTAGTCAAAAAATATTTTCTGAAAAAAAAAAAACTTGCAACGAAATAACTTTTTGTCATTCAATAATCAACTAAGGGCCCAACAAGAACTAAAAACACAATAAAGAATTAAATTTTGGGAAGTATTTCCACTTTACAGATTGTTAATGTCTAGTTACTACTAATTTACCCAATAAAACTCAAATTTATATTTAAGGGTGCCAAATGATATTTAAAATTAAAATATTAAAAAATAAAAAAAAATTCTTTTACAATATCCTCGAAGGGCACCAAATTACCACGCATAATAAATATTTCGCAAATTTAACAAACCAAATTTAACATTCATGAGAACAGTTACGTCCCCCGGTGGGTATTATTTGAGAAACTGTAAAATAATTTACAGCATTTTCTGTTCCTTGCCTAGTTGCCCCTAATGGAAACCCGGTTTCCAGAGTTCGAAGGGCGGCTATCGCGCTCTGTCGTAAATAAGATATAAATATTGGCACAACAAAAAAAGATTGCCTAAAATACAACACCCACCTGGAATGTCGGTGTAGCATAATTTGCAAAAAAAAGGAGCGGCAGTGGGGTGGGGGCGTTCAGTCTGTTCCCGGAGCACGCAAACATTAATTCGCCATTAGCCATAATTGAATTATAGCAAACATATATGGGAGTATAGAAGAGATATATAGAGGTATAATTTGAAATATATGGACTTGTCCGGCCCCAGCGACGCAATCCCTACCACAGTGTGTACATGATTTTCGTTATCTTAAGATTCAAAAACAAAAACAACACTTTCAGTTTACCTAATAATCAAGGACCGTCCACTGAATTATTAGCCGACAACTCTGTTTATCAATCGGAAAAGCAAATAGTGAGCCTTAGTTCGACGGGCCTGCTAAAATCTTTTGGAATCTTCGGTCATGCCCTGTTGATTATTACATCGATTGATGAACACGGTTTGAAACAGTATATTAATATTGTGGTCGAAGTAAGCACATTTTGACTATTTTCTCATTTTGCCGTTTTAATTTTCTAATTTTTTTTAGGTTAAGCCTATTCAATATATGAACTTGAATATACACGCCTATTGGCGGATAAGTTTTAATAATCTAATCACTACTATACCTTTGGGTACCGATTTTATGTTAGTTGCCTCATATCATGACAATATTGGAAACACTTTTCATGCTGGTCCTACCGATTTGAAAATCAGAACAAGCAGGTAAGGAGCAAATGACACACAGTTTATCAATGTTGCCTATGATTTTTGTTAGGTGTGATTTGATGAAGGTAACCCAATTTCCGGAAAACGGCTCTATTTGGATAAGTACAAAAAAGCCGGGACATACCATGCTGAAGGTGTGGGCTGACGGAATACAACAAACCACTGACTATTTGAAAATTAATGTCGAACAATCTGTGAAACCCTTATTGGTAAGAGTTATGTATTATCCGCAGTTTTTTTTAAAAGCCGTAAACAATTGATGGTAAATTATTTTGAATAACTGCGGGGTACCTCAAGGTTCCGTGCTGGAGCCATTCTGATACTCAATAATTGTACTACTATTTACAAACCTTCTGAATTCGTCCTGCGTCGGTTGTTGATGAATTGAACTGGCTGATTTGTTGCCCATTACCTTGTCAGACCTAACACTTTATATGCATTGTCACATCACACGAACACTCATTTTGCTAACAAAATTATCACCATTGGAATGTACTATTCAATAGTGTAACTTGGCATAATAATCAGATTTTAAAGACCTCACTAAAATAAAATGGTCGTCACAGACTGCTCGAACATACCCGCACCAAATGAACACCCCTTGATAATAAGCTATTATTGCTCGTCCCAAGTAATACTGCCTTAACGTCCTCTTTCTTTTCTTCTTCTTTTTCCATTGCTTTTAATGTCTCTGGGTACAGTTTTTGCGGAAAAGGTTTCGCCAATTAACGTTTTTGCTTTATGTCTGTAATAGATACCCAATAATTATAAAAGTTACTATTTACAATTCTTAATTTCCTGTAGGATCATTTGACATCGGGCGATACTATATGCCTTTGGACGCCAGTTATATCTCAATATAATCTGCCCGGGAGTTGGAAAAGCAGTGATGGTGGATTAATGGACATCAACCCGGCTCTAGACATCGGTTTCGTCGGAAATAAAGTCGGCACCGTGACGCTAGTACACTCGCTCTTACCATCCGCTCCGATACACATACCCGTGTATCCTGTCAAAGTGATAGAGTTCTTGACCAAAGATAATATTGTACTTACCAATGGTGAAAGGGATTCCGTTAGCAGATTTATTTTGGTTCTGCAAAGCGAGAAAAGCGTGGGAGTTAAAACGAACAATTTGGTAAGTTGATTACAACAGAGATTTGGTGCCTGCGATTTTTCAACTATTCCAGGGGTAACTTTTGGTGCGGAAACCAAAAAACCTTCAGATTTGGTCTACCAAGTCTAGTTTTTGAGATGGGGTAAATTTATCATTTTATATATTTAATTTGTTTATACATATTTTACGTGATAACTGTTATATCACCATTGTCAGTTAAAAACAAAAACGCTTCCTCTGAAGCGTGACTTTGACATCGGTCTTGATAACGATCTTCCATAGCTTTAATGCCCCGATAGAATCTTTCCCCTTGTTCTTCACTATAACCACTTAAATTTTCTGTGTAAATAGCTGCTTTATGATTACCAAGAAATTTTTGATCTAGACCTTATTTGAGGGCCACCAAATATACCAACTTTTAGCTTTTTTAATTCCGTCATACTTACGTGACAAGTACCCGAAACAGTTTCCCTCTCGATTTAAAGCCTTTACAAATTGCTTCATTAGCTGCAGCCTGATATGCAAGGGCGGAAAGTAAGATTTTTCCTGTCCAAACCAAAGGTTTGTTGATTGCGTTTTCATGACCTCTTGAAATCCAATTTTTGTTAACCCCAGTGCAGGCAGGCAGAAAAAGAAGGATATTATGTATAGCCACTCTGCTATTGATTTAATTTTTACTTATTTTTTTTGAAAACTAATGCAATTGTTTCATATTTGTAGTAGAATGACGAACCTGTATCTTAAAAGTATACATTTTAAACTACGTTTTGAACTGTTAATAAAAAGGCGCTAATCGTCTGGAGTGTATTCAGGAAAATCAAGTCTTCTATGTTGTTACAGAATATCTATAGAGCGAAAAGACGCAGCATATTGTTGCCTAGATAAAGAAGAATCTTTTTTAATCAGGATGCAAGTAATTTAGCAGAATCCCTCTTAGTCAGTCCAGTTCTTCTTGATCTAAACACTGCGGAGTCGTTAAATCTTTTTCAGATTCACTATTGTTTTGTGGTTGAATTCTTCTGAAAAATGAAACTGGTAGTCCTTTCAAATGCACCACAGACCTTTTTGCAAAATCTAGATCAGTATATGTCCAGTTGTCCGTATTCTTTCTATTTGTGTCTTTAATATTGACGTTATGATGGTTTTACAGTTCTCTCTAAACTATCAGTACACTAAACTTTAATCAACTCTCTTAGAGTCTTTCCAATTGTCAGCGTCACAATAATGGAACACGTTTTACATATGAAGTGTGCGGCCAAGTGAACCTCAATAGATAAGATAATTAAAAAAAAGTCAGCACACATAACAAAAAGCATCGCGATGATTTATTACAAGTAAATTACAGGTTTGGCTGGTACAAAAGTAAAAAGTAAAAACCTATCTTACAAGTTCATCTTACAAGTCAAGACAAAATTTTTTTATGGATGCTATGTTATGCTTGCTTGAATTTTATTTCTAAACCTGCCCTCAGTAGTGAAAAAGTCCAAATGCTCATTCTCATTGGCCAGCCGGACCGCCCTTGCGGAGAATTAATTACATCCATAGTTGGTCCTGTGATACGGTATGCCTGCCTATGGATATCATTGTTTTCTTCTAATATTTAGTACCACCACAATACAACCAAAATTTTAATATGCTTATAATATACTAAATTGAGTACAACCAAGATACTATGTTCCTAATATTAATTTTAGTGGGGGTTAAACGGGTATAGAAGGATCTGGTCATAGGCATAGGAATAAAAATAAGTAATAAAGCAATTAAGAGCTATGGATTAATAGGGAGGTTGGGGACAATTCCATTTGTCTAATTAGAATCTTTATCTTAAAATAAATAATAGAATATCATTAGAATTTAATCGACCCACCTTCCTTTGGTTTGTGGATATGAATAAGGCATTTATCCAATATGTCTCACAGATGCCATCAAAATCTTAAAAGAGAAAAATATGAATTACCATATGTTAAAATTAATAATGGAACGGAAGTAAAGCAACACTGAACTAACTTAAGAGTAGAACAATTACTACCTAAAGAACTAAATATAAATAGAGGAATCACAGAAGAGCATTCCATCAGTCCATTCATTTTTAGTGTAATATTATAAAACATTAGGGTCGCAGATTCAGACGACAATCTCCAACGACTGTTTCACCTTTTCACTCAAGAAGCTAAGCAAGCTAAACATGATATAAACAATATATGAGTCGGAAGAAGAACCCGAGGAACACCGCCAAGGAGGCATATATTTATTTCTTCATTTTTGTCCTTTGTCAGAACTAATATCAATTAACCTGTATCTCAAAAATCAGAGCTGACTGAAAAAATCCGGTGGTATTTTTGGAATCCGCACATTAAAACATAAAATCCGTTGTTGCGTTTCCGGCGTCTTTTTTCCATTTTTTACCCTATGTTATCATTTATCATTTCAATTCGTTATCTATCATACTAGATACAAGGCTGGAGATGTCGCCAGGATATCAGAAAAATGGTGCGTCCCCAAGGTTTTAAATGTTTTATGGAGTTTTCAAATAAATCGGCAAGTATAGCGCCTCACGATTTATTTGCCTTGTCAAACAGTTGGGTCCCTGAAACAGGTTAGTCGTTCGAGCAATTCAAGCATATTTTTATGTTAACTATTGGGGATTTTAGGTCAATATGCGTGTAAGATAATCAATTTAAACGTAAACAATACCAAAGTTGCGTTATTGAATACGAATTTGTCACTTTGGGTTACGACGGAGGATGAGACCGTTGAATCGGAAAAGCTCAATATCAAGTTTTTACCGGGAGTACATGTTGAAAAATATATGAGCTTAGAAGATAGCAGCAATACCGGCGAAATGGTAGTCAAAGGACTTCCCGAAGTGTTGGGGCAAATATCTGTAAGTTGTTAAGAATTTTAACTTGAATGGCAAATCAAGAAGCCCAGAGGCCAAAAATACAAAATTCCTTGGAGTTATTATGGACTCCTCACTTAGTTGACAAGATGACCTAAACTCTCTGTGGGCAAGCCTAAAAAAATGTTTGCGCCCTGATTCTCAGGTATACAGAGCATCAGAACGATCTATTGGGTGTTTGTCAAGTTGTCAATTGTTCTGGTGTTCTTCCAAGCATACAATCAACGCTTTCAAGGCACAGCAAAAAATTATTAGGTGCGTTCTCAAGCTTCATCTTAGGACTTGCTGCAACTAGTATTTTGACACTATTTGCATTGTTACTGTTCCTTCTCTATATTATCCGTTGCTGGTTATGTCCATAACGACAAATCCTAATTTCTTTAACAACAACAGGGCTGGACCCAGTTCCCAGCTTATTGGGCGGCATAGTTAGAATTGAGATCCTATACTTACTGCACAAATGATTTTACTCTTAACTTTGAATTTTAATGGTATACATCTTGTCCAAAAGAAATTTGCTATTTTATTGTGGAATCTTCTCCTATCAGGTTAGTTTTTTAATTGTTGGTAATCATGTAAATGTTTAATTACGTTAGGTCATTGACTATAATTTTGTTGGAAATCAAGGATATTATTATTATAAATCGTGGGAATATTATTCTACAGGTGCTTCCCGCAGACAGTAGTATTTTGTATGTCAGCGAAACCAAGTCATCAGATGATTATTCGAAAAAGTTCAAAATTCAATTAATCGATTACCATTGGAGATTGGCAAATATGGAAGATGCCATGGGAATAATTGTTCTGTCGCCGATCACCAAGCAGCACGAGAAGGTCGGCCTAAATTGCGTTTTGATTTCAGTGTTTAGATTTCACCTTTCAGGTCTTGGTGAGGGTGACAACCGATTCGACTGGTCAAATGTGCGGAGTCGTTCGCTCACCGATTTTGAGTTTCATGCGAAATTACAAGTACGCCCTGGTTATGGCGGTCGTCATGATTGTCGTATTCTTGATGACATTTTACTGTAAGTATAATAAGTTGCTACTTTATTATCGGTTATTCATGTAATGTCTTTCGATAAAAAATTAGGCTTTTAATCGGAACGCTGTATGTGACAGTTACGACATTGTGTCTTTTTTTTTTGTTTTTTTTTTTATTTACATTGACTAACATACCAAAAGTTACACTCAATGAGAGTGTTATCAAGATAGTAAATTTATAGTGAATCAAATTGTTCAACACTCAACTAAATGAATACGTAAACTTATTTCAAATAACCTTAGAATAAACTGTAGAAATGGTGAACGATCAAATTGTCTACAAAATTAAAAATAATAAATCTAAAAAATAACAGGTTATACAGTCCACAGACGGGTAAGGTTGTCAAATTATTTTCGGGTAACAACAACTCTATGTATTATTTTAAGTGTTGACAATGTCCCAATTTTGTAGTATCAAGTATTGTTTAATGAATTTACAGGAATGAAGTTCTACATTGTTTTTGTCGCCGAGTTATACAATATATCTCAATAAGTTGGAACCATAAGGGGCAACTTTTAATATTAATTTTCTGAAAAAAAACATTTTTCAAAGAAACTTCCACAGGCTACTCTATAATGCTTTTTACAAAACTTCTGGATTCCTCTTGCGTCGGTTTTTGCTTAGTCGAAATTGCTGACGTTTCGCCAATAAAGCCAAGTCAAGCTCTGAAGAAGCCAACAGGATGATTGACGAAACGTCAGCAATTTCAACTAAGCAAAAACCGACGCAGGAGGAATCCAGAAGTTTTGTAAAAAGGAAAAAAACATATTCTTCATAGAAAGTTATAAATGTTTGTGGATCTGAAATCCCTTCATCAGATATCCATTATTTCCAGTAGTATACAAGGTTCGAAAAATATTATTTATTTATTTAATAAGGTCTTTGTTCACCATAAATTACAAAGAGAGAAAAAAAGAAACAATGGGCAATATAACAATTGCATTACATGGTGGAAAGGTGAAGCGTCGCCCTAATGGACGTTTTTAGACTTTACCTAACTGGAGCGACAATAATTTATACTAAATCATATCGATAATCCTAAAGAAAAACAACATTGTTATATAATTATTGAATGTTACTCTCAGGTAACAACTGATTATTGAGTCTCTTTTTAAAAGTTTTCATTGTGTGGTTACGATAGTCCACTGACAATTTATTGTAAAGACTGCATAGGTGTGGCGCGGGATTATCATTAGCCTACTGTTGCGGGTATGATAAGAACTGACGTTCTCAATTCGGGCCAATTTTTGGTCTAAACATGTTGGGTTGAGTTTTAATCTACCCGACTCGACAATTTTGTGACTGATCCTATCGAACTTCGTGATACCGTATGATAAACGATAGCAAGAGTTCTGAATCTTCTGTAGCCTGTCGCAATCCCTCAGCAACTGTGCCGGTCCATTCACAGAATCGCAGTAGAACACTCTAGAGAGAATTAAACTCACAAAAACGCGGCTCCGTTGGCATAATATGCATATTCGGGTAGAGTAGTTAAAATATGCAATATGATGTTTGACATATGTAATTCATATGTTTGGTAAAGCGCAACTCTTTGTCAAGCCACAACCCCAAGTTCCTGACCTAGGAAGGATCTCATCCCTAATCGTAAGTTTTACGGTATTCTTTGCAGTCTCCCCTGCCTTCGGTCCAAAGAACATGAGCAACGATTTAGACGCATTAAGGTTAAGATTATGCGGTGAAACAACTATGACAATCGAAGTCAGGTGCTTATTTATTTTTTGATTAGCAGATTGACTTTCTGAAACGTGATATGACAAATAAATCAGGTGAAGGTTTCAACGTATATGTGGAAGTCAGCGATATAAATGGAAAATAGTAGGGACTCGAGTATAGGCCCTGAGGAATTTTACTCAAAAATAAAGTACTTTAAAATTTTACAATATCGCAAAATGTTATTAAACAAGAACTAAAACCTGCGTTCAAGTACTGAATTACATTCATTTTTTAAAGTTCTGGGTATAATAACAATTCAAATTTTACTGTAGTTAGGTGTAATCAAGGATGCACTACTGACTGCGTTCAAGTAGGCAATTACATTCATTTTTGAAACGTACTTCTACGTATAATAACAATGCAAATTTTACTTTAGTTAGGTGTAATCAAGAATTGCACTTCTGACTAGCTCATAGGAAACTGACGAATGTTTGATAACCGCCAAAAGCCGTTATAATTTTATGCATTATGTAATTCAATAGTGAAGAGAAAATGGAATTCGTCTTGATTGTGGGAGAGAAGCCTTAATTATTTATAATAATAGACATGGCAATAAACAACTGTTACGAAAATGAATTCAAGAATACTGGAAGTATTAAGAATAAGTTTGATGTACAACGCCGAGAATTTGTTGCCTTATCATCGGCATACAGTTTGAAGTAATGCGGGTGATGCAAAAAAATGTAAGGAAAGATACAGATACAGATAAAGACACGAATTTCAAAACTTCATAAATATAAAGAATAGTTCGTATTTTGAAAGAAAGAGACGATGATAAGCGCTTTGATTGACATATTATTTATTCTGAGGCAACATTCTCGTCTAGTGGAACTGTTGCGTCACAATTTTGTTGTAGTCTCATAACCATTATTCCTTTAAGATTAACGTGACAGTTATAAAAACTCACACTTACAACTCCATAGATGTCACGGTAATAATGAATAATTAATAAATTATTAAAATTTCTCGGTATTGTCACATTTAAAGGTACTTAAAAAGTTGATAATATCCCATGACTGTATTTTAGATTTTAGAATGTGCAGAACTTTTCATGAACAATAAGTTTTTTTCTTAAAATTAATAATCCCATATGGTTCCACCTTAAGATTTTGTTGGATTGTGTTCGCCAGCTTTTGTGATTGCGGCCACAAACAAACAATACTTCAATGTGTCCAACTTTAACAATCCCTTCTCCTAACTTTGTTTTTATTTTTAGTTTATTCGAATTACATGCAGCCCATAGTCAATGTGAATGTTAGTCCCGGCCGCACGGTGCTAGGACCGTCCCCATCTCCTGGTTTTCCAAGAAACGCGATCAATGTATCGCCCTCGTTGAATCGCACGTCGCCCAACGTCTCTCCGGGGTCGTGTAAATTTAATTGCACGTGCGCGAGACACGCGTCACGTGACCCGATCTACGGAGACGCGAGCACATTTTACAACAGCTCGCCGGAGATCAGGCGAAATCGGAAGTACATGTGAGATGTAAATAAACTTAAATTAATTTTTTCAAGAGAACTGCCATTTAATTTAGAAGATGTCTCAGGTATCGCCTTCTGTTCGATGTGTACTAAATAAACATTTTTGTTACTTTTTTTTTTTCTATACCGCGTCAGAAAGCTCAGATCTATTAGGGAATCGGTAAGCGTCGCACACTGGTATATTAATAATATACACACACAGGTTTACAGTGATTTTGATGTTTGAAATCATTTTTTTAGAGCGCTCTGTATCTTATAAATGTTATTTATTCGATGTTAGGCAGGTTTTTTAAAAGAACCGATTTTTATGAAATTAAATGTCATTTGGTGGATAATATTAGATTTCTCTGCAAAGCAACAGAGTTGGCGCAAAAGCGGCAGTGTTACTGTGTTCGCGGCTGTTGTGTTCATTGTTGCATATGTCTAGTGTTCTAGAACGTATAAATATGGAAAGACATTCTACTATGTACTAAAAAGCTTAGTTGACCCCGAAAAAATTTTACTGCCTCCTCTTCACATGGCGTGATTAAGCTTCTTAAAGCCCTAGACAAAAATGTCTGTTTCAAAGTGTTTCAAATATTTGTGCAAGAAATTTCCAGCCATATCTGATGCCAATATAAAAGAAGGCATTTTTGTTGGGCCGCAGCAAGACAAGAATTTTGAAAACACAATGACCAATGTCGAGAAAAAGGCAGATGGAGCATAACAATGATGGCGAGTTACTGCTAGATATTAAAACGGGATATGCCCTTAAACACACAGTCGAATGTCCGGACAACGCAGCTTTCTGGCAAAAAGACGATTCCACTTCTTTACTGAATAAAAAAATAAATTATTTTAGAAATATCGTCTTTTTTTTCCTTTAATATTTGCAAAAAACCTTACGTTTCAGTTATCAAAATAAAAAGACCTGTGTAATAAGTCGTAATAATATTTGTTTACTCTTCGTCATTAAGAATTTGTTATATATGACTCAATGCAAATCTGAAATCGATTCTTAATTTGTATGTGTAAATACTTAATTTATATTTGATATGGTGCCCCTTCGACATATCAACTCTGTCTCGATTTAAAATAGACGATCAACTTGCAGGTGTAAAACTTTTATATTATTTTCTTCGAAGCGATCTTTATGAGTGATAGTTTTGGATAGTTTTTAATTTATTACTAGTTAAATTTAATATTCAGGGAAAAAAGTATGATTTTAACAGAGTAGTTTTCCTGAATTCAGCTAATTTTCTATATACTTATTCATCATTAAACATCTAGTTTTATGGAGATAAAATTGGCAGCAATTTTGAAAATTTACAAATAATTTTTTTTTCTTTTTTTATACATAGACAGAAACGGATCAAAAGAATTTACCATAAAAAAATTACAATTCACGAAAACAAACTAAATTTCTTTATTCAAATAAATCTGTAAATTGGATATGTTATATATATATATATATATATATATATATATATATATATATATATATATATATATATATATATATATCTGTGTGTGTGTGTGTGTGTGTGTGTGTGTGTGTGTGTGTGTGTGTGTGTGTGTGTGTGTGTGTGTGTGTGTGTGTGGGTGTGTGCGTGTGTGCGTGTGTGCGTGTGTGCGTGTGTGCGTGTGTGCGTGTGTGCGTGTGTGCGTGTGTGCGTGTGTGCGTGTGTGCGTGTGTGCGTGTGTGCGTGTGTGCGTGTGTGCGTGTGTGCGTGTGTGCGTGTGTGCGTGTGTGCGTGTGTGCGTGTGTGCGTGTGTGCGTGTGTGCGTGTGTGCGTGTGTGCGTGTGTGCGTGTGTGCGTGTGTGCGTGTGTGCGTGTGTGCGTGTGTGCGTGTGCGTGTGCGTGTGCGTGTGCGTGTATGTTATATATATGTTATATTAACATTTATTTTACACCTTACAGTTTTTATTATTATTTGTTACATTTAAAATAAATTAATAAATTTTCTTACACGTGTGAATTTTATTTCTTCTTAAACTGTTTAGTTTTTGACACGCACCAAATATATTAATGTTCAAAGATTCAAAAAATATTTCAATATTGATTGACCCTATGTAAGATGTATGAATATATTAATCGCTTTTAATTTAAAACGTTTTTCAATTTCAAATTAATTTTTAAATAATAATAAATTATTTTTCAAGTTTCATAATTTTATAGGTTATCTTTTATAGAACGTAACTAGTTGTTGCATACAATTTTTAAAGATACAATAAGTTGTAATTCTTAATAATGGAATTTGCCCCAATGTCAAACATGATAAAATAAAGTGATCCAATGCAGTTATAAAAAACTTAAATTCATAGACCGCCTTTAAACAGACTTTGCAGCAAAACCAGTTCAAATTGACTACCTTAATAAATTATCTGTCATTTCTAAATACGGTGGGCAACTAGATGTAATAAAATATTTTTTCAGATAACATCGAAAACCGTAATTTCGCGTATTCTGGAAAACACAAAGAGTTGTTATAGGACACCATCAACCATTCAAAAATTAGAAAATATGGCGTTCCATTTAAATTAATCAAGTTATAGCCACTTAAAGTTGTTATTAGATTAGAATTTTGCCCACCCTGTGTAAGAAGGATAGCCTTTTACGATTGAGATATAAAACATGGTCTATACTGATATTTTACTGAAGATTTTTACATACATACATTACATACAGCTGCTGACTGGTTGTTGTCCATGGACGTTTCTTTTTTTGTTTTTTTCTATATAAAAGGCTAAATTAAAGGCTCCCTTCTGATGACACTTCGCTTATCGCTATCTTTTGTCGTCGTTTCTTGCTTTTGTACCATAAACGTTATTGAAACTTTAAAAATGCAGTACAATAATTTTGGGACAACCAATATGGCATGAAGTGATTTTTAAAAATTAACCATCAAAATAGTAAAACTTTTTGAAAACCTTGTATTTTAGCCATAATATTCCGCACCGTTTAGCGTGACTAAGCCAGCCTAAGCCATTAGACCTTTTAGTATATTCAGCTATTGATATGGGAAAATAAAAATTATTGATTCCTTATTTTATAGATTAAATACTTTCATATATTTTAGCAATAAACGTACACCAAAGATATGAATATATTTTATTGTTTATATAGATACAAATAGTACACCAAACATCCAAACTAGATTACTGCTCATTTCACCTTTTAAAATAAATTTGTACTATTAAAAATAACAGCTCTTTAAAACTCTCAATATGTTTGCAAAAATAGTTTGCGCACCATTAAAACCTTCCGTTTTATATTACGAGCTTACCAAATACTCAGACTTTGTTGGTATTTGTATTTATATTTCTCATCACTAGTGCTAAATGTTTTTAAATTTTCTGCCAGACAAACAATGAGACAATCGTTTCCGGTAACCAATAAAAATAGAGATCAACTATCCGACGTGCCCTTTGAAGTTTTAAACGTATATTTTATAAATTGTACATCAAAACAAGAGCAATTTTATTTCTCCAAACAATATTGTCAACTATGCAAACGTCCAATTCTATCACTAATTAAATTCCGTGGATATAGTGCTTCATTAAAAGACACAATTTTTATGCCATATCTTCAAAAATCATAATCAGATTTAAGCCACGCTTGGCTTGTTATAAAATATATATAATTTTTGTGTACGAAATTTTGAACTTACAGGTTCAGTATTTTCCGATCAAAACGTTTGATATTTCTTTCACGTTATAAAATGCAATAGGAATTATTTTCCACGCGAAACCATCACGCGTTGTCCTGGCATCTTGCTTGGTGTAGTGACATATCGTGGCAAATATACCGGGTTATTCATGCAGTACAACACAGAATATTGTGGCCAAAATACAATTGTCAAAAGTTGTATTTTTTTTTAAATTGGCTTCTGCGAAATAATAAGATTTTTTATACAAAAATCTTAAGGTTTTTAAAAATAATTTTAAGTTCTGTCAATTATAACTTGTATTTAAGTTAAGCCAGGAAAGGTACAGTAAAGTGTAACAATACATACATACATTCTATATCCAAATTATGAAAAACCTTATACAAAATTTCTCGCATAATACGCGAAATTATGGTTTTCGGTGCCATTTAGTATTTTCCAACTTAAAGTTTTATTGTTTCTCCTTGTCTACGGAATTTGTAAATGTTAAATAATTTATTTAGGCTTTGCCTCATTTTGCCATAAGGGCATTATTTTTTGTAAGTATTGTATTGTATTGCAGGTGTGTTTACCCCAAAAGAAGTTTTTTGTCTTTGGAAGTTTTTATCCTTGGAAATGCCATCAAAACTAATTTGCTTGTAGAAATTATTATTAAAAGAATATTGAACCAATTTAACCAAAGTGTCGCTAAAAGTGAAGGAAATGTTTTTGGGGTAGTTGGCTAAATTCAAAAACACAAACATTATTTAATAAGTCTTTCAAGTTGTCATTAGATTGGAATAAACCACTGAGATGTTACACTTTACTGTAGAGTTTGCTTAAATACTTCTTATGTATTTGAGAAATTAAAATTTAAATGCATAATGTCGGCACAACCTGTATAGTAGGAAATAGGACCTTACATATCCCGAAGTCTTAATGAAAATCTTGTACTTTGACCAAAATATTCTGTACCCTATAGCGCGAATAACCCTATATGATAAAAAATAATCTTGTCTTTAAACACGGGCATCACAATATATATTGAGGTGCTATTAAAATTTAATGCAATTTTTAGTAAAAACCACCTAGTCCCAAATTTATTTAAATCATACTTCTTAAAATCAGATGTTTAAACGCTATTTCTGAAATTTATATATACAAAATATTCTAGGCAAAGATTTTTGGATAATCGACGGGCCAATAAAATTCTTAAAATTAATAATTAGAGCTTACCAGTAGTGAATGGAAATATTAAGGTAAGAGCAGTCGATATCTACAAGACACGGATATTAATGTTATCGTGAAAGATACAAATTATGAATTATAAAACATTTAATTACAATAAAAGCTACAAATTAATATAAAAGAAAGAAAAACAGATATAAATTCTATATAGAATCACGTTTCTACAAAAGTTAAACCTAAATCAAAAAAGCGAAAGTTTCAGGCACAGATTAACAGGTGTTTATCAGCTTCACCCCCTTTAAATAGTCAGTGCTTAAACGTTATTTTTTTCTTGGCTAAGACAAGTAAAATAGTTTTGTAAATATAAAATTGACAAATCACTAAAACATTATCACAAGTTAATGAAGGAAATAATAAAAACTCTTTATGATTGAGAACTCATTTTTGTAACGATTCTTTGTATATGACACTTGATAGTACTTGCGCGTTACTGACCAAAATTTTGAATCTACACTATTGAAATACGTGCCGGGTGTCCAGTAAGGAGAGCGAGGTACGGTATTAGGAAGATGCAGGGTTCTAGAAATTACTTTGACTTTTTTTTTATATCTAGAATCGTTGGTTCCTCTAATACCATACCTCGTTGCTTTTACTGGGTCTGTAGAAATATTAAAATTGCGAATCGAACCAAAAGATTATCGCTATTTTTGTACATATACAAGCAATCTTCACAAAAATCCAACGTCCCAGTAACAAATTTATCTTTCTGAATCACAGGTGCTGAATCGTTATTATTTATAATGACGTTTCTATACAAGAACTGTTACGTTAACGGCCTATAAGTCGTAACTCCTATCCTACGCGCAATATGAGATAAAAAATACATTTCCAATTGTACGGGTAATGGATCGATCGTCCTTGATACTTCGATATTTAAGTTTGGTAAGAAATTTCCGATAGGATATTAGGCATAAATTTAGTCGTTTTCGATATAATTGAGATATTTGTAAATATTTTTATACAAAAGCCGATGTCCACTTCCTGTATACTTCGTGTTACTAGTGAACCTCAGATATGACACTGTATGTATTCAATCATCAATCGCAAACCCGTCTTTATAATGTTTTTCGCTTAATTAGTTACACTGGGGAATATTTACGGTAAGCTTAGTCAAACGCCGATTCAAAGTTTACAGGTTCAACTAAGACGATGGACGACTTACCGTTTTAAAAGGTAACGCCGCACACTGACACCCGACAGGAAATCGTAGTGCGCGTTGGATTTTAAAAATATTCAAGACGAAACAATATTTGTTATAACATTTTTTTTAATTTAATATTGGAAGGATGAAAAATAATATAGAAAACAAACTGACCCTGCGTAATGTAGATATCTTTTCATCCTTAAAAATATTAAATTGTTACTGAATGTATTACCTGCTTTTAATTCAAAACGGTTTTTATAATTTTTCAAAAACATTTTGAGTTCGAAATTAATATCAAATACCCCACTGTGCGCGCAGGTTAACAACGAAAAGGAAGCAGTGGGGCGAAAATTAACAAATTTTGGAAGGAGACTTCACTTTGCGGCTGGCATTTTCATGATTATGAAAAAAAATTGTAACTAGATAAAACAATTCAAAACTTGATTGAATTTGGTATGTCGGCGTTATCCCTTAAAATTAAGCAAAATAATATCGACGCCCTACTATTTTTCACCTTCCCCAATTCTAAGCATATTACTTACGTGAAACCTATATTTCAGACTTTCCGTTACAACATATCATTTTTGTACGAAAGCGTTGAAAGGCCACCAAAAATAAAATACAGGTTTTTGTTGGTTTAAAATACCAATTTTTGATGAATAAGTCACCATTTCTAAGTTACGTCAGAATTTATTCAAAACAGGTCAACATTTTTGGAAAATAATTTAGAATTTATGAGGTAAGTCAGATTTTCTAAAAAACAAATGAGAATTTCGGAAAAATAAGTTAAGTTATTTTAGAAAATCTGACTTATTCCTCAAAAAGTTATATTTTATTCTTGCTAGCCTTTCAGCGATTTCATATTTTTGCAACCGAACGATGTAATTAGAACATGATCCTAAATTTCGCTACACATACACATTTTTTTAAAAGAAAAACATCAAATAAATACATACACATATCTATAACTCGCCAATTGCCAACGCAATTTATAATATTTACGCAGTTCAAAGAAATTAGGAAAAGTTGCTATCGCTTTAATTTAGTCAAAAGCGAAATTAAAGTTGACATACTTCATACTACTTTTAAGACACTCTATATGTTTTATTTATTTGTCATTCCCAAAACCTCGGAACCCTTACGAGATAAACCAAGGTTAATTTAGATGTGAGAACACTAAAGCACCTTACTTGCAATCTTATGAAATAAATTTCCAAAATATTCCTGTAATCGGTATTAAATGTGCCAAAGATTATTAATAGAACTAAAGCTACAATATGCAACAACTTTTAAACCGTATTCATTCGTGAAAATAAAATTAATGAGACCAATACACAATCAAGATATAAAACAAAAAGTACAGAGCAGCAATACCAATAACAAAAGTACTTCAGACCAACATTAAAGACTTTGTTTTTTGTTAAAGTCGAAAAAAAATAGTACATCTAATATTCCAAATATAATTTATCACAGACGACCTTGTAGAATTTGAATTTTTTTAAAAAAATTTACAACTAGAACAACTTTTCTTTAGTTAATGAAATTATTGACAAAACTAAAAAGGGCAATACCATATTTCCGAGATTGTTAACTTAAAAAACCGCATTTGGTTAAAGTCGTAGTGGTCCTTATAGTCGGCAAAAGTTCTTCCTAAACTTTTGATTAATTGACAAAACTATAAATTGTGAAGTCAGCAGGGTGGCTACTATTTTGTTGTCATACGGCACTCATATTTTTGGTTTACGATGTAAGAAAACTGGTCTTGCATTTTTGTTGTCATCGCCGAAAATAAAGCAATTTAAGTTAAATACAATACTTGCATTAATTGAAAAAGTTTGGTGTTTGTTGTTACGACTGGTTTTGTTTGACAGTCTTTAAACTCTTGCAAGTACACAGTGTTCGACAAAACTGATAGCTATCTATCGATTTATTTTTATGATTAATGGAGCAGTGAAGTGCATTTATTTTAAATTTATACAGTAAAGTTCCTGACTTCTCTCTTCTTGAATATGTGCAAAGAATAGTTATCTGAGACTGTTTGCTTTGTAAATTTTCGTGGTTAGAAAAAACAGAATATCCTATCAAGCTCCTGCAGGGTTTTCTTTTATATTTTAACGCCCAACTGCAAGGTTTATTAAAAGGGACAAACTTTTTATATTAACGTTGTATGATTTTTTTTTTCCTTATCTCTATTATCAATAAAAACAAATGATCAACAATAAACAATTCACTTTTTATTTTTGAATAACCAAATACGGACATACTACATACATTTTCATAAAAAAAGTTGATTTATTTTACATTTTCGCCGCTTATTCGTTTCTACGGGCACACTCAGAAGATAATGAAGACAAAACTTTTTACGTAAAAAACTTTCGCCTATTCCCTTTAATTAAGCTGTGCAAGTGGACGTCGAAATATAAATGAAAACCATGTACTAGTCTCCATTAAATTTCAAGATTCCAAAAACTTTTTAATTCTTCTTAAGCATCGGAACATCTTGACTTTAAGCATAAAATAAACGAAAAAGTCGAAGCTTCTGAGAAATTCCACGAGCTGGCAGTGAATAAATACATTTAAATGCATCTTAATGGAAAAATAGTATTAAAAACGTTTTAAATTAAACTTCTGTACAGTTTGCATCAAACATTTTTTTATCTCAATACTTACTACCACCTCTAACCTCTAAATATATGCCAGTTTATCGAAATTCTTTTATTTATGTGTTTTAAATCGTAAATATGAAATCAGTAGCATTTTTTATGATGTATGGAATTATTTGTAATTCTTAATTATATATTTTATGTTGATTATTATTTCATTAAATGTTGGACAACTAAAAATTGAAACATGTTTAGCTTCTGCTCACATTTCTTGAGCCTTTGAAAGGAGACATACGAGCAGGTAGTGCCAACAAGAATTCTCACACATCATTTAACTATTAACAATTAATAACCTGTTTAATTTTTAATAATTTTAATAATTAATAATTAATAACCTGTTACGAGTAAAATACATAATGATACGGTGAAAACTGATAAATGAAATTTCAAAAGTGATAACGTATTTAATTAGAATATGTAAAGTCAGGAAGAAGGAATACATTACGAGAAGCAACCAGGTGAAATAAAGGAACTGGAATGAATGTTTCCAGAGAATGCTGTCGCAAATATATCCACAATAGCTGTCTTGGTTTTTCTAAGTATGTATGAAGGTTGATACGTATAAATTTTCTGTTTTTTGATTTGTACGACTAGGCCATTGTTGACGGAAACTCAAAAAAGGAATAGTTGCATTTGGGCCAATTTTAAACTTTCGCGGCCCAAACATAACTGGGACAAAGCTATCTTTAGCAATGAAAGAAGATTTGGTGTCTCTGTAAAACATTCCATAAGGATTGTCTCAAAAGGGCTGTAAAATGTCCACGGGCCGTCATAGTATGAGGTTGCATGTCGTTGTTTGGGAACTTTACAATTTACTGAAAGCACAGTAAACGTAGATTTCATGGAACATCCTCTCTTACCAAGTGCATCAAAGTTATATCCGTCTTAAATTTAATTAATTAATTTAGAAATTAATAATTTTAAAGTTATGTCACGTCCCTCTAGCAACCCGGATCTCAATTCAATGGACACACTTTGGCACAAAATAAAACAAAGCCTAAGAAATGATCCTCTGCGTACTTTAACACACCTGCGTGCTAAATTGCAAGAAATAAGAATTTTACCCCTGATTTCTGTGAAGGCCTAATTGATGCAATACAGATCAGGCTGTCATTAATACTAAGAAGTTGTTGAAAACTTGTTCCAATTTTTATATAGTAGTGCTCATAAAATATATAATTAAATCGTAAAAATATTTCCATACATCACAAAAAATATGGTTGATTTCATATTTACAATTTAAAAAAAGTAAACTGGCATTTTATTCGCAAACTGCTTGTTCCAATACAAAATTGTTGTAAGGTTATAATCCGGTGCCATTAAATTAAATTACCCGACGTATTCGTACCCCGCTCGAAATATAGAAACGCATCAGTCTTTCTCTTTTACAAAAATAACGTTCAACGACCGCGGAAATATGGCATCGGGCGCTTCGAACCCTCAGTTAAATGTTAGCGTTATAACCCTGCTGAATTAAAATACCGTCGTCGTCGACCAAAGCATCCCCGCTGTCGATTATCACAAAATCACTTTCCAAACTCATCCCCGCCTTCTCCGGCATGACGTTATTGTCGCCGAAACTCGCTATCCCATATTCCACGTTGTCCGTTCGTATCGGTTGTCCGTTCAGTAAACAATCGGAGTTCAAATTGTAGACGAATATCTCGGTCGAATTCAACGGCGTCGAAGGATACGACCGGGAAGAACTCGACTCTTTCGACGGGAAAGGTGACGGAGTGCACGGAACGGATCTTGCGGGCGGACATTTGTCCAAACCCATTTCGACGACATCCATGTCGTTCCTCAGTTGCAAGTGTTGGGCGAAGGAGGCGCCCTCTGGGCCACCGTTAACCAAATGCAAGCCGAATTCGGGCAATGCCTGATTACTGCTCGACAAATCCAAATTGAACGTTTCAATATTGTTATTATCGCACGTCTGCTCGTCCAATGAGTTCAGTATTTGTTTCACGTTATCGCTAGCTGTCTGGGAGCAAATTTCGCCGAAATCGGGACCCTCCTCCAGGAGTTCCGTTATTAACGCGTTGTCGCTGGGCATTTGGTGCAGAGGCACGGACTGGGACCTGATCCCCATGTCGGGCACGTAGTCCCTTCGTCCCGCGTAACCCGGTCGGTACGACACTTTGTTGTTCGCGTTCAACAGTTTCTGGAGGAGGGACTTGTTGTTGCTCAGCATCGGACTGACCGGTGCCGACATCGGCAAACAGGTAACGTTTACTTCGGCTGGTATTTCTAGACGTAGATCGAGCTCTTTTTTAGCGTGGGTATTTTTTACGCGAGGCACGGGGGTGTTCCTCGGACTCACGAACGGACTAGCGGTCGCGCTCGAACATTTCGACTGGGGCGAGATCGGGGTGAAATTGAAATGTTTTCCCTTCGCGTTGGGACTGGCGGAATCTTCGAAACTCACCCGTCTTCTGGCTGCGAGGCTCGGCGGGGTTTGTACGATTTGCAATGGAGGATTCGCGAATCCTCGATTCGATAACATCGGAGCCCGATTCTGGAGGGAACCGAGGCCTTCCTGTAGGCCGATGTTAGACCCTAAATCAGAAGGGACTCCTTGAACGGCGGTTTTTTTTTCCGATATGCCGTTCTGTTCGAGAAGTTGTCTCAACGTCGACAGTTTGTTAAAGTTTTCCGCGTCGCCGACACCGTTCGATTCGCTATTGCTGAAGTATTTGGATAACTCTTCTTCGTGTTGACTGTTGTTCGTACCTAAATTGTTTTGAACAATATAAACTCCGTTTCAAAATTAACACACCACTAACATTTTCTGACTTAAAAAAGTACTTCGTTCACATGATAATAATAATAAAATAAATAATAATAATAATAATAATAATAATTTCGGTTAGTTTTGTGGATTGGTTCGCTACTTCAATATTTAACACCTTGTTGCAAAAAGATGAATCGAGTCAGTCGTTAAGAGCATCAACTCTGCTAGAAGAGGTAAGATATATGCGTTGTCTGGCCAATTTACTAGGTGTTGATCATTGGTTAATTTTAGTGATTAGAAGATTTAGGGAAATCGAAATACACCGTAGAAAACGTGATCTGTGCAGAAAAAGGGCTACAAATCGAACTGAACAAGTAGTAAGGTTGCTACTTCACCGCTACTTAGTACACAGATCACACAGGTTAAGATTCGCTGGAAATCACACACAATGGACTGTGGATGACTGGAAGAAAGGTCACAAATGAAACTCGAGTGAGCCTAAAATCTCCAAATGGTCGTGATACAGTGTGGCACAGAGCTGGAGAACGATGTTATCATTGTACTATCTCTGTACTTTAAGGCCCGCAGAGCTAGTTCCTATTCGTCCTAGGTCCATAAATGCAGAATTCTACCTCGAAAACATTATTTAAGATCAAGTAATGCCGTTTGCAGCATTTATAGGAGACACATTTATTTTCATACAAAGATAATGCAGGCCCCACATTGCAAGAACCGAGAGCATATTTGTACTGCCTCAACTAGCCTGTAAGAGTTCGAGTGTATTGTTCTCTTAGAATGGAAAAACATTCCTCAAGCAACAATTCAAAATCTGATAATAAGCTTACCCTGATGAACGCAAGCAGTTTTAAGGGCTCGAGGAGGTTCCGGGCGTTATTGAAATTCTTTTTTTTTTTGTAAATGCGAAATTCTCTTTGTTCGTAAAGTAAATTTCTATAATTTTTAAGTTTTTGTACCTGATCTCCAAATTTCCTATAATTCTTTGAACTTAAATCAAAAATTAAATGATTGTTTAATTATCGTCGTTTATATTATGCTATGCAAAATAAAGAAGAAAGAAAGAAGAAAAACAAAGACATTTACAAAAATTCTAGTTGTGCGTTAATTTTGACTAGGAATTTTGTACATATGTACCTACACATCAAAGACAAAAAAAATAATTGTGTAAATAAATATTTCTTACCTAAATATTCATCCATGGCGTCTTTCGCAACATTGCTCACACTATCGAGTCGTTCCCGAGTCAGCGGAAAATCGTCAGTCACATCGTCAGATTCATCCAAATTACCATCGTCGCACTTGCCATCCTTAATATTATCTATCAGAGACGCAGAATGATTAATAAAATATGGTTCACAGAACTCCTTGTGATAATGTGGAACTTCGGCAAATAATTTCAGTGGCAATTATTCTGTTTAGAGACAATTCGCAATAATTTTTTAAATGCCAAAAAACATAAAATTGAAGTTTACGACAAATGTGTTGAACAAAATGGTTTTAAATACAGCAATATTTCAGAGAAAGTTTCTAAAACAAAGATAGTATAATCGCCTCTCTAAAAGGTTTGCACTTAGATCTAGAGCAAATAATGAGTACGTAATGATTAATTGGCCAAATTGGTTCTTCTTTGTAATTTGTAATAACGCAATTATCTCCTACGAAATATTAGGCATTATAAATTTTTATATTTCACCTAGAAGATCGTAGGCGGTCTCCGCTCTTCTCATATATGAATTTTAACAGTTTCCATTATCATAATCCGGCTTATAATAGAATAGTCACAATGGTCAACGGTCAAAGATATATTGTTTCAAGTTCTTTTAAGACTGAATTGTATATTTGAACTATGTACTCACTCCAAGGTTTTCAAAAAGTTTCACTTTTCACATGTGTGAAGTTCTATTACAGTAAATTTTTAAAAGTATTTTCATACTAGATTTGATGTTTTATAAATAAAAGTTTTATTGTTTATGTCTATGTCATTATTTTTGTAATTGCTGTATTGTAGTTTGTGTAGATGTGTTGTTTAGTTCAAATGAAGATTTATCCAAAAGAATATGATTTTTGTCCCTGGAGAATGCTATCAAAATTGTTTATTGACTTCTCTAGTTTGTGCTCAAAGGTTTCCTGAAATAAATCATAATTTCAGCACAGACATTTTTACGAGAATATGAAACTAGTTTCAGCAAACTGGAAGTGTCGCCGAGTTCGACGATTGGATTCGAGGAGATTTTTTTGGAGTTGCGGATTTTCCCGGGCAATACCGTCGTGCGTTCCTGGACGGGAATTTTGGATATTGCAAAGCAAAGCAAAGATTCACAACGCGCGCTGTTCTACGAAAGTTCCTGTTTATCGGATAATTGCCAAAATTCAGTTAGGCGTCCGTTTCCTTATCCGGAATCCACTAAACGGCACTTTCGGCCACAACCAATGCAATAAAACAGCAAAAACTATAAGTTCGCCTATTTTGCGAGAACACGAAGAGTTAGTTATAGGACAACTAACACTTAAACAATTCGATAATTAATTAAAAAATATGTTCCCTAGTATAGCCACTTAAAGTTGTTATTAGGATAAATTATGGGCCACAAAACTCAATTATTCTTAAGATTTTGGGATCAGAAACTTTATATATACACTTATTCTGTTTGTAAAATCCAAAAATTGTATGATATACATTGGATTTCATTTTTAAAAACGCACCTTGGATACTTTTAACACTTTTGGGACGACCTTTATAGTAATAAAGTAATTTTCAAAAGTAATAACTTTTTGAAAATCTTATATTTTGGCCACAATATTCTGTGCCATACAGCGTGAATAACCCTGTATATTAGTTTATATTTGCATTGGATTTTAGACTACTGGATCGACATTCGCTATCTGAATCGTAATCATCGCTTGCTTTTACTTATATAAAGTATAATAAATAAGTCAGACCCTTTTCTTTTTCTTTTGCCTTCTCCATGATAAGATTGGCATATCTGAGTGCTTTTGACTCTGAAATATTGGTTATTATTATTAGTTTTTAGTGTGTTTTCTATGCCCGACGCAATTCATTGCATTTATTTATTTTCTTTTTCACATTTTTCTTTTGTATTGTTACTGTTATTAACTAAGCTTTGCATAATATTATGTACTTATATTTGGATTCTTAAGAGGACACTGCTGTGAGTTTGTGTTCCAGAGAGCAAGTAAATAAATAAATAATTGTTTTATACATATTTAGTTTAGTTCTATTATCAGTTATCTCCGCCATGTCATATTATTACATTTATTGTGGATATTAATGTCTTTAATCTGTATATGTATAGAATTTTAACAGGAATAAAAGAAAGAAGAAGATTTACCTTTTACACTAGTTTCTACACAGTTTACTTCTTGAGATCGGTGGTCCGATGCGACCTGGCTCGGTTGCTTCGGCACAGCATTGTACATCGCAATATCACATGGTTGCAGTCTGGGCTGGATCGCTTTGTACTTTAGCTTACGGACGGGTCTCGCTTGGCCTTGACCATTTTGGCCGCCCATCAATTGAAGTTTCGGTACGGATGTCTTGTTGCAAGGCGAAGCCGAAACCGTGCAAGTTTTGTCCTGCCCATTTCCTGCACATTCATTCATTCTTGAGAAAATACATTCTTGGATTTATTAATATTGAGGGTTGAATTCATTAAAGTCATTGTGGTTTAGATTTTACTTCCTGCAACGTTTCACTAATCAAAACTGTATCACCAGCATCTGACAATTATACTTTGTATTTTATTTTCTAGTAATGAACTGATATATATATATATATATATATATATATATATATATATATATATATATATATATATATATATATATATATATATATATATATATATATATATATATATATGCCATACTGAAGATAAATTATAGGAGTTTGTAAGAAAAAATAATAATATATATGGTGTGCTATTTAAAAAATTCGATATTTTTCTGTTTAAAATGATCCAAATATATTCGGTTATTTTGAACACCTAGTAGCATCAAATTCAAATTCCGTTGCATATATCTTTTTTATGATCTTCGAATAACACTAATATCAAATATGAGTGATCTATCGACATAATGGAGCTATCGTATTTTTATATATATATATATATATATATATATATATATATATATATATATATATATATATATATATATAATAAATAGAAGTGAGTCTAAGACAGTTGCGGGACACCCAGATGAATCATTTGACCCTCACTCAAAATATTCCCCACTCTAACTTGTTATTTATGCTTTAAGTAGCTGCGAAAGACCTCCAACTCTTGAACATTTCAGAAAAAATAAAAGTGTAAATTTGGATATTGTTTTGGCGGGGTCTTATTGTATGATAGTTCGGCTTTAACAATTTGCATCTTTCATTAAAAATAATTACTTCTTACTTATTTACTTATTGGGGGTTACATTGTTTGCTTAAAGATATACTTAATCAAAGGAATATTTTATTATTTCACCACTCTTGTAATGTTTTTTTTTTGCGAATTTTTAAAGAGGAGACTTAAATTAAGGCTTGACTTAATAGTGTTAAAACAACCTTATACAACATTTCGAAGAAAGAAAGAGTACAGAGTGAGTCAACGATAGAGTAAAATAAACTAAAAACCGTCTGTTACTTTATCTACGCCTTCAACAAAATTGTTTTTCCCATTCATTTTTTAATCTTAACAGAGCCCTGCTGCCTAAAAGTTTTGTCATATCCTACTAATATTGTAGCAAAAGTCTTCAACAGAAAGAAGAGTAATTATTAGAAGGGTTAAAATAAATCGAAAAGTATTAAAAATAGGTATATGCCATACTGAAGATAAATTATAGGAGTTTGTAAGAAAAAATAATAAAAAAAAAATAAAAATTCGATATTTTTCTGTTTAAAATGATCCAAATATATTCGGTTATTTTGAATACCTAGTAGCATCAAATTCAAATTCCGTTGCATATATGTTTTTTATCATCTTCGAATAACACTAATATCAAATATGAGTGATCTATCGACATAATGGAGCTATCGTATTTTTATCTGCATGGCTCACATGAATGTAACTTTTAAGAGTTTCCTTGTTGTAGTTAAGTTACCAGATTAACTCCTGATAAAAACTGAACTGAACTGAGAATTATTAAATTTGAAGTAAATATAGTTGAAATTTTAAAAAAAGAAAAAATATTATTGTTCAATTATTGAAATTCTCCTATTAGTTTGATCTTGGGGTAATCTGTTTAATACATCTTTTGCAGACTAAGTTATTTTTCCATAAAATATGTTGTTTGTTGTTGCCTACTTTTTTCGGCAACAATATCCATTATTATTTGCAGAAATTTTTAAATTAATTCTTAACTAATTCTTTGCGAACAAAATTTATAATAATATATAGTTGTTATTTTTGCTTTTGTCTTGAAATGTTTGTCAAATCGCAGGACACTTGATTCAATAACTTTTATTGGACGAGAAAGAGCAATGGACTGTAAAATTGAAGCTAGAAATAACGCGGCGATTCAAAAAATAATATATTAATGTAACGAGACGAAAAATGACAATCTCTTTTCTTCTTGGCCTACCTTGATGTAGCTTTGGCTGTTGACCGGCACAATTTCGCAATACTTGACGGCCCTCGAGATTTTAATTCTGGCACGCGGAAAATGCCCTCACGTTGGTCTCTACCTGAGTCGTACTAGTTCCGATCACAGCGGAGTACGACACCCGAGCGATAACGAGTTTTTTCTGGCCATATACCCATTGAGATTGTCACCAAAATACGCGGAGAATATAACCGTAGCAATTAATTAAATGAAAACCAAATTGAATTCGTTCGATATAAAAATTCCCCAATTACAAAAATTAACGAGGAAAAATAAAACAAAACAATTCCGATTGGACGGAACATTTGTAATTGTAAGTTATGGTGTAGTAGTATTTTCCAAGCTAAATAATAAATGATTAAAATAGGTTTAGTAGTAAAGAAACATATATAGAAAAAATTCTATGTTCAAGCTTCCCCATAAGCTCCTTCCACTGTGCGTCGCAGTGCTCAAGGGCTCCTAACAGATTTTTACGAGGCACTGTGTCAAACGCCCTCGTAAAATCCCAAAAGGCCCCCAAGCATTTTTTGTTCCTATTTAATACAGTTTTAATAGAGTCAACTAGTCTAAAAATAACATAAGTGGTGCTAAGGCAAAATGATGTCCATTCAATGTTTTGTGTCTTATGAAAAAGCTGATTCAGAAATTGCTTGAACAGTTTAACAAATGTGGTTATCAAGCCTATTGGGCGAAAATTATTAATTTCTGTTTTGTTGCATGGTTTATATATTGGGACTACTATTGATTTTTTAAACTAATTTGGAACTTTTCCTCGTGTAAAGATCAGGTTTACATATACCAGAGTACTAATAATATTTGAGTGATGATCTGCTACGAGTTTTGCACCAATGTCGTCATATCCCGGAGAACTTAGGGATATTATATTTAAAATAAATTCATTTTTATTAACTGACTTAAAAAACATACGAGGAACATTTGAGATTCTTCAGTTACAAGGTATTTTTATTTTGGGTGTCATTTGTTGTTCAAAATAATTATTACAGTAGTTTAGCATCTGTTTTTATTTTTACTCAAATATGTAGCTTCATTTATTATGTTATATAATTATTTCATGCCATTTTTGTTACTATTTACGACATCATGGAATATCTTAATAGCTTTAACTTTGTTAAGTTGCTTCTATATACCCGTTGTACCACTACCAGGCAACGAGGTGCAATATTAGGGAAACCCACTATCCTTGAAATGAAAAACAAAAATTATTAAGTGAATCGGTTAAGAGAAAATGCTGGAATTATTTTCGAGTTTGTGAATTTTTGGATTTTAAAACTTGGCAACACAAAAAATATGATTAAGTGAGTATTATTTTAAAGCTTAGACAAATGCAAATCATTTTTGATTATTGCTGTTTTCGTTATCTCTGCCATTAGTGTGGTGGAGTGTTCAAATATTTTCTTAAATAAATATCTGTCACTTCAAACTGCCTTTTCATAAACTTGACACTTGCATTTTTTTCAATATGTCCGAAACCTTTATAAAATGTTTAACAAGTGCCATGAAAGATTGCCGCATGTAACAGACATCTTTGAATACCCAATGAATCATTTGCTGGACTCATCAAGGTCATATAAATTATGAAAGTTTCCCATATATATCTTATTTGTCGGACTTTTCTTTTTTTGCTTTTTCCGAATATTTTCCAAAAATACTATCAGATAGTTGTACATTTCTCTCGAGCGTCAATCTGAAGTTACATTTTTTTACCGGAATTTGTACGAATCACTCTCTTTGACAGATCTCTCAAGATGAACGCGCTCTGGTCGCTGTTGTCCGTAGGAACTAATCAATGGTTGGCGACTAAATTTATTAACTAATGACGTATTTAAGTTGTAAACTGTAAAAAAAAAACTTTTAAAAATTGCCATGAAAATAAATTTGGTTTTTATCTCATTAATCGCTATCCATCGTTCACATTGATATTTGATGCTTGCCAAAGTATGTTGATTGCCTACGATCTAAATTATTTTTGTTTTTTTGTTAAGTGGAAATTTTTCTCAAAACATAACTTTTTTTTAGCAATAAGTTTTTTATTCACAGTTTAGGTTACGGTTGCTTATTGGACTATCTAATGATACGAAAAAGTCACATCGTTTCAATTGTTCTCTTTTGCAGCAATTTTGAACTTCAAGTTTATTCAAATGTTCAAACACCCCCCTCAACTTTCTTTGCAGAGTTGGAGCTAACAGCATTAAACAATAAAGATTTCTATTTCTCTCTATTTCAAACAATGGTTAGCATTAGAATTTCTTATAGAAACGGAGATTTAAAATTCAAGACAATTGCGCCTGATGGCAATTTCCAGCACTTTATTTTGGCATATTTACTTAAGATTTTTTTTCTAATGCAGTACCTCGTTGCTGTTTTTGGGACACCCGGAATTTAATAGGTATCAATAAGTTGGTATTTTTTAATTTTTCTTTTCAGTCGATCAAGGTGTTTTCTGATGGTTATAACAGAATTTCTAATCTCCAACATTACTTCCTGTATTTGCTTAATTTTCCGACCTGACCAAGTCAAAATGACTAATAGTCTTTGCAATAGGCTGTGGTATATCTCTTTTTTTTTACTAACTCATAATTTATTAGGGTAGTGATCCGTTTTGTTGTTTATAACTGCAGAATACAGATTTCAATTGATATTATTGTGATTTGGTTTAACCAAGATGTGATCTGTAACTGTTTGCAATAACTAACACCGTATATAATTTTGATACTAACCGATATTATTATTTGCTCCATCGTTTACCGGTTTCTGGAAACTCTTGAAGTCAGGTAACGCTGGGAATTGAGTCAATTCTGATTTATCACAGATAGTTTTGCCCTGAGTGGGACTGACACTGGTGCTACTGCTGCCACTGCTGCTCGCTGTACTGCATTCGCTGCTTCCCATACCCGGTGCGCCGCCCAACGAAGCAGGATCTATCGGAGTGGCGCCCAGACTTTGGGATCTGCACTTTTTGCTACCCGGCTTTACCTCCACTTTTACCGCCGGCTAAAACGCGACCAACGCTAACATCAAAACATAACTAAATGAAAATGAGATTACTTGAATTTTTCTCTTCCTCTCTTTCCCTTCCGTTTTTTGTTGAATTTTCTTTTGCAGTTGCAATTGCGCCTCCCTGTGTTTGTTTAAATTTTTCGTTGCGCTATCTTCACCTTAAAACATTTTCATTAATTAAATAATTAAAACAACCATCAATGAGTTTGAACTAGGAATTAATGAATGAGGAGTTTATTAGCAAATTGCTGCAAATATTACAAGTAACAGTTTTTTTATATTTAAACTCATTACTTATGCTATTTTTTCTATATTAGTGAAAATTAACTTTTATAAAAAATAATTACATTTCTTTTGTTAGGGGTTGGGTCTTTCTGGACATTTTGCGTTAATCAAATAAGTTCTCATTCTGCTTCCATATCTAATAAAAATTAAAATTTCAATTCTGCGTTTCATTTAGATGCGTCATATTCACTTTCTTTAGTGACAGAAATGTAATTTTACCAATTTAAGAACTTTACTGGTACTAGCTACTTACAACATTAAATTTCTGTTTTTTATTCTTTTGCTCATAAAAAGTAACAAATAGGTATAGCATACACTACATGAATGCCTGAAATTTGACGCAAAATTCGAAAATGGATTTTAAAAAAATGGTGTTTTAAAAAAGGAACTTGATATCGACATCTACTTTTTAATCCACCCTGTATATTTTCAATTTACTAAACTGAAAAAAAATATTTTCTTGAAATCCAATACTTGATTTTTAAATGAAGTTGTTCCATATTTTAACCGATCACTTAATAAATAAATAAATAAAACGCAAAATTTGCAGTTTCTTTTTTAATCTATTATTACATATCACCCCTTTGTTTTTTTTTTTCGGTATTTAAAAATAATTTATTATAGTCCAGCCAATTTTCTAATTTACATAATAACCTTTGCATATTCTTTTATGCATCACTACCAGAATCTCCAGAATTGAGAAAACAGTATCATCAGCGAACAAATTGATGATTACATCATTATCATTTATATACATATATAGACAAATAAAGCAGCTTAACAATTTACCTTGAGGCTTTAAATTAGCAGAAAATCAAGCCACTAGATTAAAAAGACGAATTAGCGTACGCGGTCTGTGATGTATAGCAAGAAGGTAGAGGCTAAAAAATAAAATATTGGCTAAATTGCTTTTAAACCTGCATTTCACAAAAGTGCGGGTTCTAGTATTAAACTTAAACATGTTGATGAACTTCTTATAAATTTTGCTTAGAAGCGATTTTTGCTCCTATAACTTTTCTTTCTTTTTTAAACTAACTTAACTGAACAAGCACTTAACTTGAACAAACAATTATTTTTATGGTTCAATGGTTGAATATCTCCAATAGATTCTGATTGCAATTATATTACTCACTTTATATTTTATTCCACTTGTTTCCGAGATATTGGCAAAAATAGAAAATTTTCATCTAATTTCGAAGAGTGGAGTGACTAACAGTTAAAGTCATCCTTGTATTTGGCATATTACTATGCAATATTTATTAATACTGCTAAATTATTGACACAGTTATGAGTACATATTAGCAAAATTGTGTTTTGCCAATTTAGCATCTGTGGAGGAAGTGTAGTATTCTTCAAGTATACTATCAGAATAATAAAAGGCTAACTATTACGCGTGCGTCTTCAGTATATTAGACTTTCTCCAGAGCGACGAGTTCCTTTCAAATAGATATGCAAGGCAAGAAATTTTAAGTACATTTTAAGTAATGTTCTAAATATAATAAAAATAAAAAGTATGACGTATCAAAAACTATGTCGGAATATACGTATTTTGAAAATAAAACAAATATATTAAAGTTCCTTGAAACACATCTGGCTTCTGTTACACATGAAGGAATATAATTACAACTTCTAAGCTTAGTAAAGAACAATGCCACAGGAGAATACATTTCATTTTGGAATTTGTAAATAGATATAACAAACAAAGATGTAATAGACAAAATGCGTGATACCGGTTTATGAATAATCTTAGGCAAATGCATGAAATAAAAACTCAGGGGAAGCAGTCATTTAATGTTTGGTATGGTGTTATAGACACACATATTTTAGTTATGGTAGAACAAAAATTAGCTGAACATTATTTACATCTCTTAGAACACAATATAACACGATATATGGCGGCAAGATGATGCCCCTTCACATCATTCAGATCAAAAACGATCTTTCTAAGTATGGAATATCTTGGTTGATTACCCAACAGCTCGGACTTGACATTAATGGATTTCTTTTTTTGGGATTACATAAAAAATTAGGTGCACTGAACTTCTAATAAAATTGTGGAACTTTGGCAAATAATTACCCTAACAATCAATCAGTTATGAGACAATTATACAGACAAAAATAAAACTTTCCAAGATAAATTGAAGCCACTTGCGCCCCCAACCAATTACCTTTAGGATGGGTCTCTGCAACAGATGTTAACTGATTGGCCGCTTCCGTACCAATGCCAATGGAACAATTCCGAATCAAGTAGTGAGCCAAAGACTGCAAAGATGAAAACTGAATGCCCAGTTGCTGCTGGGACCACTCCTTGACAATTAACCAGGCGGCGTAGGTAACACTGTTATGTGTGAAGGGTGGTTCTGCTAACTGAAAACGCAACGCATATTAATAAGGCAATTTTGAGCTGTGTTGGCATAAAGATTGTAACCTACCAACGGCTTTTCAGACAAATCTGGTAATCTGGGAGGATTTAAGCTGACACGTCTTCGTAGACCCGAGTAACAATATTTTGAATTACCTCTCTGACCCAATCTTCTAGCTCTCACCTTTGGAAAAACCTGTTTCATTACTTTCCCAAAATCTGCTTGGGACAGAGGTTTTATATTGTTATCTTCACAAAACTGCCTAAAAAGAAGCCATCCCCAATTGTAATGTTTAGAGATAAACTATGTGTTAACGTAAATGATGAAATAGACTCCTAAAACAGATTGCTTGAGTTTTCCATTAAATTGTATTCATTCTATTATTAAAATTGCTCTTTTATTAAGATTGTAACAAAATGCTGCTTTTGGGAACCACAATTTGATTTGAAACCTCAAATGCATTTTATTCATTTCTATTTTGTTAATAGTTTTACGTCCGTAATTAGAGGAATTCTTATGGCATCAAAACTTTATCGATGGGTTCTCAGGATTCTCCAGTTTATATATTTTTAATAATCACTATGTATATTAATGTCAAAATATTTTTAGACCAATTATCTTGATATTCTGGAAGCCAGACAGTCTTGTCAGTCCAAACCGCTAAAATACAAAGGTATAATAAAAGATAAGCTGCATTGTGAAGTTTGAAGAGGTTTAATATCTAACCACTTCACTTAAAAAGTTAAATTTTCGTAGGGTTTATTTCCACCGTGAGATGAATTTATAACCTTGAACTAACTGCATCTCCGAGAGATAAATATCTGAAAGCTGATTATGTGTAAGCTCCTTATATGAGTATCTTCAACAAAAAAGTGAATTGTTTTGCCTGCGGCAACTTTACTTATTGATTTTAGTTTCGTTTTACATCCTCCTACATATACATGTTTTTTGATGAATAATTTAACTCTTCACTGAATTAATCAAACATTAAAAAGTGCCACAATTGTATTTATTAATGACCGTTGTTCATTGTTTTTTTTAAATTTCTGTACTGAAGAACTACTAGTGAATGTTGCATTCTTATTATAATAAACTTGCTTAGAAGTATAAGTAGAAGTATGAAGTAGAACAATTTAAAAATGGACAAAACAAAGTCCTTCATGTTAGTATGAATTATTCAATTTTATTTCATTAACATTATAAACTGTTTAATACAAAGCTTAACTTATACTTACTTCTAATTTGTCAAAGAAACTTCCGCAGGCTACTGTATTATTATTTAGCGAAACATCAGCAAGTTGAATTTATCAACAACCACTTATATTTGTGTATCTTTAATATTTCATCACTAAAATAATTGTTTCCTAACAGTATATGAGGTCAGGTGAAAAAGTTATGAGATCATGCCCTATTTTTCTAATTGGAACAGTCTGTATATTATTTTTATTATTATTGAGAATGATGAGAGATTATTAAAAATATATAATTCTTGTATTCCATAATTTTTTCCATAATTTATTTTACTTTTACAATACTAGGTAGTACTCAATAGCAATCTGTTAAAAACAATAAAGCAAATTAACCAAGTGACCAATGAATAAGTGATAAAATTATGTTATTAACAATATGGAAACTTACTCATATTCATTGTAAACCTCTTTTTTCGGCAATGAAATGTTCTGATCCTCCTCCAAATGAGTCTGAATCCACACAATGGTACGATAGATTTCCGACCTAGTACCTAACGGATTAAGTGTTTGTCTGAAAGGGTCCACTATGTTGGAAATTTCCGAAGGTAATTTAAGGTATAAAAAATATTTTTCATTTTGGGACAATGTCTTAATTTGTGCCAGAATAATCTGAATCGTTTGTTTCCCCTTTTCGCTGAAACGGGAAAATTTAATTAAAAATATGTAAACACTGAAGTCATCAATGTTTATATGATGTACAACATAACATCTGATGCCATAATTAACTGGGCATAAATTTTTCAGTCTTTACCTAATTACAGCCGTAACTGAATTGAATTCGTTAATAACATCTTGCATAAAGTCGCATTTTGAATCGGGATCTTCTTTGATGCAAGAGTTTTGCAGAACATCGTTTTCGGCTGAATATTTTGAGTTGCCATTGTTTAAAGTCTGGGCAGTTCTTTCCATATTTGTCGCCACAGATTGTTGATAATCGGCCTGCCATTGTTCATTTTCCATTGTCGCCGGCAAGCGCGCAATAAATTTCAGTAACTTCAGAATTTAACTGCACTATTGTTACACACTTTTCCGGCTCCAAAGTTCCGACGGCACCGGATCATTTTATTGTCAAATCAGTCAAATCAGCTGGTTTCAATGGCCGACGACAAGCAGCCTGCTGATGTTTTATCTCCGGCAATTCTAGGAAACCAGCGGGGGGACAAAATACAGAATACTAAAATATTGATACTTTTTTTGCACGGTTTTCGCCATCTATTGGAAACGCAAAACAAAAATAATAATACTGGTAGATCGTTTTTCCTTTAGATGGCGCATCATCAGCAAAGTCATCATTAGAATTAGAATATCAATTGATCCAATCTATTGCTTGAATCATATGGTTATTAGATGATATAGTGGCTCTACCACGGTAAAAATTGATGAAAATCGATATTTTCGTGCAAATGCATTTCACTCACTAACCTGCACTTTACGCCATTTTCTTATAAACAGCGATTTCCGTACATTTAACTCGTTTTCACACAATATTTAACGAGAAATTGGCATATTTTAACTTCGGTAAAAATGACGCACCCATACTTATTGACGATCTGTCACCGGCCATGTTGGTTATTAAATGCCGCAAGGTCATTAGTTAAAACGAAATTTTAATTGGGAATATGAATTTTTCTCACAACTTATTATATGCGTGGTAAAACCATTTTTGCATAGTTTAGCCATTTAACACCAACAAAAGCTAAAAGGTATCGTTTATTATATTAAAATTTAAAAAACATTTAAAAACATCCATCCATCAAAATAATCAAGCCCATTTTAGAACTGCATCGTGCAAAATTGCCAGTTAAAAATACATGCATTTTTATTTGCTAAAAATACATGTAGATATTACATCGTATCTCCCGGACTTTTTTTTATTACGCTTTATTTGGCTACTGTTTCATAAGGTAATTTGGCCGGCTTACAACCAGGTTTTAGAATTTTAAACAAATTTCTATCACACCTAAGACTCCTGGTGCGAATCGAATCGCATCCACAACGACTACCCGGCTTGGAATTTCTTTTTCTTCTTCCTTCCGACTTGCAAGATTTCTACCACGGTTGCGTAACACACACAGATAAAAGAAATTTTTACCATGGTACCAGAGTTTCATTTTCATGGTTTTTGTGTTTTTCCGTGCTTCAGTTGACGGTTGGGAAGTCTATTTTATTTATTATATATTTCCAGATCAATATTCTCGATTGTATTACGAAAGAAGAATAGCTCGATTTAGTTTTAGAATAATAACAATTGGTGCTTGTAACTTGATGTTGTAAATAAGCAATTGCCTTTATACAGCAATCTGCTCATTAAGTTTATTTGGGAGTTGGTGAGTTATTTTTGCCAGAAATTAAAGTGTGTAAGAATGAGAGTTCTCTTGTAGTGTTCTATAGTATAGGCATGTATCAATCAGGTCATGTCTTATACCGAATTGGAACAAGGATATCAAGGTCTTCGTAAGGCTACATACAGACCAACACAGTTCTATGTAGGAGCAGTAAGTTACATCAATTAGGTTTTATATTGTTATATGGTCCTTTTGCATTGAGCAATCACTATGGATGAGGCCCATATTCCCTCAGTTATTATTCAAGATGTTGATGAACCATCACTTGTGCCATCTTGCTGGCATATGGTATTTTGCACTACTTTTTAGTTTTATCTCGTTTTGATTAGTTTGTCTTTTAAGGATATGCTAAAAATTGATTAATAAACAACTAATTTATAATATTCATCTGCATGCACATTAATACCATACATGATGAAAATACATAGATTCGCTTATTTTAACCTGCAAATTATCTGAAAGGATAAACTACATTAATGTCGTTGAGACATTAACATAAACTGTTAGTAAAATGAAGAAGAAAAAAGACTGTTAAAAACCAACTTAAAATTTGATATAATTAGATTTTTAAAACCTAATGGTCAAAAAGGGTAGCATGGGAAAGAAAGAAAAATGAGTAACAGAAATGAAGGTGTTCTTGATTTTCATTTTATTTTAATTAAAATTTGTTGAAAAAAGGATCTATTGGGACTCTGTCCATAATTATGAAGTTATATCTAGATCCAGCTATCTGATTAGACCCCAGAGCTTAGATAGGGGTTCCTTTGTTTAATTTGTTGCCTCTGGTTTGGTTAAACCAAGGGTTACTTAACCTCTGCAGATGAAAATGCATACTTTATAGGTCCTCAAGAGACCCTTATTTGAAAACAAAATTTTCCCTATATTTCTTTGCAAATACAATCGGCACAAAATAAATCCAATAAATTTTGACAAAAAAATTGGACAAACCTCGTGGCAAAGGAATTGTCTAAACACACAACTTATAGCAAAAATATCTCCCAGAAATAGAACAAATGGATTTTCCGAGTAAAGTATATAAAAAATAAAAATTGGATTATTTCCAGATTCATTTCTATAAGTTGTGTTAAATTAAGTTGACGAATAGATTTGTGATTATAGTAAGTGGCAGGTAATGGTAGGTGCTTGTAGTTATATTTTTGTATGTTCTAAATTTGGTTATAGGCGTATATAGTATTTCCGTATAATTAACACAATTTTAGGCGGGAAACATGCGATTGCATAACCTTCGATTTGAAAATGACCTCATACTTTTTGCAATTAACGTTCTTTGCGCTGTTGTGATCAATATTCATCTCCATCTCCTTCACTGGAGATTGGATATTAAATGCATTGAATCTTCATGTAAGAAAGAAAGTTTGTCAATTTTTTGTTTTGCCTATACAAGGTTCCCCTATTAGAAGTAAATAAAGAATGGATAAATATAGGTTGCGGCCATAGGAGACTATAATCTCTATTCTTAAAATACTTGAGTCGTTACAGACTTTATTTTTTTAAACGGAATGCTGTATATATTGTTACATTATGTTGTAGAGCAGATATGTAGCTAGTTTGGAAAACAAATTATTTTTTAGAAAATTTGGGGAACGTCTATCATGATAATAAATATCTTTCAACCGTTTTAGATAAAAATCTGAAAATTAGTTTACAACTTGTCAATGGATAGTTGTATTATATTATGATAGTGCACATTTTGCGTAAATGTAAATAAAGCGTGAATTTTAAATGGAACCCTCTGTATTTTAATGCGGCAATATAATCGATAATTCATTCTTGCTTTTATGTATTATATCATACCATACCTATTTTGAATGTTTTGAAATTAAAAGCAAAAATATAGAATAATGTAGTTTAAGCAAGTATGACTGATTATTAAGCCATGGAGACTTATTTTGACAATTGAATTAAATAGTATTTATCAAACGATTGTGATAGAATCATGGTGCTTTATGGTATAACTTTTCTTTATAAAATCAACTTACTCTATTTAGTTTTGTAAACAAGCTTTTATTAATAAAAATATAACATTGAACTTTCAATTAAATTTGGTTTTAATAGCATAGACATATTTGTCGTTTTAAGACTAAGCTCCACAATGCAGCTCAAATCTACCTAAAGACTCTTTCACAGAGCTTTAACCTTTTCCCACCACATTTCGGAAAATTCCTAATTGCTGTATTAGATTTACCTGAAAATATTCACATAGATAATAAAAATAAACTTTACTTAATGTATTTCTGAATGTTATTGTTTGGTCACGTCATTAAGTACTTTGTTCGTTTGTCTGATTTTAATTCGATTAAATTTTAATTTTTTAATAAATACCAGGAATTTTCAAAATTGAAATATGTTATCTAATTAAAAGGTAAAAATTGGGGTTTTTGTAACCCGAAAGTGCGAGATTCTTCTGTTGAATGTTTGTTTTTTATCTGTTTAAACCTTCTTCATATTTTATAATATGAGGAGAATCGTTAAAGAAGAAATTTTAGTGTAATTAACTTTTAATGATGTATTTTATTTGTCTTTAAAATTCGCTATCTTTTGCTACAATATTGTTTATTGCCCTGTTTATTGACGTTCGAGGATATGAATAATATCTATAGTCGTTATTTATCGTTATGATCTTCTGAACTTTTTTCATTCATTGGGGGTAAGTTTGGATAGAGCTCATTAAATTTATTGCATCTTGCTGCCTATTGCACTGAGCTTGTATGTAAAATAATATTTTCTACTCCCTGCTCTAAAGTATCCAATTCTACACCGATCTAGCATTTGGAAATATCATTTTACGACGTCAGTTTCGTTTCCTACGACTGTTGGCCACATTGGACATTTTCGGGATGTTACCACACGGGTTTGAGAGCAATCGCGTGTTTTACGTGTAAAACAACGCCAAAATAAGAGGTGCAAAAAGTTCCTATTGGGTATATATATGAACATGAAAATTGACATCGACATTTCGTAAACCAACCAGTTTGCCAATATTTTTGAGACTAAGAAAGTTCATTATTCCAAATATCCGAGGTTGACGCTACGCGATTTTTTTGTCACTATCTCAGCGTTCAACAATAGAGTTCGTGTCACCTACCAAATAAATAACTATTAATGTTTGTGGATTCCATTCGGCGTCAAATATTTACTTAATTATTTAATCTTTTAATTATTGCTATATACATTTTTGTTTATATTTAACCTTGATCATATGTTTTGTTGATAAGTAGCCTTGTAAGGCGCGTTGTTATGGGAATTTTACGAGATGTAAGTTTGCGGTTAGTTTTATTAAAATTGTCGCGCGGAAGACAGTCCGGGACAATCAAAATTTTTAATGATTTTTGTGAGCGCGCGTCGGAATGGATTGGCAACCGTTCAAAGATTGGTGGAGACTCAAAAAGTGGCGAAAATATAGAAGGGCGAGCGACGCCGATTCGTTCGAGTCCGTCTGCTACTGCGACGAATGTTTTGACGACGGTGAAAACGTACGCATTTAGAAAATTACCCTGTATAATAAATGGTATTTTCACAATATTTGCCATCGGTTATTTGATATAATGAACGATGTAAAACGTTTTCTTTCTTTGTGAAACTCAGTAGGTTTTGTAAAGTTTGTATATCTGTATAACATGAGGTAAATGTAAGAATCGCCTTCAGTTTGATATTTACTTAGGTTATTTCTTGTACAATTGCCGCGCTCCGCGATCTTATCTACATATACAGAGTTATTCACGCTATATTGCACAGAATGTTGTATTCAAAATACAAGATTTTCAAAAAGTTTTATTTCTGTTATATATGAAGTCCTGTTATGGTTACTTTTTAAAATGACAGGTTGGTATGCAGGTTGTGCCAAAACTTTTAAAAGGATCAAAGTTGTATTAAAAAAAAATAGAACCCTATATATATCAAACCATTTTTGGATTCTACGACCAAAATGAATGTATACTTCAGTAACGTTTATGATACCTAAACCTTAAGGTTTTTTAAATAATTTGAATTTTGTCAAAATGTAATGTAAGCAAAATCTATTGTGTGGCTATCACTAGATTATTTAAAAAAAATTGTCTAACTTCCACTGTTTATAAACTCGACGTGACCAGAAAATTTAATGGTTTAATCTCAAACACGTATTCACTAGGTGAAGTTATTAAAAATGTTGATAGTCTTGAGCAGCGAAATGATTTGCAGTTTGCTGCTGAGGCGATACCCCATTGTTTTTGACGAATTTAATTTTAATCTATAAATAAATAACAAAACATTATTTTAAAAATGTGTGTGACGGATTTCAGAAGTTGAAGTTTGTGGTAAAGCACCCCGATGGAAGGAATGTATATTCAGCGATCGCCAAGGCAGTGTTGTTGGGCCACTTTTGTTGTTGGTTTCACATCAATATATGCTAATTGCCAAATTTTAACAATTCATAGAAATAATTGCAAAATAAGGCAACTGATTGATAGGTAATTGAATAGTACATTCCCTAGAAATTTAAAAAGTTTAGTGTTTAATTTAAATTAATCCAGCTCAAGCCACATAAAATTGTTATTAGATTAGGATATATTTTTGCCCACCCTGCATAAGATGCCAAGTTTATCAATAGTATTCTGCAAACTTTGCTGCTGCTTAATTACAAGTAAGCCTTAATACATTTGTTTGTCATTAATGCGGTGTATAATCTGTTAATTGTATTTATTTAATGTCGTGTTTTAATTGTTGTTTACTATGCGGGTTTAAATCTGGTTGCTATCAGTTTAAGGGATTGTGTGTGGTCCCGAAGGTTAAATTTCGTTAAACTGTTATATGGATTTCCTGCCTTACAACGAATTTAAACAGGTAATCGAATTTATAAACTGTGGAAGTCTTAAAAGCGTCGTTACCGCTTCTTTCTTCCAGCAGTTCAGCTAAATATAAAATAATAAAATATAAAATTTATTAAGAGTTAGAAAGTAACAGCACAAGGAAGTACTAAAACATCTTTATATCTTTATTTCTTAGTATACCTAAACATGACTAGCTTTTAATGATAGATTATTTGACAATAATAGGTTGTCCCAAAAGTTGGATTTTTTTTAATGGAACCGACTTTATATTATATCATAGCAATTTTAGATTCTAAGATCAAAATAAGTGTATTTCAATAAGTTTTAGTTTTTTTTTTAAATAATTTAAATCATTTTTTTTAAATAAAATGTTTTCTAATTGTAATTTCACGAATACAAAAGAAATATTTAAATTAACAGCTTTTAATGATAGATTATTTGACAATAATAGGTTGTCCCAAAAGTTGGATTTTTTTTAATGGAACCGACTTTATATTATATTATAGCAATTTTAGATTCTAAGATCAAAATAAGTGTATTTCAATAAGTTTTAGTTTTTTTTTTAAATAATTTAAATCATTTTTTTTAAATAAAATGTTTTCTAATTGTAATTTCACGAATACAAAAGAAATATTTAAATTAACAGTGAAATTTGCACTTCAGTGTAGCAATAAACTACATTTTATATATCAATTATAAAAACTCCCCATCTTATACGGGACCCTGTCCAAAAATTTATCCTAATCTAAAAACAAATTTAAGTGGCTATAACTTGATAACTTGATAAATTTATTAAGGCTGTCAGTTTTGTTTAATTTCGGCATAGGGCTATTACCCTTTGTAAGTTACTTTAGCTAAACTCTTTCTCATTATCGTCTGCAAAATGCCATATTGAAAACCAGGTGGATTGGCTCTCCAGATATGACACCCAGCTTTAACACCACTAGACTTCTATTTGTGGAGATACATAAAAGGAATCGTTTACAACACGCTTGCAACCACACCAGAGACGCTTTTAACATTGCAACCCCTCAACTGTTGTCCAGAGTTAGCAACAGTTCCAAGAAAACAGTGGAACTGTCGAGATTTTGAAAATTAAATACATGTTTTTCTTCATTTTTATTTAACTTTAATTACTTGTCGTTATAACTTGGTTAATAAATTTTTAAAAATCGTATGCATTATAATAGTTATAATCTATGTTCTTGTTTATAATACCTACCTAGTCGTTTTATCCGTTGGTTTTTGAACTTGCCTTAAGTTGTAGGTGTTAATAACAGAACTTGCACCATACACAGCCATAAACCAAAACTTTTAAGACAAACTATATAATAAAAGTAATTTTAAAAAGTGAAAAAAAGGTTATAGAACCTTGCACATCCTAAAAGTGAAACTTTTTGAAAATCTTGTTTTTTGGCCACAATATAGGGTGAATCGAGAATAATCCTGTATATATAACATACCTAAGCATGATGGTTAACTTTTCTTGAAAACTGTTTTGATTAGCGATAGCGATCCAAAGTTTGAGGTAGTACGTACGCAAGCTGAGGACAATCAATAATAAACAAATTTTTTAGGGTGTGCGATTTACCATCTTGTCTGTGGTGTGGTGGTTATAATCGTTTTATGTTGAAATGTATTTTTTTTAATAATAATGTTTGAAAATATATTTGTTTAAATGAAACAAACTTTATTACTGCGCTAAATCATATCCGAACAAAATTTTTAAATATTTATATTCTCATCTCAATGGAAACTTGAAATTTGAAAAATATTAAGTTAAATTTGTTCATAATTTGCAGTTTCAAATATTTCTCATTGGACGAATAGACGTGTTACTTGTTGCAATACTGGAATTATTAGTACCTACATATCTGTAAGGCAATCTTGATAAGATTATTCGTCGACTTAATAATATTTACAAGCGAATTTTTTTCAACTCGATATATCCACAGTTTTTTATTTTCGAAAAAATTTGAAGCAATGTTTTTCATCGACGACGAAAGGGAGGATTTTGACGTTGGTATTTGCGTTGACAGATTTAAATTATTGTGTTGATGATTTGGTGTTGCATGAAAAATTGATTTATTGTGCGCTATATAACCTTAAAACTCAAGATTGGCATGACAGTCCCTAACGTTAAAAAAAGCACTGCTGTGAAATGTTACTGACGTTTTCAGGGGGATTTGGAATTATGCGATCCCAACAATTCGACGCTCGACCCCCAAGATATGGAGAATGGGGGAAAAGTTGTCATTGTTGGAGTCTGCGCTATGGAAAAGAAAACACAGAGCAAGCCGATGAAGGAAATATTAACTCGATTGCAGGAATTCGAATACATTAAAGTCACGGTATTTCCGGAAGATGTTATATTACAGGTAATCTTATTACTAGTAATAAAAGAGCATAGCAAAAATACCCAATACCCAAGTCCATCCAATATTATTTAGCTTAATATGAAATAGCTCCAATATTATCTAATTATTAATAATTATCTAATAAGTTTAATAAACGCCACTAGTTACGGGTTTGTACGAGTAAATTGAGGAGTGTTAAGTAAACGAGTCGAACACTTCTTCTTCTTTTACTCTTCATGCCATATTGGGCATGATGGCTCGGATCAATCGCCCATTACCGACGTCTGTCAACAATTTTCGGTTTTTATACAAGTAGGAACTTTGAGAATTATTACATGCCAAATGAGCTAAATTGCTAAAGGCAGCTAAAAGTTGATATTCTGCAGGCATCTAAAAAAGCTACACTCAATCGAGAAATAAACTGCATGCGAGACGGGTAAAACAAAATCATCTCGTCATACAAAATTCGAGTTTCAACACTAGCACAAAGGACTGAAGGTTTGACATTTGTTCCATGAAGATGATAAGGTGAAGAACAAAACAATTACCGCTTCTAATTCTACATAGCTCTGCTATTTCCTTTCTTGATAGATGCAGTTTATGAAACCAAAAGTGAGAATGTGAAATTCTTGTCAAACCTTGACAATACATTCTCTCTTTACCTTGGCTCCAATCTCTCCATTTCAAATTACACATTTTCCTTACTTTCTTTTTCACACTGGTAATAAATTCTGGGAAGGGTGGACGCAAATCCAGCGGAGGCATGGAGGCACCTTGCACCAGGAGTCAAACCATCTAATGTCTGATTATGTATCATTCCGGAGTGGCTAGGGAGCCAGCACAATGATATTCGGTAACCGCACCTTTGGTTCAAAAACAATATTTTTTATTGGACGTCTGTATAGACATTGCTTTTTGATGTATCAAAGATGGAACCCTTCAAACTTTTCAATGAATCTTGTAGACAATAAGCGTGACTAGACTGAGGGAAGTTACTTAATACTCGCACTAGTACCCGGAAGGCCCAAGAATCACTCGCAGAAAATGCAAAGGAACTGCAGCGTGATAAATACTATATGCCCAAGCAAGACCAATGAAAACTGAACTGATACAACTCACCAAGTCAGAAAATCAGCGAAAATTAAGCAGATGCCAAAAGATCTGTACAATGAAACTCAAGAGCAACTCCTTTGTAGTACCGCATAAACACCAGTGAAAGTTTATAAAAGTATTGCAGCGGACTGATTTAGATTGCACCATCACAGCAAATAGAAATTTTTCTCAAAAAAATTAAATGCCACGATTTCACTTTTATGCCAACAAAAGGTAGCTAAATAAAGGTCTAACACTTGTTCCGTTCCGTTCCGTTCCGTTCATTCCGTTCATTTGCTATTAAAATATATTATATTTAACAAAATAAATAAGAACTAAAAGTTCAGATTTTCACGAAATTATATATTTTGACATGACAATTGTTTCGACAACACGGTGTCTTATATCAAATGTAATGTAATGATAAAGACACGGTGTTGTCGAAACAATTGTCATGTCAAAATATATAATTTCTTGAAAATTTTGAACTTTTAGTTCTTATTTATTTTGATAAATAGATTTTCATCAAGTAAAAGCTCATTCAATATGAATATGAATGATATTGCTCATCTGTCCACCTGAAATTCGAATTTTTTAAAATCCAGGTGTCCTTTGGATAACAAAATAAAATTATATATATAATTATAAGATTACAGCTATTTATAGTGTGCATTTTGGTGGCTTTGTTTGTAAAAAATTTCTTTTTCACCTGCACAAGTGTTTGATATATTTTATGTTTATTCTAAAAGCATTAAAAGTATAACTGTTGATATATCGGTTTTCCCTAACGTGTTAGACTCTTGGTTGACTTTATTGTAATACAAGAAAAATAGTGATGTCACAAAACGCCATCTGGCGGCGATACGAATCAATCAGCTCTGGCCAGCGTTGATCGCCCAAGAACGAATCCTTATCCCACAACTCCAAGTTTGACAAAATGCATTCAGTCATTCCGACATTTATTTCCAAAAATGACAAACAATTTGCAGCATTTTCTCCTAGCTGTTTTACTCATAAATTTGTTCATAAGTCTTTACGACAAGTACTTTTCGAAATAGGTCCATGGCCAATTTAGCTGTATCTAGGCGGCCGCACAGCACACTCGACCTTGCTGAAAAGTTTCTTGGATTTCATTCTGAAGTTTTTACAAATTATTAACTGTTATCATACTGTAAACCTATCTTTGACGAAACTCCAAAGTCATTAAGACCAAAAACCGAGGCTGGCTAGGAAATAAGGTCTACATTGCAAAATGTGAAGAAGTCTTTCTAGCAACATCCTCCTTTTCTTCTAATATTTTGTTATCGGGAGAACAATATATCAAGCGAAAATACTGCGTCCGTCAGTTCCAGGTCTTACCAATATTTTCTAGATTTTTAGATTTTTTATGGTGGATGTAACTAACAACTAACATTTGTCACGGCTTAAGGTTTTAATATTAGATAATCTATATTTATAAGACACCTTTGCTTTTATAAGAGTTTTTATGTCCATGTCACTTGTGCGTGTTCGCATTGAAGGAAGCGTGATCTCTGAAAATGCCAGTTGAAATTGACAATCATAAATAGATAAATATCAAAACGCTTTAAGTTTTATAATATTACATCCCAAACGTTTTCGTTTCCTATAAAACCTTTGATGTTGGTTACTTCAAGTTTTTTTAAAAAGCTATTATAGCGTTCTTAGAAGCTTTACTAGAACATGTACTCCGTAAAACACTATAATGAAGCTATCTTGAAGCATCTAATAAATATTCTACAGCTACTATGAAACAACTGTGAAAGGCGGTGGTGTTTTCCCAATTTCTTTCGTTTGCAGAATTTAAACAAGCATGTTTGTTTCTAAGCTTTATCTAGATATTTATAAAAAACTAAATACACTTATTTCAAGAAAAAGTTAATCAACACCTCAAATGTGAGGCTTTACAGCTTGACTTGATTTTAGAAACCTGTTGAAGAATGGCCGCCATGCGACTGCTTAATCTCGTTCCACTCGAAAGGTTTTCCTTTGGATAAAGCAATTCAATACGCCCAACTCTACAATCCATACGTTATAAATAATTTGCCTAAGCAGTATGACATTCAAGATAGAAGAAAAGTCTATTCTACTTTAGACGCCGAAGGAATCGAAATCCCCAGATATGCCGTATTGGACAGAGATAGTCCGAATCCCAAAGGTAAAGTTTATGCAATGCACCAGAGCATCTCGCGAGTTTGTGTTGCGTTTGTTAATGTCTTGTTTTTTTTTTCAAAAAGATGTCCATTTTGTAGATCATGAATTAGTCGAATCTGAAGATCACGTCGAAGTTAATGGCGTTATTTTTAACAAACCGTTTGTTGAGAAGCCAGTATCTGCCGAAGATCATAATATTTATATATATTATCCGACGTGCGCAGGCGGGGGCAGTCAGAGACTTTTTAGAAAGGTTTGTGACTTAATATTGTATAACCTCGTTAATTAACATCCAATTAAAAGACAATTTTATTCTAACATGTATTTCCTATATTCTCTCCAGTAAAATAATAGTAAAAAGAAAAAATATACTATATTCTCTGTAACAAAAAATTATGTTTAACTAATTTGGTAGTCTGTGAGTCATCAAGACAAATAGTCAATGTCACACACAGAAGTCATTTAATAATTTCACCAACTCGTAAAGAGAACCTTTCATCAAAACGTTTTTTGGAATTACTAGGTGAAATACAGCAACACAGGCGGCTAATAGGCAACATAATTAAGCCGTTTCTTTCTGGTAAATCACTATTACTAAACCATTTAGATGAAAGTGCAAACATTTTAAAAACTTTGTGTGTTTTCAATTTGAGTTATGTACTTTTTAAACATTGGTTGCAATATGCTTCATAGTTAAAGAATGTTCGCTTGCAAAATCTGTAGAATTTCTCGATAAAAACACATGCTTGGTCATCTTGGCCAGGTGGTCATTAAGTTATAGAAAGAAAGACAGAGGCTTATTAACTATTCATATCAATTTTACAAACAATAAATGGTAAGTCGGCAGATAATATCTATATACAAATTTTAAAATTTAACTATAGCCGACCCTTTAGCCGGTTTAGTTTACTGCCAGTCGAGCTGGATTTGGTGAAGGCGCAGGGGAAAGTCGCCGATGATTGCATACTTATAAATAAATTGAAATTGTTTGCTTAAGCAGTTATATTTGAAAGAGATATTCCGCAGCATTTATCTTTATTCAATAAACCCAGAAAGCATCAGTTAATCAATTAAATATTCTAAACAATCACATCTCATCAGCAAAGAGCATAATTTTTCTATCAACTACTAGCATTGATAAAAAGCGAAAAAATCAATGGCGCTAAATTAGGGAACGCCGCTACTAGCCATAAATCTATGAAACGATTGGTACTGTATTCTGTTACGCAGATGTGATTTCGAAATAAGAACGCTTGATTTTTAAAGTGTAAGAAAATAAAAACCTTAAATAACATATTATTTATTTTAGTTTATATATGTTTTAAAAATTCTGTCACTTAAATGTTCGCCGCGGCTTTGCCTGATGAGTCGAATTCTGAAAGTTCAGTTTTCAATGACCTCATTATAACGATGTGGCTCAATTGCAGCAATTCCGCGTCTGATGTTGATTTTAACAGTGTCAACCGACCGTGGTTTATCGGCATAGCAGAGAAAAAAATCCATCGGAGTTTAATCGCATGACCTGTGCGGCCAGTTAACGTCGTTATTTCGCGATATGTATCAGACTACTCAAACTGCTTATGCAGTAATGTATCATGTAGAGTACGGCACGTTGCTACGTCTTCCAACTCACCGAGCCACTTCTTCGGGCGGGATTTCGTTGCTCCAAATTCTGCAATTCGGCTTATTAACGAAGTCAATCAACCAGAAGTGCGCCTCGTCACTAAAGATAATTTTTTCCCCAAATCAGGGTCATACTCCTAGCGACCAGTTAGAGAATTCACTCCGCAGTCTATGATCATTGGATACCAATTCATGAGTTAATTGGCGTACAGTCGTTGGTCGATCTGCGACAGGCCCACTTGCTTTAAATTTTTGCATTAATTGAAGACTAAGTAGGACGATCATGGACACCATAAACTCGACGAAGTTTGCCGAACGAAACGTTGGTTTTGGTAATAAGTTTTAACCATTTCGACACGTTGCTCAATTGTATACAGCCCCATATTAAATGTCAAAGCCAACTGAATACTCCTGGCAGAGATAAAGCGTGTGTTACTTTCGACCTTGCAATGCCAGGTTGGCAAATATCGAGCATTCTTATTGGGAAACCCTTTACTACATGTACTTGCCTTCTGTGGTTCATAGCTTTATTATTGAATTCTGTAGAGCAAGCTAGCTTACTGATGGTCTTGTCCCGTTTATGAAGTTATATTGTTGTGGGTTATCAAGTTAACGACATCTTGAATAACCTCCCAAAAGATAATATTATCAACACAGACTTCCCTTCTTTCTGGCTTCCTTCCTTGCTTCCTTGCCAAAGCAACTTTATGAGAAGCAGCTTATTCTTTTTTTGGGGAGTGTTGGTAAACCCACCAAAAAATTTAACAAAAACATTAACACTCTCTTTAGGATTGGAGTATCTCTCTTCCCCGTTAGTGACAATCTCTGGCATTCCGTATTTGAACGATTGGATCTAATGAACGACCTTAAGGTACACGGATCCTTTTAGATTGCTTTTTTAGGCCATTCGTAAAGTATATAAAAAACTCCTAACTTCTAAGTGCAATGATGTTGATGAAATATTCCAGCTCGTCGATGTTTGGCCGTTTGTAACATTGTAAAATTCAATACTCGCTTTTGTAACATTTAAAAAACCCTTCGCCGTTAAATACTCGGTCTGTTTGCACTGTGTCTAGTTAGTTTAATCTAGAAATGAAAAAATATCGAATCGCACGTCACCTTTTATTGTCCAAAACATTTAGATCGGAAGTCGTAGCAGCGTCTACTCCCCGGAATCAAGAGTAAGAAAAACCGGCAGTTACATCTACGAAGATTTTATGCCAACAGACGGTACGGATGTAAAGGTATAAATCATAAAAATGTACACTTTGTCTCAAAGTATATCGTTATGGCTTTTGAGGGCAATTATTGAAGTAACCTGCCGACGGCAATAAAACACCTGACCAGTGGATATTGTAGGATAGAGCATCAGCGACGAACTTTTAAGGTGTTTTAAAAATATAAAGATTATATTGGTATTCATAATTACCTAAATAAGTAAAATTTTGAAAACGTGCTGTAAATTTGATTTTACTTGTTAGCATAAATGTTCTAATAGGTTGAATATACAATGATATGGAGGTAGACCTAACAGAGTATGTCCTGTTCAGCTAGACTATCACATACATATTGTTTTTAATGGCATATGAATTTAGCGCTTCCAAAACTTGCCTTTTTTTGTAACTCGTTTCAAAAATGTACTTGCAGGTGCGTTTATCTTATACTTTTTACTGGAATCAACCCATCCGTTGGATACTGGGTCGTTTCATCTAGGTAGATTGTGTGTATTTTGCGGTATTAAAATTCCGTTTTACAAATAACTCTACGGAGGGTGGCGCGGCTAATAATTATATTGGTTTCGTCTTCTAGCTATCTTTTCAGTTTAGCCAAAGTAGGAACAATCCGGTTTTAATACAGCAAATATATTTTCCTACCCATTATGTCTTGTTCACTATTGTCCAGAGGATGAGATTCTATTCAGTAATTCACTTCTTACAATATTGACGTTTTTGCAAGTAGGCAGGTTTCTTTTAAAGCTTCTTGTTTAATCAATCCTGTAGTTATCAAACATTCATACATATTTTTCACAATTTGTTTTGCATTTAATGAAATGTAATTTCGACGCGACATAACGGAAACATTAGTAATATAATCGCAAGAAGCTTTGATAAACGCACTGTATAACGGGCTATTCAACAATCAATAAGTTATTGGTTGTTGTGATTACCTATTAACAACAGGTATGAGGGTCGTAATTAATTTTGGGAGAGGATTCCTCAAAGGCAAGATGATATATACTTTGAGACGCTTCATATCTCCACTTGTAGCATGGCGTATCTACTATTTAGGTGTATACGGTGGGACCTGACTACGCTCACGCGGAAGCTAGGAAATCACCCGCGTTAGATGGAAAAGTAGAAAGAGATAGGGAAGGGAAGGAAATTCGATACCCGGTGATATTAAATAACGCGGAGAAGCTGATTTCGAGAAAAGTGTGCCTCGCTTTTAAACAAGCAGTTTGCGGATTCGATTTGTTGAGGGCTAACGGTACGGAACAACAATCGAATCTTTTCATGATCATAATCGCCATCTACCTTAGGAAAGTCTTACGTATGTGACGTAAATGGATTTAGTTTCGTCAAAAACTCGAATAAGTACTACGACGATTCCGCTAAGATATTAGGAAACATGATATTAAGAGAGTTAGCTCCGACGTTACACATCCCGTGGTCTGTACCCTTTCAGCTCGACGATCCCCCAATAGTTCCCACCACGTTTGGTAAAATGATGGAGTTGAGATGCGTCACCGCCGTAATTAGGCACGGCGATAGGACTCCCAAACAGAAAATGAAAGTTGAAGTTCGTCATCCAAAGTATGGTTTTTATTTATATATACAGGGTGTAATTGAAGTGACATCGTATAATTTAATAAATGAATCTAACCACCGAGGCATGAATGGCAAAAATACTGGTTAAAACGGTCGTTCGTAAAAATTGCTGAAAATATTTCGTTTAAAATGCTTATCGTGCAACTGGATCTTTCAGGAGTATGAATTAATGACAGCGATAAGCCAGGCATTATAAAAGCATCTGACACATTTTAAATCAAGATATAGGCATGAGAAGGCTGTCCGCGCATTGGGTGCAGTATTGACTCTAGTTAGACCGAAAACGTGTTCGAATGAACATTTCCAATGCTGTTAGCGCAGTTTAGGTTTGGATACACCATCATACGAATTTCAGTTTGAACTGCTCCACCATCCGCCACCAGGTCTAGTCCCAAGCGACTTCTTTTTGTAGAGATGGGAGCATCGCAGGGAGAAGTGTCTTATATCACTGTTAAGTCGGAAACTTTTTAAGTGACCCTCATATTCAGCGTAATTCAGCGGACTAATTTCTTATCTGCTAATACTACAAAGGGTTCCTGATATATTTATATTATGAACGTTGCTAATTTTAAATTCACCCCCCAAAAAAATGTTTTCAGTATTTTATTCTTTAGTCCACGAACACTACAAAGAATTCCTGATTAATTGTCAGCAACGATATTGCTAATTACATAAATTCAAACTCCGACAAAAAATTGTTTTCATTATTAGTATTAAGCAAATTTGACCACCAATTGTTAATACGACAAGCAGTTCTCCATTAATTTTGATTACAAACCAAATCTAATATCACAAATTCAAACCACAAAAAATACTCTCATCCAATATTTTTAGCAGCGCCAAAAGGTTCTTGCTTTTAAAAAAAAATCATTAATTACTCAAGGAATTCATAAATTTTATAAAAGATTCATGAAAAAGTTATACACAAATTATTTAAGAAGTCGTAACTTTAATATTTAGTAATTCTGAAGCCGTAGCGAATAACGCCTGCAGTTTAATGTTTATTCGTTATTTTCTTTACCACGCCAGCTACGAAAACTTCCAGTTTATTCTAGATTGAACTTCATTTATTTTGGTTTATCCACTTCTTCACTGGCAACTTAACAGTAGTTTTATACCTAATGCACTTATTAATGATGTGCTGTGACGGTTGGATTATATTTTTATATATGTGATCAAAGATCGTTTATCAGTTACACTGATACTATACCAAAACTAGTATTGCAAGACTCCGCAAAAGTTTTTTTACTATTTCTTTTTCTTATAATTTATTCTGTCCAATACTCTTATTTGATACTTTTGTTGCTATTGAAAAAACTATTAGTGTTCATTTTAAGAGTGTTTGTGGTGCAGTGTGTTAAAAATAAAGTGAGAAAATGCAGACAACTTTAAGTCGCATTTGCATAAATATGAGCCACACCAACAAATGTATTGTTGAGTAGTTGATTAGTTTTGTACCAGAACCATGGCATTAACATAAAATAACAAATAAGTTGTGATATTTTGGCAACGTTGGGTTATTTCATAGCCCACGCGATTATCTGTCCTGTAGGACCGGTTAAGGTTATGAATAATTAGATTTTTTTATTCAACTTGGACCGAACAAAGTATCGATTCGGCATCAGGATGTGGTCCAGATTCACTAATTCGATTATATAATGTCAGTGAAATAAGACCCTGTATATTATTATTTATTACTTAATGAAATTACGTATTACTAGGATTACTTCCAAGCCAATTATAGTTTCGCCGTTTCAAAAAGTACAACAGTGAACTGCCACCGTTATTTATTTTTTAGATTTTTTGAAATTTTCGAAAAGTACGATGGATATAAACACGGTCATGTGAAATTGAAAAGGCCGAAGCAGTTACAGGAAATATTGGACATTGCGAGGTCACTTCTATCCGAAATTCAGCATCACGAGGCTGATCCCGAAATAGAAGAGAAGCAGGGAAAACTAGAACAATTGAAAGCGGTTTTGGAAATGTAAGTATTTTTTTTTAGTGCCATTTTCACAATCACTATGATATTTAAAAAATTTTCATATCGTCGTTTTACTTTTAGAACCTCGTAAGATAAAAATTAGAATTAGTTCAGTTTATTCTATCTTAACAGCGAATACCAAGTTGTGACCCTAATTTGACATGCGAGGTTTTAGTAAACCTCGTAACGAATTTTCTGAAGTTATTGTTAGAAATAAGACATTTAATTTGCTTACGAATACATTGCTTCGTTTATCCAAAAAGAAAAAAATAACTATATTTGAAAAGTAGCAGCAGTTCCTGGGCATATGCAAATGGAGTGCGGCAGTATGCATTCCACTATTAAGCAGAAATTCAGTAATCAGGAGATTTATGTAGTGTCTGGGCTTTTAACTCCCCCAAGAAGTAACTACGCCCTTTCTATCGATTGTTGGTGGTTAAACTCAACAACCAATAATCTATTTATAAGTAAAGGACAAGAAAGGGTCGAGTCGGTTAGATGTCATCACTCAGACTTAATAAAAGATTAGACTCCGCTACTCATTCATAAAACCCATCAACAGTTCTAAGCGGCGAACTAATATAATGAATGGGAATAACTAGAGAACCTGTTGAAGGTTTGTTGATTGCCGAAAGTACCACACATAAAGCAATTAGGCTAGATGCAAGTCGGAGATGCCACATGCATCTTATGATCATAATTTGGGAAGGATGCTTGTAATAAACTCATTATATATTTAAAACCGAAAACGGAGAACAAATTATTCAATTATTGTCAATTATTGGGATGTTGTTAATAGTAATTGGGACGTTTTTTAACCAATATAGGTGTAATGCTCCAAACGTTTATTACTATACTGAAAAATTATTGACTATGCCGCTCACTGTTTTAAAAAAGTAGAGAAAGCAAGATCATAATCAATGCCTTAAATTAAAATAAAGTGACATTAACACAAAGTTCTCACTGTTTCTGTGTTGCAGTTGCAATGTCTGCCTCTAAAATTTATAAACACCTTAAACATGCAATAATTGATTTTAGCTTTTTAATAACAAAACTTGATATATAACCCACAACATTTTCTAAATAGCAGATCAAATCTTTCAGGCAGTTTAATTTTAGAATTCATATTGTTCAATTCTTTGACAAAGTTTAAACATTCAATAGTTGATATTAGTTCTTTAAAAACAAAATTCGATATTAACACACAATATTTTTTAAATAACAGGTCACATTCGAAGCAGTTGAATTTTTGAAATCATATTGTTCAACTAATTTCACGTTTCGTCAGCAATCATCGTTTATAGGCTGCTTTAAACTGGCGTGCAGTTGTTAAGCCTGCCTTATTGCCCAAATTCCACGTGGTTCTGGAAAGTCGATAGCTAGCGATATACTTCAAAATTATTTTTTCTCTAAGATATAGACCATTCAAATTTTCAGACTAGAAATTCCAAAAAACCTTCAAAACCTGACAGATTTTAGAATAATGAAAAATGTAAAAAAAATAACTTATGTTGCAGTCGATAGTGGCCTTTTAATTTACAATTAAACTACATTACAAACATTAGAATTCATCAGTATGTTATTAATAAAATACCTTTCAACTCCACTTAAGGTGTCACTCCGCTTAATGGCGATCTAAAAAATGAGAAACTATTCAAAAGCTAATACTTACGGTGGGTATCGACTGCGCGCTTCAAAGCCTGGAACATTGGAACGCGCAAAGTGGATACGGATATTATGATAATTAATAACAAAAGCGGCAGCAGTCACATCATAAAAATTTATTTAAAAAATGCATTTATCGTATATATAAAATATAAGTGTAAATATATTTAAAAACTCAGCTTGTATTAGGCGGATTAACAAATAAGCCATTTCTTGGTTTTTGTTTTTCAGAATGTTTTGATAAAGCCTTTATCCTAATAAGGATAACCAAACGACGATTTAGGTTGTAAACGCCAAGTGTTAATTTTGCATTACAATAATTTTTAGCACCTTCCTGGTTCCCTTCTTTTAAATTTTAATAATATTATGTTCTTTCAGGTTTACGTAATTTACGTAATTTCAGTATTTCGGTTCTAAAAATAAAGAGGTCACTTTAATGGTAAAAGCTTTAGGTCATACCGATGTCCACCGGGGATTGATTTTGTATATTTATCAACAAAGCAGATTTTGGTTAGTAGGATTCTTATTTATTTGCGATTTTGGCAAGTTTGAATATTGAATTTATTAGAAAAATATTTTCTAATAAACCCTGGCACATAAACCTGAAAGAACATAAAATTATTTTATCTGCGTTATATAGATACATTATTATATACATACATTAGAAGTGATCGTATCTTTTACTTAAACTTAATATAAACAAGTGTCTTCTAGACGTTATCGACGTATCGGCTGTGTTGAATAACCCTTTTTACCGTGTGTTTCCAAAAAGTTTCTTACGAGTTATATCAATAAGCTTTTCGATACGCCTCGTCGAAATGTTTAATAAGTTGACAACAATATACAAGTTACTGGCAGCGACAAAACATAACATTATAACTATAAAAAAAGTTAACATTTCCAAGATCTAAAAGAAATTCCACGTGATTTTTGCTATTTTTATGAGACTTCAGTACCGATAATATGTCTTTAGATTTTTAAATATTTTTTGTTATCATTCAATAAATATTATTTTGTTGCTATAAATATATTGTATTCATTTTTATGTATCGTGTAGGTAGTATCTCTTTATATCGAGGTGGCCCGTTTATTGTGGGTTGATGCCTTTTCTCAAAACCTGTAAAAAATACAAAATGTTTGCATTTTTGTGGATTTATTTACACAGCCTGTAATTCACCTAAGTCTTCTGACATATTTTGAAATGTATGTCAATATATTAGCTATAAAACCATTTTTCATTGTAACAATACAACGCGGATATTAGTTGGTCAAGAAGTTAACAGAAAAAAAATCACTTTAGAAATGACAGTTACAGTTCTAAAATGGAACAAATTCAAAAACATTTTCACATTTGCTGAAAGCCTAGATGAAACAGTGTGAAACGAATATTAAAAGAAAATAAAAATTTTAGTTCTATGAAAATTTAATTTTTATATATACATTTCTATAGTACTCGATTGTTTTCTTCGCCATGTTTCGCTGTCGTAGTACTTTTGAACCGCAAAAACGTTTTATCGCTACTATTTTACATTACATATAGGCAACCTTATACAAAAATACCATTTTTTAGATATATAAATATGATAAAATTATAAAAATGGGGTGTTTCCATTAAAAAAAAAAAGACGAGTTTTAATGATTTGTCATTTAAATTGTTTTTTAAACGTATATATTTTCTTCCATAAGAAAACAAACCCTAAATATATAACAAAAGCTTTCAGTGGGAGAAATCGATAGATATATATATTTAGATTTGTAAAAATTCACTTTTCACATATAATTCAAAATACGCTTACGGGATACGTAAGCTTAGATGGGCAGTCCCCGAAATTACTAGTGGGTGACGTCACTAGGCAACCCAATTTCCGAACTACGCTTTCTTGTCAAATCATTTTAATGCATGGTAATCATTTTTATACATTTTTAATTTAATACATGATCTTCAAAAATAAATATTATATATAGACTTACTTTATTGCTAGTGTTTAGACTGTCGAAAGTATTTAACATAATAACGAGCAATTTGGCCGACAATTTTTTCTTCGTCTCATTGCTTTCGACTAAATGTTAAATTTTATTGTATAAAATATTTAGAATTTAAAATAATACAAGACGCTAGCGTTTTTGAATCTATGAATGTTGTATTGGCTTTGGATACTTTCAAATAGAAAATATCACTTCAATAGTAATTACAAACCTTCTTGAACTATAACACACATCCGATATATAAATATTTTCTTTATAAAATAATGGAACAATACAAGTACAAAATAATAAACACAGGGAGGATGTAAATGTACCAGGGACACATTTCACACTCAGAAAGATCCACATAGCATCTTGTTACTAAAATAACTTAATGGTTGATGCATTTGAAATATCCTCCGAACTCTAAAAAAAAACAATTTAATTTTTATCAATAATAATATCCTGTTGAGTCTTTGTTAACATTTGTTTTAATACCCAAACACCCTTTTCAGATTTAGAGAATCGAAAAAGTGATGTTACTGTAGTAACTGTTAGGAATTTATACAATAGATACAAACCGTTTCTGCTATTCCGCTAAGAATTATTCTTTGAGGAGTAAATTTGCATCTTAAAACGGCTTTTCTATCGGCAATTCTATCAATCAATCTCCAATCGACGTCTTACCTCTGTTCGCATGCCGTATTCCTTCCCCGTTACGTTACACTCACGGATCTTCAATTCATACATCTTTTTTGATATTTCTTGAAACAGCAAGCAATTCGTCGTGCGGCCTCACATTGCCGTTTTTTAGGTACGGCCATTTCTCCGGTATAAATAGGAAGGTTCAAATGAAATATCAGCCGAAGGGTAGGCCGAGAGGATCGAGCTCCGACGATGGTTAGTAACGATTTCTGTAAAGTGATTTCGCATAAATATTGATTAATGATTCAGTAGATAAACCTGCCGAACCGTCTTTGGTGTTAATTTTGAAATGGGGGGGCGAACTGACTCCGGCAGGTAGAATACAAGCAGAAGAATTGGGTCGGATCTTTCGCTGCATGTATCCAGGAGGACAAGGTAGACATTTTGCCGGTTCGTATTTTGCTTTTTTGAATCGTCTCTTTCGTTAGCGCTTATGATGATGTATAAAAGGTGTCAGTTTAAAAAAATAGTTTGGCGTATTATTCCCGATCTGTCCTGGCATTTGTTTAATATCGCCAAAATGCTTATTTGCAGAATTGGGTTTAGAATTACACGCTGGTTAAACTCTAAAAATCTCATTCATTTGGAACATAATGGCACAGCACCAAAGGGCACAATAAACTCCGAATATTATTATTACGAAAGCTCTCTAACCAAAATAAAATCTAAGTTTTAGTTTAATAGGGAAAATTTTTGAGGAAGAAGTGACAATTTCTTTAACTGGGAATTTCAGAAAAATATATCAGAATTTCTAGAAAGGAGGTGAGAATTTCTGACATAAGTCTCACATGGGGGACAGTGCCAATTGAAACATTAGATATGCACAACAAATGGGCATTCTCTAAACTGGAGGGACACCAAAATATAATGAACATTACGAATTTTAATATTATTTGGACGTTGCTCTAAGAGGATGCTAGTTATTTAAATTAATCGATCTTTTTTTCTGTTGGGCTATGGTTAAAACATGATTGGTGAAAATCTAAACGAATGTTAATTGTTCATAGAAAAATGTGCTCTTCTTATTACGTCGAGCTCTGTCGGATTTTGACTTATTTAGTTTAAAACGTTCAAGGTATTTTTTCTGATTTTTTTTTAATAAATGCTTAAAATATAAAAAGATGCGGGGAGCAATAAAAAACAACATTTAGCAATAACAATTTTGGTAATAATAATAAAAGAAACTTCAGATCAAATGTTGCAACTGTCCACCCACCATCGATCTTAATACATTTACTATACACTCTCTTATTTATGAATTAAAATATCCTGTTCTTCATCAACGGTGATTTCTAGAAAGTTTAAGATCTAGTTGCCTTCGATTTGGGTATTGTTGTAGATATCTTCGAGTAAGTCCACTAAAATTTTAATTTGAAATATTTTCGTTGCTATTATCAAAATTGTTATTGTTAAATATTGATTTTTTATTGTTCCCCTTATCTTTTCATTTTTTATATATAAATGTATATAAATAAGAAAAATACGAATGGGCTATACAAACATCCATTAAAATTTTGATTTGAAATTTTTTCGTTCGTTTTTATTGCTCCCCGTATCTTTTCATCTTTCATATATAAGCGTACATTTCTTTTAAAAATGTTTAACATTCTTGTAGATTTTGATCATCGCCAATTAACCATAATTCGGCATATAAAAAATATGATTCTCTTTATCTAAATAATACCAGAACTGATCTCAAAAATTTTGATTTATTTTTTACAAATTCTGAATTATTTTGCAAAAGTTCTGATTTGAGTTATAAACTTTAATTTTAGTACACTTTCAGCAATTTCTTAGCATTTCATATGTTAAATATAATGAAAAATATATTACATTTATAACGAGTGGCCATTTTTTTTTAATTTTTTCTTTGCTTCTGAAACAAGTTACGATGATTTCGATAATTATGTTAGAAAAGCTCACCTTTTATAGATTGTCGTCCTATTTTATTTGCTCTTAAGTTCTCGTTAATTTATATATCATTTGCAGTAGTGGCGGACCTTTATGATGATTTTTTGATTTGTATGTTAATTTGGTTGCCGGAGCATCGTTTCATTGCATTACAAATGTCGCTTGTCACAATATGGTTTAATACGTACAGTATCTGGAGATAAATAAACGTCATAAAAGGGTGTGTGTCAGAAGTTGTGTGAGGGTATTATTCGAGCAAAGTGTCTATTACATGCTGCGTGCTAAGTTGTGGCTTCATTGAAGTTTTCGGAAGCATACTGTTCTATGCCGGAAGCATAATGGACTATATCGGACTAAGTAGAAAAACCGATTTTTAAGTTATAAGATCAACAATTTGACATTTATTTTTTGTCAATCATGGAATACTGATATGGTCCATAATTGTTTACGTACTTTGTTCTTGGTACGAGTTTATTATCATCTAGGGGAATATGCAGGAGCCCAAGGACTCGGCTTGCTACGGCTGCATTCGACGTTTCGACACGACTTGAAAATTTACGCGTCTGACGAGGGAAGGGTACAAATGACCGCCGCCGCATTCGCCAAAGGTTTGCTCGCGTTAGAAGGCGAACTGACGCCCATTTTGGTGCAAATGGTGAAAAGCGCTAATACCAACGGCCTGTTAGACAACGACTGCGACAGCAGTAAATATCAAAACATGTAAGTTTTTCGTATTTCGGATGTGTCGCTTCCGAGGTATATTTCGTATGGTTCCTAGGTGCAAGACTAGACTTCATGATATGTTACAAGTCGACAGGGATTTTACGCAATCGGATAGAGATAAAATTAATCCGTGCAATTCCGTTAGTATAAACGAAGCGATAGATTTCGTGAAAAATCCTTACAAATGCTGTGTTCATATTCATAATTTGATTAAATCGTTGATGGAGATTGTTCAAATTAAAAAGGATGACACTAAAACGAAGGGTGAGTGATATGCGTTATTTATAAATACATAAATACATAAAAATTCATTCCTGTGTGATTAACTAAACTACGTTTTGCAAAAACCTAATTGTGGTAGGTCAAAAAAATTCACAAGTAGTATAAATAGAAACGTGTATATAACTGTGAATGCTGTCGAATATAAAACAAGCAGATATCAAACAACAAAAACATCGAAAATGCAAACACCAAAACTTTGTCTTTAAATTTAACAATAGAGTAGAAATAGATTTCTTTTAAAAAAGATGTGTTATCTATTGTCCATAGACATTTTCTATACATTATAAATGATCACAGTGGCCAATCCTAGAAACAGTTCTTAGCAGGTTTTTGCAATTTAAAATAAACAAACCTAGAATCACAGTACTAGTAGTGTAACTTACATGAGTATGCAGTAGAACATGATACATTATAATTAAGTACTTATAAATAATCAACCTTCTTAGTAGCTACAGACTGAGGGCGTTATTTTCGAAAAAAAAATTCTATTGTTTGAATGTTCTTCCAACTTAAGCTTAAATATAATACGCATTTAAACGAATAAATACGAAAACTAAGGTCATAACTACTCAACTACTCTACTCAATAAGTTTCAAATCTGGCAAGCTTCATTTTGGCAGTTAAAAGCTCATGGGTCAAAAGCCTTGGTCAGCTCACATAAGATTAAAGCTCATTGACGGCCTAAAGAGGCCAGCTGACGAATGTGCGTACAAACCTATTTTTACTCTGACTCCGCCATCCAATTTGCAAACGATGGCGCCAAAGCTGTGAAAAATTTCATACCAATTTCCGACCAAATAATCATGGTACAGATGGCAACAACAACAATGGATATTAATATAACTGTATGCCCCAACACAGGACGCAGAAGACGAACAGATAGGAAAGTTCTAGGAACACGTGGCACAGGCACTGTCAATAACAAAGAATCATGAGAAAAAAAATTGGAAAAGAATATGTGGAAGACATAATAGAATACCATGGTTTGGGTATGAGGAATGCTAGAGGTGACCTGTTCGCTGACTTCTGCTCGGAGAAGCAAACGGCCGTAACAAATACAGCTGAGGGCGTCACTGGAGCCGCCAACTAGCATTGAAGAAGTGTAGCATAAGACTAAGGATGCATTGTTAGAGGTGCAGGACTCCAAATTACATCCATTACATTTGATAAAGACACGGTGTTTAAACAATTGTCATGTCAAAATATATAATTTCGTGAAAATCTCAACTTTAAGTTCTTATTTATATTGATAAATGGATTTTCATCAAGTAAAAGCGACCTCAGTTCAATAATCGACAGACTATCTACTTCCTGGCTGTAATTCCATCAATTTATGGATAACTACAATTTATTTTCGCACACTGCGTTCGAAATCGAATATTACGTAATACACACTTGACATTTGTGATTTTTGGTTATGTTTAGTATCGCCTATATCACCTAATATTTTAAAGCTTAATTTGCTATAAACAGTCATGGAAGAAATAGGTGTAAACTCATTAAGGACCCTAAGACGTAAGCGGGACTTCAAAAAAAAATATTTTACCACGCCCCGTATCTCAACTTTTCATGTTAACATTAGTGTTCCTTGCAACTACTGTTAAACGCTCCGTATATTCCAGAAGCAATTTTGTATCACGGGGAAACTTGGGAGCTGATGCATCGAAGATGGGGCAAAATAGAAAAAGATTTCTATATGAAAAACAAGACTTTCGACATAAGCAAGATTCCGGACATTTACGATTGTATTAAATACGACCTACAACACAACCAACATACTTTACAATTTGAACAAGCGGAGGAGCTGTATATCTACGCGAAAAATTTAGCGGATATCGTCATTCCCCAGGTTAAGTGTTTGTGTTAAATTCTTGTTTTGTTTATTTTAAGAACTTTTTTTTTAATTCAGGAATACGGTTTAACTGCGCAGGAAAAATTAACGATCGGTCAGGGAATCTGCACTCCTCTGTTGAAAAAAATTAAGGCGGACTTGCAGAGGAATATAGAAGAGTCAGGAGAAGAATCCGAATCTGTCAATCGTCTAAACCCGAGATATTCGCACGGCGTTTCGAGTCCGGGGAGACACGTGCGTACAAGGCTTTATTTTACAAGCGAAAGTCACATCCATTCTCTCCTTACTGTTTTGAGGCTCGGCGGTTTACTTGATGTAAGTTTTATAAAAATGATGGATTTTGGTCGCATACTTAAAATCGTGTTCTTAAATCGACCAATCTACAAAAGCGGCAACTTAAATAAAATATATATAAAATAAAAATGAAAAAATGTAAATGACCTTTTTTGTTTGATTTCCTTAAATAAAAGAACAGATACTGAAAATCTAAATGGGTTATTATGGTTATTGTTAGTATCGTTTGTTTTTAGCTATATTTAATCGTTGTTGGCTTTCATTGTTGTTTCTCACCTGTATTTTTTATCTTTTTTTTTCTATTTCCTTACATAAGAGGGTTATACGACACGGAATATTGTGGCTAAAATGCATGGTTCTCAAAATGTTTTTCTTTGGGGATGTGTAAACATTTTAATGTTAGTTTCATACTATACGGGTGGTCCCAAAACTATGAAAAATTGTTTTAATTTGGAACCCCTATATATTTTCGCATTTATTAACGCTTATGATGCATGAGAAATATTTAAATTGTCAGGCAAGTTTACAGGAGACTGTCACACATAAAAAATACGTTATAAAACACTTACCGGGTTTTACAGTATGGTCCTTGTTATCCTAAACTAATAACAGGTTTAAGTGACCATAATTTGAATAATTGAAATGGAACATCATATTTTTTAACTACTAACTACTTTTCAATTATGAATGATTTAAGGTGTCCTATAGCTAACTTGGCGTTTTATTATTAATTATGCTTTTTAGTTAGTTTAATTGGCTTTGGTATTCAAGATAATCAGTTCGTTTATTACACGTACACATTTCCTTGTATTGTGCTTTTATAACTAACATTTCCACTTATTTCCATTAGTCTCTTAAAAACATTTGTGTTGGGATGATTTCTTCTAGAAAATCTTTGATCATAAAGTCGAGAATCCCAAAAACAATTTTGATGGTATTCTCCAAGAATAAAAATAATTTCAATGCGCTCTTTTTTGGTCTAAACAATACATCTACATGACCAACTATACAACAGTTACAAAAAATAATATTTTTATGGCCAAACGAGACAAAAACTCACAGCCTAAATAAATTATTTAATATTTTCAAATTGCATAGGCAACGAGAATCAATAAAACTTTAATTTAGAAAAAACTTAAAAGTATTATAAAACATACCATAAACGCCAAAAGTTAGCGTCGTAATATTTGAAAAGTACATTCCCAAGAATATGGTATTCCATTTAAATTAATCAAGTATAGCTATTAGATTAGAATAAATTTTTGCCCATCCTGTATAGGAGGGAATTTTTTTATATAATTGAGATATAAAATACCTACTTTAAATTTCGCTGACATAATTTAAACACTTATGTATTTCAGAAATTGAAATTAGATTACATTTGGACAAATTATTTACAAAACGTAAAATTTAGGTATCGTAGAATCCAAAAATGCTATTCAATTTCAAATTCAAATTTCAGACTTTTAACATTTTTGTATGATATATATCCCAGAAGTAAAACCTTGAAAATTGGTCACAATATTCCGTGCGAATTAATGTGAATAATTATATAATGTATATAATTACCAAGATGGTAAACGACTAGCGATAGTAATCTGTATTGTTTCATATGCATTTACAATTATTCTTTTTTTTTTGCTGGCATTTTTATTGAATATTACGATTTATTATTATTGGTCGATTTAAGAATACGATTTTAGGTATATCAGATCTCTTTTAACCCCGAAAAAGTCAATTTTATTGGCGAAACGTCGACCACGTAAGAAATAGATTTTTCGTAAACCCCCAAAAAAACTCATCAATTTATTAATATGGAAAGAAATTACCGATTACCGATTTTACCGTCGGGTTGAAGGTCACCAAAGATGAACAGTGGCGGCGCGCCATGGAATACGTCTCGATGGTTTCAGAATTAAATTACATGTCGCAAATAGTGATAATGCTCTATGAAGACCCTACCAAAGATCCGTGCAGCGAAGAAAGGTTCCATATAGAATTACACTTTAGTCCCGGCGTTAACTGTTGTGTACAGAAAAATCTTCCACCTGGACCCGGTTTCAGACCCCATTCGCGTAACGAGTCTACAGCTAGCAAAACTTCTGTAAGTTGTATTTTTAATGATATAGCAAAACACACAAATAGTTTCTTTTTTCGTGTATTTTTGAAATATTTCCTCAACCAGCGTTGCCAATTGGCAATTCAAATAGAACATTATGTACGTTTTCTGGTTTGACGTAAAATATACATATACCTTTCCTTTACTTAAAAAAAAAGACAGCAAAATACCGCTTTATTAAAGCTGTAATAATAAATATCTTTTTTCTACTCGCTCCGCCCGTGCCAAATAAACTCGTGAGTCAAATGCCGTTTACCGCACTTGTTGCCTAATATACTATTACCTAAGTGAGCTATTTCAAAATTTTACTGCGGATAACTAATATATTTGTTTGAATGACGAATGCGCCACTTTAAATGTCAGTCATACAAAATAGTAACAGTAAAATCTTTTTTTGCCACTCTACATATTTTACATAACCGTTAAGCTATTTAGTAGTTTATCCACAAATCTCCATACACGTCGCTGTACCCATCAGCATCTTATGTTGGAGTCAACATAAATTATTCATCTAGTTGACATTGTTAATTTTATATTTTAATAAGTAATAAAAGAGAAGTGGATAATAAGAATATGACTAATGAATATTTTATCAACATAAGAGAAAGAATGGCTGCCAAAATAGAGTTGGCCCAGCGCTCCTGTAATAATGACGATTAATGTACGATGAATGTTTTTAACTTCAGTTACGGTAAAGGAGATAATAGAACACATAAATACTATAAATAACAATTGTGTCTGGGAAAGGATAAAATTACTATAAAAATCTTAAAGTTTTTAAGCTTCAATTTTCTTATTAGTAACTATTCTACAGCCGTCAATTTGGTTTTACTCATGGTATGAGTACACTAATGAAGTAATCATGGAGCTCGCTAAGCGAATTCTGGATGGCGTGGGCGTATTAATTGATAAAAACTTAAAATGGGGTAATTATATTTGACAACAATAGCATTTTTATTGCACTACCAGAAGGTTTTTCCAAAACAAAAAAAATATATTTTTTAAAACTCATTTATAAAACATTAGTTGAACCGCTTCTATGACATGCCATTCTTCCATGGGGATAAGTACAGCCGGATTACAATATAGTATAGTATATTTGCATTGTTAGTTTTAGTTAGTTAAAAAATCTAAGAACCAATCAACCATAACTAACAAATACGAGCTAATATTCACAGAAATAATATTGTCCCTAAAAGTATGATTAGTTTTTATGTAATATTTTTTTTAATTTTCTTATTTTAATTAAATTGATAATTTGATAAACTAATTAATTTTAGGTTTAAACCTATGTCTATGCCTATGTCAAATATCGTAATACTAGAACTTGTGGTTATGCTTTGAAAGTAAAATATTGTAATATATTATAATACTATTTCTACAGGCTATAAGTAACCGTACAAATAATCATTGATGTTGCAATAAAAACCTGAACTTTTTGAACTAGTTCATGTAGCTTCTCATGAGGATACATTGTAACCTCAAACTCGTCTAATAGCGCTCAGAACTAGTTCGAGATCGTCTTGAAAAGCAAGATGTTGCATATTATGTAAAATTCGTTTCAATAATTGATAAATAATTTTTTTAAGAGTCAAAATACTTCTTCAACGGCAACACCCGAGGACGGCAAGGGGCAACCTAGAATAGAAGAGGAAGTAGAAAACTCCACGTTTGAAGACGAAAGGCTCGTAATAGATTCACCAAAGGCTATAGATTCCCCCACCTACATTTCTCCTGAAACATCTCCCGAAATTTCTACTACGTTTCTCGCAATTAACAAAAGACAGTTGAAAACAAGTTCACCTATTCCTATAGGGTAAGTGCGTGATTTCATTATAGTATTTGCACATCGCCCATAATTTTTTTGTATGCATTTAGAGAACATAAATGAAATCCATTAATAGCAATTGGACACTAGAAAAATCAATATTCTAAGATCTGTTTCCTTTTTTCAAACGTAAATTAATTTCTCAAAGAAACTTTCACAGGCGACTTTGATACTATTTACAAAGCTTTTGGATTCCTCCTACGACGGTTGTCGATAAATTGAATTTAAAAAATATGATTATTTTTTCAGTAACAAAACACGAAATGAAATAACGTCAAATCTATATATCTATCTATTTATCTATCTAAATCTATTAACAATTTTTTAATTGTAGTTTACATTGTTTCTGTGAAATAATATTTTGTAGAGTTATTCAGGCAGCATTAAACAATTTGGTACACATTTAATGGGATAATTTCTTGGTTAATACAAGTCTGAACAGCTACATAGTCGACATCTGTGGAGCTTCCACCATAGCCATGTTAAGAAACACTAAACACTCATGGACTGCCATTATACCTAATATTTTAAATTTGTATCTGCAACTGTAAATACTTCATTTTCATAATAATTCTAGTTACCCTTTTTTGTATATTAAAAATGTTTCTTCTTAAGTTGTGGCTTCCCCAAAACATGATGGCAATTTTAAAAACAATTAAAACTGGCGAAGTATAGGGTTCTAAATAGTCTGTGCAAGTTTCCTTGACAAATAGCACCGCCATTTTTTAATATACTGAAGTGATTTGATTTGAGAATGATTGATGAATGAGAAAAAAATTAGCCGTAGGTTTATTTGTAGACTTAAGTAAGGCGTTTGATTGCCTAGACCATGAAATTTTGTTGCATTTAATGGATAGATATAGTATTAGAGGTAAATCATCCAAGTGGATAAAATCATATTTTTCCAATACAAAGCTGCATGTAATTGTCAAAAATGAAAGCAAAGCTATGAAATCGGAAATTTTTGAAATGAGGATAGAGATAACGCAGGGTACTATACTAGACCAATTTTATTCACCAACTTTGCGGCCGACACTAACATATTAGTACCAGGAGAAAACATATCTGTGGTTACAAAGAAAACCACAAATGTATTTCATGAAACAAATTTATGGGTTAGGCAAAACAAACTAATAGTTAATAACAGTAAAAGAAAGGGCCTTATTATAAATGCATTAGAATGTACAACCATCTACAAAAATTCTGTGAAATGTTTTTAATGCAATCAGAAACTTTAAGAAAGCTGTCAAGGAAATGTTACTGACGAACCATAATCACTTAAAGAATGCTTAGGTTAATTGTATGTATTAATGTTAATTTTTCAAAGAAACTTCCACAGGCTACTACATAGTTTTTATAAAACTTCTGGATTCCTCCTGCGTTGGTTTTTGTTGAGTCGAACTAGCTAACGTTTCGCCAATCATCCTGTTTGTTGACTTGACTGAAACTGGCTCGCATTTTACTCTGTACCTGCTTTTATGTTGTTTGAGGGGGGGCGGAGCTAAATGAGGGGCATAAACAACCTTTCGCGGTTAAAATTGTTAGGTTGCTTATAGATTTCTATAGACTCTCGGATTTTTCGTTGATTTTAAATTGAATTGAATGGATTACATGCAAGAATTTTAGTTTTATCGGATAAAACTTTATGTCCGGTTTCGTGATTGTGTTCGGCAACTGCTGATGAGTTTATTTGTCTTAGTCTTAAGGCTCCTTCATGTTCTTTGAACCTAGTTGATATTTTTCGTGCGGTCTCTCCTAAAAATGTATTAATGTTGTTGTCGACATTATTTCATTTGTTTTATTGTTATTATTATTATCATGAATACCGCAACAATTTCTTCTGCACTGGCCAGTTTTAGAAACATTGTATTTACATTTTGTCTAATATAACAACTAAAAGGAATATGATCCAATTTACTCAAAAAATCTGGTACAACCATAATTTAAAAAAATCTTATATTTCATTTCGGGGATTTTGGTTTTTTCCTTTATTTCTTTATACAATAAAATTTTAAAATTAGACTTGTTATCCGATTTTTTTAATCGGTCTTCATATCATGTGTTATACTGTCATTCCCCGGTTTTTCATTTTTATACCTATCTTTATATTGATCATCATACCTTTGATTTAGTTAAGAAAAAATTTAATCTACTTTCTATAATATTTAAATCTGACACCCATTTAATTTTAATTGATTCATATTTAGTCTTTTTAAAACACTGAAGTTTTAAGCTGTTCAGTTTGTAAAATCAATCTTGTATAGTTGCACAGACGAATACTGAAAAGTTTTGTTTAGAAGTGCCCACACTGTCAGTGGTCACGAAGCTTTTCATTTGGCAAAGTGTTTAACTGAGGAATTGGCCAACCAAGCCACGCAACAAGCCCGAAACTTCGGAAATCGAAAACCAAGCCCAGATTCCGAACCGAGATCGAGGAGCTACGACCATAAAAGTCCCCAGAAGAGCGGAAAAGGTAAGTGATTGTTTAAATGATTATTGCTTTTTATCACTGCGCTATTCTGACCATTGTTGTTATTTATTCCTTTAATGATCATTAACGTGCCAAAAGACAAAAATGAATAACCGTATAAATGTATGTTGTATAGTTATTCAAACGAAACGTACGAACACTTGATGATACTGATTTATCGTGGTTAGTAGCTGTTGATCCTCCTCTGGTCATACATTTGCACAGATATTCAAGAAATTTTTGTTTATTTTATTTATCTGTCTTCTAATTGTCAATACTCAAACTTGTCTTTTTTTAGTGCACCAATAAAATTTGGGTCATTTCAAAGTTACTTTTCTCCCCAGCCGTCTACTCCCTTCCTGCCCACTCGATTTAGATATTTTTTAATTGTATGTTAACAAACATTTTAATTTTAAGTTAGGCTTGTACAGAGTTTTTAAGAAAAAACAATTTTACACTCAATGTTTGTCACTTTCTGTGGAAATTCCTGTCAATAGTATTAGGCGTCTCTGTAAGTCAGTACATAGCTCTATCATCTCTCAGCATTTTTTAAATTCTTGTCTTTATCTCACTCATTAAGTGAAATGCGGAGTTCAGTTTCAAACGTAACAATTACCAATTGACATAGGCGACTCGTACTTTGATCCATATGTTTAATTTGTGCCTAATCGATATTAGTCCATATTTAACTGATAATGTTTTCTACTTCATCCAAGGAGACTGACTATCTACCCATTTGATCCCATAATTAGGTTAACGTCTGGATTTGCACACTTCATTTAATAATTGGGATAGATGGGGCTATGGGATCATTTAGACAGACACGTAACAATGGTGACGAGAATTTCCACAGAACGTGACAAACAATTTAAATAAAATTGCTTTTCATAATACCATTTCCTGAAGACCAGTTCGCGAGAAAATTAACTTTGAAGTTGACCCAAACTCTAGTGGTGCGTTAATGTTGATGCCAAGTTTATTTGATTTAAATTTAATTGAATTATATTCTCTCATTCTGGGCAGATGAAAAATTACATCAAAGTCTGGACGCAGTTAACAGCTCAGGTATGAATTTAAGTGGTTACTTATATGTTTGACACTTGATCGATCTTTTTGTGCTGATTTCAGTTTTTTAACCACCACATACATACATAGTAAAGCTACCATCTCTCCTAAAATCGTATTAACCAGATTAAGGATCATATCTGATATATATTAATATGTACTACTTGACCTATAAAATGAATTTAGATACGTATAAAATATTTTGAACAATAACTAAACTATTTATTCGGTAGCCTTCACTGTGTTGCAACTGCCCCAGCTAATTTAGATTTCTGCTGAATATTTGTAACCCTTTTTTGCAGCTTCTATAATTATACGTACTATTACACACATTTATTGTACCAGTTTTTATGCCTGTTTTTTTAAGTTTTAATTTCAGGATTTTCCATAAAACAACTTGATTTTGTCTTTCGCGGAAGCGAAGTATTTTTTTTTTGCTTCACATAAATTCCGACATAAATTTTAAAAAGCGGCATTGAAAAAGTCTATTTTAACGACACCCATGATCATGTACCATGTTACGCAATATTAGTATAAGCAAAGTAAGTCGAGGATCCAGTAATTTAAAAATGTATATGTTAAGTATACGCAATTTATAAAGCGAGAATAACTTATAAGCTAAACAGTTGATATAACTGAAAACTAATATAAGGTACACTTTTGAAATGCGTTTTATAAAAACCGTTATGATTTTGTCAATTTACGCTTCTGGTATGTGTTATGTGGTTTTTCGCAAAACCGGAAGTGATAAATTTTTTGGATGCCATTTGTCTCAGGCATATAATTAGAAATGAATTACAGAAGGCTTCGCTTAGCATGAGAAAAATCAAGTTGTAAAATAACTCATCTGTTTGGTAAAACCGTGCGTTTGGTGTTTTTATATTTTTACCGGAAGGTACGTTAAATTCTTGCCCTACCGCCTAGAACTTAACGTATCTTCTTGCAGCACTGGGTTGCGTATTTTATCCTTTACTTACACGTTCACCCTTATCGCAAGATATCGAATGACCGGTACTTTCTTATTTTGCGAAAATCCCTCAAACGCTTTGCTTTGTGCATGTTTTGGTGTGATTTATTCCGATTTTATAAATTATTCAATTTTTTGCACTTAATTTTTAATTCATCTAAACTAAAAACTGAGTAATTGTTCATTTTATATATAAAAAGATAAATTTAATGTTTTGTGATATTTTGTTGTTATATCTTATATCTTATATTATATCTTGTTACAAGAGTACGAAAAAATACAAGTTTATGTTGTGCTAATATGACCTTTAAATTAATGAAAATTAAAAGCGTATTGCTAACAAGAACCGAAAGAGTGCATTTCTAATAGCGGATATTCCATCTAAATGCCCCAATAATTGATCAGATTTCGGGTGTAAAGAATAAGGTTCCCTTCCTATAATAAGGCTTCTTGCAATTCAAGTAAACTTAAAGAAGAACGACTTCGTATTCTTCGCCCATCTGTATTAAACGCTGACCACTCCAAAGCAGCAGTATTGTTAATTAATGCTTGCAAAGTGGGGTCTGGTATTCTCATGCACCTCTCCTTTAAAACTTAAAACAAAATCTTCCAGAATTTCTTCAATGTACCTGAAAACGGTCAAAAATCCTCTTGGAAAGATGTACAACTCTGTGTGTGTCTCCAGATAAATTCCAGCCCACACCATAAATAAACTTCCATGATAGCCTACCCTATGATCGAAGGTATACTCTGCAAATTGTGGTCTTCACCATATCTTCTCACGACCATCTGCAGGCTTAATCTCGACTCATTAGTAAACAAAATGTCCCTTCATTCATTTTCATCCCAGCGTTTCATGATTACTGGTAACGCATGAAGACTTTTGTTTAGAAGGTCAAGAACATGTTAATTTTTTTTTAAATTAGCCGAAAGCCATTTTGCATTTGAAAAGTGAGGGGTCCTTTGTGCAGTTTTTTATTTTACTACATTTTTATTGAAACTCAGTTTTCCTTTCAAGAAAGCGGTCGATTGTTGTTTTTTGTTTGTGTTAAGTTATTAGAAAAATAAAATATCACGAAACATTAAATTTCTTTTTTGTGGATAAAATGTGTGGAAGTGCTCCGTTTTCCGTGCCGGTGATCTTTTTTATGTCTTTGGAGTTGATCCGAGAATTTCAGTCGCTCTGCTTGAGTAAGTCTACTCCTCTCGAGTTTTAAAATAGTCGAGTTATTGTAAATAAATTATTTATCTTGTTTACTTTTTAACTGTTTATTTGGATGTGCTACTAGTCTTATAAATTACTTACTGTAGTTTAAATTGTGAATTAATAAAATTCAAATTAAAATTTCTGAAATCAGACACTTTATACATCATTGAGTTTTTCATAAAAACAAGGCATGTTTTTTCCCTTCTTGTTGAAAATTATTTATATCAATTTTATCTTCAATGCTAGTGCTACATTACACTGAAACTAATAGCCTATTCAATAGTGTAACGTGTAAGCGAGTTTAATAATTTAAAAATTAAATAATTAACAGCGTGGAACTGATTGATAGACAACAAAAAATTATTCTCTAGGTTTTTAGTGGAATTCTCGGTGTATTGTTTCAATATTTATATACATGGTTATTCAAACTTGCTGGTCTATTGTTAGAAGCATATGGAGAATGGCTTAATATAGGCTTTTAAAAATTGGGACATTGCAGTATTGCTACTCAAACCACAGACCAACTTCATTTTTTTAAATTGGAACACGAAAATTCCTAATGTGTTTTTAGATAAAAAGTTGAAATTTTGTTTACGTCTTATCAAAATTGGGTTCCTTTTGCCAAACATATAAATGTAAATGAAACTTAAAATTAAAATGGCACCTTCTGTATCTTATTGGGGCAATAAAAAGAACCATTTATTAATTTTGATTTCGCGAATTTATAGTCAAACAACGATTTATTAATATAACAAAGTGAATAGGGGTTTCTGTAGCTCAAAAGTGTGAGTTTCATCTGTTAAACATTTCGTTTTTTCCCTCGTCGGTTCGAATAATTTTTAATGTAATTAATAATTATGCATTTCATTTGTATTGGCGCCTGAGGATATGAATAAAATTTATGGTTGATTATAGTTTTTAAAACTTATCACGTCCTCTGATTTGGATAGAGCTTATTGAAGTTGGTGCATGGTGCATCTTACTGCACTAGACATTGGATATGAAATAAATAAATAAATAAATATTATTTTTGCCGTATTTAAATAACATTATTTATATAATAATATGAATTATTTAATAAATACTATCTTATTCAACTGTCCAAGCGAATCGTCAAGATACTGTTAAAAACTCTTTAAACTAAGTATATGGTATGTTAATTTTTCAAAGAAACTTCCACAAGCTACTGTAATACTTTTTACAAAACTTCTCGTCAGCAAGTTCGACTCAACAATAACCGACGCAGGAGAAATCCAGAAGTTTTGTAAAAAGTATATAGTATGTTATGATACTTTTAGATCAAGAATGAATCGTTCTTTTTATTGCCGCAATAAAATAGAGAGAGTATATATTTTGTTTAGTTTTCATTTTATTATTTCTTCGGATTTTTATGAATTTTTATATATAAACCTATAACGTATTTATTGGCCGCGAGTACAGCACCAAGAAGTTATTCTTTTACTTGTCTTCGCGGTATTAAAGTCTTGAGCTGGCCAGCTGTACCCGCTAGCGCTGTTAGGCGCATGCACCACTAAAAATCACGGTGAATCGGTCGCTCTCATAGTGTTTTTCAAAAAGTGCCGTTGAACGCATCAGGTCATACGCGTGGTGATCAACAAATTTCCTCGCCACCCGAAGCACAGAGGATGCAGCACGGGCCGGCCACTCCGGAAGGAAGACCAAAAGCGAGGTACGGTCAGTTAAATTCTTTTGGTCCTGTCTCGAGTAATTTTTGCGCGGACAAATCATATTTATTTACTTACTTACATTTTATTCCATAATATGATACAGCAGACTATTGTTAAGTCATAAATGAAATTTCAGATTTTTAACAAAAATTCTTTTCGCGAAATTTTCAAAAAAAAAAATTTTTTAGCTCCAATGTTACACAGAAGTTTTCGTAATTTTTCGTAGAATGCAAAAATAGAATAATATACAGCGCATTCCATTAAAAAAAAATAAGGTGTGTATGTGTGTGCCTCGAGTAGATGTGGCAATGCCCCAATGTCCCAAATATTTTAAAAAATAATTTTTAAACGCCTATCGTTTTCGATTCTCGAAATACTCCTAATAGGCCTTTTAGTTTGGGGAAGTGTTTTGCTTTATATAAAAAAAAACAATTTTAAGATGGGCGGGTTCGTTTTTGCAAATTTTAAATTTCGGAAAATATCGTTGATGTGCTTTAGAATATGTTGGTGATGGTAGAACGTTTTACTGACTTTTTTCTTCTTTTTCTTTTTCCTCCGACCTCGCTTGGCTCTCCTCGTGTTAACGCACTTGCGTTCTATTATGTTCTACGACGCACGCAGCACTAATCGATACCGATCTTTGTCAGATTTCCATTAACCCTCCCAAAACCCTACCCGTTCAAACAGTTAATCCGCAAAATTTCAATATTTTAAACTCGAAGAAGTATTATTTTCGATCGATTAAGGAGAATTTGACTCCCATATCTGGGTCGCTCGATATCGATTCATCGAACGAAATCGAGTCAAACGAAAATGACCACGTGTCGCTTTCCAGACCTCTCAGCGCCACAAACGAGTTACCCTTGACAGAACTAAACTTGGCGATTTTCACTTCGGAACTCGAATTTAAACATTCTTGCGAGAAAAATAGCACGAATGAACTACCTTTGTCGGCCATTAAATTCAAAAGCAGGTCTTGCAAACTGCTGAAACAAGACAGTCAAAACGACAACGTTTCCCTGGAAGCTAATTTTGACACCGACATCAAAGATTGCGATGGCGATAAAAGATCCGTTTTGTTTCGGCGTTCCTTTTCCGACCCTAACATTCTTGAAAATGAGTGGATTAACTGCGCGAGCAAACGTTTCCTCATGGAAAAATATAACGACAGCCTTAAACGCGAGCCCAACAGACTCTCGCCCGCCGAAGTATCCCGCATACCTTATAGCTTTTATCCCGAGCACGATCCCGACGTTTCATGTGTGCTTTGCGTCCCCCGTCGCCCCGCGAACCTCTTGTCCTTTTTCACATCGTCGAGACGTGCGGCACGGTCGTTCTCGCACCCCACCGATCCTCCTCGTGTCGCCACCAACCCTTGCGTGTCCTGTTCAGAGTGCGGCCAGACCGTCAAACGCCATCGTCACAGTATTGCCGGGCAGATGAGCTACTTTAAGATGTTGGGATTCAGTTGCGGCGGCCCGGCCGGCTTAAAGAAACTCGTAGGGAGCAGCACGAACAGCCTGTTCTCGACGGCGGTGATTTCGGGAAGTTCCAGCGCTCCCAATCTCCGTGATATCATTTCGAATACGGGGAGCGCGTCAGGTCAGTATCGGACGAAACTACCTTCCTTTCGAACATTAAGTATTTTAAACATACAGCTATTAGATAATGTAGTGGCCTTGGCGTGTGCCTGTAAATTTCACCACCTTACTTGCACTTTGCGCCATTTTCCTTCTAGACGGCGGTCACCAAATACTTAACTCATTTTTCCAGAATATTTAACGAGATCTGAGCATATTTAGAGAAAATACTGCCTTAAAAATGATACATCTAAATTGAAATTTATTGAACGCCGCTAGGTCTTTTGATAGATGACAAAATGAAAAAGTCGCTTTTTCAGGCAGTAGACTGCTAGGTTCAAATCGTATTGTAGACAGTTTTTTCACTATACAATAAACACTAACCAAATTTTCCACTCCTGGATTTTTTTAAACGTGCAATTCTTTTGAACATTTTAATATGATAACAAAAATGGAGAACTTTGAATGGACATTGTTAACCTTGCACAACGATATCCTCAATTCAATACTACAAACATGGTTTACGAAAAACAGAACAAACTTGTGCAAGCGATTTAAACAAAATCGACAACGAACGAACTATTTTGTTGTATGCCAATTCGGGAATTTTTTTTGTCCTTTTGGCGAATGCGCCGGAATTGTAAATTTGTAGTAATTTCAAACTATTTTACAATTAATGAGTACAGTTTGTAAATTTTGAAAGGTATTGTAAATCTGATAATTAATTCTTTCTCAAACAAACAAAGAACCCTCATCATTTTATTTTTCATGATACCTCTTTATGTCAATAACAATAACTGTACCGTAGAAATTTTTAGGTAGTCTTAATTATTATGTAACTGATAAATTTCTAAAATTTACAAAGTATAATTTTTATTGCTGACTGGGTTAAAATTAGTAAAAATAATTATTCTAGCGCATTCGCCAACAATTGGAAACATTGCGAGGTAAGATGTCTAATGTTTTTGGTTGTAACGCAACAATTTCATTTTATTTTGAGTGCAAACGATTAATACATGTGTATTGACCATATGAACAAGTGACGTCAAACTGTACCGGGTATATAATATTTTTTGCTGTGTTCGGAACTGTAAGGGGAATTATAAGAAATGACCAAAAATGACAATTTTCTCATTCTCACCATTTATTATTTATATAAACATATATTTATTTATTTATAAACATATATTATTTATAAACATATATTTATTTTATGTCGAGTAAATTTTTTTGTATAACAGAATTTTAACTTTTGAGTCAGCTTGACATGAAATTACCAAAATTACATGTTCTAATAAAACGGGATAGAAAAAGTACCAACTAATATAAGTCCAGTTTCAGAACAACTACCTGGAAAAAAGGAGCAAATTAATTTATTTATTTATTAAGTTTCGAGCCAAACTAGGTTACCATACTCTTGTTCTGCAACCAACAATCATTTTGAATATGTCCTCATGCCTATAAGTTTTTTGACAACTCTGAAAATGTTTTCATATCCTCGTCCAAAACCATGATTTATTTAGAAAAATAAAATAAAATTTTCAAAATACAACTACGCCACCGCTGTATGAATTGTTAGACCATTTTTACGTATTCTACATATTTGGATTTTTTAATCTCTCACCTACATCTGATGTTATAAACGATATGCAACCGATATATCGCTACCTTAATGTGATGACTCATACTTGTGTTGACTGAAAACGAGGTTTCAAATGACCGCTTATGATGCTCATATTAAATAATCCATCTCAATATTTTTTTCCTTTATCGCTTCAAAAATTATTGCGGTCACTGTATATCTAGTAGTTATATGATTTTAAATAGTAGTATACATTGAGATATATTATGTTGTGATTATTTTCCCTGGTTTATCCACTTTTCGCTGTTTGTTTTTCTGAGAATTTTGTTCTCGCAAATTTTTCGATTTGAGCCGTTTTTTCCAGTGTCGTACTAACGAAACAAACGGTGATAAGCGCCAAGAGACGACTAATTTGCTCTAAAAATAAGAGTTGTTTAGATTCATTTTTAAACTGTTATATTGCTACATTTTCGTGGAGAAGCAATAACTTTTTTATTTTAAATGGAACACTTTTAATAATAAGGTGGTTTTGAATTTCTCGAAATTAATAACCTATACTACATATTTCGAATTTTTTCTCAAAAGTGATTTGTACAAGTCGAAATATATTTTCTGAAAGGCTTGTTTGAGATTGATAAACAGAAACAGGTGGGCCAAAAATAAACCTTAAAACTTTGAATAAAAAATCTTTAAAAGCTTTGTAATTTCAAACGCTCCATTTTTATTTTATCAATAATTTAACAATAATAATATTTTAACTTTATTTTTTAAATATTTTTAAAATATTTTGATACCTTTATCCCATAATAAAAGACCGCCCTTCATATATTTTAAGTTAGTAAATTAAAATTAAATTATTTCGCTATTGTTTCAACCTATCCTCAGACTCGCTAGATAACCTAGACGAAATTAGATTATAGGTTATTTAGAAAATAAAATTAAACACTATATAAACCCACATATTTAGTTCTACATTAAGCTAATGTGGATAAGTATATTTTAAGTAGTGCAATTTTGGTTTATGCGTAATATTTTTTTTTTGTTAAAAGTGTGCAACGCGTGTTATTGTTAATTTATTTGAACAAACATTTTAACAGATTGGAAGGCGACTTTTAAGCCGGATTTATTTAACAATTTAAAAAGTGCTTACTGCGTACACTATGCGTACAGTATTCACATGAAAACCCTTTCTGCAAATTCCTATTTAAAAAACTTTTAGCAATTGAAGGTTTTGGTGGCGTTCCACCAATTAGACCCTTGGAGACGTTACACAACGCTCTTTCGCTAAAGCAGATAGACATGTTTTTGGATCGTATGACCACCACTCCACTGTATCGTACTCCTTCGTCGACACCGCCGAAAAATCCGTCAACGCCGTTGCCTACACCTACGAGCAGTTCAACGGGATATGCTTTGTCATCTTTGCGATGCGAATCCCAAAAACTACAATCACCTTGTAACAGTAAGTAACCTTTATTTAAATATATATCTCACAGAAATTGTAAACACGAAACATTTTCAAAACATTAATGAGCTTCAAAGTTTGGGGTTGATTAATAGATACAGTTTGGCTAAAAACTAATATTTAAAATTTGACTAAAAAATCGTAAATGGTATATTATAAGTGTGGTGTGATGATCATTAAATGAGTGGCTTAAAAAGTTTACCAAACGTTTAGTTTGTGGGTACACTTTTTCAAAAACAATACGGATACATTCAAGACCACAAAATGACACTTTCCGCAGACTGATGCCCAATTGGGTATATCAGAAAAAATTACAGCAGGGTATACCAATAGACCACATTTTATATCCCAATCACAAAAAAAACTCGTCTTATTCGGGGTGGCCTAACATGTATCCTAACCTAATAGCAATTTTCACTTGATTTTACTTAACACCACTTGTCTTTTTTATGAGGATACATACAACCCCGCACCAGAAAATATGAAAACTGCATACAACACTCTAATCCGACAAATGTCTAAAGTTAGCAATACTTTCAAGAAAAGAATATTTCGAAAATTGTGAGTACATGTTTTTTTTCATTTTCATAACATAACATAAGATGTTATTGTTTATAAAACCTATCTAGTTGTTGCACCATTAGTATTTAAATATGCCACAAATTCTAACTTTTACTCTTAATAATAGAATGTACCAATGTGCAGTCTTAATAAAGTACCAGAGAAAGTGATAAATGCAGTCATAAAATATCTAAATTCACAGTCCATCTAATTAAGGAGGCTTTACACCTAAAGCAGATCTAATTGACTACCTGAATAAATTATCTATCATTTCTAAATGTCAGGTCTGTTTAAACACTTTTTATATATTTGCGAAATTAAAATTAGGTTACATTTGTTTCAACATGTTATTTAAAAAAAACTAAAGTTTAAGTGTCACAAAAGTTATTGAAAAATGACAAATTTGATACTTGCACTTTAAAGATCGCAATAAAAAAACTATTTGAAAACTTTGTACTTTGCCCACAATATTCCGTGCCGTATAACGTCAATAACCTTGTATATCGTGAATCTCTGTACCCATATAGTCAAAAACAAAAATTCATAGTATTTGGTATTTCGGCAAGACTTTAGGATGCTACAAAAGAGAGTAAGAAAAGCCAATAATAGCATTGAGGTTGCTGGTCTGGGGATATATAACAGGTGGTCGGATGCAATTAACAAAGTATTGTTGGTTAAGTAACCAACTTAAAAGAATGATGTTCTGGCTGTGACCTGTTATTATAATGTAACCTAACTTTTGCGCTAAATATGTTCTCATATATCGTGCAGTTCTTTTTCCTTCACACATTTTTCGAAGTATTAGCTGTATAATTATAATATGCTAAATATTAGAATGTTATATTTCTATGACATCTCTTTTTACACAAATGTACAAATTTGCAAATAAAAGTCGAGCTCATACGGGGTTAGTTAGTTAAATATATAGTTGGAATTATTAAGGGTAAATTTACGAAATTTAGTATATGGGGGTTTTTAATTAGGCTGGACCAAGTGTTGAGTTATGCGACTTTGCCACATTTATGTTTTTTTCCTAAGCTACCAAACCAACACCTTAGCTTAGAGTCGAAATTCGAGCTCAAACACCAAATGAATGCTCTCCAAAACATCGTACAGGAATTTGTAGCCCGGATGCCAGTTTAAACATTTATTAAAATAAGAATCTTTTTCGTTGTTTTTAAATAGATTTTATTGTTATTTAAATTTACCAATAACTATAAATATGCCAACATCACCTATATCACCATTGAAATAAACTTCCACAGGCTACTGTATTACTTTTTACAAAACTTACAAACTTACAAAATGCGAGCGAGTTTCAGTCAAGCTATGAAAAAGTCAACAGGATGATTATTGAAACTTTAACACGTTTTGTAAAAACCATTGAACCTAATTGGAAACCCCCGTATACTAAATTTCATAAATTTCTGTATATTACATTCGTTATTTCTGTTATTTAAAGAAGTTTTGTAAACCATTTTATTATTTATGTGCTTAAGCTTGTTTTATCGTATTTTCAAAACTTTTTTTTTAGGTATCGGCTGGAGTGGTCCGCCAAGTTTCGTATCGAGTAGCGGACCCTCGTCGCCCGGTCTGTCGGATCCAAATTCCAAAGAAAGTAGCGAAATGTCGTCGAGCATCATAAGTACTGACGGGTATAGAAAAACCGGCCATTAAAAAAATATAATATCCCTCGAACTTTGCTTATTAGTTCATGTTTTGTTTATTTAATTTCGCACTGTATTTGACGCACAAAAAACATTATTGGGGTTTTGATCCACTCTTCTGGAAGGGGAAGAACGCAAGACAATTTCGAGCGTTCCCTGTGAAGCTCTAATTTGGTAGTTTTTAAAAATTATTGATAGGGAAGTTTGTACAAACCGTGGTAATAACTTAAATAAATATTTTTTCGTCGAATCAGTGAGATACTTTCTGTTTCTTAATCTAAATTTAACATTTGTAAAACCATAAGTAACGCAAAATTAGAGGTCCATTCTGCATACCCCTGTAAGATTATCTGTAACTTTACACAGTTGTTGCGATCCTGCATGCTAGTTTTGTCTTACCGAAATGTCAAAAATCACTACAGATTTAAATAGGTAAAATTTTATTTATTTTATTTTTATGAGATTGCCAAAGAAACGTTAGATGGAATACCAAACGGATCAAATGGATCCGTTTGGTATTCCACAGCGTTTATTCAAATATTTAGGCTCAATAAGCAATAGGCCATGAATTTAATAAACAGCTTACATTAATATATTAGAATTAGAAAGAAAAACTCTATTTAACTTGTCAGTAAGTAAATAAATAGTTATGCACCCAAGTAACATTTTTTGTGTTATAATGGTAAATGTTACATTTCGATTGCTCTTACAGATTACTATTTTATACCTATCAATTGTTGGCGAAACGTTTTCGTTACTCTTGTAAAACCTCTATGACAATTAAATAGAAAAACTTTGAAAGGTAACGGTGACCAAATAAAACTTACCCCCATTCACATGTAAGAGGTTCCGTTGCCTTTATAAACCATAATTAACTTTTATAAGGGCAAGAAGTTTTCGTTACCGCTATAAAATCTAGATACAGTGTTTATAAATACCAAATAAAAACGCCGCTTTTCATTGCTCTAAAGTTCAGAGTAATGAATTTTTACTTTGAAATTATTAGAAAAATGTGTTATTAAGTAAAAAAAAATATCGAATAATTTAGTGTTTTACCCTAACTACAATTGAAGCGCTCTTGCTTTCAGCACTTTGAAAGATACTTTTGGTAAAACCCTTAAAGTTACAATTATGTTTCATGATTTTTTTTTAAAATTAAAATTATTCTGATGATTTTTTTTTAAAGCAATTTTCACAACCTATTTACAATACTTCTGGATTCCTCCTTAACTGAAACAGTTTCTGTTAAGCTCTGAAGATGTCAACAGGATGATTGGCGAAACGTCAGCAAGTTCGACGCAGGAAGAATCCAGAGGTTTTGTAAACTGATGGATATGTTTGAAGAAATATAACTTTAAGTTTTAGGAATATCGCTTTTTAAAAACTTATAGTTTTATATGGGCGAAACTTTTATAAAAGTTCAATTTGTGTTTTCTGGCAAAATCTAAGATGATGTTGAATACTTATAGTTTTATAAGTTACCAAAAAGGTATTTATAGAAAAAAATCGTAAACGCTATAAAACTAAGAGTAACGGGAAACCAATTGAACACTATTAGTGCGCAAATGTCAAATTACAATTGGTGTTTATTTATTTGTTTTTGATAGAAGTGTATTTAGTTTTCTATAAATATGTATTTATTATTATAATTTAGTTTTTTGCTAAGGGGTGTTGGTTTTTAGACACCTTAAACACCCAAAGGTTTCCTTATAGAACTATAAACATTGTTACAAAAGCTAAGGTTTCCTGTAACTCCTTATAAATTGATATTTACCTAATAATAAACCCTGAAGTTGCGAAAAATGTTAGTTGGGTAATTTTATTAATTTTCAAATTTGAATGGCAGCTTTTTTTTGAAGTCTGAGGTCAAATAAAAATTCAGTGAAAACAGCTTCCTGGGTAACTGTAGGTCGGACTACTGTGAACAGATCAAAAATGGGCGTTGAAAATGAGGAAATTTTGATTATAAATGAAGAAGGGGCAACAATAGAAAACTGAGATTTTAAATAACAATTAAAGGTTATAAAGAGAAATATCGTTAAGTTACAGTTGCCAATTCAATTATTTACAGCAGATGCAGAACCTACCTATTAAATAATAAAGAAATTTAGTGATTTTCTTTTAATTGTTCCATATTTTGAAATAGAGTAGTCTTCAATCATAGCTAGCTATATTGTGTTGATCCTCACTAAAGCAACGGAGAATTTCAAAGATTACTAGTAAACCTAAAATAGAAATGTCGCATGTTTGGCCAATGATTTTCCACTTAAAAAGTAGTAGTTGGGATCATACATAATCGCTACAGTTCGGGTAGTCCGCTTTTCTGAAAGTATTTGGAAAATGTTGCGATGTGCTGTGGCTTTATAAGTGCAGGTAATTTATGTGTCAATTTGTTTTATTTGTGTTTTGTTAATTATTTTAACTGCAATATTTTTTTTACGTATTTGAAGCATCTCCGAATAGTTCAAAACATCGTTTTAATGATCGTGTGTAACAACTCTATCTCTGTGTAACTAACTTTCAGGTACTTTAACAGTAATGTTTCAGTTGGTGTTAACGGTTGGAGCCGTAGAATTAATACTCCTAGAAAGAAGGCTGGTATATAAAAGTAGTATAAAGCCGATCCACTCACAAAGAAAAAGCAAGAACCTACATGTGTTTGATTAAGAGATAATTGTGCATGTGCATGTAGACTATCAAAACAAACTTACCTGTGCATCATAATATCAGAATTTTTTACATCAAATTTTTAATTGCACAAGAAACAACGTCTAAAGGTATTTTTACACATATCGCTCAAATTTCAAACGCCGCCAAACGCAGAGCCGCTATTCCTTTCACACTTTCTTCGTGAGGAGTTTCCCTTTCTATCGTGTTATAGGAGTATTAATTCTATAGTTGGAGCATAAAATCACCATTTGCCATCTCATATCTTGCGTTCTTTATTTTAGCCAGTCTATAAGACATTGTTTTAGTCTTAAAACTAAAAGAACTTCTAACTTTCATTGTCTTTATTTGACTTAACTGTACAACTTTTGGAAGAGATGAATGATCAACTACTTTCAAGTGAAAGCTAAATTAACTCCAACAATTATGATTGGCTTCAAAATTTAAGTACTACCCAGTGTATAGAAGTTTCCTATATACTCAAATACTGATAGAGCCGTTATTTCTAGTAGGACGTCTAGAAACGGTAGACAGCCGTACTTCTCTTTCCAAATGGCAAATTTAATGGAACGGTTGTTTATAACTCAAACTGACTGACGTTTTGCCAATCATCCTGTTGGCTTCTTCAGAACTTAACTGAAACTGGCTCGCATTCTTCTCTACACCTGCTTATATATTGTTTGAGGGGGCGGACCTAAAGTAGAGCATGAACATGTGTTAGGAAACTGCCGATGAGTTTATTTGTCGTAGTCTTAAAGCCCCTTCATGCTCTTAGTTGTTATTTTTCGTCCTATCTCTCGAATGTATTCTTTGCCGACGATGTTGAAAATAATAAATCTGGTTATTTCTAAAGCGCTTTTGATATGAAAAATGATTGAAAAATATCTAGGTTCAAAGAACATGAAAGAGCCTTAAGACTAAACAAATAAACTCATCAGCAATTCCCAAACACAATCACGAAACCGGACATCAAATCTTATTCGATAAAACTAAAATTCTTGCATGTAATCAATTTTTCTACCATTGCAAAATCTAAGAATCTATATAAATCTATAAGCAAAAAAACAATCCTAATTGCGACTCAGGTTTTTACCTTTCACCAATATGGGAATCACCTATCCAAGACAATGTTCATGCCCCTGCGTTAGCTCCCCCTCAATATATAAGCAGGACAGGTAAGTTTCAAACCATTCCATGTATATAAACAAAAAATAAAGGCAATGGAAGTTCGACAATCTCTTGGTATTTCTCCTGAAAGTTATTGATGATGATAGTTATTGATGAACATGTTCATTTGCAATACATATATTAAGTATACTTATGTAAACCTAAATTGTATAATTGGGATTTGTTTAGAATGAATTTGGACGATCTGTCAAAAATTTTTCCCACCGTTCCTGGATTAGATAAGGAATTGGACGCAATTGGAATCTCTTTGAACAACCTTGACAAAGACATATCGGGGTCCATGGAGTTTTCAGAATATTACGCCAATTTCGGTAAACCTCAAGGTATGTATACAGCGATCACCAAACTCGATGGCCTATTACAAGTTTATGAATAATGGAAACTGGCGATGTCTAGCTGAAGAAAATGTTACTATAGATTGCAAGTAAAAATTTGGAATGGTTACATTGTTTTTATATTGTTTAAAAAATTGGTTTGCTTACCATTTTCAAATCTGAAAAAAAAACAAATTGCTCTCTTGATTGATTTCTCTCAAGAAATATTGAATAACAATTATCCTAATAATCGTTTTTGGTGCAAAAATTGTAAATACTCTTGCCTTTGCAATAACAGAACCACTAATAATGCTTTACTGGCGCTTATGTAGCCAGATCAATGTTTAGTGCATTGCAGCGTCGCCACATCTACTCGAACCAGACGCTTCATTTTTTAAATGAAATGCCCTGTATATTAATGCATTTTTGGATTGTGTGAAAAATTCTGATACTTTCTAAAGTTATTTTTTTACCAGAGAGATGCTGATCATATTATCCCATAAAACTTCAGTTATCGCCTACAAGGTATTTCCAAAATTATGCACATTTTGCAAAATATGTAAATGTAAATTAAACGTGAATTTTAAATAGTGAAAATAAATGAACTCGATGAAGAATTTGTTGATCAGCAAACACGTAAATGCAGGAGAAGGATTTTTGTCTTCTTTTATGTAATTGGATCACAGCAGTTTCTTGCGGATTATGATTGCATCATGTCGTTTCAGGAGTGAAGCATGGCAAAAATAGAAAACGTTAATTCTGTATAAATTGTTTCTAAAACAAAGACAGCAGAATCTTTCCGTGACCGGTTTAATGATCCAAGAGAAATCCAAGCTACTGTTCTACGTCTACTACTTCTTCTTTCCATACAACCAGCGCCTGGTTGCAAAAATGTACAAGGTGCTTTGGCATACGTTACTTAAAGATTTCAGGCGAAAAATTGTCATCACAGCCTGAGCTTGTTATAATCCTTTGAAAAAAAACCTATAAGAAAAAAGATCTTTAACTGTCGAAAGATCAGATTTACAACGCCTACGAAACTGGTTTATATTGGAAGCTTCTTCGTGGGAAAATACATAGTGAACAAATAGATCCAGTGAACTGCCTTTGCTTTAATTAGTTAACTATATCGCTATATGTATAAATCTACTATATCAGTATTATAATAGTATATAATAATAATTGATTTCCGCAATAAAATACAAATTTACGTTTAATTTACATACACTATATTTATTACGTATGCATAATGTATCTATTGCATAAGCAACATGTGAATAATCTTGCAAACACCATATATGCGGTAGTAAATCTCATGGCATACTATGATACAGCAGTGTATTGACAAGCTGGAAACAAAATTTCAAATTTTTATTGAGAGGGTTGAAAGATAATTATTGCCATGATAGGTGTTCTTCGCGAAATTTTCTAAAAAAACATTTTTATCTGGAAAATGAAGTCAGTCATGGCCGCAACTAAATTCTTAAATGCCATTCCATTGTCCATATATTTCTAATAAGCCGAAAAATGGGGGAAACTGTTGCGACATGTAAAATCAAGTACATTTTGTAGGCGATAGTGGTGAAATCACGCCCATCTCCTGCGGCTCCGAATTTGATTTTAATACGAACGATGCGACCGCCGGATCATCCTCATCCGCTCCGGAATACGATCTTACCGTAACGGAAGATATCGAAAAAGACGACTTTGTCGACAATAACGAAACGATAACCTGCGAAAGTTTTAAACCTCTTCAAAAAGTTTTGAAATGCGCGTTTCTAGAAAACAACTTGGGACTTTATCGAAATTCGGTTTGTCCTAAAATAATGTCGAGTTTGTCGTCAAATGTCAACGTATGCACGAACGATCTAACTAAAATGGATTTATATAATCTGAAACCGGTCGATAATAGTGTAAGAGCACAGTGTTCATCCAGTAGCGGCACCGACGGTAACAAGATCGATATCGGCGATTTGATAAAAGACTTCGGAATTTTCGAAAAGGATCAGTCTAGCGCCAACGTGAACGTATCGAACGCGACCTATTTAAAGTGGAAAACTAACAAAGAGAAGTTTATGGACAAAAGTTTGGAAAGTAAAACCGATAACATAGATTTCGGCAAAAATCTAAATACGGGTCGGACCAAAAACATTGAAAAAGATAACGAATTGCTTACGAAACTCACTCCTGGAGCTACGGTGGTTAAGGAAAGTTATATCGAGCCTCCGAAAATAGGTAGGGTATCAAAAAGTTACCATGGAAAGTCCGCGGCAACTGGAAGTTACATATATGCGACAAATACGATTAGGCGAGCTAGTGATAGTGAATCGCTGACTGGTAAAATGTCCAAAGAATCTCAAAATGAATCGAAATTTAAAGATGGAAACGAAATTTTTAGAAGCAAACCTCAATTTATGACTCAAAGGTCCCAGCCTTGTGACGACAGTTTTAGAATAACAAATAGTTTTAGGAAAACTTCTTTAACAGAGGGGGTAAGTAATCTATTTTTAGTTTACTCTTTTTTTTACTTAAGCTACACAAAAATTATAATATATATAATATATAATAGAATGAATCTTGATATCATTTATCAGTATTCAATAGAACAGATTATTCTGATTACAATCGTATAACACACTCTATATTAAGTTTCAACTTGTTTTGGAGATATTGGCATAAATAGAACAAATAACAGTTGTTTTCATATTTGCTCCAATAAAAATAAATTAAATTCTTTTACTATTCTAAATATGCGTGTGAGCACCGCGTTCCGAATTGCCTTTTAAATAATTGATTACCACTTTCTTTGTCAAAGTTCCATAATATTATGATAAGTTCTCTTCTGTGTACCTGTGCAACAATTCTAAGCGGAAATATAGGCGGAAACTAATGTTATGAACAGACTCAACAACCACAAAACACAAAGAACAGTAACACAAGTCAAACGAAATTATAGAATATAGTTTTTCTATAACGCGACGACAGTGCCTCTAAGGTGTACCACGATCTATAATGCATATGCATACTAAATGTTGCATTGCCGATATACGGCATTAAATTCTTACGCAGAAGAGCTCTGAAGAGTAGCTTATACTCAATTTGCGTTTCTGAAGCAGCTATTCGTTGCAAAAGGAATATATTCTGAATAAGAAATGGCAAAATTTTCAAAAGAAATTTCAGTTTTATGGGAACGGGCATTGGATGGAACCGTACTAAATATAAACAAGCGGCCTCTAGGTTCAGAGTTCGGCAACCTGCGGAGTGGCAAAACCAAAGCGCAACCCCCCCCGATATTATGGATATAGCATGTCAATAAAAACATTTTTTTTCTATATTTATTTTTAATAATATATAATATACTGGATATGATATAAAAGCACTATTTAAGTTACATTTGAAAGTGTAGCCCGCATAAAAAAAATATTTTAAAAATGGCCGGCGTCCGAAAAAGTTTGCCGATCCCTGCTCTAGATGGTATGTATATACTCTAAGATTTATAAAACCACACCAAATGTAGGGTATGGCGTACACCGCAAAGGTTTTATAAAGCTAATAAAAGTACTGGAAGTCCTTGGCGGTGCTCTCTCGCACTCCCGCGTTCCGGCAGCTAAGAAAGTCCACCAATGTATATAAATTCTGCTGTGATGATAAATTAAGTGTTACAAAAAGAGCAAGTTTAAATAGCAAGGACCGTGTCACCAATGGTTTTTATTTCATGTTTTTGTCTAGGATTTATTGACCTGTATCTCGTATTTTGTCTATCACAGCTTTCCTATATATCTATTTAAAAATTCCACTGCACTGGGACACACTTGGTTGCTAAACAAATGTAACTAACCATACGGAAGTAAATTTCCTGCGTTCCACGGCCTTGCTACTTTCTCGCAATTGCATATAGCTTCTCGTTGCCTTCGAAGTATTATGGCGTAGATGTTCTGTGCTTAGAAGTGTCAACAACATTTAAGGTGGTTAAAGTGCCCCTTCTCTTATTTATATTTGCTAGTGGCAAATTTTTGATAACTTTTCTTAGAGAATAATTTAAGACAATGTGTTAAGATCCGTGTAAATTGATTTGATAAACTGATAAAATCACCAAATTTTAAATGAATTAATTATTAATTTGGTGTGGGTATGGTTAGTTGCACAATGTGTGCAGGGAAACTTAAAAGGGAACTTCCCTTTCTAAAAGACATAGACGAAAACTAATGTCAGTGTCTGCAACTCAATTTTCATAAACGGTAAAAGCCTTACATGTAGTTCCATTTTAGAGTTATAGGCTGTTTTTGGAAATTGGGCATTCTTAAAAATCGCTGGAACTGTTTTGTTATGGAACGTTTTGTGTTGCCATGAAAATATTTGAAAACTACCTTTTTACGAAAATTTAATGGTTACAATATAATAATTGTAAAACTAATAGATAATTAGTAACCATCCAAAGAAATGATTTTTTATGCAACATCCATTCCAGATATTTTGCACTAGTTTTCTTGGAAAAAGTTTTGAACTTTGGATACTGCCACCCTAATACAGGAGGTAAATGCCTGGCCAAAATCCGATTTTTGTAAAGACGCTAGGTTTAGCTATACATGAACTCCATATGAGTTACAAGAAATAGTGGTTTTAGGAGCAGTTAAAAATAATTTTTCAACGCCAATATGAATGTTAAAGAGACCAACATGACTAGCAAAAACTATCTTTAGAAGAACTTTATGCCACACAGTACCAGAAAAGTGTAATGGTACAGGTGGCTCCTAAAAAAATGTAACCGAGTACGCCTTTCCCGTTGATTCTTTGAAATTTATTTGAAGGGTTAAACTAAAACCTAGCGTCTCTACAACGAAAATCAGAATTTGGCCACGCATTTGCCTTCTATATTGCGGCAACACTGAATATACTGTGTATACTTTTTTTTTTGAAAAGGTAATTTTAAGTTCTTTTAAATGATCCAAAAGTACACAGGGTCTCATATAAAAAACGTTTTTTTAATTTTATATTTAAGCCATTAAATTCTGACATTTTCAAAAAACACCCTATAACTCTGGAACGGTAACAGATATCGCCGTGCGGTTTTTACTATTATATTTTTATGAAAATCGAGTTGCAAACACCTACATTAGTTTTCGTCTATCCCTATTTGGCCCACCCTGATCATAAAATGTGTTATGAATTTATTCTAGGTTTCTAGGAATGCTAGATTTACAACTACAAGAGTAGATGAAGCAGAACATGCCGCTTCAGTTGGCCTTCCTTGGATTCCTTCTACTATCGTTAACTCACAGGTGGAAGAAAACAAGAGAAACGACGAAGAGGAAAATGAGTAGGAATCAATTAGCAAATTTATTGTCCTTTTCCATTAGTATTTTGAAAGCTGTATTTTCGAAACAGTATTCTGAAGGTATTTTTATTTTTTAATTTCAATTCTTAACTTGCAATTGTTTCTGATGCTTTTTAAAACCATGTACTATCATTGATAAAAATAAATGAACAAGAGAGGATAGTCAGTACTTTTATAAAATACAATTAATGTAACGTATGTTGAGCGGATTTCTAACGAATGCATTTCAGACTAAAACGAATACCAAGAATGACCGACCTAAAAAGTTATGAGTTTAACCAAAAATAAAAAATACAATAAAAAATACAAAAAACAAATACCGAAAATTAATTCTGTTAAACTCTTTCTTATACATTGCTGGCAAATGCAGATATTGTTCATTAAATCTTCTGCACGTTCTTGAAACAATTCTTTGGAACTCACCATAAAGTAAAACAAATTCAAAATATCTTCGCTTGCATAATTATGTGCCATCTTGCTTTCTCAAACGAATGCAACTTTTAACAACGAAAATGCGATAAAGTGAAAAATCCAAAGGCATCTAGACATGTGAGTTACTTTTTATAGGAAACGTCACCATGGCCGGCTAGAGCCTGTTACCCAGATGAAATGTGATTACTTTAATTCGCTTTAATTGCAATATTTTGGTTTTTTGCTTGTAACTTGAAAATCAGTGAAAATAGATATACCATAGTTTTTTACTTTTAGATGGCAAATTCATTGCTCATTTAGTTGCCAATATAAAATATGGAGTGTTCCATTTAAAATTCCCACGTAACGTGGATTTTTATATCTTCCATATGTGCCTTATCTTATGAACATATTATATTATGATAACGCAATGTAATAAGGAACCGCAACCAAAAATTCAAGTGTTTATCTGTACGGGTTGCGAAAATAATTATGATTTTATATCGGTTGTTGCCAAATTTCTTAAAACGTATTTTTTATCTCCTTGAATGTTCAAGGTAGGTGTAGTACATGTAAATTAAAAAAGTTCCAGCATGTTTCCCAGAATCAAAAAATGTAATAATATACAGGGTGCTCCATTTAAAAAACGACTACTATATCTGACAACACGGCATGGCCAAAAATATTTTACATAGGTAGCTCATATTCGCTTGCATAAGTAACCAACATTGTAGGGTTTTACCGTAATTCATTCTCCATAAACGTCTAATACGACACTCACCGTTAATAATTCTGCATATAAACTAGATACTTTTTGGTGGCGATAGAACTTGGGCGGAAATAACAGTCCACGATCTAGAGCATTTAAGTTTGAAAATAAAATGACATGAAAATCCTAAAAGCAACATTCATAATTGTACGGAATTTGCGTAACCAATATTAGGGGTGAATTACAAACATAATGAGAAAAATATTTTATCAAAAATTATTAATTGTATTAAATTTTGCGGAACTTTCGAATTGGGGACATGATGAAACTTCCGAGAATCTCAAGATATGGACTTATTAATTTTTCGACTAAGTTAGATACAACTCCCAAAATAGATACGGCAATTATTCGATATTTAAGAGCACTTCTAAATTAATTCAGAATGTTACAGTGCTCGAACACTTTCAAATTTTTCCCATGAGCCACCACTGATTAATAAAGTATGCTAACCGTGGAAATATCGGAGAAAACGTTCCAATCTGGTCAACTGTAGCATTGTATTTTTTCTCGTTACGTTTTACGGAGTCGATTGCCGACATCCGACGAGAATTATACTTTGTGGGCAACGAACTAGCATTAAATTTTGACATTTACAAAATGTTTTAATGTTAAGTTGAAAATTATATCAAACGACCAAACATATAAAGCACGCAGATAGTAAGATTAGAGACCTGGAGCCTTCAACAGCAGTATTGAGCCTCGTATCGGTCAAAAAGAAACGGCACACATTGACAGTTAATGGTTGCGCTCCGTGTGGTTGAGGTTAAGTTTTTGTGTGTAAATATAATAATATATGGTACCCGTAATTTCGGAATGGCACAGCACATGGCGGTTGCTATTGTGCGGCTGATACCGTTGCCGTGGCAACCAGTGAATGTCCGTCTCCCAGCAATGACTCGTTTCTATTTTGTGTTCTCATTTGCGCGTGTCTATTTTATAGGGCCCCGTTGATTAAGCTTTAGTATTTTGCAACTGATTAATCTTATAACTCCAAGCATTTTATACAAATATGACTTCAAAAAAAAAATGGTATAAAAGGGAAAATGCTGCATTAATTATGGCCCTTGCTGCAAGCGATCGTGTTCGCGGGCGTCTGCAATCGGTCACGCGAGTGAGTGTCCCATTCTGAAATTGCGTTCACACTACATAGAGTTTATTCTTATTATTGCAAAACCATGGGTACACCATTGAGAAATGATAATAATAATATAATGATAATACTGAAATAAAACTTCCTGTATATGGAACAAGATATATTAGGTGCTGCTGGGACTTTAATGGAAGAAATCAGAAACAATCCATACAAATGAGCCCAGAAACATTTTATTTCGCACAGATAACCGGCACACAGAAAAACTTTCAAAAAAATTCCATTAGTCTCATAAAAAACAAACTATAAGAAACATATTATGATCAGTAACTCCAGCGACAGGATAAAACATTAAAATAACTAGCTAGCGACAGAAGGGTGGAAAGAACCGGAGGAATGTCCGTTGATAAATTTTCAATTTCTACACTAGGCTTTAGCCGCAGACACTCGTTCCAATATTCGTCTCTCCCACCGTCAAAACCGTTTTCACAAAAATGGTACTGTCTTCAAATTTGGATCGATTATTCAAGCCACTGGACATCAGGTCTAGCACAACTCAACGTTATTTCATTTTATTCATCCTGGCCAGTATCGCTTTTTCAAAAAGTTTAGTCCATATTATTAATTTGATCAAACAGTACCTTAAAAGTGTTGGCAAATATGAATCGGTTATGATTATGCAGTTTTCATTCAAAGGAAATGAAGCCTACCAATTGTTCAAGTGGAAGCAATATATAAAATAGCTCTAGCCAAAATGACTGTGCTGGTTTGGTGGACTATTTTATGCCTTCATTTTAATATGATTATAATATTGAGGTAGATATTTTAAACCCAGCCCAAATAAATTGTAAGATTCCAAGAGGGTAAGTTTTATATGCATACATAACAACCCTGTTTGATGGCACTCTTAAAATGAGGGAAAAAAAATATACACAAACATTTTCTTCAACAGTTATCTATTTAAACCAATACATAGAGGCATACTACATCGAAAAAGTTATTTTCGCAAATGACATTATTAATCCAGCTGCATTTGTTCATCGTCGTCTTTATCATCTTTCTTCTCGCTTTTATTTTCCTTATCTTTTTCGACAGCATTGGCAGTGTTTTCAGAAGGATTTGTTTTTTCCAACGCTTTTACAAACTCTTGCATATTTCCGGAAGCGGCAGCCGCTACCGCGTCAGGGTTGACGGCTAGTTGAGATACTACGGGACCGAGTTGCCCCGATTCTAAAGCGCTCGAGAATTGTGAAACGGCCTAAAAGTTCAACACTCAAAATAAAGTCGACTTTTTCATAGCTTAACTGAAATAGTTTTAGTTAAGCTTTTAAGAATCGAACAGAACAAGTTTTATTTGTCAACATTCGATGCAGAAAGAATCCAGAAGATGTGTAAATAGTAAAAACACAAACTAGCTAATTAAGTAGAAGGAACTGTCAGCATACCAAGATCCTTGGTAGAAGTATTTACCCTTTTTAATATACTAAAATTAAAACAGTTCTTAATTTACAAGAATCCATTTTGATATAGCTATTCCACCATCAAAGGAATAGTTTACAAATGAAACAGTATGTATATAAAGAGGCTCGGATTGCTTCGAAAAAATAATTTTGTACATACTTTATTATTAGCCCGGATGTCTGTATCATTTTGTTGCCTTTATTAGGGTGACAAACTGACTGACTGACTGACTGATTGATTAACAAACATGAATATGGAACTAAAAACAGTAGTTCGAAAATAACTTGAAAGCAGTTTTGTGAAACTGAAGTTTAATTCACATTGAGCAATATAATGAGAAATTTATTTGGTTCAGATTGATCACTGCTTCGTTGAACTTAAGATCATAATTATTTTATGGAACCTCTCCTTAAAGCAAATAGTTCTAATAATTTGTTTCTGCATGTCATGTGCAGCTATGGTTTATGGTATCGTCATGACCTCTCAAAACAAAGGAGGTTGTCGATAACATTCAATAGGTATTTGCGAAATTCATAATATGTTTTCATGGTTAATTGAACATTTCATTTTTATGTTAGCATATTACCTGTTGAAACTGCGGAGAGGCCAATGTAGTTCGCAAGGCCTCTTGGGTATTTTCATCGACAGGAGGAAGATGTTGTTGGAGTTGCTGCAGAGCATCTGGGTTATTCAATATTCCAGTCAGAGCTTCTCCAGTCAAAGCTGTGGACAAGTCAACTGTAAAATGTATCTATTTTAGTTGACGAGTATGTGGGATGTATAAATATAAAAAATTTCAACATTTTTATGTACTCAAAAAAGACTAGTCCAAAGCTAACTAAATTGGAATATAGTATAGAAAGCAATATTGTTACACAAAATCAATGTTCAATGAAATCCATAGAATCTGTGTCGAAAAAAACGTTTTAATTTTTTCTGTTCTCCCTTCGCAGTTAACTGTTCTCTGCAGACGCGCAATACATTCACGAATAACATTAAAACCTTTACAGTTAGGGGAGTTGAAATTAGGCTCCTATCAACACCGGACGTGATTTTCATGTTTTTCAAACATTACTATGAAACAAAGGTATCATTTGGACAATGTAGACAATAGTGATTTATTTATTTTTAAAGTAACAACACACGCCACTAAAGTATAAGGAAATCAAGCTCACGAATATAATAAAAGCTCTCAGTTGGGAGAATTGGAAGAGAATGTGGGAGGTGTGCGAACATTTTTTTAATTAAATGTCCATATCTCCAAAAAGGGTTTTTCCTAGGCTATCAATAGTGCTACCAGAGATGAGATTGTGATTGCTTACCTTGCCACCCCACATAATCGTATGAAAAACAATTTTAAGGAAAAATAATAAATTCAACGATATAACTTTTTTATGTCATTAAATAGTAAAGAAAGGACCGAACAGCCCTGTAAAAACTGCATCTAAATATTTTCATCTTACCCTAAAATATGAATAAAGTACCTAACGGTAAAAAAAATGGATCCTGGGAAAAATTTCCACCTTAAGGGTTATTATTAATGTCTAATTAAATGATATTTAAAACTAAAACAAAATGTTATTAGTTATCTTCATTCCCTTCATTCCCCCTTCCAAGGGCTCCAAATTACCGCGTACCTGACATTACTGACAAGCTTAACCGATTTCAAATATTTAGTATTATCACTTAGTTTTTTATTAAAAATTAGTTTAAATCTCTAACTCGGTCCCTAATCAATTTGTTACAGGCTGGCTTTACCCCAAATCAGAAAGTTGCTTTTAGTTAAATACCTAAGTTAGTCCACAGTATTAATTAACAAAATCTTAACAGGTGCCGAATAATTGGCATACACACAGATATGACAGGGATAGTAATTAGTTTTAGCTCTTCTATATGGTGCAGGCGCTAACAAGACACTAATAAAAAACAGAAAGCATGTTCATAAATCAGTTTTAGGAGTATTTATCGTTTACTCAAATATCTTACAATTTTTGCAGCAACTTACCTTAAATTCAGTTAGGTTGGTTGGTTTGTTTTGTTCAATTTCACTGGCGACATAGAGTTTCCAATATAAAATGGTTATAATTTCGGCATTTTCTCCCATTAAAAATCATCTTTCATACACGAAAATAATTTGATCGATCGAAAGTCAAATGTCAATCAATAACGTTCAATTCGCCCGGAAGTGACCACAGTCGCAACCGTCTGTCATCGCCAGCAAATATCAAGTCGGTTACTTTTCCTCGACCAATTAAATCTTTTTGTGTTTCTTTGGTATTTTCAATATTAAAAGAACAAGCTCGTATCGGGCTCTTTCTGATTTAAAACGCTAACGCGGATATTATCCATCGGAATTTCGCACCCATATTTTAAGGTTGATTCAGTTGACATCACGTTTTGTGGATTTTAATATATTGAATAAAGCGAATTTAAACAACTCCAGTAACTAACAATCTGGTAAGCTCGTTATACCAATTACTACCTTCAAATATCACTGTTTGTTCCCTATCACGTAGCCTCTTCTAGCTCAGCATGATGTAACTGGTTACTTAGGGTGGTTCTGCACTATTAAATTAACAAGCACTAGTTTGTTTGGACAACTAGCGACATGCTTTTTCTTTTGTCAAGCCCAATCTTACATAACAGCTCAGGTCCATGGGAATTTGAATGCAGTAGATTATAACAAATGGTGAGATCCCTCTGCGACGAATATGAAGAGTTGTAAGTTGGAGCGAGGTTTCCAATTCAGAGTAATCAACGTCTTCAAGTCCTTGGTGCTCCTTAAATGCTATATAACGCAGGAATCTATGCTGCACTCTTTCTATAGCCTGTATGTTGACATTATACGAAGGTGACCACACACAGGAACAATAATCCAGGTGTGGACCCACAAGGGAACAGAACAGTAATCTGAGAAACGGAACACTCTGGAAGTGCACTGTCCAACTCTTAATAAGACCCAAAATCTGAAGTGATTTAGACACAATAAATGAAACATGTTGTGTGTAAGTCAACTTAATATCGAGTAACACTCCAAGATCCCTTATTAAGGAGGTCTGCAACAAAGGTGTCCCTTTTATATTTTACGTAAAATATATGGGGTTTCTGCTCCGGTAGAAGTTCATTTGTTGGCATTTATTAATATTTAGTTCCATTCCATTCAAATTGCTCCATAGAGATAGGTGATCAAAATCGGACTGGAGCTTTATACAGTTATCAGCATTATGGACTCTCATATAGAATTTTAAGTCGTCAGCAAATAATAGGAAACATGCGTGATTAAAACAGGAGGCAATATCATTCACATAGACATTGAAGAGCAAGGGTCCCAGGTGCGATCCTTGTGGAACACCAGAAGGCACTCTAATTTCGGTGGACTAGCAGCTCTCGTCGCGCACAATCTGTACTCTTTCAGTAAGGTACGATGTTAATCATTCCAAAGTTTCCCCTGGATTCCAATATTTCGCAATTTTTTTATTAAGATTTGATGATTTACTCAATCAAAAACCTTTGAAAAGTCTGTAAATGGCATGAACGTGAGACAGTAATTTGGAAAAGCTCCCGTTTTTAAAGAATGGTTAAAGATTATATAAAGTATCCTTTGTTTTTGTCTAGAGTCGACAGTTTCCCGTAAATAGATGAAATCGAAATGTTCAAGTGAGAGGTTGACATCTCCAGAGACACAGTCCCTGTCACTATACATATTCGAAAAATAGTCTGCAAATAAATTGACAATATCGTCACCCACAGAACAGGTCACGTCGCCAAAGTGCACAACCGATGTAATAAAGCTTCGTTACTTTTTACTGTTGACGAACTTCCAAAAATTCTTTACGTTTTCTCTTAAGGACGCTTCAGTCAGAGACATATTCCTGGTAACACTGCTCTTTTAAAAATTTGCATTTTTATTGTATCTTTAAGCTCTGGGGAAAATCAAACTTGAAACTTCTTAGCCGAAAACCTCTTTAAGGGAACGTAAATATCAATAGCTAAATAAACTATATCGTAGAACACATTGACCATATGCTCAAGGGTTCTGTTAGCAAATAACAATTTATCCCATTCGAACTGCGACAAAAACTCAGTCACTGCTCCCAAGTCCATTGATTTAAAATCTCTATAAAAGCCGTCACCCCTTAGACCAGAACTGTTGAAAGGTACTAAATCATCTCGCAATGAGAAAGAGAGTGGTGGGTGATACATGTCTATTGGCAGCAGAGCACTATCCGCCGCAACCATTAAAATTCCGCCATCCTGTGCGAACACTAGGTAAAAAGGTTTTCGTTAACGTTCCTGACTGAGTTTATCTGGAAAAGGTTGTGGTAGGAGCATAGGTAAGATAGTAGGTTAGTGGATTCGATCTCGCTCTGCGTCGTGCTTTCCGTCTCAGAGGGATTGCAACTGAGGATAATTCTTCCTTGGTCCACCAGCTCTTGGGCAGGCTGAAATCGCCTAGGACGCACAACTTACGACTGGGGTATTCTTCAACCAGTCTATCCAGGTTCCCTCAAAATTCCGCATATTTCTCAAAGGAACAATTTGGTGGGAAGTAGGCTGTAGCCAGTATAAATTTGTTGCTATTGAGATTGATTTCAATAAATAAATGTTCAATGCTTTTTGAAGCAGATAAAACTTTACTTGAGATAGTCTTACAGACCGCTATCAGAACACCACCTCCCCTCACAAAGGTATCAGTTTCAGCAGATCTATCCTTACGGTATACATTGTAGTTAAACATCTGTAGTTCTGCACTGTCTATATCATTAGTTAGCCAGGTTTCATTGAAGACTAAAATATCATACTGGGAGTAAGACACATTCTCAAAGAGAAGCTAAAGCTTGGTGCGCAGTCCTCTAACATTTTGGAAGTATATATGAGAAGGCCTGTCTAGTTTTTTGCAATGAGTTTAGAAACTCCGTTTACATATTTTAGAAAGAGATTAGATTCACCATTTCGATGTCTTTCCTTCAATTCGTTCTTTAGTGCTTTCACTTCCGAGCGCTGATCAGGTGTAAGATCAGCCAAATTGTTCGCGACTAACGAATTTTTAACTACAAAAATGAAGAAAACCATTTAAGAACTGAATAACACTTCTCTTTTTACTGAATAATTCATTATAATACCCTTATGTGTACCTTAAAATCATACACAAAAGTGAGATTATATGTTACAAAGGCAAATTGGAAGCAACAACTTTCATGACATTTTAAATGTAACTCCAATAATGACGTCAAGCTTGAACTTATATCGAAAATTGTTTGTTGCGAAACTACAGCTACAGTTAATTGTGAGTAAAGTTTACTATGTGATATATTACCTGACTGTTGAGGAGTCGGCTGTTGTTGCTGTTGACTGCCAGACACAGGTGCGATCCTCTGTAAGAAATCCTGTAAATGCGCCAACTGTATTGGACTGGGTTCGAAGGCACGAGCCGGTCGTGGTGCTGCGGGTGTGGTTACTGGAATAGGAGCATTCTGAGGAGTAGCCGGAGTACTCGGACTACTAACTGTATTGGTGGTTGGTGTGCTAGCAGTAGTTCGATGAGTAATAGCTGGTGTAGTAGTACGTGCGCTCCCACCAGGACCCCTAAAATCTCCAAGGTTGAAATTTCTCTCCTCTACTTATAATGTTCAATTATTTTAGAACTATTTTCAATTACATTGCTACAAAGAATTGAAGAAGAAGAAAATGTAGGTAGGTGAACAAACATGGTCCATTTTGTTTTGTGTAACTGCTTAGAGTTTTTACTGTTATGAAAACTTTAGCAGTAAAAGTTTTATATGGGACTAAAATTTGGTCACTATTACCTTTATAATTTGCGCACAATTAACAGGTACTTATATTTTATAAAATAGGTAATCATTACAAACCAAAAAATTTTAATTAGGGCACTACATTTGAGCAGTCACCTTATGGTGCCAAGCAAACTGGAGAGTCCACCAATCTGGCCTGCTCCACCAAACAACTGCATCAACTGTGACTGGGACATATTATTCAGTAGGGATTGCAAATCCTGATCGGGACCTTGGGTTTGTTGTACTGCACTGGATGGATTATTTAAAAGTTCATTGACTCGTTTACAGTTTTCATCGTCCTTATCATTGCGCGGTTCCTTAAAAAGTATTTGTTATAATAAACAAGGTTAATAATTGACAGTTAACATACTTGCAACCAAAAGAAAAACTTTCTGTTAGACGACTTGAACTTTAACAGATAAACTCGTCCCGTGGCACATTGGGGTACTTTGATGTACTCGCAATCGTCGGGAAAAATTATCAAATCATCCTCAACAACTCCTAAAAAAATAAAAAAATAAAACACTGCTGTGGCAATAAAACATGAAACATACCGGTAGTTCTGTCTTGCCAACAAAAATGCATTAAGGAATCTTCACTCTGATAAACATAAAGTAAGCCTTTTCTATTGTCGGGATATACCATTCGTCCTAAAAATATACAATATAAAGTTTTAATTACTTAATTTTAGAGTTAGATAAAACAAATTTCAGGGCTATATCTACTTAGGTTCAAGTTTAAACCAATTTCTTATTATTATTTATTTGTCAAAAGGAATAACAAAAACAACGCAAAATCTTAATCTTAACACCTAAAATAAACAAAAAATATACTATATGCAAAAAAAAATAAGTAAAACATTTATCAAAACAGTATACCTATTAAAAAAAAATACCTATACAATTTGTGTAGGTATTTGGTATACTTTGGTATTTTATAGGTGAAAAATTTAAATCAATGTATCTTTTATTTAAGGAGAAGTTTAAATCCGGAGGATTAGCAGCCCTAATCGGAGCAAACCCATACCTTTTAAATTCATCTTTCCAGCTCTCATTTCTACTAAATGTTTATTTCCACCAGTAGATCCTGGTCCTGTAACTGCACTCCCAAACAAAGCACCTCCAGCAGGCATACTTGCGAAGTATTTAGGAACACCGGCTAAAATTAACAAGAATTCTTCAAACCTCCGACCCTGCAATCAGGCCGTTAACAAACTTATAGAGATTGCAAGAAATATACTTACTTCGCCACAAGAATCTAATTGTGAAACCGAAGAAAACGCAAACGATTTGCAAATACCAATTGAGTAGAATGACAACTCTTTTTTTTTATCCAAAACATTCCGTGCCCGAAGAACAGCGGATAAAATACGGTTTCTGCTCTAATTTAGTAAGATCATTCGCCCACCACCTAATATTCGATGAGGATGTATTTTTGGATGATTGACCGATGTACGAGTTACACTTTGTGAGGTGGGAACGAAGCGAATGAGCTGCTTTAGAGAATAAAAAAAAATCGGGCAGTAGCAAGAGTAAATGCAACCGTGCAGTGCTGAACATCCAAATATGTACATGCAATGTACCGGATTGTTACTTCACAGAAATATCAAGCTTATGAAATCATTGCTTGGTAGATTCAGGTTCATAGATAAAGTAAAGTGATATCATAGATTCACCTGTGGATTTTTGCTTTGTATTATAGAAGTTAATAAATGAAAAACAACGAAACAACGAAAAAGATTTTATTGAAAATATTTAATTAGATTACATTTCTTTTCTTCGAAGTTCATCGAATAAGTGAATAACTCAATCGGTTCAAATTTGAACAAAATCGACAAAAGTTTTATTGCGATCTTCACGTACAAAATACCATAAAAATTATTCAGTTGTCATGATGGACGTCGGGAATAACACATTAATTCTGATAAGTTTGCCCAATTTTTTAGTAAAATGATAAAGAAGAACTGCGATTCTAGCCTTAAATTGTATTTCTGAGAAGAGACAGGAGAGAGGTAAAAAAAAGAAATTTAAAAGGAAAAAACATAAAAAGGGTCGTCGTCAATGGCAGAATTTATAATTTTTCAATTCTACTAGCAGAAAGGTTTATTTATGAAAGAAAGCTAAAAGCAAGGATAGGCAGCATATTTTTGACATGTTTTTTATTCTTGATAAATTTATTTTGAAAGGCTGGAATTACGCTGTAAGAATAAGTTTGTCAAAAGTTCGTACTAGTGATTGCAAATGGAAACTATAATTTAATGTATATTCAATCTTTCAGAACTTTGGTATATCTGTAGCTGAGAGAATTAAACAACTGAAAATGAATTTACCTAAAGTGCGAGAAGATCCTATTATTATGAAATTGGACACCCTTGAATTTAAATCTGTATTCACTGAAGAATTGCAAATATTGTCAGCTATGTTTCAAAGACATGGCTATGAGCTTAGAATTGCAGGAGGGGCTGTCAGAGACTTGCTAATGGGTCAAAAACCCAAAGATCTAGACTTTGCTACTACCGCTACTCCAATTGAAATGAAGTCCATGTTTGAAAAAGAAAATGTAAGGATGATTAATATGAATGGAGAAAAACATGGAACAATAACTCCCAGAATTAATGATAAAGAAAATTTTGAAGTAACAACTTTGAGAATTGATGTGGTGACAGATGGTAGACATGCAGAGGTTCAGTTCACAACGGATTGGTTATTAGATGCATTGAGACGGGATCTTACAATAAATTCTATGTTTTTGGGTTTGGATGGTTCCGTTTATGATTACTTTTATGGCTATGATGATTTAAAAAAAAAACGGGTGGTCTTTGTTGGAAGTGCTACCACCAGAATTCAGGAAGATTATTTGAGGATACTTCGTTATTTCAGGTAATTAAAATAAATTGCATGGATGCATGAACAAAACAAAATAAATATTTTAATGTACCTTTATAAATTTTAAATCTTTTATGCTTTGGACTCCCTAAATGTAAGGAGCTTATTTTAGTTTTATATTAATGTTTCAAGTTAAGCCAAATCTTGTAATGGACATCAATTAAGTTTCTTTCTGATGTTTTAAAATCATACATAAATTTTCAAGCGAGATAGCACTGTTTCAATCTTAAGGTAATGCAAATATGAAGAGGGGCTGAGAAAATGTTGCTAGAGCTGAATATCATCAAGGTTTTTTACTGATACACTCCACAAAATATTTTTAAGTATTCAAAAATGTAGGCAATTTAGAAAGTTACCTCAATATACTTTAACAAAATGCCTTACAAATAATTTGTTGATTATTACTCATAAAATAACAAATAGTTAAAACTAACTAAAAAATAGTGTTTTGCACTTATTTCAATTCTTCAGTTCTTATCGGTAACAAATTTTTTATGTATAACTTTTGCACCTTTAGATTTTATGGAAGAATAGCAACAGAAGCGGACAATCATGAAATAATCACTTTAAATGCAATTCGGGAAAATGCAAGCGGAATGGAGAAGATTTCTGGTGAAAGAATCTGGTCAGAATTAAAGAAAATCTTGGAAGGAAATTTCGCGGGTCATCTGATGGTTAAAATCGTTGAATGCAATCTTTCTTCTTACATAGGTAATTGTCCCGGTTCAATCAGATAAAGTTTAACTTCTAATTTTTCAGGATTACCAAATAAACCTAACGTCGATGAATTAAAGAGAGTTTGGAGTAGAAGTGGCCATCTGCATCTTCACTCCATTACGCTATTATCATCTCTTTTGAATACTATAGAAGATGCAGCGACACTAAACGCTCGGTTGAAGCTATCAGCGTTTGACAGAGACTTAGCAATATTCATAGTAGAGCATCGTTTACCTAAACTCCATAGCAAACCCTTATTACCCTACCAGCAGCTAGTTGTCAAAAGCAAACTGAAGCCAAGTGTGATAAAAAATTATGTTAAAGAAGTTCTTAAATACAATAATTCTTCATATCTAAATGAATTTGAAAGTTGGAATATACCGAAATTTCCAATTAGTGGAGCAATGTTGAAAAATGAAGGGGTGGAGAGCGGAAGACTTATGGGTTTTGTAATGCAAGAACTTAAAAATAGATGGGCTGACAGTGATTTTAGCATATCAGTTGAAGAATTGTTAAAATATATTCCGGAAGTTTCCAGTCATTTTGTTCCAAGAAGAAATAAGTAACTTCTGTTTTAAAACACCACTTTAATCTCCATTTATCTCAAATAAAATCACTTACACAAGTAATATATTATATTGTTTTGAATTTACAATATAACTAATAAATATAATATTTAACAATCAAGCTCTTCCGACAATAGAATACCTCAAAAATAATCTAAAATCATTATTAGCTTCTAAACACGTTTCCCCTTTTTTTTTAATGGCAGGGTGAAAATAACATAAAAAGCCTCTTAATAATGTTTTTACACTTCTTCCTACTACAAGTACAATTAATAAGTTTTTGGGTAACAATGGTTTACCGCGCAAGTTGAATGATGAGTGCGGCACACATTTCAAAAAACTCCATGGTATGATGCCCTGTGGGTTTCTTATTGGTTACATCCCCACTCTGAACCGGTGTTGGGACGTTATCAAGTAACAATGAGGCTGGGCTTACATTGTTAGACTCTGCTTCTTCATTGCTCAAACTTTTGAAATCTAACAGGTAGCTTTTATAATCAACCTAAAATTATATTTCATCAATCTGAAGAATTAATAAGGGTACTAGCTAGCTTAGGCTCAAAAATTTTAATGGAACAGGACCATAGAAATAGAGGATGATTTAAGTTGAGTGTGCAATTAGATTTTCTAGACAATAGGTTTTTTTTTTCAAATCTGGTATATACCCACAGTGCGCCATGATCTATCCTGAAATATTTACACATCTACAGCATTCTCAATTCAACACAGAAAAGAAGTTGGAAATGAAAATTGAACATTATTAAGGCTTAATATCTTTTTACTTTTACGTAAGTGAATTATTTCAACATATTTCAGGGGTTAGCTAATAAATTTGTTTTAATGACCAATACTTTGATGGTAGATCATACAGGATGTCCCAAAAATTTACATTGTTGAAAAAAAAATCGGTAAAAACTAATTTTTTAAAATTTAACCCTCATTATTTATTATCTACTGTAGGTATAGAAAAAACGTTCAAAGACATGTGGTTTGGATTATCTCTAAAGGTGCGTCAGGTTTTAGGAGTATTAAACTTAAATGTTTCAAAAAATGATGAGAATGAGATCCCAATAGTCACTGATAAAGCCCATTGGTGATAGAACATGTTTCACATGGGATTGATAAAGTGCTTCCAGAAAAAAAAAGATTTTATATTTTGGAATGTTGCTTCTTTGAGCTTATCCACTAAAAAATTTAAAATTTTTGTTGTATTTTAGATTGTGTAAATTTAATAATTTATCAATTACATTTGTCCTGCATGATTGCAAAAGATCTGATAAAATAAATTAATACTTTTTCTAGAGATAAATTTATTTGAAATATGGCAATCATATTAATGTTCCAGTCAAGGCAGCAAGATAAGGTATTCGGGAAACGGAAGGTCCTAGAAATTAGAAAGTAGTAAATCAACTTTGAGAAAATACTGAAAATTATTTTCGAGTTTGTGGAATGACCACCAGGCGGCGTAATTGAATTGAATTTTAAAACAAATTCAAATTACTTTTTTTTAATGCTGTTTGCTCTATGCCTGCAAGGAAAGTGTTGGGGTGTTCAAAATTTTCTTGAATAAATGGAATATCTCCAAAAAGGCTTAACTTATTTTAATAAACCAAGGGCTGATATGATTTCAAATAAAGACCCAACAACCCTGTAAAAACTGCAACCCAATATCTTTACCTTAACCTAAAATATGAACAAAAAACTTAAGACTCAAAAAAAGTTGGTTTTTGGGAAAATTTTTCACTTTATCGGTTGTTATTAATGTCCTTTACCAGATACCCTCAAAGTAAATGATGTAAAACAAGTCGGCCATACCAGAAACTCGAAATAATTTCTTGATTTTTCATGTCTAGGACCTCTGTTTTCCTAGTACCTTACGTCATTGCTCTTATTGGAACACCCAGAACATATAGGCGGGGGAAGAAGCAATTTGCAATATTTTTGTATGCATATTTTTGTTTTTAGCTTTAGCTTTAGCTTGTGTGGAATATTTACGAAACATCCTCTAATATGTAATTATAAAATATGTAAAGCAAAACCTTACCTGGTACAATTGCAATGACATCATAACATATCTATTATGGAGTTTATTCTTGTGCCTAACTCTCACATGATAAGGACTAATCAACTTCCATTCATAATCCAAAGCCTTCATCGCTCGGTAAACTTCCATCATGATATCATTAGGCTTGCTTTGGGATCGTATACCCAAATGCCATTTAGCCCTTTTGACTAAGTTGTTTACAATTAGGTTAGAATTCTAAATTTTCAAATCAAAACATACCTCGTCCTCTATCAGCTGCGGCAGCATTAGCATGATTGGAAGCAATAACCCTATCCCTTAATGGGGCAATCCTTTCTGGATGAGGTTTGAGTGGGCTATTCAGGTCAGCCAAGTTCGGACTAGGACTCACACTAACAGGAGGAGGACTTCCAGCCACATAAAAGTCCTTGATTTCTGCCTTAGCTGCTTCATCTGCTATACGTTTATTATCAATGATCAGGTGATAAGCTATTGCAAGTTGATCATGGGGATCGCCACTAAGAAGTGCACTATGAACTTCTGATTCTTGGACACCAAATTTGTCACAGACCTAAAATATTTAGCCATAGTACGTACAATGTACGATATATAATGTAGTATTATTGTTTTACAATACAGAGTACCTTTACAGCACTCTTATATTTAAAAAATTGCTTACTATTAGACCAAAAAATCTACAGTAGGTATAAAAACCTGAACCTAACAGAAAAACAGGTATAAAAATTAACAAAAAATTGATGACAGCACACAAACAAATCACTATCAGGAATCAGTAAATATATTTTATCTTTTGTTTTCATTTGTCTAAAGAATAACAAAAAAAAATCTCAGACTTTAAAATTTTTTAAGAGCAAATTTGTGATCATATTTGGAATTAGGTTATATAAACTTAGGTCAAGAGAATTTTTCATCCTTGATGTCTTTAACCTTCCTAGTTCGAACCAAATTTAAGGAGGATGTGGGATATCGATTATCTCAGTGGAGTAATGACAGATTTCTTGAGTTATGAACTGCGCGATACATGTATATCGATGGTAGTGGCATAAACCAAAGTTTCTGAAATAGTAGTTATCCTGAGTTGGATGTAATTCTGATCACCCTTTTTTACATACAAAACATTATGGTGTTTCTATCTATAGTCTATCATTCATTACCACACCCAATAACATTTTTATATTCTCATGTAATTATAAATGACGAGCTGCAAACCACTGATTGGCATGAGATGTAAACCACTGATTGGCACATTCTTTTGCCAACACCCCTTTAAGGGTTTCTATATTTGGGTTTGATGGTTTAAATATAGAGCTGCAAGGTTAACCGCAGCCAAAATGTTTAAAGAGATTGTTGATATAAACCAATAATAGAAACCCTGTGGAACTCCGTGCATAGGTGTTCATAACTTTGATATCTCATTATTGCAAAAAACTGCTTGCTATTTAATGATCCTCCTATTCGAATAATAAAATATTTTTGAATTATTCGAGGATATTATGACCTCCTGGGCCTCAAATGCAGAAATCAGGGAAAATGAACGGCGAAACAGATTGTGAAGATGAGATTATGTGTGTCAGACGTTTTAGGTTTTGTCAGTTCAAAACAAACTACTTACTTCTCTGACAGCATCAATATCAATCACAGAAGAATCTTGTTCAACAGGTGATGGAAACAAATAAGCGGGACAATCTTTTTGGAACCATTCATGTTTCTTTATATCTTCTATTGTTGCCCTTTTCATAGGATCTATTTGTAACATCTGACACAAGAGGCTAACTACAGACTTGTTCAAGTAGTCTGGAATAGGGAATATCCCAGACTTGATCTTTCTGAATAAAGTTGGAACATGTTCATCATCAAATGGCAACGTTCCACAAAGTAGTGCATATAAAATAACGCCACACGACCAAATATCTACTTCTGGGCCGGCATACAATTTTCCAGAGATTACCTAGAAATGCATATAATGAAAGTTAAACAAAAAGAAACTCCGCCAATCTATATTTCAATATTACAAAACAACAAGAGCTTTCTTAATTTTTCAAAGAAACTTCCACAGGCTACTGTAATGCTTTTTACAAAACTTCTGGATTCCTCCTGCATCGGTTTTTGCTTAGTTGAAATTTTGAAACAGTTTTCAGTCAAGCTCTGAAGAAGCCAACAGGATGATTGGCGAAACGTCAGCAATTTTGACTAAGCAAAAACCGACGCAGGAGGAATCCAGAAGTTTTGTAAAAAGGAAGAACTTTCTTTTAGAACAACACTTGAATGATGTAAATTTGAAGTAACCTGGGCAAAAGTGAGATAATTTCATAGTTAACTTTCATAAAAATGTTGACTATGACATTCATAAATTTCTGTTGATTTTTTTTGTCTTTGAAAATGTCTACAAACATTTTTTTATTGTTCATCAAACTCAATAATAAAAATATTATCATCCTATGTGTATGATTATGACAAATACAAATCAGCAAATTTTTTAAAATAATTTAAACTGTTTGATCTGATTTTGTTTTAATTAATGCAAAGTTTTTGTTGAGGTTTAAATATATTTCAATACATATAAATGAACTAATTAGAAAATAAATTTCTGCAAATCAATTTGTGTAACTAAATAGTCAATAGATTGTAATTGAATTTCTTGACCTTTTACTCCTTAAGGCAAGGTCAATTTATTGTTCCGAAGCAATTTATTTGTAAACTGGCAAATACACTCAGTTTGTTTTGTTAAGTTTACCTCAGGTGCTGCATAATTGGGAGATCCACAACTAGTCCTTAAAAATTCACCATCCATCATCATATTTGACAAACCAAAATCAGCAATTTTCACATGCATGTTGTGATCCAATAACAGATTTTCAGGTTTTAAATCTCTATGTACTATCATATGCCTATGACAATAATCAACTCCTGATATTATCTGCTGAAAGAATCTTCGGGCTTCATGTTCTTGGAGCTTTCCATGCTTTACAATATAATCGAATAACTCACCACCAGACACATATTCCATAATCATAAAAATATCTGTTGGCGTACTGATGACCTGATATAGTTTTATAATATGAGGATGTCTAAACAGCTTTAAGTTTTGAATTTCACGTCGAATTTTGCCAACAACATCAAGGCTTTTAATTTTTTGGCGATTCAAAATTTTAACGGCAACTTTGTGTTTGGTTAGCTGATGTTCTCCTATTTTTACTTTGCCAAAAGTTCCTACGCCCAATGTCTGTCCTAAAATGTAGTGACCGATTTTAACGGGTGGCTGCGCCCCCGCCTTCGAGTTTTCCGCCATCGTTTGGATGTTACCCCACGTTGAAATATTTTATCGCATATAATTTTTTACGATTACTCATTTATAACTATTTTTTAATGTTTAAATTGGCATTAAAACTGTTAAAAGCCATTTACTGCGTTTTATTTTACACAAAATCACAAGATACAAACTAGTCAGTTCATTTACCAAAGAATAATTACTTCTGTCTTTAAATATTGGGTCAAATCATCAACATCATTTGCGCATTGTGACAAATACATATATATTTTTACCCAAATTTAACTTATGAGTCCAGTATTTCGTATTTCCCCATTCGTATAGTGGTCGAAGAGCTGATTTATAAGTTTTCACAAATTAAACTAATTTTATTCATTGTTCATTGCTATGGCGCTACCGCTTTGGTTGGTTTTGCGTTAAACAGTTAGACATATTCATGTATATAAATATAATACATTTTTTGAAAAAATATAGTAGGCGACAAAACCGAAAGGGAATATATTATATTATCATTATTAATTATTCTTCACATTTTGAAATGGACTACTAAATTATTTCGGGGGAGTCAACAGTGTTGTGTTGGCTTCATTGGTTGTCTAAAGAGTAAACATCCCTGTTTTTCAGTTCCCGCTTTTTCTTCTAGTTGTGTGTTGTGTTGTTTGTGTCCGCGTTTAGAAGTTTTTTTCAATTTAGCAATGACATCAGTGGAAGATATTTTACAGCAGTTACAAATACTAAATATAGAGCCGCCCGAAAATGTTATAAACAAGTGTGAGTACCAGATATTGGGATGAAATCCTATTTTTATTTTATATATTGGTGTGGTGTGGGTCAATATCACCTTTTTAAAGGTTTGGCAATATGTTCAAACCATAATCTCGGTGCTGAAGAATTTGTCGAGCAATGGATAGCATATACTACATCACATTTAAATGGCGAAAATCCTACATTGGAGAATCTAGATAAGATGGAGAGAAAAGTATTACAAAAAGGTAAAGATCGTAAAAATCAGTCAATGAAAAACAGTGCACAAACATCGCAACCCCCAGTTTCCGAGGATAGGTATTATTTTCATACTTGTCGAAGTTTTATAGGATACGCTTCTAACATTTTTCAGCTCATCTGTTTCGATTAATGAAAGGGCCGTTTATTTTTCTGGATTAATTGAAACACCAGACGTGAGTTGCTTTTTACTTTCGTTTCCAGTAGTCCCCCATTTAAATTTTTATTTATTATAAAGTTTTGCCACCATTTTTTCTTAAGCTTGCTGTTTCACTTGAACAGCATTTAGTTTGTTGGGTGCTTCTTTTTTTTTCCATTGCACTCTTTGGCGTTTATCCGCGCGCAAAAGAGAAAGACGGAGAACGAACGCTTGTCCGAAAAATGTACTTGCGCAAATGACTTTGAGGTTTTCTCAGAAGTTTCAAGGCTATTTCATCCTTCAGCGGCCATTGTTAAGCAAGTGAAGACGCTTGGCTTTTGTTTGTGTAATTTTTGTGACGATTTTCCATAAATTTAGGTATCGAATTTTTGTGAAGTATTAATGCCGGCAAATCTGCAACCTGTTGATTCAATTAGGCAGACCACAATTTGTGTGATGCGGCTTTTATCAATACCATTGATTCCCTGGCGAATAAAAGCAGTGCAAACAATCTTTCTTAAGAAGATTTTTGTTTGTATTTTGTTTGCGGGCGAAACAATTTGCAAAGGTTAACCTTCATTGACCCATTTTTTAAAATTTATAAATGATTGTTTAGGCCCCATTAATTTAATTGCATCCAATTTTGTAAAAAAATTATTTTGTTTGCATAGAAACGTGTCTTGTATAGGGGTTGTGGTATAGTGGATGGTTTTCAGTGGGTTTGGTTCTAGTCCCACGTGTGTTGTATATTCGTGACTAGATCCACACTCATTAAGAATTGTTCGCATAATCTTTTGACGTGGGTAATCCGAAATTATATTAGTGAAACAACTTTTTTTAATCCCTGTATTGGCGAGTGTGGGTTCAGTCCACGTGATTTAAGATCGTGACTAGATCCATACTCGTCTATAGAGGTATCATCATCATCTGAAGATAACAAAGCTAAAAAGCAAATTTAAATTCCTGTTTTATGAAAACCTATGATATAAGTGGTTGATTTCAGTTGTTTTCTCGCCCCTAAATTGAAAATTGGTTTTAGACTGCCAGGTGGTTTTAAAATCGGAGTTTGTGTCACATAAGTTTTGGTTATATAGTTGGTTAGTAAAATTTGTATATTTTTTTATGAATGAATAATATGCTGTATTTTTTGTACCCATCTAAAAAATCATGTTTAAAACCCATTTTCCATTAATTCGCTCTTATTGCTTTGTTTTAAGTGCATGTAGCACATAGTTTGGCTTGGCACAAAATCTTTTATTATGGTATGTACAGGTGCAGGTTTGTTTTTAAGTTTTTAGTTTTAGATACCCGTCCATCATCCTTTTATTTTAATTTCGAGTTCTATATTAATATTGAATATTTTTTTACATATACTGTGAAATACAATTGTAAGTGGCTAAGCACTGTCTGACTAGTTTTTGTGCCCAATTTACTGATTTATATAAATAAATGTTACTTAATCCTCTAATCAAAAGGACCAGGTTTGGGGCCAAAGTATAACAAACCAGATGAGTTAAATATGTGAATGTGATTATAAGTTGGTACAAGTAAAAAAAGGAATGAGTTTATATTGTGTTTATAATGATAGTTACACAGATGATGTGCTAAACCTTTTAATTCCGTTTGTTATACCTTGAGAAATCCTTAAAATAATTTAGAATGAATATTTTTATTTTGTTATTTTTTCTGATATTTTGTGTTTTTTTATGATTATTTTAAGATTTATGTTGTGCTTAATGATAGTTACACAGTAAATGTGCTGAGCCTTTCAAGTTTTTTATGCCTTGAGAGAAAACCGAAAAGTCGTTTAGGATGAATATTTTAATTTTGTGATTTTTTGTGTTTTTTAACGTTTTTATTTTGTGATATTTTGTGCTTTTTAATGATTATTTTAAGGGTAATCACAGAACAGGGTCGAGAATTGATACACCACTCCATACCAAAGGGCTTATTGATGAAGTAGTAGATACCACAATTAATAGTCCTGGGTAATTATTGCATTATTAGAATAATTTGTGGGTGAACTTTATTAAGCATTAAAAATGTCTAGAAAACTTTTTTTTTAATTGCTTACTCAAAATTCTTGAAAATTAAGAGCAAGTTCAGCAACGAGTTTTTATCAAATAAATTTTAAAAATATATAAACCACCGACTTTCTAATGGTTTGATAACTTTTGTTAGTTGAATTACTTTTATTTTCTAGTTTATTGTGCCTCCATGAATAACAAAAAAAATTAACCAAGCAGCAAAAATCTAAAGTGTACTCTTTTCACATTTCCTTATAAGTATATTTTCGCAAAACATGACGAGTAACCCTTTTTTCTTAATTTTTATGAAATACCTAAATATAAAATTTCGTTTAAAATTATTTTTCGTTGACTGTATTTATATTTCAACCAGAGTCATTATTTTATAATAGTATTCATTTTCTATGAGTAGTTTCGCGGACTCTATGCTTCGATTCCCACGCTTTAGGGAAATATGACCTAACTGTTAATTTTGTCCACATATGTTTGTTTTTGTCCTTTATTACTAGATATATGGCCTATATTCGTATGTTTTACGTTGAATCTTAATTTATAACTTGTTGAATGTTTGTGATAGTCATTTACATCATATATTTTTCTGTAGTGCCCAATCGGGAGCCTATTCGAAAAGGACAGATGCAAAAAGTGTAAAATGTTCTTATCGCATGAGCGATGTCGAATTTAAAAGGGTAGAACGTGTCGAAATTATTATTTCTAAAGTTCAACAACATAATTTAACAGAAGATGCAAAGTATATGTATGAAGTAATCGGGAAAAAAGCGCAAGCTATAAACGAGATGGTAGATTATGTGGGGCAAGCGATTCTACGCAAGTACGGGCTGCATATCAACGATGGATATCTCAAACACAACGTGGTAAGTTTTTGGAATAGGGTAAACCAATTATGCAACATTCTTAAACTTCCAAACTTCGCTCCTTGGAAAAAAACATATTTTTATTTTTTTTTTCATAGGAGAAACTCATTTATTTGATTCAAAAAGGTGCGAAATTGTGCTTATGGGCGCCAAATAATAGTGATTTTCATTGCGGTGCCTGGCGTCAGTGTTATTTTTCTATAGATGATGTTACATGTGTACAAAAGGAATTATTAATATTAATCTTAATAGCTTTCTTATTTAAATTTTGAGGATTTTTTTGTTTAGTATAAGGATTTGTGCTCAAAATTATACAAAACTATACATAAGGTAAAACCCAGGTTTTAAATTATATTTCATCTTAAACTTTGCTAGTGCATCGCATGAAACAATTGAATAAGGCTCATGAATGATATTCCAGTTGACCTATGCTCTACCAGTAATGAAATGCCTTATGTATTTCTGTGTTCTCAGTTGTTAAATAAAAATATTTTTCCTTTGATACAATTATTCTTACCTCTTTGTAAATTCAATTGTTTTAAGGGAGAAGTTGTAACTTATGGAAAAATTGTGTCGGATTCTGATGGTAAAATCAATAGCCAGTCAGTCCTTCTAGAAGGTACAATTACAACAAATATGGGATTTGTAATTTCCTTGAACCTTTCAAAAGTCTTAAAGTATTCACTTTTTCCTGGTCAAGTGGTAGTTGTGAGAGGCAATTGTCTGCCTGATCTCAACAAATTAGTAGCTCACGAAATTTACGCCGAAACAGATTTGTCTCTTCCCTTGGAACCGCCAATAGTGAAAGGTAAGTTTAAAAAAATGAGTTTGTGTAATTGATACTTCCACTGTGTGGTCGTTTATCGGGATTAAAGGTAAATCTCCTGAATATGACAATTTTACGTGAAATGTGGTTGTCGTTTAGGTATTATTATTAGTAATTTTATATAACAAAGCAGGTTTTTAATTGTATTGTTTTGATATCGCGGTGTGTGGTAGACTAAGTTTTTATTCTTAAGTAAATGTCAACTATTCAGTAGGGAGGAAAAAGTGACTATGATAGCGCAATATGCAGATGATAGCAATTAAAATTTGAAGATTTGTGAATTCCTTACAGCGGTCATAGATTTTTTGGTGTATTATATTTAAACTATTTTGAGGAAGCCAAAAAATTATTGACTAAATGTAGAGAAAAAAAATTGCTCTACCCACATATTCAATATCTTGTAGTTTGTTTTACGTGCACCACATTTAATTATAAAAACTTATAATAATAATAAATATTTTAATTTATTTTCACAGTATTACAATAAAATTTTGAGGTATAATTTCTGGAATAAAGCAACTGTATTTATATAGCGCAAACCAAATAAATAATCTGGAGGCAAAAAAAAAGTATAAAATTTTCTAGAACCTGGGCATGAATAATAACTATTAAAATATAAAATTGATGAATAATATTGAGGCATGTTTTTCTTATCTTTTTGCTAGAACAGTCATTATTTCGATCATGTACAGATTCCTCTCTCTTTCCGGTTTCTTGCTTAACAAACTGGCAACTAAATCACCAAAAAGTTGCTCGGCAGTTTTCTGTGTTGCATTAGCAGAATTCTTATCAAACATTCTTAAAGAACAGTAAGTTTCTTCGCTTTTGTACCTTTTCTCTGGGAGTGGTTCACTATTTATACTGTTCGACCTTTGCCTTTTGTAATAGGAAGTATCGTTATAAGAACTATCAGCAACTTGCTGAACTGCAGCTTCCTCTTTTATGCCAGCATAATCATTTGACGAATCAGTATAAATATTTTCATCATCATATTTATTATTTATACGGGAATGGCTACTTTCTTGTGATGAATTTTTCTGTAGATGATTGTGATAGTGCTCAACCCTGTGAGAATTTGCTCCTAAATTTAGTTTCAAACAAAAATCTGTTTGTTTTCTTCTGTACTGGATCACTTTATCGAGAAAACTCATATCATCCAGTAACTCCCATTTGGCCTCTCCTTCTTGAAACTTAATTTTCTGCCTAATGTACTTTTCCCTTAAGGCTTTCCATCTGAGCATGCAAGAATTAATATCTCTACTTAAAGCTGTCGCTATGGATTCCCAATGCTGATTCTTCATGTTTTTATTAGGGTAAGTATTAGAATTCCTGTCCCAAATCGGGGTAGCCTTCATGACTAAATGGATCAAGTGCTTATCAAAATCAGTGGGATCAGTGTCAGAGTTTACAGAGAGGTCATCTTCACTGTTACAAATGGACGATCTCGGTATTATGTAGGGATCAAGAAATTTTAATTCCTTTAACAGATCCCATTCTTTGTATAAATCACCGTGGTGGTGGGCTTTTTCCCTTTCTCGCACATATTTCTCTCTGATCGATTTAAAGGCATCCTTACAATGTTCAGCTACAAATAATAAATAATTGAAATTATGCTAAAATTAGAGAAAAAAAAACTAATTAATTGAATAGTAGTAATACAGTAATAACCTAAAACAATGAAAATTGGAAAAAGATTTTTTAGATAACTAGATGATGTTAATAAATAATAATAATAAAAGTTAAGTACGGATCTGGCTAAGATTTTCGACTTACTTGCTAGGTTCATTTTCGTAGAAACTTCTTCCCAAGCCTTTTCTTTTGTACCCTTATCACGAAAATATGAATGATTTCTATCCCATATTGGAGGATATTGCTTGATAATTGTTACGAGTTTGAAATGATCCATTAATTTTTAGGTTATGAAATTTTAATTACCTTAAACTTGGAATAATTATTTAAAGGCTAATATTTTTCAGAACAAAGATTGATGCGAAACAATTCGATGGAAATGTTTTTTTAGGTCTATAATTTCGCTGCAGAAACAATTTATTCGAGGAAGATATAAATCGTTTCTGCCGCACATCGACGCGGAAAAATTAATTAAAGTAGATTGAATTCGATTTCGTTACGCCAGTCAGTTTGGGCTGTCTTTCTTTAATTCGCAAGTTTCCACCATCGCTGTCCTTGTCTCGCAAGGCTTGGCTGTCTGCAATTCCTGATTAATTGTTTCAATTTCACGCAATTAACGTTTTCTAGTTTGCGACCTAATCAAATTGCGCGACGCAATTAGATTTAAAAATGACCAACGACAAATATGTTTTGGTTTTTTAATAGCTATCTTAGAAGTGCCGGGAAGCTGTTATTAAGAGTTTTGTTAAAATTGTATACAAGGTGATTAATAAAGAAATATCAAAATATCCAAAATATTATGATTGAGCTCAACATGCTTTAGACAAATGTCACTGCTTTTGAAGATACAGGACGCGCTACGCTTAAGTTTTATTCTGAAATAAAAATCGGCAGTTTTAGATTTTTTGCATAGAGGCCAATAGTTTCACAGTATCATTTAGATAAATCTGTCGAGTTATGGTTGCAACGTGATGAAAATCTGAACGAATGTTCAATTTTTCATAGAAAAGGTACTGTTGTTTAGGATGGCTAACTCTTATCAGTTTTTTTAATTAATTGCATGAAAAAAGTTCAAGTTGTCTTTCCGATTATTTGTATAAATACCTCAAGGATTAAAAAGTGCGAGGAGCAAAAGAAATTGTGATAATAGTCGTAAAAAAACTCCAAATTAATTCTTGGGATTGTGCACTACTTACCTCAATACATTTTACACTTAAATGTCTTTGTTATTAAACAAAACTTCTTTATTATTTCTTCCGCAACTCCTGAAAAGACAATAGAAGAACTTCAGCCTATACCAAATCCTTCAAGTATGACTGACTATATTGAAAAGTCCAAAAAGTCTCGACTTCTTGGTGGAAAGAACAAATTCACTTTCACGGCCGGATTTTCCAAGAAAAACCACATATTTCTTAAGGCGGGTGGTAAATATTCTAGGAGTACGTTTAAAGGACGCCGAAGGAAGTTTAAATAACGAGGTCCAGTTAGATGGGCCGGCAATTCAAAAGAACAAATGAAGAATTCGAAAATTACACCAGACCAAATGTTCATGTTATACTCATGTGTGACTTGGTTTTTCAGCATGTGGATTTTCAGAATCTCACAAATGATTATTTTTCCAATGAAAGATTCCTCATCTTTTAAATGTCGTCGGTATGAAGAATCTTATTAAGAAAATTCAAAAAAATTGAGGCAATAACTGTATGAACTTATGCTTAATAAACTTAGTACTAGTTCCTGCTATATAAACTGACACTTCTGTAAGGAGTGACCGCTACGAAAATGATCCGAAGTTTGTTAATTTCATTTGATGTGATTTTTGTTTTTGCATTTTTTAAGTTTATTTTATTACGGATGCGGTAAATATGCAACCCAATGTTCATTTTTTGCAGATCCATTTCAGATAGTGATGGCATGCGGGCCATTCACTGTTCAAAACAACCTTTTGTTTGAGCCCCTCAACGATCTTTTGCAGTACGTGAATGAGCACAAGCCTCACATATTGCTACTCGTCGGCCCATTTTTCGAAAAGAACAACGAAGGCATTTTTAATGGGGATCTAACGCAAACCTTTGATACGTTCTTCTTAAATACTGTTGATACTATAATGGATAGTCTGAAAAATACCAATGTGCACGTTGTTATGGTCTCCTCGCCAAGGGACCCACATCACCATCCTGTATATCCATGTCCGCCGTACATTTTAAGAGAAAAATATAAAAATTTGTCATTAATGGCCGATCCATGTATGATCAATATAAATGGGCTGGTGATTGGTGCAACTTCGACTGACGTTTTGTTTCACATAAGTAATTACGAAATTTTTCTGTAAGTCATTTTTTGCATTAATACTAGCTCTATGTTGGAACAAGCAGTTACTTTGCCTTATTAATACTCAAATGACGCCTTAGAATTCTTGTTGACAACACACGCATTAGGCTCAATAAACGTGAGGAAAAGCAAACCATGTACCAATATTCAGGTGTCAGCATTATTTGATTATCAAACAGTTAAACAGTAACAAACATAAAATATATAATTAAACCGCAAAAATAATTCCATACATCATAAAAAAACGTTAAAAAAAACTAAATAAGGGATTTTGGTAAGCTATCATTTTATTCGAAAGCTTATTCCAACACATAGTTGTTAAGGCTCGTACAATAACTAAACGTGTGATTAATCTGAAATCTGTAGAGACAAAACAACTTCCCTATCGTCAGACAGAATGGGTCGAATCGCAGCGCATCTTTTAAAGCAAGAGAGTTTCTATCCTTTAGATCCTCCGCACAAAGACATGTGCATCGATCATACATTTTTGGAAAGGTATGGAAACATGGAGGTCAAACCGCATATGTTGATATTACCATCGAATTTAAGGAATTTTGTTAAGGTAACTTTCAATAATGTTCCGGTTTGTTTTATATTGATTACTTTCATGCCGTTTTTTAGAATATCGATGACTGTCTGGTTATAAATCCGGAAAGGCTGACGAAAGGTTACGGGGGTGGCACTTTTGCACGGTTAGAAATTCAACCCGGTACTAGCGCTTCCATATGTAACCGATCAATCTGCCAAATATTAAAAATTTAATGTGTTGGTTAGTTTAAATATAAAACCTTAACCCCACAGCGCAAGTCCTCTTCATAGCAAGAACTTAGAAAATAGTTCTTTACAAACATGTTTTATGCCAACTTAAGTGAACACAACCTTCAGATTAATTAGTGAATAATTTGCCATAATTAAACTGCTGAAAGCAGAAACAGACAATTAAATGTTCAGTTTATCTTGTGAACATTTTTATTGGCTGTAAGTTTTTTGTGTTTACAAATATCAATTTTTTGAATGTTATTTAATCATGGAACACCCTTTATATTTTATTTATATTTAATAGAACACGTTATTCTGATTTTGTTTTCGATAGATGTTGGCAATATAGGAAATTTTAGACTTCATGCACAATAACAAGTTCCTTCCAAATAGAACAAAGAGAATACAACAAATAAAATAGGATTCTTTAAAAAAGTGCGGTCTCTTTTGCTACCAGTTTTGAAGAAACATAATTACACAGTTTTGGTTGGATTTTTTAAATAGATATCTATTTTATGTGCCAATAAAAGCTTATTCAATACATTACACTACTGGTCCATAAATAATCCTAGACAAATACATGACATAAAAACCCATGGGTAGCAGTTGGTTAATGTTTGTTAGACACATTTTGGGTCTGCTATTGGTCAAAAATTAACTGGAAATCATAATTTACTTTTCAGAATACAATATACTACGATAAATATATCAATACAAATAATATGACAAAAAGATGATGTGCCTCTTCACAATGTTATCCGAATCAAAACAGTCCGAAATTGAAATTAATGGATTTCTTTTAGGAGCACATAAAAAAACAGACGTCAGAACCTCGTGACAATGTCAAATAGTTTAAGATGTCAAAAAATTGTACGTGCTGGCTGCTAAATAACTTACTGCCGACCAAAATGTTATTAAGATAAATTGAATCGCACATACCTTTTTCAATCAATAAAAAATTAGTGTACTAATAAAAATGACCTCACTCAAAAAGTAATATTCTTAATGGCATGTTTAAATCTTCCCATGTTAAAAGATTCTTTAAATATTAAAAGTGCATTTTACCCTATCAGTGTAAGTATGCAAGTAGTAAATATGTGCGCTCTAACTTTTTCCTTCAGGACCTGCGATTGTGCTAAAAAAAAATTAAAAAAATAATGCTATACGAAATTGCGATTTTGTATTTTTCTTCATCAGTTTGAATTTGGTCCAACAATTATGACTACTACTGTCAATCTGGAAAGTACTGCTACCACCTGTTCTCACAATTTAGTTGTGTATATGACCACTGCCAGGTGATAAAAGGACGTCAATCAATCAGTTAAGAGACAATGTCAAATAGGTGGAGATGTAAAAAAACTGTAGGTGTTGGCTGCTAAAAAAGTTGCGGCCGACCAAAATGTTATTAAGATAAATTGAATCGCACGTACCTTTTTCAATCAATAAAAAATTAGTGTACTATTAAAAATGACCTCACTCAAAAAGTAACATTCTTAATGGCATGTTTAAAATCTTCCCATTTTAAAAGTGCCTTCAAATATTAAAAGTGTATTTTACCCTATCAGTGTAAGTATGGAAGTAGTAAATATGTGCGCTCTAAATTTTCCCTTTAGGACCTTCGATTGTGCTAAAAAAAAAATAAAAAATAATGCTATACGAAATTGCGATTTTGTATTTTTCTTCATCAATTTGAATTTGGTCCAATAATTATGACTATTACTGTCAATCTGAAAAGTACTGTTACCACCTGTTCTTACAATTTAGTTTTGTTCTGATAAAAGGACGTGGTATGGTATGTCTCTCGTCTGGTGTTAAATGCAATTATCGAAGTAACCTGACGATCGCAATACACCTCAGACCAGTACGTATTGTAATACAGAGCATCAGGGGACCTTTGAGGTGTTTTAAAAATATAAATTTTAAATTTTATATTTGGTTTATATGACTAAATAAATAAGACAAGAAGGATTTATTTTGAGACCCAGTAATTTAACAATAGACGAACAGTTTTTACATCTGTGTCAACAAGAAACTGTCAATGGCTTAAATTGACATGTTTAATAATTACTTTTTATTTTTGCTATTTCTGCTTTGCGTTTTCTGCGACAGCAATGACGGCACTTCATATCGCAAACATCGATATAAAAATCGCAATATACGGCATTGCAAACTTAGACCGTCCACTAGTATCGAACCTTTTTATACCAAGCATATTATGGAAAGTACGCCCTACCTAATTCTAATGATTATTTTAGGAATCTTTTTTGTGCTGATATTTTTAGGCAAGTACATCAAGTTTTTTGAAAAAAAAAAAAAAGTGTTTCATAGTTTCCTATTTTGAAGGACTCTTAAAAGGATTGATTGGATTGTATTTTTGCCGCCAAGTAGGTGAGATCGGACTCGATCTGCTTATAGATTTGCCTATTCCATTAGTCGAGTATCAAGAACAACACTTAAAAGCGCGAACAGTATGTTATGACGTCGGAGGATGGCCGATTCATCCAGATACTGGCGAACGGACTGTCAGAGTTTTACCAAAGTAAATATTTTAAAAGGTACAAGTAAGATAATGTATAAGATCTCTTTAAGGAAATCTGAATTCTGTTTGAACGTTGTTTTTTTGTTGGCTTATCCTTTGACCTTTGTACTCCAATTGTGCTCAATGTTTTTTTGCATTGGTCGCGAATACAAGGAAGGTGACGAAACGTGTTTTAAAGAAGTCAATGTAATAAAATTTAACGGAACCAACATGGTAAACTTGTGGTAATATTTTTCTTATCGCATTGTAGTATTCTGTTGTAGACCTGCTCGAATGGGCCACAGGTTGATATATATAACGATGATGATTTACGAGAAGCTAGGGATACTAAATATGTCATTAATATGATGAAGCAAAGTCAAATGTCGTTAGCGAAGTTAAATAGCCAAAAATAAAATTTTATTGATATGTGTATACTATTATTTTGGTGGCTACAACTTCTACAGCTCTTAAATACTAATTTTCAAATGTTATTGAAACTTTTTTTCCGAATTTTGTCACAATTTTAATTTCGCTTCACATCAGTTTTATCAGTTTTGGGTCTACATTTTTTTGAGAGAAGATGAAGTACATTTTTTTGTCCGAACATAATTTTTGTATAAGTTTGAATTGCAGTCTTTGCAGTTTCAACTGTGACAGGCAAAAAAAATATTAAACATTTATAATTCATTCCATCATTAATATTTCTTAAGGCTCCTCAGAATTATGTACTATCGCTTGCGATACTTCGGCAATCAATAGGAATTGAGCATTTATCGACAGTTCATCTGCTTGAATTGAGTTGAATTTATTTTAAATTTTTATTGTGTCGCTGGAGGTATTCGCCTAATGTTATTGATATGTTTGTTCTATCAACAGCTTTGGATTTTACTTGCGACTTCTGGATTTTTTTTTTTAACCTATCAAATATTTCTGGGGTCATTCGAAAAAAAATATGGTGCTGATTGTAGGGATCGTCTCTAATTTCTTCCAACCACCGAATCTGCAAGAAGTATGATGATTATTTTATTTAGTTGAAAGCATCATATAATTATAGGTAATAGATATTACCAACAAGTACAATATCTCAATAAGGCACGTACCTTCTTTTACAACTATTTCTCTTTTCAAAACTCTGTATGTATTTTATATTTATACACAAAAACTCAACCCCACAGGGCGCCATGAACAACAGTCGTGTCGCTACTTTTCAGCGACGGGGTGATGGGGGACTGTCTCTGGCGACACTACGTAGTTCTGAGAAGGCGGCTTGAGTCTATCTCACTAACAGAAACAAATTCAGATGTGGAAATTATTCTTACAAATGTATCGCAGCTTTCGTGGTTAAAGGCTAATAATATGATCTCGACTATGAAGAAGTTGGTTTAAACAGTGTAAATGCCAGTAAATTTCAAATAGGTTGGGAGCAGAAGCTTATAACTTTTAAGATTTTTAAAGATTAAAATGATTAAAAAATACACAACATAGAAATATTTGGAGCATAGAAGGGCGCGAACATTAATTTAAAAATATAAAGTTGGCCAAGTTATTGACATTTGCACTACTGTTTTCAGTAAATTAGCCTTAGACAACTTCCTACTAATTTAAAAATGAAGCAAATTATCGAAAATGCAAAATCTTGAGGTTTTTTTTAAATAGGTTTAAACAAATACTTTTATATATTTTTACCTTCTTTAGAAGAAATAATAGTACATTTAAAAAATAAAGTAGGGCCTTTTCACTTTTTAACCTTACCCCGTATGCTTGTATAAGGAAGAGTTACTACATATTTGGTAAATTAGCAAATAGAAACAATATAGGGTGTACCGCACTGATTAAATATTTTACATACTTTTTTAAAAAATAACCGTGTTCAGTGAACCTGGACCTTTATTTTTATATTTGATTACAACATAACAAGGAAGTCTTGCGAACCTGAAATTTATTTACAAATTGATGACAAAGTAAAAAATATATAAAAAACTAAAACTTAATATTAATATTGAATAATGAATGCGGTTAGTTTTGCCGACCAAGTTAAATAATTTATTATTTCTTTAAGGTATTCGAAAATCATTCTATTTAAAGTGAATTACCACCTTCGACCTCCAAACTTCCTGCCACCACCGCGGTTATTCATAAATTGTCCCTCTTTCTCCCTTTTCTCTTTCATCGCCTCAAATCTATTCGCCATATCGTACAGTTCTTCAGGCACAAACTGAAATAATTCATGATTCATTATGAGGAAGACACTTCATTTCTTTCCCATCGGTTAAAAAGCAACAGGGGCAAATTATAAAAATGTGCACCAAGAGGAAAATATCACGGGGTCCTTTGAAATTTTTTTATTTAACAATTGATCAGAATAAAATTTTTATGTGGAAATTTAATCACAAATACGAAAAAGAAGATTTGTGCTTATTGTAAGTTATGATTACCCTTAAATGAAATAAATGTAAAGTATGGTTTAAAGTAAATTTTATAAATAGATAGATTGGAAGTACTAATGACAATTACAAATTACCAACAAAGAACGTTTAAGAGAAATTATTTTGAAAGCAAAAATTTTCACCACCTTGAAACATAGAGAAAGGGTATCGTTGTCCCATGCAGAGCCCATATATAAAATGATTCAAATATCCTGACCGGCTGGGATATATCACCAGGGTTAGACAATGTTGGGTTTGTTACTGATACACCCACAGAACAATATTATGATGTATTCAAAAGCATAGGTAAATTTAAAAATAGCAAATACATAAATCGTTTTTAATCATAGTAGGTTTGTAAGAAATGTTTCTTAATGTGCAACATTAGAAAGAATAAATGCTTGAGCCAATGTAGGGGGGTGTGTTTAACATCTATTTCACTTGCACTACGTTTGCGTTTGTTTATTTTTTGTGATAAAACTGACTTATTTTTGAAAGTGAAAAGGTGTCTTTGGATATTACAAAGACTGTATTTCTGTTTGATATTATCAAAGGTATATTGGATGTGGTCTGCGTTAACTCCAAAAGTGTGTCACCCCACTTGTATCTTGCCTATATATGCATCACAACAGCAATTTTCAGTCTTTCTTTTAGACGTCTGTGGCAGAGTCGATATGGTGGAAAAGTTAGGACTTACATCTTCTCTAATAATTTGTTTTATGTTTCTAACTCTCATTACCTGATCAGCTTCTTCCAAAATTTTTATAAGTTCGGCGGCTTGGCCCCAATCCTTTCTGGTGAAGTAACTAATGGATTCTCCAGTTTTACCTGCGCGACCAGTCCTCCCAACGCGATGCACATATTCTTCTATGTTTTTAGGAAAATCGTAGTTTAGAACATGCCTAAGGTAAGAGAAAGTTAGTTTCGGCGTTTTTCATGATAATTATAATACTATATAATAGAGCGCTGTAGAATTTTATGGATATTTTTATCAGTTCTCACACATTAAAGATCATAAATTTCATTAATCATACGTTTATTTGGTAAGGTTAAAATTCACAGCAACATTTGTAATCAACGGTAATAATGCGGGTTTTAATGAAACCAAAAGTATGGCAAATGCTTTAAATACAGGCAAATATTCACCACTCAGCATACTTGAAGCCAGAAGTACTGTCAGTAGATTTTTTTTTATTACTTTGTTTTTTTAAAGATAGATTCGTGAATACAGTTATCATATTTTCTTTACTTTGCTGTAAAACATATTAGGCGAGCTAGCCAAGAACATTTTGTTTGTTGTAAGCCTGCAAATATTTTATAAGATTTGATTTGTTGCCACAAATTCATTTATATCTGCAAAAAATTATTCAAATGGGGAACATTGCTAGTGTCAATCCCTTTATACTATATTAAAAGAAAAAAGATAACAAAATTGCACACTCAAAATCCAGAAAAAATGAAAAGCTTAAAAAAGTTAAGTTCACCAAGTTCAAGTAACTTTATTTTCATTTGCTTTCTATTAGCGATTGATAATAACATCACTACTACAATGTCAGCTCTAAATTTGGATCTTACTTTTTGGTAACCCAGTGGCGTTTTATTTTATCCCTATTTGAAGCAAATTGAAAGCTTGGTGAAAAATAATGTTAATCAATAAAGTTCAATGCTACCTACCGGCGGAATAGGGCTGCCATTAATAAGGTTTAAACCATAGATGGTGTTGTTGATAATCAAAAATATCCAAATATCGCAAAACAAAACTTCTTGATTGTGATTGTGATGGAGGCCAACTACTGTTCTGTATGAAACTTCATTTAACACATTTTCCATTGCGACAAACATATTTTTATATAATGAGAGAAAGGGACACTTAATCTAATCTTTTTACATAACATCATTAAAAAAGAGCACAAAAAAAAAAGTTGACTAACGTCAGAAAAATTTGGTCATATCCAATAAAGTGCAATAAGGATAAAATTTTTAAAAGGTGTGAAAAACCCCTAATATCTCAAAATATGAGTACAGGAGTGATTGATTATATATTGGAAGCCCTGTATAGTATTTCATAAAAAGAAAGCTTAGCTTATGTTGATTTCAAAAATATAACAGGTCACAGTTATCTTTTTGTTTCATTATGGTAGTTGGGGCATAGCTTGAACAATGGTTTAAAATTCAATAAAATACTATTTTCACTTGACAAAAAATTAGAAATATTGTCGTTGTATATAAAAAAAATGACAATGTAAATAGGGCCAAACGCGAATGTATGCAAATACACAGGAAGAAGGCGCATATCATCCAAAATAACATTCAAGTGCCTTCATACAACGTTGTAAATCCCAATGAACATTTAAATATCCCTTAAAATCCATTAAATTTCATACGCGAAAATATCAATTTGGAAAAATTGAGACAATTAAAAAAAAAACTAAATTTTAATCCTTTAAACCACTTTGAAATTTACCGAAGTTCTGCATTTAACTGAGGAAAATAAGGCAACATTTTGCAAATGTTGGGCCATAGCAGTACAAAAACTGACCCTACTTTGGTGGGTTTCAAAAAATAACTAAACCTCAGAATTTTACAGGGAAGATATAAAAAATCTTTTAGAAAACATCAGAATCAAATTAGAGGAAATAATGTGACAATAGGATGACGTCCCTCCTCAAAATTTAGATAATACATTTCATTCATGGATTGGGTGATACAGCACAATATTATGGCCAGCCGCCGATAGCTGTTTTTACTCTTCCAGATACTTTTTTGTGGAGATCTTTAAAAAACAAAACTTATTTTGGCCGGCTAAACAATATATAATAGATGACATTAAAAAACTAATTCGGAGTGAAAAAAATAATATTAACAGTTTGCACACTGAATGGATAATTAAAGCTTTAGATAAGTTTAAATTTCAATTTTAATATTTAGCGCAATATTCCTAATCAATAAATTGGTGTTTAGACATACTTTTTACATACAACAATAATATTTTGATTTTTTTGTCAAGTGAAAATTATTATTTCAGACATGCTACAAGTGCCACAGTTAAGCAACAGACTTGGCCTCACTAAGTAACCCTGTTATTTTTGGCTTAATATAAAAAAATAACTATAACATATTGAAATCAACGTCAAAGAACCTTCCTTTTTATGAAATAATATACAGGGCTTTCCGTTTAAAAAAAATATCTAAATCCTCCTTTTTGTATTAAACTTTTTTTCTAAAATGTAATAAAAAAAAATAGTGAAGGGTATCATTTATAATGAATCCACGTTATACCATAACCTACGTTATGTCGTCAATGTCTAATCCCCTAGATGCGAGATCCGTGGCGATGAGTATTTTAACTGTACCATCGCCGATATCTGCAACCGCTCGTTCTCGATCGCACTGATCTCGGTTGCCGTGAAGGGCGGCACAAGGAATCCGATTCATTGACAACTCAACAGATAAGTAATCGGCCTGCGCTTTCGTCCCGCAAAAAACGATTAACTTTTCATCAGGCCCCAAATTCCGCGCGAATTCCATCAACTAAAGAATTTTAACTTTCGTCGACGCTTTAGGAAAAACAATCGACGAAAATCGTACCTCGGTTTCCTTGTCTTTTTCGTCGATCATCCGAATAACTTGCGTCACGGTATGGGTGGCGGCTAAATCAAGAGATCCGACGTATATTTGGATCGGATCGTGCATGTACGATTGTGCCAGTCTTCTAACGCCCGGAGGCCAGGTGGCACTGGTCATAACGCTCTGCCTAGTCGGCCGCAGAGAATACATAACCTTTCGAATTTGCGGTTCAAAGCCCATGTCGAGCATACGATCGGCCTCGTCCAATACCACGTATGTCACAGATTTTACATTTAAATGACCTTAAATGAAAACATTGCATCAATAAATAAATCAATGAGGTATTTATTAGCAAATTTCTAGAATTGCTTTCTTTACTATCTAAATTGCAAAAACATTAATTATAGTTAAAAATCAGGGATCCCTTGCACTCAAAAGCGCAACATTATAAACTTTCAAATTTTCAAAATAGAGTACGGAAAAATTATCACACGGACTACCTGCTTCACATAAATCGTTCATCCGCCCAGGTGTTGCAATCACTATATCTACACCCTCTGTGACCACTCTAACTTGCTGCTTTCTATCACCTCCTCCATATACACATACCCTAAAGACACAAAAAACAACATTTCCTTAATAGAAGTGGTCACCTAATGTAATAATCTTGATGCTATTTGCACATTATTAAATAAAGTACTTACGAAGTTATGCCTCTGTAATAATACTTTTTCACCTCTTTATCAATTTGTAAGGCCAGTTCTCGGGTAGGTGCCATTATTAAAACAGCTGGTCCTCCCCTTTCTGTCCTTGGTATAGTCTGACCATCAATATGAATTAGTGCAGGAAGTAGAAAGGCCAGAGTTTTTCCTAAAACAAAAATTATACTAAAATTTATTTTGAAAATATGTATGTATTTCATTACCTGTCCCAGTTTGTGCTATTCCAATCAAATCTTCACCAGATAGTAACACAGGCCAAGCCTGGCTCTGGATTGGTGAAGGTTTTTCAAAACCAGCCTTACGAATTTCCTCTAATACTTCAGGATAATTATGAAAAGCATGTTCAAATGTAATTACAGGTTTAGGTATTTTCTTACTGTTTTCTGTCTTAAAAGTTCGGTCAACAACTATGTTGTTACTATTTTTGAGAAACTCTGAAACATCCTCATCTGTCATAGCTGTAACTTCAGGATGTTCTTCATAAAAGTTCTTTATTATGGGAGGGACTTTGCTCCATTCTTCATCTTGTAAAGCATCCTACATTGTGTTATAAAATTTATTTATAAATAAAAGACATATTATTATACTTACACATTCCTTTACAAATTTGAACCAATTGAATGGACCAGTAGATGGTTTACTATCTATAGTCGTATTAATTGCTTGTGTTACTGTTTTTACTGATTCAGACCTTCTTGGCTCTTCCTTTATAACTTCGTTAATAAGCTCTTTTGCTCTTAATATCTGACTATCATTGCCAAATATTTTAACTATTGTTTCATCATCAACAGTCTCCTTCGTTACTTGAATTTTCGCAGAAGAACGAGTTTGTAATTCTTCAATTTGACTACCACCTCGTCCTTAAAGTTAACTTCTAAATTGAGAAACCATAAAACTCTACTTACCAAACTATTTTCTCATTTTTTAAAAGTAATTACCTATCCTATTTACATAGCTTCTGGATTCCTCCTGCTTCGATTGTTTATAAATCAAACTTACTGATTTTTCACCAATCATCCTGGTGGCTTCTTCAGAGCTTAACTGACACGACCAGTTCAGTTTGATTTATAAATAACCGACGCAGGAGGAATTCAAAAGACATGTAAATAGTACTAAACTAGCCTGTGGAAGTTTCTTTGAAACATTAATTACCTATAATTTTTCCCACTAATTTTGAAGGGACTCTAATAATCTCATGGTTTTCATCGCGCCAATTGTTCTGATTCGGTTCTCGGTTAATAACTCTACTGCCTCTGCCCCTGCCGCGGCTACTTCTTTGATTTCCTCTATTGGAAAAATTTGAATTTCTGTATGTCTGAGATAAATATGTTTCATTTCTAGGTTCTGCAGATAGAGTAGGTCTATCATCGTCCCAACTAGTATCATACATTATTAATTTTGTAAAACAGAAATAAATCTGCAATACAAAAAAGGAAAGATTTTTTTTATATCAAATATATCTACCTACAAATGAAAAGGATGTCAATATCACTAGTTTCACACACGGTTTTCTAAATGTGATCTACTATATAACCCTTTCACAAAAAGAAATATTTGCTTCCTGTTCACTTTTTTTGAAATAAGGAAGTTCCCTTCTATCATCTATGGAAATAAACTACGAAAACGCCGGTGACACAGACAACCTAATACAAGTTGTCTCTGCCGGGGATGGTGGAGATGGAAAACATAAAAAAAAAGTCACCAAAAAGGAAATCGAAATCTTGAAATTCAAGCCAATTTACAAGTATAGTACCACGCTACCGATAATTGTAAATTGTAAAGATTTGTCACATATATGTAAATTTACATTAGACCGCGGAATATGGAGCAAGAACGGTTAAACGAAAGAGGACATCGTGATTTATTTCCGCCGGTTTAAGTGCATCTCATAAGATTAGTATTACTAACAGTCTAAAGGCAGTCTTTTAAACTCGGTACTCCTACCATAAATTGTTTGACTTGTTTTATAATGGATTTTAATGTTCCTGCTTATATTTTGCAATATCTAGTTTTTTAAACACATTGTTCATTGGCACTTTAAATATTTGGAAGGCAAATATTTCGACTGCAATTACCAGACTTGCGATGAAAGAATCGAGCATTCACTATATAGGAGGTTCTGTAGTTGCTTCTTGAACATTTTTTCCACTTGAACTTTTAAGAGTCATCTTTCGAAATTTATTTACATTTTTCAAAAATACATGTGGAAATTGCATCTTGTCTATTGGGCTTTATAGCATGGCTCGCAGTGCGTAGCGTCACATAACACTAGACGCGAGCTTGCAATGAACTAACTTTAATATATGCTATGATAATTATTCCATGGACTTTGCCGAACGAAAGCTGTGAATTACTTGAATTGTGAACAAATCGAAAATAAGTTGAGAAGCTTATTGTTTTTAAATTTTTAGTATTTGTCTAAATAAATTTAGTGTTGCTTTGTCTTTATATTGTGAACTTGTAATTCGTATTTGATTAGTTTATTTGTGTCATACATTTATTGCAAGATTGAGGGTAAGTTGAAACTTTTTTCTCAAAGTGCTACGTGGCCCTATTTCAGAAGCCGTTAGCTCATCGTTTGACAATAATTGTTTGTTCAATGATTTCTAGTGAATAGGAAAATTGTTTCCAGGATGAAAAATAGGTCACTTTATATATCAACATTAAAAATTTCTTGTTTTTTATTTAAGTAATGTTCGGTAACCTACTTTGTTTTTTATTTGCCTTGATATTGGTACCGATTTTAGTAGATTACTTTCAAAAACATTTCAGTTTCGAACAATTGCTGCAAAACGTTTCTATTGCTTTGCTTTGAACTGCAAACTGCAATTCTAAGCAATTATACCCCTGGGGCTTAAAAAACATATCTTTGAACCCACACGTTAACCTTAATACTACAATTAGTAAAAATTGTAAATAACAGCTAATAAAAGATAATAATAACAGGTAATAAGAGATAATGGGAACGCCATTTAATAGTACCAGACATCAACTTGAAATTTGTATACCTAATATAAGCAAAATTTTATCACTTATCACTCGTATTTAAGTATGCAAGTAGAAACAATAGAAGAATGAAAAAAACGCCTCTGTCCGCCATAACAAGCTTTAAATCCAAAAAATGTTCCCGACTCCTTGTGTTGCATTATTATGACAGAATGTTAAACAATTCCAAATTGTCGTGCAGCTGTTGCAATTTTTATATTTTCTGATAGAACATATATTATCTGTTATTTGCAATGCCAAATAAAGTAGCAGCTTTTGAATCAAATTACATTATTTTGCTCTTATCTTTACTGCATTTGCAAATTTATAATTTTTAAACTGTTATAGAACTGATACCATAAAAATAACTGATAATATTTACTGCAAAACTTTGAATTACGGACTAACTGGTAACACAACAAAAAATTCGAAAAAGTCGTGCTAACATTTCTTTTTAATTGGTTGTAACCTGTACCTTATTATTATGTATTTCAGAAAATTAACTTCTATGTTTTGAAAATATTATTGCTATTAAAATGTTTATGTATCAAATACATAACACGCTGTTCACAAATTTATGTATGGAATACATAATATCCTATTACAATCACAATTGTGATATGTTTTCTCATGTTTTGAAGCTTCAGGGTAAATGAGTATCTTTGAAAATGATAAAACCGTGTAATTTCAAAATCAGGAAAAAAACATATTTTGTTTTGTGATTTAATATGCATGCAACATTTTCCAGTTATATTTTCTAAAAACTTGTATACCATTTTTGCCTCGCAGAATATGGATGTAACAACCCCAATAGTTTTTGGCTCCATCTTTGTGATTGCATCGGTATCACTGTTTTTGGTTTACAAATTTGGTATGAAAAAAAAAAGTTATGAAGAAGCATTGGCGGAACAAAGGCAACAGACAAGCGCTCTATTAGCAGCCAAACCAAAAGCCAAAGAAAAAAGGAATAAAAAAATAGCCAAAAAGGTAGTTTTAGTTTTTTATGCCGACAAAATAGTGAGCAATTTCTGTTAAGTTAAAGGAAAAACCTGCGGTGGCCGCGTTAAATGAAGAAACTATAACCGCTGAAGAACCTACAGAACCCAGTGTGTCACAACAATCCAAACATCATGTTGAATTTAAGGAGGAACGGGAAGAAGTAGAAATACCACCTTCAACTGAAGATGTAAAAGAGATACAAATTACTAATAAGGCATGTATTATTATTTTAACAATGTGAATATGGCCAGGGCATGTTTTCTGAAAATTGCACGTTTGGTAAAGCATGTTTGATAAGTTTTCATATTCAAGTAATCATAGGATTCAACCTGTTTGCATGGGTAGCTCTATTTTTTAGCGTTTCATTTAAAGGCAATATTCTCAGCGGCTTTGTACATGCATTTTACAGAAACAAGTGAAAAAAGTGCGTCCGATTCTATTAAAAAAGGGGCCTAGCATTCCTGAACAAGTTGTCACTTTAGATACACCACTGAATCATTTCGAAGAAATTAAGCCCAAGGATGAATTTGAACTGTTGAAAATTAGTAGTGTAAGTTTAATGGTGCTTGCCATTTTGCCATGCATAAAATAATTGGTTTTCATGTTTTTAATATTCAGTTATAAAAATATTGCAATACCTTTAAAATCTCCAAAGTTTGGTATAACGAATGAAAATCTATACCAATTTTTCACATTAAATGCCACCAAGATATTTTGCCTGTGTATTTGACCTACAGAAATGAATAAAAAAAATATAAAAATTTGTCTCTTCACATTTCTGCCAGGGAGTATTTTCTCCCTGAATTTAAGGTGTGGGTGAGAACCAAATATTTTTTTTTGCGCCTGTTTTGTTTGTGTACTGAAACAGAAAATATCAGTAGGTTTCATGCTTTGCTAAGTGCAAACCACTCCCAATTTCTTATGCTTTTTGCTTTGGAAAGTAACAATTATAATTACATTGGAGTAACCAAAATAAAAGCTTCCATTTCAAAAAAAAATATTTGAAAATGGCATTAATATTACATCATTTTAATGTGTTGTTGCGTCTGTCTGTCACAATTTATGATCTACAGAAAGAAGAGCTCAATAAGATACCTGTCCAAGTGAAAACAAATGAAAAGGAAAAACCACAAAAAAAAGCTAAACACAAGGTCGAACAACAGCACAAGATTAAACCAACAGAACCTCTGATTACAGAAGAACAGAAAGAATTTGAGGAAAAAGTAACAGAAATCAAGATTGTCCCTCTAGATTCTGAGCCTGCCTTAAATGTTGGAAAAGAGAAAAAGAAAAAGAAAAATGATAACAACTTAAAGCATCCCCGAAGTAAGTGCAGACTTTTGGATAAATTTATTTCTTTTAAGGTATGGTTGCAATTTGTGTGCAATCATATTTTTGGTCCCATTTTTATTATATTTAAAAGCCGTTAATGTGTTTCTAAAAAAAAAAACTAATATCTCTTAAGTTTACAGTCTTGCTGGATCTTATTAAAGGTATAAATGTTTATGTATCTGTGGTGGGACTCTCTAAGGCTTAAAATAGTTTTTATGCCATTGCAGGATATCCTTGCCCCCAAGTGTTTCATTATTTTGATCTAGTAAAGTTTGTCAGAAAAGTGTAACGGCACGGTTTTCATTGACAAGAGTCCCACCACTGGTGATTTTATGTATGCCAATTTTATCTGCTGTTCTATTCAGAAAATGCTCCTTTATATACACAATCTAATTCATTTTGTTTACTTTGCATGCAGCAATGGAAATAGACGAACTAACTAATTTGGTGCGTAAAGCTGAACTGTCTCGTACTGAAGTTCAAATGCTTATTGATCTCTTACTGAACAAGCAGCTGGAGGCGCCCTCTATCATCGACGAATGGACCGAAGTAAGTGGCTTCATTTCTTTTATTGTTGAATATATCTTATTATCTACCTTATTTAGGAGCCCTAATAACTGTGGTGGCTTTTACTTGATGAAAATCCATTTATCAAAATAATTAAGAACTAAGAGTTGTCTTTATCAAATTTTGATTTATCAACATTTGATAAAGACACGGTTTTGTCCAAACAATTGTCATGTAAAAATATATAATTTCGTGAAAATTTGAACTTTTTAGTTCTTATTTATCTTTTCCTAATAACTGCATGGTGGAACAAGCACGCCAATAATATATATTATATTAACAACTAGACCTTCACTTAATTTAATTGCAATTTGTCACTAGGTGTAGTTGTTGTTTCATTTTGTGCCAGTGTATCTATCGGATTTAAAATCAGGGCTCCTAGAGGAAAGAAGGAAAACTTTATTGTTATGCTCTCAAATTCATTTTGTGGTATTTTAACCCATACCATGATTCCCTGTATAGTCCTTTTGAGACAATACTTATGGTATGATTTTGTTTTTTCTCGAATCACACGCTTTCGGTAATCTCCTATGCAGACATTAAATCTTTGTCCCAGTTATGTTTGGTTAGTTCCCGAAAGTTTTGACTTTGGCCCAAATATAAAAATTCCTTTTTTGAGTTTCTATAGACATTTTTTTTAGCCTACTTCTATAAGTCAAAGAATAGAAAATTTATACCATAAAGAAGTACAAATTAAACATAACTTATAAAAGTAATACTGCTCTTCTGGATATATTTGCGACAGCATTTTCTGGTAGCATCCCCTGTTTTTTTATCCCACCTTGCGGTTACTTCACATAGTCCATTTATTCTTCTGGAATTACATATTCTAATTAAATGGATTGATTTTGATTTTGAAAGTTTTTTTTATGGAATTCATTGTATAAAAATATTAATATACATACATATATAATATATAATGGTAGGTCATAACGAACCTCATGGATAGATATGTTAACAACTGTTCCCAAGAGTATAATTTAAATCTTTTTTTTGGTTTATTTAATTTTTATAACATGAATATCATTAATGTGTAATTCTACTTCGACTAATTACTTAAAAAGACTTTACGGAGATATTTGTGAATGAAGGAAATGACGAATGTTATCAATATGCTGAAGTATGAAGCAAGAGATTTACGGGATTTCTTTGAAATTGCGTCACTCATGATTGTATGGACATAGTCTTCGGCGGCCACTAACATTTTAACCGAAAGTTCGTTATAAAAGGTTTCGTTATTTGCGAAAAAGTCAACACACATTAAGCAATACCGAAGTTCCTACGTATACATTTGGTTCGTTATAAACGAAAGTTCGCTGGCGGACATTACTGTAGTTTGAAACTTTCAAACTACAGTTGAACAATTTTGTAACTGTTATAAAATAAAATTGCCTATTCCTACATTACACTACTACACTACACTACACTAATGTACAGGTCCCAAATTGGAGGGTGCTTATTGGGATCTCAGAAAGCCTAAGAGATACGAAGTCGGTTATATAGAGGTAAAGTTGCGTATTTTGGTGCTTAATAATGAGAAAAATCTGATTAGTTTCCGAGATATCAGAAAATCGGCAATTTCGTTTGAATTTTTTCCTGGCCTTAATTTAAAGAAAAAAACATGACACCTACTACAAATTGACATTATTAAGTTTTAAGTTTCGATTTTGTGTGCCCCTCGTCAACTTCATTTTTTTTAAGTACAGACCTGCATTTTCTATTTAATCTTTTGAATGAGCTTTTCTTCTGAAAAAATACATGTATCACACTTAATGATTTACTAAACAATAACGCCCTAAAATTGACATTTTACTTCGGTAATTAATTATTATAGTCGAAAAAATTACTGTTTAAAATAAGAATGAAAAATATTTTATTACCGCAAATCAACAAGGAAATAACTCAGCACGGTATCAAATTAATACTGAAAATATAACTTTTCTTTGATCCCGTAAAGTAGGTAATAATGCAGCAAAGTAACTGCTTGTTCGAATATATAGTTGTAGGGCTTGTATGTGACTTTCAATTAGCACTCAACATTTATTAGATATATTTGGCATATTTCAAGGCCTATTTGGCTGGTAAAGGTTATTATTTTTAAAGGGCAAATCAGATCCGGTGCAGAAGCTGAAGAAACAACTCGCCGAAAGAGAGAAACAATTGGCGGACGAACAAGAAGCTCTTGTGGGCGTACAAGCTAAACTTAAAGAAATAAGGAATGTACAATTAACGGAAAGAACTCAGTGGCAACAAAAACTTAAGCTGCTGGAGGAGTCGAAGCTGGAGCTCGTGGCCGCCAACAACCATTTCCAGCAAAAAATTCTGGAAATTCAGGAACGCAGAGACGAGGATCTCGTAAACGTGCAAAAGATTATCGATGAAAACAGTACATTAAAGGTTAAATTAATAAATTATCAGGAGGTGAGGCGTCACAAAGTGTTATCAAACATATATCATCCTGCAATTTGTTTCCGTTTTAGACCGAGGGATTAATCCACACCCTGAGAACCGAGAATGAACATCTGGGCAGTGAACTACAAAGACTGAGCAGAGAGATGCAAGAGCAGCAGCAAGGTTATGTTATGCAGATCAATAATTTGCAGCAAGAGGCTAAAGAAAACATAAGAGCGCTGCAGGTAAAGCTGATTAAATGTAGCTAAAATGAACAAACAAAAAATAAAATAAAACTTGATTGCATGAAAAATATATAATTTTATTTTTCATGTGATAAAGTTAGTACTGCTATGCGTTTTTTAATGACCATGGCTCAACAATATTTAATTTTAAATCTTAATCTTTACAATCACAACCACAAAATAAGAGGTTCAAAAAAGTTCATAAATTGTACGAATGACTGACTGAGAGTCAAGGAAGTATGGGACCAAAAACTTTTTATATTATTTTTAAATATTTGTATACTTAAATCTTTATAAGAATGAGCTACCCAGTTATAGAGTAGGGCAGAGGTATATAAAACACAATCTTAAAAAAAAAAAGTGGTAGTGTGGTATTGATATGGCATCATATTGAAATAATATTTTTTCATGTGTAAGTTATTTTGTAGAGAGGGCACGAGTTTGCTGTTCATAAGCAGATGGATGAAATGAGAGGCTTGAGTGAAGAATTGCAAAGACTTAAAAACGAGTACGGTAATATCTACCAAGAAAGGCAAGATTTGGCAAATCTGCTTTCTCAAGTGAGATTTGATTCAAACTATGTACCATGCGTTCAATTTATGCTGACAATGTTTTGATTGGCTGTAAATTTTTTTCTTTTTAAATATAGAGAGGTAAATAAACCAACAAAATGTAGGGTTAGCATCCAGGTTTTGGTTAGTTTCATTTTTGCAAATATAGATTAATGTAAATAACTTTTGAAAACTAGTATTTATGAGGTTATTTTTACTGAGAAATAATCTAATTTGCCAAAAATTTTGATGCGTCATATAACGGTAGTTGTTTTAGCAAAAGTACTGATGTTCAGACTGGTGAAGCAGTGTTAGTCAAATTCTATCCTTTGTATACAAATATAACATTTTTTAAAGAAAATTTGGTGTGAAAATTAAAGGAAACATTATCTAAAATGGCAGGTCTTTTTTGCTACAGATAAGGCAAAATACAGCTTGTTTATGTAAAAATGTGGTAATTAAAAATAACTTTAATTACAAAATACAAATTATAATAAACTGGCTATAATAATGACAGTATAACTTCTTAATTATTGCACAAAACGTTTTTAAAAAATGAAAGGCCAAGAAAATTATATGCAAATAAGAGTAACAATAAATATATTAATTATTTAAGTGTTTTAATAAGTAGAAGTACAAATGCTAAGGCATCTGTATAGGTAACTCGCTCTAGATTAGCTGGTGACATCCTAAAACAACAGACTATTAAACATAGAATCATTAATCAGGATAAACAGAAGAAAAAGGACTGAAATACTATGAAATCTGATATTAGACTTTCTAGACCTAGAACCATTGTTTCCACACGAAAAAATTGTATATTGTTCTATTTTTGTAATTGTTGTATAGTGGATTTTGTAGATGTATTGAGCATTGGCATGATTTTTTATACTTAAAGAGGAAAAGAATCAAAATTGGATTCTCGAGTTTATGCTCAAAGGTTTCCTGAAAGATGTTTTTAAGGCATTTTTAAATGAGTTTAAGGAACACGAAAGTGTTGTGAAAAATCATTTCTAGAATTTTTTTTATGGTAGTTGGTTGAGTTATAGAAAATCTAAAAACAAACATTATGTATTTCAAGAATTCTTAAAAAACAAATTCCTTCTCATTTCATAACATACACAGTTTTGCCAATAACTTTATCAAAATGATTTTGACAACCGTGGATGTTAAATTAACTAACAGAAAATGAGAATATTTTTACGCAATAAAACATTTATTTTGATTACACTAAAAACCATCATTTGGGTAATTATAAAGTCCGAGAGTATGACACCCTAACACCATTTGATAAGTAATTGAAAAGTTAGTCAAAAAATATGTTGTTCCATTCAAATTAAGCAAGTTATGGCCACTTAAAAAGAAATTAAAATAAAGTTACATTTCAACAAAATTCAAATTATTTAAAAAGTCTGAATGTTAAGTTAAATTACTGAAATATATACTTTTTCTCGTTGTAGAATATAAAAATGCCATAATATACATGGGGTTCCATAGAAAACAATACAATTTAATACTTTTAACACTTTTGGTACCACCTGTATAGTATGAAATTAATTTTAAAAAGTAACCATAATATGATTTCAGATATCCCAGAAGTCAAATTTTTGACAACCTTGTATTATGGCCACAATATTCCTCGGTGTATAGTGTGAACAACCCTGTATATATTATATTTGAAGGCACTAGCTTAAAGGTATTATTTAGATAAATCGAATCATATATGAAAGAATCTTCAATGTTTCATAGGTAAGGTACTCTTTGGTCATCTAACTGTCGGTTTTTGACATTTTAGCATTTATGAAGTTCACGATATGTTTTCTGTTATTTTTTTTATTAAATACTTAAAAGATAGAATAGTGATAGGGATTATTTCTTTTCACCTCAATTGTTGCAAAGATTTCTAGAAAGTTTAAGACTAAAATTTGTTTGAAAAAAACACAAATCATCACGCATATATATATATATCACTATGAGAAAAATGTCGCGGTATGTTGTGATTACCAGGTATTACCTTTGCAGAAATAGTAACACGCACGCAAACTAACTACAATTGTGTAAAAAGTGTATTCTAAACTCTATTGAAGTTTTTTTTATTACTGTTTTCAAAATTGTTAACGATAAATATTGGATTCTTATTGCCCCCTACCACCGTCTTTACAGTATTTATAAAAAAATAAGAAAAAATATCTGAACCTTTTAAATGCAAATAAGGTAAAAAACGCCAGCATTCAGGGCCTCTTGCTATGAAAAATTGAACATTCCTTCAGAAATTCATTGTTTAAACCATAACCCGACATATAGAAAAATATGCTGAGCTCAATCATAATATTTTGGTATCTAGTATCTCCAGTTTAAAGATTGTCTCCATTTTTTAAGAATCACTAAATTTTTAAACAAACCCAAAAAGTATGAAATATATTCCAGACCCCTTTTCTCGCTGCTAATATTTTCAAAATTAAATTACCTCAGTGGTTACTGATCCATTTGTCGAATTAGAAATGTAATTTTGTGCCTGTAAAAGTAAGATATCGAGGATTTCACCTTTGAGTCATATTATACTTACTTTCTGATACATATCAATATCACTCTTTTTACTGTCTTCTAACCTCAACTGCTCTCGCAAGCGATCCACTTCCTGCAAAATTACACTTAAATAAAAAGGTTTTATAGAAATTTGTAACTCACCTCTGAGAGCTTTTCAATTATAGAGGTGGCATCGGAATGTATTACTTTTGTTTCGTTTTTGTTACGAATTTGAATCCCATCACCTAACAATCTGTTACTGCGAGTTCTTTCCTCGAGAACCTGACTTTCCAAACTGGCTACTTTTTCTAATAACTAACATCATTTTTACGAAATATTGGTTTAAATAAAATTTTTAACCATACCTTAGATACGTCACCATTTAACCTTTGCAATTCCGAGTCTTTCGCAACTAATTGGCTTCTCCATTTTATTTCTTCATTCGCTATGTGCAACTGAAGATTGTTCAACAGTTTGTCCTAATATTTCAAATAAAATTTGAAATACCTGCCAGACAATTAGAAAAGTGTATTTACCGTATCGTCTATTAATTTCTGATAGTGCTGATTTTCAGCCTGCAGCGTCGTAATCCTCCTACTGTCATTCACATTTTCAAGGGATGTAGCCGGCTCTTTATGCGGTCGGGAAAGTTGCATCTTAATTATTCTTTCAAATTCTGTGCGCCAATCGCTCGAAGTTACTCTTCTCAAGTCTTCAATATCAGGAAACATTTCGAGAATAAATTCTCTATGTGCTTCAGTAGAAATCTTCTGTAATAAATATATTTATTTAAACTAAAGCTATAGATAATACTGAAAGAATACTGATAGAAGGGTTTTCAATGACCAAAAATAAAATCCTGGCTTGAACTTAGTATTATCATTACTAAGGGTAATTACAAGACTAGACAGGATACTTTACTCAACAACAAACTTAGCTATCAAGAATCGTAAATTATAGATATTCAAAATCATGTCCTAATTGTATGTTTCCAGAAAATAAGCATGTTTGGTAAATTGTAATTCGCCTTTATTACGTTAATAATATGTTTTCATAAGCGTTGTCATGGAATGACTCGGATTACAATGAAGTGGAAAGTGAGGGTTACATACTGAGTGTCCCGATTGACTTTATTTTACAAAAAAACAAGAAATACAGAGTGTCACCATTATCTATTGGGAATAAGTAATAGTCCGGGAGCCCTGGACCTTTTTTCAAAATGATAAGCAACAAGCTAATTCTTTGGAAATAGTTTCATTTCATTCAAGACGCCCAACCTTTTCCTCTACGAAAATTGTTGTCTCAGGTAGCTAACTATACATGCAGGTATAAAATCATGTCAATTGAGTTACCATACCCAAATGATCAGTAACAGTTTAGTTCTTAGCTACATCTATAGATATTGAAATATATAATTTGAAATTAAATTTGGCCTACAAACAAATAGGTTTGGTATAGAGTGCTACCCCCTCAAAGTTGTATCTATTATTTATTTATAAAAAGTGATGGGCAATATGCTAAATTTTTTACTGTAGGTTGCTAATAATTTTTATAAACAAATGATTACATTGTCCTACAAATACACTGATAGGATTTTTCAGTCCTACACTTTAAAGTTGTTGACCTCACGATAATACGTTATTCATCAGCAACTGTAGGACACCAAAATTAAATGAAACTTTATGACATTTTATATCTAAATCAATTAATGTCCTACATAAAAATAGGTAGATTTCGCTAGTCCGACAAAAAATAGGTTGGGAGTTCGACTCTTGAACATAATTCCGGTTTAACCTCTAAATTACGGTCTAACCTATAAATTTAGTTGAGCGATTAAGTTTCTTTTTGTTCTTAAAATATTCCTACAGCCATTATCTATGATGCTGTTTTACACAAATGAGTTTAATTAAGTTGTTTCATTGTTATTTATAATTTAAGAAATCAACTTTTTTTTCATTTTTTTTCACGGCCGATTTTTTTTATATTGGTTTTTAACTCATGACAGTGTTAGATCGATAAACTTTTGAAAAAATAAGTGGGTGATTATATGGGTGAAGTGAAAGAGGAGAGGGTAAATAAATCAATTTTTTTTTCTGTTGACTTCAATCGATAACAAATAATGCGGTACACCCATTCATTATAATACAAGTAATAAGAAAGTGGAAACGGTAAATAAAATTGGCTTAGATTAGTTTTGTTGAGAAAATTGTTAATGTTCTGTCTACATGTCAATTAGGAAAGCACTCCGCTGCTAACCCTACACTCCATTTATTTATTTACTATGATATTTGTAAAAACCAAAAAGAATTGTAACCAATCGAAATGTTATCGAGATAAATTGAAGGCTAGGTACTGTCTACTGTTTGCATTTATTTACTTTCCAGCTGAGAGTCGAAAATGAACAACTAAGAGAAGAACGAGATACTCAAATAAACGGGTCAACGGAAGAAAGTAAGGCCCAGGAAATTAAAGTGCTCAACCTCACAAACGATTTGTCTTCCATTAGAAACGAGCTGTCATCGGCGACGTTAAAATTTAAAGAGGCGGAACAAAATTACAAAGCGGAACTGGCGCTGTCGGATCAAAAATTAAATAAATTGCATTCAGAAATGGAAGAACAAAAACAAAAAAACAATGTAAGTTTTTTTCCATTGCAACGTTCATTCCCGTAAGAATTAAATTGCACGGTGCTAATTTTTTATTCGAATTGATCCGCAATAATAAAACACACTGATTTAAGCTTTACTTAACAGTATACGCTTTTTGTTGATGTAGGAGTTGCGCCAAAAGAATTGGAAAGTGATGGAAGCCTTAAACGCTGCCGAAAGCAGGAATTTGTCTGCCAAAAATAGCACCGCAGACGTAGATGTAAGTTTGTGAAAATTATCTTCAAACGTAGGGAACAATAACTTTCGTTGGACATCTGGAAATGCAAGAGATGTACACAGAATTTTGTCAAAATTCTGTAGGTGAAAATAGATTGATTGATTTTATCAATATGTAGATGAATAATGCCAGTCCAAAAGCATGTACACAGTGGTCCAAACCTGACACTTGAGAGCCACTCCCTTTTCTATAGAAGATATGTGAATGTCGGGTAAAAATGGCATATGTTAAATATGCATAAAGTAAAGTACTTTTCAATGACTTAAAAATATACAGGTGTCTGATATAAAAAAAAATATTTTTCGGTTAATTGAATTATTACTAGTTTTTAAAAGCACTAAAATCTGCTTATAAAGTTGCTTTGAAAATGTTTTGGTTACTTTTGCCAAAATTTTCCATAACTAAAAAGTAACAATTTTGATAAAATGCGCATTTTCCAAAAACTGTATCTGTAATTCTGAAACGGTACTAGACACGCATGTGATATTTTTATCATTAATTGTTTTATGAAAATTGAGCTCATACATCGATATTAGTTTTCGTCCATGTGCTATAGAAAGGGAAGTTTCCCTTTAAAAGTGTGCAATTTGGGGCACCCTGTACAGTGAGCTACAAAAATTTACGCTTAAACTAAAAACCACTATATCAATAGCCTTATAGTCCGGGAGCCCTGGACCTTTTTTCCAAATGATAAGCAACAAGCTAATTCTTTGGAAATCGTTTCATTTCATCAAGACGCCCAAGCTTTTCCTCTACGAAAATTGTTGTATCAGGTAGCTAACTATACACGCAGGTATAAAATTGTGTCAATCTAGTTATCATACCAAAATGATCAGCAACAGTTTAGTTTTTAGCTAAATCTATAGATATTGAAATATATAATTTGAAATTAAATTTGGCCTACAAACAAATAGGTTTGGTACAGGGTGACCACCCCCTTAAAGTTGTATCTATTATTTATTTATAAATAGTGATAAGCAACATGCTAAATTTTTTACTTAGCTTGCTAATAATTTTTATAAACAAATGATCACATTGTCCTACAAATAAACTGGTAGGATTTTTTAGTCCTACACTTTAAAGTTCTTGTACAAAACTATTTTTGAAAACCATCCGCAACCGCCTAGATTTTTGTGAGTGCATTCGTTTTAATAAGACGCCCAGCTATTATTTTGCGAAAAGTTGCAAAACAGGTAGCTGAAAGAATGAGCAGGTATCAAATCATGTCAAATTGATTATTATGTAAAAGTGATCAGCAACAGCTTATTTTTTAACTAAGTTTTGAGATAATCAGATAAATAATCTAAACCAACAATTTGTCCTACAATTAAAATGGTAAGTTTTTTCAGTCCTACCCTGGAAAATTTCGAAAATTGTCCCTAACTTAAAGGTGGTTACATGTACATACGTGTATATTCGAATATAGGTGTAGGTGTATACATACACATACTTATATCAAATCGGCGGTATATATTCGCATCAACGCGCATGCGCGTAACAGCAACGTCGTATCCAGCACACGCATACAACATACATTGTGCATTAAAAAGTTTACTTGGCTTGTCAACACGTGTTAATTAATTTTATTTTATAACATTTAATTGTGAAAGTGATCTTGGAGTGTTTTCTTTGTAATATACACCGCGATAAACCTAATTTTCGTGAAAAAAGAGAGACGATAAAATTCTGTAAATATTTCATGTTAACAACAAAACTAATCTAAGCCAATTTTATTTACCGTTTCCACTTTCTTATTACTTGTATTATAATGAATGGGTGTACCGCATTATTTGTTATCGATTGAAGTCAACAGAAAAAAAAATTGATTTATTTACCCTCTCCTCTTTCACTTCACCCATATAATCACCCACTTATTTTTTCAAAAGTTTATCGATCTAACACTGTCATGAGTTAAAAACCAATATAAAAAAAATCGGCCGTGAAAAAAAATGAAAAAAAAGTTGATTTCTTAAATTATAAATAACAATGAAACAACTTAATTAAACTCATTTGTGTAAAACAGCATCATAGATAATGGCTGTAGGAATATTTTAAGAACAAAAAGAAACTTAATCGCTCAACTAAATTTATAGGTTAGACCGTAATTTAGAGGTTAAACCGGAATTATGTTCAAGAGTCGAACTCCCAACCTATTTTTTGTCGGACTAGCGAAATCTACCTATTTTTATGTAGGACATTAATTGATTTAGATATAAAATGTCATAAAGTTTCATTTAATTTTGGTGTCCTACAGTTGCTGATGAATAACGTATTATCGTGAGGTCAACAACTTTAAAGTGTAGGACTGAAAAATCCTATCAGTGTATTTGTAGGACAATGTAATCATTTGTTTATAAAAATTATTAGCAACCTACAGTAAAAAATTTAGCATATTGCCCATCACTTTTTATAAATAAATAATAGATACAACTTTGAGGGGGTAGCACTCTATACCAAACCTATTTGTTTGTAGGCCAAATTTAATTTCAAATTATATATTTCAATATCTATAGATGTAGCTAAGAACTAAACTGTTACTGATCATTTGGGTATGGTAACTCAATTGACATGATTTTATACCTGCATGTATAGTTAGCTACCTGAGACAACAATTTTCGTAGAGGAAAAGGTTGGGCGTCTTGAATGAAATGAAACTATTTCCAAAGAATTAGCTTGTTGCTTATCATTTTGAAAAAAGGTCCAGGGCTCCCGGACTATTACTTATTCCCAATAGATAATGGTGACACTCTGTATTTCTTGTTTTTTTGTAAAATAAAGTCAATCGGGACACTCAGTATGTAACCCTCACTTTCCACTTCATTGTAATCCGAGTCATTCCATGACAACGCTTATGAAAACATATTATTAACGTAATAAAGGCGAATTACAATTTACCAAACATGCTTATTTTCTGGAAACATACAATTAGGACATGATTTTGAATATCTATAATTTACGATTCTTGATAGCTAAGTTTGTTGTTGAGTAAAGTATCCTGTCTAGTCTTGTAATTACCCTTAGTAATGATAATACTAAGTTCAAGCCAGGATTTTATTTTTGGTCATTGAAAACCCTTCTATCAGTATTCTTTCAGTATTATCTATAGCTTTAGTTTAAATAAATATATTTATTACAGAAGATTTCTACTGAAGCACATAGAGAATTTATTCTCGAAATGTTTCCTGATATTGAAGACTTGAGAAGAGTAACTTCGAGCGATTGGCGCACAGAATTTGAAAGAATAATTAAGATGCAACTTTCCCGACCGCATAAAGAGCCGGCTACATCCCTTGAAAATGTGAATGACAGTAGGAGGATTACGACGCTGCAGGCTGAAAATCAGCACTATCAGAAATTAATAGACGATACGGTAAATACACTTTTCTAATTGTCTGGCAGGTATTTCAAATTTTATTTGAAATATTAGGACAAACTGTTGAACAATCTTCAGTTGCACATAGCGAATGAAGAAATAAAATGGAGAAGCCAATTAGTTGCGAAAGACTCGGAATTGCAAAGGTTAAATGGTGACGTATCTAAGGTATGGTTAAAAATTTTATTTAAACCAATATTTCGTAAAAATGATGTTAGTTATTAGAAAAAGTAGCCAGTTTGGAAAGTCAGGTTCTCGAGGAAAGAACTCGCAGTAACAGATTGTTAGGTGATGGGATTCAAATTCGTAACAAAAACGAAACAAAAGTAATACATTCCGATGCCACCTCTATAATTGAAAAGCTCTCAGAGGTGAGTTACAAATTTCTATAAAACCTTTTTATTTAAGTGTAATTTTGCAGGAAGTGGATCGCTTGCGAGAGCAGTTGAGGTTAGAAGACAGTAAAAAGAGTGATATTGATATGTATCAGAAAGTAAGTATAATATGACTCAAAGGTGAAATCCTCGATATCTTACTTTTACAGGCACAAAATTACATTTCTAATTCGACAAATGGATCAGTAACCACTGAGGTAATTTAATTTTGAAAATATTAGCAGCGAGAAAAGGGGTCTGGAATATATTTCATACTTTTTGGGTTTGTTTAAAAATTTAGTGATTCTTAAAAAATGGAGACAATCTTTAAACTGGAGATACTAGATACCAAAATATTATGATTGAGCTCAGCATATTTTTCTATATGTCGGGTTATGGTTTAAACAATGAATTTCTGAAGGAATGTTCAATTTTTCATAGCAAGAGGCCCTGAATGCTGGCGTTTTTTACCTTATTTGCATTTAAAAGGTTCAGATATTTTTTCTTATTTTTTTATAAATACTGTAAAGACGGTGGTAGGGGGCAATAAGAATCCAATATTTATCGTTAACAATTTTGAAAACAGTAATAAAAAAAACTTCAATAGAGTTTAGAATACACTTTTTACACAATTGTAGTTAGTTTGCGTGCGTGTTACTATTTCTGCAAAGGTAATACCTGGTAATCACAACATACCGCGACATTTTTCTCATAGTGATATATATATATATGCGTGATGATTTGTGTTTTTTTCAAACAAATTTTAGTCTTAAACTTTCTAGAAATCTTTGCAACAATTGAGGTGAAAAGAAATAATCCCTATCACTATTCTATCTTTTAAGTATTTAATAAAAAAAATAACAGAAAACATATCGTGAACTTCATAAATGCTAAAATGTCAAAAACCGACAGTTAGATGACCAAAGAGTACCTTACCTATGAAACATTGAAGATTCTTTCATATATGATTCGATTTATCTAAATAATACCTTTAAGCTAGTGCCTTCAAATATAATATATACAGGGTTGTTCACACTATACACCGAGGAATATTGTGGCCATAATACAAGGTTGTCAAAAATTTGACTTCTGGGATATCTGAAATCATATTATGGTTACTTTTTAAAATTAATTTCATACTATACAGGTGGTACCAAAAGTGTTAAAAGTATTAAATTGTATTGTTTTCTATGGAACCCCATGTATATTATGGCATTTTTATATTCTACAACGAGAAAAAGTATATATTTCAGTAATTTAACTTAACATTCATTCAATTTTGATTCTTTTCCTCTTTAAGTATAAAAAATCATGCCAATGCTCAATACATCTACAAAATCCACTATACAACAATTACAAAAATAGAACAATATACAATTTTTTCGTGTGGAAACAATGGTTCTAGGTCTAGAAAGTCTAATATCAGATTTCATAGTATTTCAGTCCTTTTTCTTCTGTTTATCCTGATTAATGATTCTATGTTTAATAGTCTGTTGTTTTAGGATGTCACCAGCTAATCTAGAGCGAGTTACCTATACAGATGCCTTAGCATTTGTACTTCTACTTATTAAAACACTTAAATAATTAATATATTTATTGTTACTCTTATTTGCATATAATTTTCTTGGCCTTTCATTTTTTAAAAACGTTTTGTGCAATAATTAAGAAGTTATACTGTCATTATTATAGCCAGTTTATTATAATTTGTATTTTGTAATTAAAGTTATTTTTAATTACCACATTTTTACATAAACAAGCTGTATTTTGCCTTATCTGTAGCAAAAAAGACCTGCCATTTTAGATAATGTTTCCTTTAATTTTCACACCAAATTTTCTTTAAAAAATGTTATATTTGTATACAAAGGATAGAATTTGACTAACACTGCTTCACCAGTCTGAACATCAGTACTTTTGCTAAAACAACTACCGTTATATGACGCATCAAAATTTTTGGCAAATTAGATTATTTCTCAGTAAAAATAACCTCATAAATACTAGTTTTCAAAAGTTATTTACATTAATCTATATTTGCAAAAATGAATTAATTATGCAAGAAGCTAAAGGAGTCTTAAATCGCTTCACATCCTTGTGCTTCATTATTAATGTTTTGCAATTTTAAACTTCTAGTTTCAATAATCCCTTTCACACATTGTATCAATATATTATTGGCAGTGACTGCATATCTAGGCATGAATTACAATTAAAAGAGATTAAAAATTTAGTTCCTATTGATATGCTTTGCTTATAAGCTATGAATTTGCTGGCAGTCAAATTTAGAAGGCAAAACTCCATCCACCATGATTATCCTCTTGCTAAATCCCATTTTGTATTGGCAGTAATTTGCCATATCTCTCTCCATCTGCAATAATAAAACACTAGTTTAAAAAAAAAACAAAAAACGCCCTTTTAACTTCCACAGAATATAACCGAATTATAACCTCAAATAGAGTGATGAAATATGCTTTCTAACGAAACAAATTCTTGATATCAAAATGGTTACATACATCGAAGTGATCTTCACAGAAAAAAACACATGAATTGTCCACTATTTCATCAGGATTTCTGGCAGCAAGTCTTAACCATTTTCTGCGAATTTCTGCTTTTTTAGGAACACAAATAAACATTTTTTCTGGTGTCTTAATTGACGTATTTGCGCATGCTGGTACTACACACCACTTGTAATTCATTTTGTCAGATAAATAACTAATTAATAGCTTAATGCTAGCAGGAAAATTTGCCCCTTTGACTTTTATTTACTGGCCTATGACGCCACGGAACCAATTCAACGCCATGTTGTTAAAGATAAGGCTGACGCGGCCTTTTTAAAAAATATATTTTTAATAGCTAATTATTTCAGAAATACATTAAATTAACCACTTTTCTAGGATCCATTAGCACTAGTAAATAATTTAGAATTGTTAGATATGTATTTACAAAATGCAAGAACATTACCCCAAATTAATAAAACCCTCTAGCAGAAAGTTGTATGGCTCCTTCTATGCAGCTACTAATTACACACTATCAAATACATGCTAGGGATCAATTCACACATTTATTTGTTTGTTATATATGGAACCTTTGTGGCCTCAAAAATAAAAGTCATTTTGTAGTAATAGTATATTAAAAGAAAACCATTGCTTTACAATTTAAGCCGCTGGATCATCACCCTTTGTGGTTCTTGTGTATATAAGTTGCGCTCTGTGTTGAACAACCTGTTTGATCAAGCCTAAAATGGAAGGAAATGTTGTAAAAAGATAAATACACATTCAGTAAATTATTTTTAAAATAAACAATTCAGACTCATTAAATCAGCTTTCGCTTTCATAGAAATCAAGCATACAATTTATCATCCTCTTATATTAAGTATTTTAGTGGATATTTTGAAAACTAAATTTAACTAATAATTTGAACCTTTTTGCTGCAACTCAATGAGAGCCCTCCGCGCAAGAGATCCCCTAACCTTCAGTCTTTCTGACACAACTGAGGGAGTTATTAGTTTATAGGAGGGCACTTCCTTATACAACTTATCATAAGTGGCTTTGTCAAACAAAACCTGATTGTTAAGCTTATCGCGGACTTTTCCTTTGGACCACTTCTGCAAACAGCAATAACTTGTTAAGTATCATAGTAATAGATTATTACCTTGTGTTGTCACCTTCTTTTTAGCTTTCCCACCACCAGATCCTTCCTTCTTCTTTTGAGTTTTCTGGGGTTGCTTGGCAGAAGCTTTAGAATCCTTTTTAGGCGGCTACACAACAAACACAAACTTTAGAAACCCATAGAAAATAACTATTTTAAAATGAAATTTAGTAAATGATCAGCCTCATTAAATCAGATTTGCAAACCACGAAGTTTGTCTCATGCACGTTTTTAACATCACGATTTATGAAGATTAAAGCAAATTTTTTGCGACTGGAACACAGTGAAGTTCATTTAATGAATTTTTAACATTTTTAAATGAAAAGTAACTGTACTTTGTCAGTTTTTCCAATAAATTCACCAAAACATTCCAACACTTACCATCTTGTATTTGCTGAAAAGAACCGGAAAACGTGAACCTGTCGGAAATGACGGAAAGTAGTTGTGTTGCCAAAATAACAAAATATAAATCACTAGCAGAAAGCGATTTCTTAAAATCCTAAATTCTTGTGAATTTATATTCGTTGACAATTTAGTATAAAATGTATAATTTTAATTAACATTAATTTAATAGTTTTAAGGATTTTGGCAACAACTTATCGTCTGTTCTTCAGTGCTAGACCTGTAAACAAAAAATAAAGGACTTGTGACGTATACATTCTTTAATTAAAGAATTCGATCAAAATGTAACTTTGTTCTGTAATAGAAATTTCCCTTTTTTTCAAAATTTATTGCATAGGCAAAATAACACAATACAAGGGCTAAATCAAAGTTTACAGAATGTCTGTCTATATCTGTGAAGTATACTGCCATATAACGATTGGCATTGGCGTCGCTCTTTGTGCTTTGTCCTGACCTGGAAGCTAATTTTGTTATTGTGGCTTACCAAGGTGAGCTGTGACTTTCAAACTAACCCTTTATCTATGGAAACGCCGTGGATGAGATGGAGCGGAAGGAATTAAGTCACAGCAATGTGTGCGTAAGCAATTAGGCTCTTTCGGCAAAGATTTGAATAATTTTTTTGCAAAATTTGGGTTTTAAATGCCTCAAAAAGCATCTAAATTATATGGTTTTCTACCTGGAAATAACAAACGATATACTTTAGAAAGTATAGGTTAGGAAAGATACACGTCTACAGTAACCAAGTCCAATAATATATTTTTGAAGAAAGATGTTTGATAAGTTGAAGTGGTAATAGGTGTTTAATTAGTGTTAAAAATATGTTGCCTCTTTCACATAAAGATACCTACCCCAGAGGGTTTGGCTCCAGAATCAAAGAAAAAATAAACAGTTGGATCAGGCTTATATTTTCTGATCGAAATTCCAGGAATTTGTTTCTTTTTTTGTTGTTGAACTTTTCATTCGCTTTTGTAGAGTTAATTTATGGAGTATGGAGCAATAGTTTAGGTATGTATTTTCATTCATACAGTTCAAATCATGTAATCCTGTTAAAATTTTAGGTTTAATTTCGGACTCATTCCATATGTTCTTTGACTGTACTGGACTTTTGGCGGGTCTAGTTGCTTCTGTGATTACAAAATGGAAAGCTAATGATAAATATTCATATGGCTATGTTAGAGCAGAAATATTGGCAGGATTTGTCAATGGTCTTTTTCTTCTTTTTATATCTTTCTTTCTAATGTCGGAAGCTGTAGAAAGAGCTATAGAACCTCCAGAGGTTAGTATTAATTTGAAAGACAACAATTAAGGGAAGGAAATTGTGAATTGTGGTGAATTTTTTATGCAAATCTTTGACGTCATTTGCTATAATTATTTTATTTGGTTATTTTTTGCAAAGACATTATATCTAAGAGACACCAACAAACACTTAATATTACGAGGCCCACAAAGCAAACTACTAAAAACATATGATAAAAAATTTTTGTCCTATCAGAGTACACCCTGGATCCTTTGCGATTTTTGATTTTTCCAGTTTAGAGTCACATAATTTACAGTTACTTAAACTGTTCTTGCACTGTTTAGTGTGTGTAATAACAGTTACTATTATCTAACTTCAGTTTTCATAAGCCAAGTAGCTAGATATAATGTTTTTGTGTTTTGTTTTAAAATAGCTCTAAGTTGTTTATTTACACCATTTCAATTGTGATTGTTTCCCTGCAGGTTAAGCATGAGAGGTTATTTATAATATCTGTCCTTGGACTTCTTGTCAATTTAGTTGGTATATATGCATTCCAACATGGTCATGGCCATTCCCATGGTGGTCATGGCCATTCCCATGGAGGTGGTCATGGACACTCTCACATTAGTAGTCCCCATGGTCATTCACACAACAATCATGCTCACCAGGATTTTAATGTTGATATTGACTCGGGAGGTGGTAATTCGCAAATTATGAAGGGAGTCTTTTTGCATATACTCGCAGATACATTGGGTAAGATATGTTAAATATACTAAAGCTCAGATTAGTATATATGGTTTTATCATTTACACTTTATTATACAAAGTCAATTACAAAAAGGAGAATGTAAAAATATATTTTAATAGAAAAATTCTGCTTGCAGGTAGTGTAGGTGTTATAATTTCAACAGTGTTGATGCAGATGTTTGGATGGATGATTGCAGATCCAATTTGTTCTATGTTTATCGCCATACTGATTGCCTTAAGTGTCTTGGCTTTGTTAAAGGATTCAGTGGCGATTTTAATGCAAAGGCAGCCACTTACATTGGACAATGTTCTGCCTCAGTGCTACCAAAAAGTTGTTAGCTTAGCAGGGGTTTATTCAGTTCAAGAACCTCACTTTTGGACGCTGTGTAGTGACGTGTATGTAGGTGCTATTAAGTTAGAAGTTTCAAAAAATGTTGATCCTAAATATGTTGTCCAACATACCCAAATGATTTTCGCGTCAGTTGGAGTTAAACAGTTGTACGTTCAGCTAGATTACACCCCGATGTGATAAGTGAGAGTGAAGTGGCATGGTACTTTACCAAACTTAATTAGGATACAAGCCTTCCATTAAGTTCATTTAATAAAAATTTATATATATATTTTTTTAATTATACAGACATTTGATCTTACCTCAGTTCACTGATTTATTGTAATGTAAAAGTTGGTTTGCAAAAAAATATGTTTTTTAGCTAATTTGCTTAGCCTAAAGATTTTGTTACAGATTTATTTATGAGTAAAACTGGATTCTTATGTATAGTCTTTTGGTGTTCTCAATCTGAAAAAAAAGTATTTGATACAAAAATAATATTTATATGGGCAACATGAACCACTGAAGCCAAGAATAAACTGTATCAAAATCTGTTTATACCATTTTTCAAGGCTTAGGAAAAGTATTAGATAAGATTACCATTTGGGACCCTTAGAAGCAGCGGTTTGCTTACTTTTTTTTCGAGTGATTAGTTGAATGATTTTTTTTTTTTGAGGAAAGCATAGATGTATGCTTCATTCTCGTCGATCTACGAAGAGGTATTTATGAACTTCAAACTCTGTCATTTTTATGTAAGTGTCTATATTTAAATATGTAAAGCTTAATTGCTAATTATAAAAATATTGCCATCATGAAGTTGTCAACCTTGACAAACTAAGACTAGTTAAAAAACAGACATTAAATTCTTTATTTGATTTAACTATTGAGATAAAGATGGGAATAAAAAAACAAGATTGCTTTCGAAAAATCGTCGTTGGGCGGGGCAAGTTCGTCGCAAGTAGCGCGAAACAGCTTTTTATTTCCAAAAGAAGCCGCTTCGCAGTTTCTTGTCTTACAGGAACGCATTGTTTTTCTATTCTGCTGCTGCGGACCACTATGAAACTTTCGCAAAATGAATGTAATTTTATAGTGCATGCAGTCTGGATAAAGTGTTCTTTCACATCTAAGCGAACTTCAAAGTTACGGCAAACTTTGGTAAATTCAAAATTTTTTACAAATAATAGCGATTCACAGTTATATTTTTTCAAATATCTGGCGCACCCTGTATGATGGACGAAACTTGAAACTCTGTATCGACACTGTTTGAACCAAATTATCCCATGTTTTATAGTTTTTCATTTACGGCTAATAATTTACCCACGGAAACGGCAATTTTCAGGATCTCTTTGTTTTTATTACAAATAATCGACACACCCTGTACATAATCCAAAAAATGCCGCAAGTAAAAGTTATAGCTCCAGATCTCCCACGTTTCGCGGTATATGATTTTTTGAATAGGATAAAGTTTTCGAGAAAATACGTCTTTTCTGAAACCATGCCGTAATAATAAATGACATCATCGCGTCTAGATTGAGTACGAGATATGGCGATTTTAAAATGGATTTTTTCAAATATCTCGAGCAGCGTACGTGACAGACAAAAATCGTAAATACAAAAATTGTAGCCCTTGATACGGCTTATAATACTGTTTGTGGATTAGCTATTTTTTGTACTCTCTAAAAGAACAATTTTCAGGGTCTTTTAAATTTTTGTCCAATAACTAAATCGAAAAAATGCGAGAAACAAAGTTATAGTGCCGGTTCTCCCACGTATGAAGGTTGTAAAATTTTTCCGATCGGATGAATGGTTTTGGAGGAAAATATGTTTTTCTGGGGCACTTATTACTTTTTTAATATTGCACGGAATTTCGCCAACACCTTTTGTGATAATTAAAAACCTTAAATACAAAAGTTTTAGCTGTCTATACGGGCTATATCATCATGTAAAAGAAACTGACATCTAAAACACAGACTTTAAATTATTGCCAATTTTCAATAATAGGGGCGTCCATTTTTCAGTTTTTTTTAATTTGCGGCGCACCCTGTATATTTTTTAAAAATTGTCAAGAATAAAAGTTTATGGAGCCGTATCTGCGTCTTCTGGTTCAAAAAATTTTTCAGACATTTTTTTTGACGCTGATTTGTATACGAGCGTAGATACTTTCCAAAAATTCGATTTTTCGAAAGTAACAAGAGGCTGTGAAAAGATGGAGCTATGGATTGACTTGGACACAACAGTGTTGACTAAAATTCCCACAGAATGTGACAGTGTATAAAATTAATTTTATATAAAATATTTTTCATAAACAGTTCTGAGGATTCAAGTTACTGTTAAAAATCTCAGTGATGCCTTAATTTTATATGAACTGTAAAACAGTTCATATAAAAAAATCAAATAGCAAAGCCTTTTGACTCTGTTACTGTAAGTTTCTAATACGGAGCAATGCAACTAATACTATATCTTTGAAATGAGGTACAAATAGCGCAAATTAAAATATATGAAAGTATTAGTAGTCTGCATTCATAATTACGCGAAAGTAGAGCGGATTTTCTATTGCATCTGCCCTTAGTCCAAGCAGAGCAGATAGCAGGGTTCCAATTATTTTTTATGGAACAAATTTATTTAAAATTGCAACTTTATTGATTTTTTTATAAACCCAACACTTTATTTTGAACTACTCGGGTAAATATCCTACTCCTTAACAGTGCGACACAAAATTAGATAGTTCAAAGTAGGAATTTGAACAATGGAAGGATCAATTTACTCTAAATTTGCAATTTTTCAAACATGTGCAATTTAAATAAAATAGAAGAAATGGTCCTATCATGTGCAAAATAATCTGCTGAATCAAAAAGAAAAGTGAAACATATCTTGCCATTTAAAGTTGTTTGAAAAATTGTATGTATAACAGTTATATGGTGTTTCGACGTCATGATTGTCAATATATTCATTAAAAAAAAAAGTGATTTTTCTACTCCCGTCTGCAAAACACCTAATCACACACCGATCTAGCGTGCGAAAAGCGTCACTTTACCACGTCAGTTTCGTGTCCTACGAAGCCGAACCACTTAGGACATATCCGGGGTTTTACCGCACTTATTTGGGAGCAACCGGATGTTTTTGGGAAATGTTTTCCACGCTTTGAATTTTGACGGTCATGTCAGTAAATGTATTTGTGCAGTTTTGAGAAAATGTACCCAAAAACAAACAGTCGTAGAAAAAGTATGGTGTGCAACACATTCGGTAAACTTACTTTTTACAAAACCTCTGGATTCCTCCTGCGTCAGGTTTTGTTGAGTCAAAATTGCTGACGTTTCGCCAATCATCCTGTTGGCTTCTTCAGAGCTTGACCGAAACTCAGTCAGTCAGTTTCAGTCAAGCTCTGAAGTTTTGTAAAAAGTATTACAGCAGCCTGTGGAAGTTTTTTTGAAAAATTCGGTACACTTTTTAACTCACTCGTTTATTAAAAACTCGCTCCGCTCATAAACTCATGAGTCAAATGCCGTTTACCACACTTGTATAATATACTATTACAATTCTGTTTTTGACCAAAAAATTCTTATATCCACGGTTTAGCAGTCTAAACAACATTTTTTAATCTGTAGGTTGTCCTAAATCATAATCGAACTGAGCAAAAACTTTTTTTTTCAACTACTTCAATTTTACCATCCTAATCACCCAAGAATGGGTGGAACATTTTTTGAAACACTCTGTACAAATGAAGGCTAGAAAACTAGTGTCCTTTATTATTGAAACTCGGTGTTATTAATAGGATAAAATATATTTATCAATATAAACTTAGATTAACAAAAAAAATCAAAACATCACATAAAAGGGAATTAAGAACTTACTTGTTATAAGTTTCCAAATATCTCATTTTGTTTCTTAAAGTTTCTACCTAATTTCACTTTTGCACGATTAATAAATAATTTAAAAAAACACTGCTACTAGGGTACGAATTAGGCTATTGATTTTGGTTGGTGTCATAATTTATTTTACAAATCTTATATGAAATTTAGCGTAATACGAACTAGTAAAACAAAAATAACTATACATGTAGACGGATATTTACTAGAATAATTTGTAGCAATTGGCTACTGTACAAAAGAAGAAATAACATGAGAGTGGATCACCTAAACCTACAAAACAGCCAGAATTAATTTTAATTTTTAAAATAAAATTGCCAATTACCATGGATTAAGTGGAAAATTTCCTCAGCAGCATCCTGATTTGGTAGATTCAACGGGACGACTCTGGTCAAATTTCACTTTGCCACCTTGATCTGCTGCAGATGATGGTGGTCCTACTCGATTTTTGATTTCCGCGGCCATTGTTAAGAAGGCCTGTTCTACGTTTGTCGCATTTTTTGCCGAAGTTTCGAGGAACGGAATACCCAACTGATCAGCATATTCCTAAGCCAAGAGTGTACCTATTATTTTAAATTCGTGTTAACATTTATATGATGATACCTTTGCTGTTTGAAAATCTACAACTTTTTTTGTGGTAAGATCACTTTTATTTCCTACGAGTAATTTATTGACATTGTCGCAAGCATAACGTTCGATTTCTTCTAACCACTGCTTGACATTGTTAAAAGAATCTTGATCAGTGCAGTCGTACACTACAATAATACCATGAGCACCTCGGTAGTAACTGGATGTGATTGTTCGAAATCTTTCCTGTCCTGCTGTATCCCACTAAAATATTGTCATTATCAGTAATATTTCGGCTGCTACAAATTAACACTCACAATTTGTAGTTTAATTGTTTTCCCATCCAAGTCGATTGTACGTATTTTCTAAAATAAAAAAGTCTACATTACCCCCGCGAAACTAACTAAAATTACCAAAAACTCTTTTCACTTACAAAATCTACACCAATTGTACTAATATAACTCTCTGTGTAAGTATCATCCTAAAAAAAAATGTAGTTTGGTAATGTATCATAACAAATTATTTCATAAAACATACAGCAAAACGAAGTAGCAAACATGATTTTCCAACTCCCGAATCTCCAATGAGTAACAGTTTGAACAAGTAGTCGCTAAAAGCAAAATATTTATACATATATTAAAAACCAATGTAATCCAACACTATTTGAAAATATTTTAATCAGTGAATTTCAGTAATTATTGAACCCCAAGGCAATAATTTAAATAATCACTGACCAACTATTTTGTCAGAGACTGCCCGTAAAAAATATCCCCAAGGCATTGTAAAATTTAAATTTATCTGAATGAAGTATTTTCATTGAGATTTAAAAGGTTTGTGAAATGTAGGTATCCTAGGGCTTGTCCAAAGGTTATTAACATCTATTGAAAAAACTATACAGGGTGTCTGTTTTAAGGTTACAATTTTTAAAATGCAATACGCTAATGCAAATAGAACAAGCCTAAAATAGTATAAAATCAGGCCTCATAATTAACTTAACAGTTTTCACATTTTTAATACCTAGTTTTATGGTAAAAATTGTATTGTTAATTAGAAACCTAATGCAGTGTGGCTTATTGCAAAATCAACTCAGTCAACAATAAAATAAAATATCTGCATCTGACTTTACAATAATTCACTTAAAACAACTAAAATTATGCCAAATCGTAACCGTAAGGAATAGGAATCGACATGCCAATTTTAACAAATGTTGTCTATGAACAAAAGAACCAACTAAAATAAAAACAATTATTATAGTGGCCAACCCAAAAAAAAACAAAGTTTATGATATGATGCAAAAAACCTTCAATAGTAACTTTTGTATTACAAACATTCCTTTTCTAAATTAATTAGAAAATTATTGGTTGGAGCAAATTCTAAAAATTACAAAAATGTAATTTTTTGGGAAGTAGGCGAGAAATATTTGACTCATTCAAACAATGACGTGCCATTCGATAGAAGATGCAGGTGGGTGAAAATAAATTTTGGAAATATGCCACCCTGGTTTGTTTATTGCTTTAACAGACAATTTGCTAAAACGAAACTAGTAATTTAATGAATTACAGAATTATTTTTTATATAACTGCGCAAATATCACACTTATAAAAGTAGTGGGACTGTCAAAAAAACTCCTACTAATCACAATGATGGTAATAATCGATACTTACTATTCAGGGTTCATGGCTTTATAGTTATAATTTAATAAAACGAAATTCCGTTTCTTCGGTCGCTTTTACTGCACTTTACTTTAACTTTAGCAGCACTTAAAACTAAGAAAAAATTTACAGAAAACACAAATTTGGAACAATGTCTGCCACACAATGGATATCCGATGGTATTCTGCGAATTGACGTACTGCAAGTGTGGCAGCAGGGTGCCTCAGCACAAAAATGTCACTTGTAAAAGCGGGAATTTTAAAACATTTCTAGATTCTCTTGGATCGATATTAAAATATTAACTTGCTATGAACAAAATTTATGGTAATAATCAATCAAAAAAACGAACATATAAAATTATAGAGCGTTTTGGTTATTTTAAGCCGCAGATAGGTTCTAACCACACCATTAGCAGTGCATGTGGGACTAACCAGACTAACGCTTTAAAATATGGAGTGTTCGTGTTTATCTAGCTTTGAAGCGGTTGTGTTAAAGGTTTTGGATTTGCTCATCGCTTTAAATGAATACCTTTCTGCTTCGAAAAAAAATGGCCTGAAATCGCGCGTTTTGCGTCATAGATCTGTGCAAAACCATATAACTACTAGAGATATGGAGGCCTTGCATATGCCACGAACTTCTGAAGCAATTATGAAAAAAATTGTGAGAAGGTCTATTCAACAACCGCATGTGCGAGATGTAAAATTTCAGTTTAATTAACCAATGACCCTGCGTCATTCAACAACCAACATGGGCGTTGACTATAGTCAAATATTTTAGAAGCGGCATTTTTAAGGCAACATTTTCTCAAAATAAGCCCGACCGCTGGTATACCCATTAAAAAAATGTTCAGATTACCTCTGGAAAGCAATGGCAAATCACTGAAAGTATTCTGCCTAGTAAAGTCTTTCACCTTTGCCTTTCGGCACCGGCGTTAAACTGTAGATGCGACAGGTCGTCAATGCGCGATATTTGGGTAAGGCGCATAAGAAAAGAGTTCATTTTGAGAGCTGCATCGAACTTTAATGACAATCTGTCAGCGGCCATATTGGACGTTGAATGTCGCAAGGCCATTGCTTAAAAACGAGATTCTGAATCTCGCGCAAGCGCATGTTGATTCGACCTTATCAAAAATAAATTTCCTAGTTGCTTCATAGGTTCCTGTGTTATTAGTATATGCAGGGCCATCTATATCTTTAGTAGCTATTTAAGAAAAAAAATGAATTGTTGATTGTCAAATTTATTGACACCAGATCAGGATGATTCATTCCAACTTTTCTTTAGGATGTTATTCGAATTCTTGAATTAAAAGCTTTTAAGCCCTTGAACTGTATGAATGATTTTTACCAGTCTTGGAAAACGGAAGCAAAAGGGAGACAGAACTAAGTTTATATAATCTGTAAGTAGAAAGCGTTAAATCTTTGATCGTGATCCAATGTTGCTATTTACTTTCTGCAATTAACTAATGTAGAAATAAGCAAGTAATTGATTAGTTTTGGTTAGTTATGGAGTTATAGAAACAGACAGAGAGAGAGAGAGGGAGAGAGAGAGAGGGAGAGAGAGGGAGAGGGAGAGAGAGAGAGAGGAGAGAGAGAGAGAGAGAGAGAGAGAGGAGAGAGAGAGTGTGAGAGTGAGAGTACAATTTAGCAACAGTGGGTACGCTAAAAAATTTAACGCCTTGTCAATCGTTCGTTTTTTTCATTTTGGTTAGAGGTTATATTAGGTTAATAATTGTTAAAGCATAAGCCTTACTTTCTTTATTTTATTATTCATTTATTATATGCTACCAAAGACAAGCTCTAAGTCAATGATTATCATATGAACGATTTCTATGATAACTATGATTCAAAATCGTGAAAACCTGTCGGACGTTATTAAATTAATTAGTGATATTAAACATAAAACTGTCTACTCTTCATATGACATAGCTCTTCAAACTGAACAGTTGTTATTAAATTTGATATCAGAAGGCAAATGGAAAACTGCCTCTGAATTGATGGAATTAGTGAAAACAAGAATAAGATGCATTTCCCACAGTTTACCTCAAGAGGCTATTTCATCCAATATAATGTTACACATTTTAAAAGTTATTCGGGAGGAGTTTGAACTTGCGTCAAAGAAGAAGGGTGAAGCACTCTCCTTACATCATATAGTAATGGGAAGCAATGAGAATGTGTTGGACTATAGTGAAAGCTTTTCAAGTCTTAAATCATCTTTATTGGAGCATTTGTCAGAGTATGAAGTGGAATTGGAGTCAAGTGCTGAAAATATAGCTACCCAGGCACTGGAGCATATTCATACTAATGAAACAATTCTTACATTAGGCCAATCGAAGACAGTTGAATTGTTTTTAAAGTCAGCCGCAAAAAAAAGGGCTTTTAATGTGGTTGTTGTAGAAGGCGCTCCTCTGTATAATGGACATTCAATGGCCGAAAATTTGGTGAAAAATGGTATTAGCACCATTTTAATCCCCGATTCTGCTGTATTTGCAATGATGTCGAGGGTCAACAAAGTGATAATAGGTACTCATGCCATATTAGCAAATGGAGGGCTGAGAGCAATAAATGGTACCCATACTTTAGCATTAGCAGCAAAAAGATATTCTGTACCAGTTATGGTTTTGGCACACATGTTTAAATTTACTCCAACTTATATTGGTTCTCACGATCACAAATCGTTCAACATATGTGCTTCACCGGCAAATGTGATTCCACAGGCCCTCGGACCTGTTTTAAATAAAGTTTCTGTGGAGAATCCCATTTATGATTATGTCCCGCCTGAATTAGTAACTTTATTTATTACCCACCAAGGCGGAAATTCTCCATCCTATGTTTATAGAATACTCTCTGAATTGTACCACCCCGATGATTATGATATTTAATTTTTTGTTATTTGAATGTCAGTATCGTTTCGGAGAACAAAATTCTGTTATGCAAATTAACCATTTTGCAAATAACACTTTTGGTATAAAAGTTTGAAATTCTTTCTTTTTACTACTTAATTGGACTTTTTGTCTGAACTATCGGAAAGGCAGACAAGGATTGATACTGGCGTTTCAAACTTCCATTGTCTAAAACATTTTTAACACAATGTTATTAGACAAGGGAAGTTCGAAATGCCAATAATGACCACAATGTATTTGTCTATATAGCGGGCATGATTAATATAATTTTGCATTACAGGTTAATGGTAGAATTATATTTCAACTTTACTCTCAATTTTAACTCGGCTTATACACTTGGTTTTAAAATTAATTTTTATTAATACTTTGTCAGAAGTCTAGCTGACTCCAACTCTAACACTTTCTTATTTCCAATCTTCAATCAACAAGACGTTTGCGCGTTACTTATCACAAGACCTTTACCAACTTTATAAAAAACATTCGCAAACCATGGGCTGGAATTCATGACAAAATTTTTCTTAGAAATACACATTGGGTGTATATCTGTATGCGCATCTATTTTCTTGTGTTTATAATTTTGTTACAACTTTGATTATTTGTATTGCAGAATTTTAATAAAACATTACTGCACTTCCCACAGAATTATTTCATTTTCAAATTGAATTCCTTAATTTGTAAGAATGCACTCCAGCAAGTGAAAATGTTATTATTTTAAATATTCCTATGAACATTTTGATAGTACATATTTTGCTAAAAAAACAAACAAGTATATTTTGAAATTATTGAAAATTTTTGACAAATTGCTGTATTTTATGAGAACAATACCATTGTGCAATTTTATTACAAACGTTTATTTAAAGATGTTAATAAAGGTTCGTAAAACTTCTTTTTTTTTTAATTTATTATGGTCAATTTTTACCACAGTGGTACAAGGATTTAAAAAAGAAATAATTACAATGATTTCGATAAACAAGAACAGTCCTGAAAATTAAAAAGATCATAAACTCATCTAGGTAAACTTTTACTTCTTGAAAAAACATATCCTTTAAAGGATTTATTAAAAATTATAGGCCATTAAGTAAGTCTTGAGTAGAAAAATTTACAGTTAATTCATCTTTATTGTTGTTCAATTTGGTATCTGCTTTGATAATTTTTTCCGATTCTTTAGATTGAATCATTACCTTGGCTGACTTCAACCTCATACGTTTTGGTAAAACAATATCAGGTTCATCTTCAATTAAAAAGTCGAAATTTTGTTTTGATGTACTAGGTTTTGGAGAAATCAGTCTCTGATGGCTTTCGTTCAAAGTAATTTTTGAGTTTGAATTTTCATCTGTATTGTAACCATCTGAAAAACTGTCAGATTCTGAGTTACTTGGACTTGCTTGCTTTTTTTTAATATTTTTCTTCTCACATTTTTTGACTCGCATCTTAGCTTTTGGGTTTGTTTTATTTGTTGTTGGCCTTCCCCGTCTAAAAGCTATTAAAAGGTCATTTAAATGCTGAATTTGCAGTTTTTTCTCATTAAGAATGGCTAAGAATTTGTTATAGAGGTTGGTTTCTTCTTTTTGTTTTCTATCAGTCAACTCGCTTAGTTTTGACTCATAGCTGCTTGCAACTAAAATTCAATAATTACTCCCATTACATAAACATAATACATAATAAAACAATTACAACTCACTAGATTCCAAGTGAAGACATTTTTTCTGCTCTTTATATAAGCTCTCAAAATTGTTGTTCTTTTCACAATAGAGTTGATCTATCCAATCAGAAACACATTTAAAAAAATTTGCCTTAAAAAGTCATGGCATTAGCACAAGGGTTACATAATTAATATGAACAACCTTTTCCAAAATTGTTTTAAAATACACCACTTTTAAGTCATCTTTGAGTAGTAAGTTAAGTGTGAATTTTCCATCATCAAATTTAAACTCCACGTCATCTGGAGACTGTTGAAAATAACACTTCAACTTCTCATAATGTTCTTCTACAACAATGTGGTGCGCTTCTGCAGATAAAGCTAGCGCCGACTTGTTTACCTTTCAAATCAAAACATTATGCAGGCATTTTTTTTATATAAAGAAACCTTACATGAATCTTCCAAGCATTTAAATTTTCTAAGATCGTTAAATCGAAGGATAATTTCGAGAAATTTGTAATTAATTTAAAAGTGTTATCTTCGTCAAGGGTTATATTTTGAATAAAACACACAGACATATTTAACTTTCCCTTCCCGGATAGTTACAATCTAAAAACGAAAAAGGTTAAAAAGTTAAATCTTAAATAGGAAGGCAGTGGACTAAATAAAAAATAAGATTGGTAATCCGCAAAGCAAACGAATTTAAGTTTGTGATTTAGAATAACTCTAGGAGATTTACTTTCAAAAATTTGATTGTGAAAATTTTGAATTCAAATCTGCGTTTTGTTAGTTTATTACTCATTCGGTGTCTTTTTATGAATATCAGAAACAAAGAATTGTAGGACCTATGTTGCAAATAGGATCCTAAATTAAAATATTTGTAATATATTTGGCGAATGGTTTGGTTTATCTTAGAGAACTTGTTTACTAAAATTAAAATTGGTAATTCTTTGTGATTGAAAAATTGCGTTCAGAATTTGGGCGGCTGTTCGGAAGAACATTGGTTCAAGAAAATAAAAGAAGAAAAAGAAGAAGAGTTGCACTTCAAGTTTCTTCAATTAAGTATTTGAAAAACAGAAATCTTGTGCTATCTGACATGTAATTGGTACAAGTATTTGATGTTGCCAAATATTCCTTACTTTCGATCATCATATTTGATTTATAAAGCTAAAAATGGTTAATTTCGACAGGGTTTATGAAGATATTTTAAGTTATAGGAGCAAAGAATTTAGTCATTTTGTATGGGCCAACAAAAAATGTAATCCAAGGCTTGCAGTGGAACAACCAACTCGACCTTCGCCTTTCCAGCACAAGCAAGCAGTATTAAACAGTCTTAAAATTAAAGATTTATTGGATAAAGTGTGTATTATTAGGTATTTCCGAAAGTTTAAAATAAATTCACTAATATTTCAGTTGAGTATAACCTTAAATGTTTCCAAAGATGAGTTGGGAACACAAGTGAAGAGAATTTTGGACGAAATAGCCTACAAGAAAAATTTAAACATTATTCGAGCTTTGGCAATAGCATTAACCAAAATATGTTTAAAAGTATGTAATGGAATCCAAGTCAATTTCAATGGAATTTCTAAGGTGAATTATTAAAAATTATTGTAAGTGCTGATAAAGAATAAGATGAATTTTGACGTGGTTATACACTTTATCTGCTTTATTATATATTGCAATATATAGTTCAATAATATTCTTATGAAAATATTCCATTTAACTAACAATTATTTAAAATGTCTGGTGAATATGTTGAATTAAATGAATAATTGAATTCAGAGGAATGAAATCTCCAATAATAGCATATGTGCTAGCACAATGTTCTATGTATACTTGCAAAGATGGTAATAATCTACCATTATTATTATTATCATAATTTAGAAGTTTTCTCTAGCATGAGTTTGATTATGACATCACTAACATAAATCAAGTGATTCAACAAATGGTTTCAAAGTACAATAAAATCTCTCTTAAAGGACACCTCTCATCAGCATACACCTCCCTTGGACAGTTTTATATAGTGCTGACAACAAACCACTATTGTGACTCTCTCTTTAATGGACACTCTCTTGAGCGAACACGGACAATGTTTTTAATATTTTTTACCACAAAAAACACTGTTAAACTGACCCAAAATAAAGAAATATTTTTTTCTGTATTTGGAACTTATATCAATTTTTATCACATTCTGTGGGGGAAATACTAAGATACTAAAATTAATTACAAAATATGGTGAAAGCATCAGTTGTCTGTTTTCTTTTTGTTGTTCTTGCATCATTTGTTCATTAAGAGGTGAAATACCTAGAAACAAATTTTTCATCTTTTAACAATGAAATCACCAAAACAGTTTTTAAAGTTCCAGCAAAAAGTTAAAGTTATTGCGGAAATTGTCAGAGCCTTTAAGGATAGGAAAAACTCAAGTTGCAGAGAAGAGAGACACAGAAATTTTTTTAATAATTTAATGTAAAAATCACGGAAAACAGAAGCTTTTTCACAACAACCACCGGCTCAGTGATAGATCATATGTGCTATGAGTGAATTGTGGCATCTCATAATAAAGGAATTCCAATAACTTGTATGACTACATACCTTCATTCATTTGAAGCTTACTTGCATGACTTGAGTCTTGAGTCTGGTTGTCTTTTATTTACCATAACATTCCTTTCAAAGCAATGTCTGGAGAGCTTCTGTAAATCCTCAAGATGTATCCTCGCTTTTAGAGAAGTTACCTCAATTTTGACAAAAAGACAAGACAAGAGATATCTACAATGTAAAGGAGAGGCGTCTTTTTTTAGAGCATGTCCAAATAAAACTCTGACACTAAAAAAAGAAAAATGCTTTGGTGGAAACTCTCCAAAGAACCCATAATGATATTACATTGTGTCAATATGAATGAAGGGAAAGAAAAGCTATTGGTTATATGCATATCAGCCAGACCTAGGGTATTCTAGAGCATTGAGTCGATGGAAATTCCTATGGAAATCTAATAAAAAGGTCCTATGAGAGATTGGTTATACGATTGGAATTAAGAATGGATACCTCAAGGAGAAATGCCGCCTCTCAACAATATGAATTTAAAAAACATCAGAATTTATTTTCTTCTCACGAACTGCAAATCTGTATGTCAACACAGTAGCTAACAAGCAACTAACACCACGATAAAACACTGTTTTGAAAAAGCATGTCAATCAGAAAATCAGGGTTTAGAGGAGGAACACAGTGATCCAGAAGATGAAATCCCTCCTTCTCTACTTGCAGTAATATATAAAAAGGAAGAACTTGGCATTGGCCGGAAGATATTTAAGAATTCTTTAACATTGACGAAAATGTAACTGTTGTTTACAGTAAAATTCATAAAGCTGTTTTGCGAACTTGGAAATACATTTCTAAGATATTATTTTGAGAAAAAAAAATTCATTGGATGAGTTATTTTGCAAATAAAATTTAATGTGCATAATGTTTTGGTGTGACCTGTTTTGTGTTAAGGTCTCCTTATTTCTTCTTTTGCATTAATATCAATATAAAATATATGCGCATAAAGTTGGACACCTCTCTGGTACTGACAATTTTTCTGGTCCCATCACTGTCCGCTTACTCTATCATGTTTTCCATTTTATTAATTAATGGCGAATCAACGACAGAGTTATTCATCATGTCATTGGTTAGGATGCACAATTTAAAACTACTTTAGAGTATATAGGATGGCTCAAAAAAGCGGCTCCATCAAAGTTCCTTTTTCTGTTCTTAACAGAGCTCTGTTGACTAATAGGTGTATCATGACCAACTAATATAGCAATAGTTTAAGACAGCATCTAATTCAAATTCTGTTGCACATATCTTCTTGAAAATAACGCTAATATCAAATATGAGTGACATACCTTTAAAAATAATGGCGCTATCGCAATTTTTGTGAAAACTAGTATTGTTTTAGAAGAATTAAAATATTAGAAAAGCGACTAGATTTAGGTTGAATAATTTTAAAAAGAATTCAAAATAAAATTCAAATATAGGGTGTTCCATTTAAAAAAATGTTTTATTAGTCACGCTTTTTTGCGGCACCCTGTATACTTTAAAATAATTTTTTCTACTTCCGTCTGTGAAATGCGTAATTACACACCGATCTAGCGTGCTGGAAGCGTCACTTTACCACGTCAGTTTCGTTTCACACGGATCCGAGCCAATTCGGACATTTCCGGGATTACCGCACGGGTTTGGGAGCAATCGGATGTTTTCAGAGATATTTCCCACGCCTTGATTTTTGACGTTTGTTAATTCTGACGGTCATGTCAGTGAATGTATTCGTGTTGTTTTGTAAAAATATACCCAAAAACTGTATACTATGCAACAAGTGCGGTAAACGCCATTTTACTCACGAGTGACTTAAAAAGTTTGCCGAACGTGTTGCATACTATACTTTTTCTACGACCGTTAGTTTTTGGGTACATTTTGGCAAAACAACACAAATACATTCACTCACATGACCGTCAGAACTGTATCTCCGAAAACATCCGATTGATCCCAAATTAGTGCGGTAAAATCCAGGAAACATCGGAAGTGGCTCGGATTCGTGGGAACTGAAACTGACGTGGTAAAGTGACGCTTCCCACACTGGATAATTAGGTATTTTACAGACGGGAGTAGAAAATAGTATATTATGCAACAAGTGCGGTAAACGGCATTTGACTCACGAGTTTGTCACGAGCGGACCGAGTGTTAAATAAACGAGTGAGTTTAAAAGTTTACCGAACGTGTTGCATTCTATACTTTTTTTACGACCGTTAGTTTTTGGGCATATCTTCGTAAAACAACACGAATACATGCACTCACATGACCGTCAGAATTGACAAAGGTCAAAATTCAAAGCGTGGGAAATATCTTCGAGAACATCCGATTGCTCCCAAATCCGTGCGGTAAAATCCCGGAAATGTTCGAAGAGGCTCGGATTCGTGGGAAAGGAAACTGACGTAGTAAAGTGACGCTTCCCGCACGCTAGATCGGTGGGTAATTAGGTATTTTACAGACTGGAGTAGAAAAACCTTTAAGTCACTTGTTTATGAAACACTCGTGAGTCAAATGCCGTTTACAGCACTTGTTGTATAATATACTACTACTATTTTCTCATAACTTCTGAAACCAGCGAGAAAATGAACTTTATTCTATCATTGACTCACCTTGTACAACAAGAATGCTGTACTCTATAAAGCCTCTATACTTTTTTTTAGTTGAAAAGTTATATGGGTCAATGTCCCGTAATTTTTGTACCTACACACAGGAGTTATGCAGACTTTATTATATTTTCATATGTTTGCTTCACATATGATATTGAAATTCCAGCAATTGCCGCAGGAATGGGTAAGTAAGTAAAGTTTACCGAAAAATGTAATAATTATTTTACTACTCATTGTCCTGTTGACTTAATGTAAATGTTACTTGGAAAAATTATAAATTATATTTACAAAGTAGTGGTTAAGATATTGTGCATGCTTTAAACGAGTTGTTTGCCTTGTATTTTTTATTTCTTAAATTAAATTTGAATTGAGATTTTTGGGATTGTATTAATAAAACTTTCAGATTTTCAAGGAATGTTGGGCATGGGTGAGATTCTGAGAAATACAGGAGCATTTTATTTAAGAAGAGCTTACAGCGATGACCCCCTATACTGGACTACATTTAAGCAATATGTGTATCAACTAGTTACCAAAGGAGACCTTCCAATTGAATTTTTTATTGAAGGAACCAGAAGTAGAAGCAATAAGTCATTGATCCCAAAATATGGTAATTAAAAATTTTAAATAAACTAGAAAAACCAAAAATATGATTGCAGGATTTATCAATATGATATTAAAAGCATTTTTCTTCTCTGAAGTACCTGATATTTTGTTTGTTCCCGTTAGTATAAGTTATGATAGGATCTTAGAAGAAAGCTTGTTTGCTTTTGAATTACTCGGTATTCCAAAGCCAAAAGAAACAACGAAGGTAAGAGCTGAAGCGCAAATTATATTTAAAAAAGTAATATGTGGCGTAAGCCCCCCCAATTCAAAATCTTTTAGGGTTTTTTTAAGTCTTTAAAAATTCTTAAAGAACACTTTGGTAATGTATACATTCACATTGATGATCCAATTTCGGCCAAGGCATTCTTAGGCGATAAAGTTGACAGATCAGTGCACAGTCTTTCTCCGTTGTATCAGCAAGAAATGACAGATGAAGAAAAATCCTTAATTTCACCATTTGGGTATGAAATTGTACGCCGGCAACAAAATGCTAATGTTATCACCACATTCAATTTGGTAGCCACAGTTTTAAATGTCAATCTCTCTCTTGGAAACGAGTTTATGTCTATAGATATGTTATTAGCAGAAGTGGAATACTTGTCCCTCATTTTGACAAATTTGGGAGCATACATTTTCGAGCAAAACTTTAGACAAGGTTTACAGCAAAGTTTGGTTGTCCATCAAAACTTAATTAGAATTCAATCAAATGGAGCCATTGGTTTGGTTGAAAATTCCATTGTTTTGGATGCAGCAAATCTATCAAAATTAAAAGGGCACACATTTTCCCAAGAAGTAATGAATTATTCTGTGCCATTTGTTATGCTGCAGATGTATACAAACCCAGTTCTCCATCACTTAAAGGATGTAGCATTTATTGGAGTCGTGTTGAAAAGTGTACCTAATCTAGATAAAGGTAGGGGGCAAGCTACTACAATTTATTTATCTACATTGGAATTTTATGTTTCACGAGGATCCTTAACAGCTGATAAGTAGAGTATAATTGCTTGAAATTTATTAACAGGAGTTTAAATGAATATTAACATTACATCTTAATTAATTAAGCAATTTTTCAGTGAAACATTTTTAAAAATCTGATTTCTTTCTTAGATGAATTATTTCAGCACTTCAAGTTCCTGAAATCTTTGTTTGCTAACGAATTTGTTTCTTTTAACGATTGGCTGGAAAAGGTTAGTAACTCTCATATATTTGAAATCAAATTGCAATTATATTTTTTCAAGGATTATGATGCAGCATTGGAACATGCCCTCACCGAAAATTTAATTGTTACAAAAAATGCGAGTTATGCCTTAGCAGGAACTGCAAAGTTAAATAATATTTTTAGGAACAGTATCGAACCTTTTTTTATGTCATACTTTGTCGTACTTGATGTATTACTGGTATGTAAGCGAAAATATAGTAATGGTAGATTTGATAAAAAGATTGTTTTAGAAAAGCTCAAATTTTTGCGAGGAAAAGAATATTTTGGTTAATGCTCAACAGTGGCTGGAGTATGTTATTGACCAGCGTGATGTATTCATACATCCTTATTGTTTGTCTTTAGAAACTTTAGGCAACTGTTTAAATAGTCTGTGTAATATGGGTGTGTTAAAAAAAAGGATAAGGTAAGATTCTTTAATGCAAATTCAGAATTAACTGCTTCCAGTTATTTAAATAATTAAAACTAATCTCTGATATCAAAATTTAACAAGGGGGACAATTTTAATTATTAGTAATTATTAGTAAATTTTTGTTGTTTGAATAAATAAATAAAGAACAAATGTTTTCAGTTAATTCTGAATAATTTTTATTCTAGGAATAAAGCAGCATTGTTTGAAATAGATCAACATAAGGTTGAGATTGTAAAAGGCAGATTAGGTAAGAATCAATTGCTGTGCTATAACTTAAAAATAGAGCAAACTTTTTTAGAAATGTACATTCCGGAAGTCAGTGTAATACTTAATTTCAACAAACATGGGAAAAACAAATTGTAAAGTTGTGCTATGTTTTGGATTTAATTTTTGTATAACTTTATTAAATTTTGTGTTTATAATTTGACTTAATTTCTTGTAAAGTTTCATTTTAGCTATATTTTTGTACTAAGCATTTAAAATAAAAATATGTGAGAAGGTATGTCGGAGCATAATTATAAATTTTGGTTAGTATATACGTGACGGGTGTTGGAAATGGGCTCGTGTCTTTAGATAATGTGCCCAACATTGTTAAAAGAAGAAATTTCTGTGGTGACAATTTACCGGTCATCAGAATACAGCTATTAGAGAAATAGTGGCCCTGCCTATGTTGATAATGCAGGAACTTATGATGCAATCGTGAAAAAAGAAACTAATGGTCTCCGGTATATCAATTCTCACCGTAGTAGAGCCACTATATTATCTAATAGCATTCATCCAATAGCAGCTACATACATGGTGCCTGTACTCGGGGACCGAGGAGCAATCATAACTCTCAAAGCCAAAGTGCGTTTGCACCAGGCAGCGGCACTGAAATTTCTTTCGTGGATCTAGACGCTTGTAATGTTTATAAACCAGCGTACATAGTGTCAAAGAATTTTGTCGACGGGTTAAAGCTTTAGTGTAACAGTAATTAACCCAGACTAATGGACACAAAGAGAGGGATGAGAGATTATGAGTTGTCACATTTTTCAAGGATTTTCATGTTGTGAAGTACTGAAATGCGTCCATTGCTTTCTCGGAGCTATTTTGTCGCACTTGAAATATACATATGAATGCAACAACTGTGTGTACGGAATCTCGACTAGAGATTTATTGTTTAGGTGGAATCACGTAAGCTAAAACATTAATTATAATTTTTTCCACGTGTGGCGCACGTAGTCGCTTGTGGGAAAATGTCACGGCGTATTGGGAATGAGCGCGTGGGTAGTTTTCGGGGGTAGAACTCTCAATAAAAACAGAAAGGTCTCCTTGCTCGCTTGCTCTTATTTTGCTCACTTGCATTAAAAACAGTGCAACTGAAAATACAGAGCAACGTGACCTGTTAAATCACAAATAAGCAAAGTAAATATTTTCCTCTAAAGTGGGTTAAATAGAAAAGCGTATAATTGGTTGTATACCTTAAGGTTCAGAAATTTTGAACCATGCATGCGTCATCAATTATTATTAGATAAGATCTTTACTTTGCATGCATGTGATTGGCAATGTCATTCCTTGTCATTTATTCTTTGGTGTTGTAAAAATGTTTCTTCTATGATGTTTCTTTTAAAAACATTTTAAGTAGTGCATTAATTTGGGTTTGTCCATTAATTTATTATCAAATTGTACATTTTTAGTCATTGGATTTATTTATGTTAAAATGAGTGACATTGAAAAAGAAATTTCACTGTTAATGTCCAAGGCAGATGAATCCGATCCCGCTGCATTTGCCGAGTTGTGCAAAAATTTAGCAAACGAACATTTTAAAAGTAATTTTTTTATTGTTTCAAAATTAATTAATGTGCAAAAACGTGTATTAGACAATGTAAACAGACTGTACGTTTTTGTGGTAAAACTTTGTTTTTTTAACCTCAATTTTATTTCAGAGCAAGAATATGATAATGCAATTGCCTACTATTCTCACGCAATACGCGTTAATCCTAATGTAGCCGTTTATTATGCAAATCGAAGTTTCGCTTATTTAAAAACAGAATGTTTTGGATATGCACTAAATGATGCTTCAAAAGCGGTGGAACTTGATAGGAATTATGTCAAAGGCTTTTATAGACGAGCTGCAGCTTATATGTCTCTTGGAAAATTTAAGGAAGCCCTTAAGGATTATGAACATGTACGACGGTATACCTGTGTGTTTAATTTGTCTTTCTTGGGTAGCCTTAATAATTAACGACTAGGTATTTCTTTCATATTTGAGTTGAACTGCTGCTGTCTACATATCATCAGCAGACTTTATTTATAACTTGGTAATAGAGTACACTGGTTAATATTCATGAACATTTCCACTTTCCTCTCTTTTTTCAATCTCCTACATTTTCTTGGGTCCGGTTAGCCATCTATACCAGTACTTTTATTGCCCTACTATCTTATGGTCATTTATTATCATTTGTCATCAAGTCTTCTCTTAGGGATAAGTGCTAGAGTTTAAGTTCATTGGAGGAAATTGGTTGTAAAGTGGTTTTCTATTTTACCTTTTTAGAAAATTTCTTGTTTTAATTAATTTACATTTTAGGTAACAAAAGTGAGGCCAAATGATAAAGATGCAAAATTAAAATATAATGAATGTAACAAGATTGTAAAAAAAATTGCTTTTGAAAAAGCGATTTCTATAGATGACAAAAGAAAGAATGTGGCCGATACAATAAACTTGGACGCAATGAGTAAGTTTTGAGCATCCATAAATTGACCAAAGTATCATTAAAGCTAACATTGCAGCCATTGAGAATGAGTATGCTGGTCCTGAATTAGAAAATGGTAAAGTAACTTTAAAATTTATGAAAGAACTTATGGATATGTACAGTAAACAAGGAAAATTACACAGAAAATATGCTTATAAAGTAGGTACTGACATTTTATTTCAAATTGTTTACTCCCAAAAGCTGAGTGTATCAGAGATTGAATATAAAATGTTTTTTATTTATAATGTTGCAGGTAAAAACAATTAAGTTATTAGTAAAGAAGGAATGACCTATGTTTTGGAATGGATATTAATCCCACAGAAATAGGATTAAATCTTTCATTTAAAAAATATCAAATGGCACGAAAAATTGTTATTTTGAGTATTCTGTAAAAATTAATATACTTGAGTATGCAATAGTACAAACAGGAACTATAAGGGACTATACACCCCAAAATATGGTTTTTGTTCTGTTATTTTTTGTGTGAAATCATGATATTATTGTCGACCAAAATTTAAATTGTCAAGCTGCATTAAGTCTTTGAAATATTGCTATCTACATGTCACTATATTCCAATCAGTGCATTTGTGCAATTACATCACTTATATTGACATAATCAAAACTGGTCTCTATGTCTTACATACATTTCAAAACTGACAAACAGAATTGCTGTGTCAATTTATGACATCCAGTCATGAAGGAGATAAAGATGTCATACTCTGATGTATCTGCACAATTGCTCTGATTGAACATTCTCAGTTATTTTGCGTTTTTTTCAAAATTCTAAGATGCACATTGCTCGTCAAACTAATTTATTACTTCCACCTTATTAATTACTACTTGCTGTATTGAAAAGGATTATTTACACTTGGCATTTTTTTTAGATTCTTTTAGACATTAAAAATTACTTTATGAAACAACCTTCTCTGGTAGACATAACAATCGGGGATACCGAAAAATTTACGGTATGTGGAGATATTCATGGACAATTTTATGATCTAATGAATATATTTCAATTAAATGGATTACCATCGGAGACAAATCCCTATCTTTTCAATGGAGATTTTGTTGACAGGGGATCTTTCTCGGTTGAATGTATATTTACATTGTTTGGTTTTAAACTGTTATACCCCAATCACTTTTTTATGTCTCGAGGTAAGCAATATGAACACTGATATATCTATAATTTTTTATAATTTTTTTTAAAGTTTCCAACTACAATGCTTGCTAGGTACTTTAGAATTTTCAGCAGGTGCAATTATCGAATTTCGGTATCTTAACACTTAAAATTGTATGGAATTATGAATCCTTTTAAAAATACAAGAAATAAAATTTAAATTATAACAAATAATTTCTTTTTAGTTTGATTTAAAGAAAAAAACAATGTTAATAATAAATTATTCTTGAAGCATTGTTACATTGTTAGTGTTGTTTTTGACACTATAAATTTTTACTGCTTGCATTGAACACAAAGCATGGGAAACAAATACCAGATTTTCAGGAAACCACGAAAGCGCAACCATGAATCAGATGTATGGTTTCGATGGTGAAGTGAAAGCGAAATATACGGCTCAAATGGCGGAGCTGTTCACGGAAGTCTACAATTGGCTTCCACTAGCTCACTGTCTAAATAGACGAGTACTTGTGAGTAATTGCAATGACCTCATTTCTGTTTATCTTTGTTAATATAAACAGCGGTGACAACAAACTTTGGAAAAAAAATGGATGTTAGATGATTATTAATTTTGTGTCTAGGTTTATTTAAGATCATGTGAAATATTCATCTCTGTAAGTCAAGAACATTGGTTTGTTAACATGTCGAAAGTTCTTATATAATTACAAATCCCAATTGATAATTTTAAATATATTGAAGTTTTTTCACTTGACAATATATGTCTCGCCCTTTTGGATTGATAACTTAATAATTTCAAATCTTAGGTTATGCACGGTGGCTTGTTCTCGCGCGACGACGTGACGTTAAAAGAAATTTGTGAAATCGACAGAAACCGTCAGCCCCCAGAGGAGGGACCAATGTGCGAACTTCTGTGGTCTGACCCGCAACCGCAGAATGGGAGGGCCCCGAGTAAAAGGGGCGTCGGCTGTCAGTTTGGGCCCGACATTACCAAAAAGTTTTTAGAATTAAATAAGTTAGACTATATTATTCGGAGTCATGAAGTGAAAAATGAAGGCTATGAGGTTGCTCACAACGGTACCTGCATTACGGTATTCTCGGCACCCAATTATTGGTACAAACATTTTTTGAATTTATTAGAATTAATTAATGAGTTTTTCCCGGCTGTTAGGCCGTGGTCCATTGGTTTTCGTATCAAAGCTTTCAACTGCTAGTGCGATAATAGTATTGTTCACAGGCAAGCACTATTTTGCAAGATTACATCGAGAGGCCATCGAAATACTTAAACACAAAGACAATTTTAAGAAGACAGAGGAAGGGTTACAAGTGAAAAAAAATAGGCCACACACACACACCTCGGCCAGGGGGCGGGCCGTACTAACGCACGCCCAGTCCGCCGCCCGTCCGAGCGTTACAACACGGGTACGATTTCGACCACGGCACCAGTACCGCAACAGTCGTCGCGCTATAATCTACTATCCAATGAGGATGAAACCACTAGACCATGGTCTAACGGAACTCATTAATTACAATACCTGCCCGGAAATTAGCTTAATTTATTTGAATAGACTTCTGCATTGAGTGTTCTTTCAAGGGTAGTTTACTTGATAAACTTTTTTTAGTGACACTATGGGAAACAAAGGTGCTTTTATTACTCTGAAGGGCAAGGATATGATACCAAAATATACAACCTATGAAGCTGTGGTAAGTACTTATTGGTCTTGTTTTATAGAATTACTGTAAGTAATGAATATACAGGCCGCGTTTTTAAATTATTTCAATAATTTTTTGGTGCAGAATCTAAAGGAGCCATCAGATTTTTTTTTTCAGATCTAATTTTTGAGATATATTTTTTATTTTGAATGCTATATCTATTATATTACTGTTGCCAGTTAAAAAAAAACAAAAACACATGGATTTAAGTATTTATTACAAATATTAGATTTACATGCATTAGTTATTTATGACTTAAAAATTTTCTTTCTAAAATGGAGTTTGCTAGGGCAGTCTCGCTGGCTAAGCTGTTGTCCTTGTTAAGAATCTTTCATAGTGTAAATGTCCTAATGGGATCTTTACCCTCTTCTTCACGACAAGCACCTAAGTTTTCTAGAAAGCGATTTAGGGAGAATAAACAAAATTAAATTTGATCATCACTATAGGAATTTGGTACTACACCAAGCTAGATTCTGCCTTGTTCATTCACTTGGTGAATTGTGGATCTTGAACTAGTTGCCATCAAATATACCAGATTTCAGTTTTTCTGTGCTAATCACAGGAAATATACATGATATGTACTCAAAAACAACTTCCATCTCGATATAAAGTCTTCACAAATTGCTTCATCAGCCCCGGCTTGATGTGCAATGGCGGAAGTAAGACTTTTCTCTCGAAAATAATTATGAGACAGTATTAACCCTAAAGTTTTTCGTTCTAGAAAATTTTCAGTTTTTAAATTCTTATAATATTTTTAAAGTAAAAGTCCATTGCTGTCAACTTTAGAGCAAAATTCAAAGACTAGGACGCGAAATAAAATATATTGTAGAAAAAGGTCAAGCGAAAAGAGGAAATTTAGGGGAAATGCGCTAGCATTACTCGATTCTCGAACGTTACCATTTACTGTCTCAGTTCGCGCGGCGGGCCGGTGAGTGACAGGTGTTTGAAGGTTGCGCCATAATACTGCCTGAGATGGAAAAAGAGTTAGCGGACACAATCAAGAAAATGGCCAACATATTCTATGGGTGCACCCCAAAAGAAATAAAAAGAGCAGCATTTGAATACGCTGAAGCCCTAAATCTGAAACACAATTTTAATGAGAGTTCAAGATTGGCTGGTCGAATTTGGTTTGAGGGATTTATAACCAGAAAAAATATTTCTTTGTGGAAGCCTGAACCTACCAGCATCAATAGGGATAGAGCCTTCAACAAGACTGAAGTACAAGGATTTTACAAGCTGCTGGAAGAACTAAAGGGAAAATACAAATTTTTACCGAAAAATATATATAATTGTGACAAAACCGGCATCTCCACCATCCAAGATCCTGGAAAAATATTAGCTGCAATGTGACAAAAGAGAGAGAGAGAGTAGCGTCCATAATTAGTTGAAAAGGATAGCCCAACAGAAGCAAAATATAAATGTTTGGACAACGAATGGAATAATGAAGAACTGTTCCTTCAATTGCTCAAGCACTTCATGGACTATGCCAAACCTTCTGCAGAAGAACCAATCCTATTAGTCTTGGATAATCATGCAAGCCATATTTTTCCGGCAATCTTTGAGTATTGTAAGGGAAACAATGTCCATATGCTATCTCTTCCACCCCATACATCCCATCGTATGCAGCCACTAGGTGTGTCATTTTTTGGAGACAATTTTCACAAAGAATAATACCCTATGATATTGCTTCGCTGGTGAAAACAGCATTCTCTAATGTTGCCTCCATTAGTAAGGCCGAATCTGGATTCAAAGCAAAGGGCATATTTCCTATGAATCCCAATATTTTTTCCGATGAAAACTTTATAGCAACAGAAATCCTACAATCCGAGCCAATTGTTGTTCTAGATTATGCTGACTCGAATCGACGTCTGCTGGTGTTGTTGTCTCCATATCATCTCTAACAGCTCCTATTGAGTTAGAACAAAATATTCCAAATGCATTTTGTTCCATTACTTCTGAACTAGCGACTGCATTTAGATTTGACATACCATCAACATCTAAGGATCTGGCAAGTGTTCTAAATTTCAATCATTTCCCTAAGAATGTAACTGCTGTCAAGACAAGACAAGGAAGAAGAAAATAAAAAGAAGACCAAATCTGTGAAAATGTAAGGAAAAGGAACAGGAAAGAAAAGCAAGCTACAGAAGGTCAGTCGTGAGAAAGTTAAGAAAATTCTGCAGGACTCTAATGGCAATACATCGACATCAGACTCGAATACGGATCAGTTATGCCAGGATGACGAAAGTGACGATGCAGGAGATGCAAACAATTTGTGTCTTGTATGTGGTGAATTTGGAAGAAACAATGAAACATGGTACCGTTGCACTTCTTGTGGGCTCTGGGCTCTTGCCGACTGTAGTGGATGGGATTCTACGAATAATTATGTGTGCGATATATGTTGATCATCATTGCCCACATGCTGATCACCATTACCAGCCGGCGTTGACAATCGTGATCAAACGTATTTTTTTTTCATTTCTTTTATTGTACCCTAATTAATAAACCGAAGTGATTAAAGTTGCTCTCAGAGGATAGTTAAATAAGTAAAGTTTATAAAAAGAACAGTGGAATAAATAATTGATTCATTTATTTTCTTTGTTTTTTTTTTCATTCTCGCCTAAGTGATCCCCATTACCAACATTTACCCTATCGCTATAAGCACCATATTCCTTGCCGTTATAAAACATATTTATGGTATCTAGGGGTAAGGACAAACTTTTAGTCACAAATAAATAATAAGTAAAAGTGTTATTTGGTCATCGTTACCTTCGTAAGATTGATAGGTCCTCGGGTTTTATAAAATATTTAATCGAAACGTAACCGTTACCATTATAAAACGAAACATGTTAGCTGGGAATTCTGGGATAAAAGTAAGTAAATGGCAGTGGATTAAGTAGGGTTAGTAAATCTAGTATAGGAAGATTGAGTCAGGGGTATATTTGGCTTGCTAGAATCTAAATTTAAGTATATATTTATTTTTTTTTTTTTTGCTTCATCAGAACTAATATCAATTAAATTGTATGTCAAAAAGGGCTAAGAGAAAAAAATCTGGTGGTATTGTTATTATTATTTATTATTAAAAACATCTAAAATCTGTTGTTGGATTCCTTCATCGATTTTTTTTCGTTTTGTTGTTCTGTGATGTCATTCTTAGGGTTTAGTAGCATAGTTTACGATGTTTGTTTTTTAATTTAAACTTTTCCAATGAAATATATTGACAATTTTCAATTTTTTTTTCAGCCTCATCCAAATGTGAAACCGATGGCATACGCAAATTCATTACTAAGTCTAATCTGTTAGTACCTGCGCTTTTAACGTAGTATAACCCGATGAATATTTTGTAAATTTTAATGCACTAATGGCATTAATTACTTCAACGATAGGTATATACAAATCGGGGATTTTAAAATAAGTAGCGAAATTTTATATCAGTAACAATTAATGCAAACCATTAGCAACAAACGCTGTCTTCTTTCTGTCTTAGTTATCCTGCTTTTTTAGGTAACATTTAATTTTTCTTCTGTATACTTGTGTTCATTTTTATTATTTTATATATTATTTTATGCAGAAAATCATTTTATTTTTCTCTAAATGATGTGAAATTTCTGATTTATTTATTAATACAACTTAACTGATCAAGTATGGAATTTACTTATTTTGCACATGCTTTACATTTACAAACTGAATCATGGAACTTTTGTTTTGTATTGCACCGAAAATTACTTTTAACACACGCGCACAGATTCCAGTGTCCATAAATATTTCAAGTCTAGGAATTAAAAAAAGAATGTCATCCACAATAATCTAAAATTTAATACTGTTTATTTACAAAAAATAAAGTAGATAGTATGGTTTAAAAAATATTGAATAAAATAAATTGGGCTAATGTTTTTTATTTAGAATCCAACATTAAAAGCTAATAAACGTTAATATTGCGATTTGATGTGAATAACTTTTTTATTGAAGAAATGATTTTGTGAGTCTTAAAAATTTTAATTGAGTTTCACGGTTATCAGTTTGGAAAAATTATTGTTAAATGGAGCAAACCACTGCCATTCTCATTTTTACTGAGCAAACAAAGTTATAAATTGTGACTTACTAAAATTTTAAAAATTACCGAAAAACAGAATTTGATTATTGAGTATCGAGTGTGAGTGTGAGTAATCTCGGGTAGTAAAATCATTAAAAAAAAACATTTATGGAATATCAATTTTTCAAATCTTGTATGGTTCTGGTTTAATCTAGTTAATTTTTTGTTGTTGCAAAACCCGGTTTTGTCTAACTTAATTTTAACACTGTGTTGTGAACTGGATTCTGTTATTTTCAAAATTGTTATATTTCAGTTCTTTTTGTGTAATTTAGAAACAACTATTCCCAGGAATTTGTTTCACTTGTACCGGGTGGCAAATTAAAAAGGGCAATGGGCCTTACCTCGAAAAGTAATTATCGCAAACACTTGGGTGAAAAAACCTGTGACTAAAGCGGCCGAGAAAAAATGGATATTATTTTGAAAGTGGCTCAACGCTGCCCTGAGCAAGAGGGCCGTTTAGAATGTAATGAGATGGAATATAACGGTACTGGTATTATAGGTTAGCTTAGGAAACAGATATCGAAATGAGGTTCTCACTAACGGGCTAGACCTTTAATCGCAATAAAAGTAGCATTTAATTTTTTAAAGCAATTTCAAGTGTTGTTGCGTAACGCTCTTTAGGGACTATACAAGCAATCTAAGTCAATCCGCTCAGGGCAGCATTTATAACATATTGAACAACTCTAAGGATGAAAAATAAGTTCAGTCACTTTCCTTTAACAAAAAAGAATCGAATTTATCTCCCACCCTTGCAACGGTGTCCATTTTAGCTATTTGTAATATATGATTATTTATGAAAAACGGGAATTAAAATTTAAGAATGCGATTACGCCCCCTGTGGCCATTCTAGCAGCTTAAAAATAATTTCCAGCATTTTCTCTTGACCCCTTTGCTTATAAGCTTTTCACCTCAAGCGTTGTTCAATTCCTTGTCGAGATAGGGCCGAGTGTCCCTTATTGACCGCCCGGTATATCTCTTCTCATTTTTAATCCAGTTATGGAACGTTTGATTCTATCTTTTCGGATACTACCGTTTCATTTGTTTAAAAATTACTTAAAAAATTGTAACTGCCTTGAACTTTCATCCTTCAAGTAATTTAAGCAAGCGTAAAGTATGTTTACTTCTAAACATTGTTCCATTTTGATAGCGTATATTTTAATAAAAATTCCGAAGTTTATTAAATTGGTTTAAATTGAAACATTGTTACTATTTATTTCATCCCCCCCCCCCCAAAAAAAAAGACGATTAAATTCAATATCATTAACATATTATCTATAGGATTAATTCTGTTTTCGCTACGACAGGTCGGCGATCGAGGCAATATGTAAGTTTATGGACATAGTCTGTATACTTGAGTCGGGTTAACCTGGATTGACTTGAGCGAGGGTTTCGATTGAGTCTCTCCATCAGTTTTGAACTGCCAAAATGAAAGTCTAATATATTGGATATATATTTGTAGCTTTGAGTCGTATTATATAGAAAACTGTGTTGAGTACCAAGGAGAGATAACAGTAAAAGTGTCACAAGACTCAGTTTTGGGTGGCGCCTCCGGCTTAAGTTTTGGCAAAAACATTCAAGAATTGAATGTGAATACGGCTACACTTGAATATTTAGATAACAATTGATTCAAAAATAACACCTTAAAACTGAACCTTGATAAGAGAAAGCACTGACTATGCCCATTAATAACGAGGTATTACGAATGGTAGTCAAGGTAAACTACTTGGTGTGGTCATCAATGTCATATTAAATCATATTAAATTGGTCGTTCATTCGGTGGTGACTAAGGTTGATAAATGAGAAATATTTAGTTATAGTTTATCATACTTAACGGGGTTAATAAAGATCATATCATAAAACGCGTTACTGGAAGCGTCTAAGTAAACACTCAACAGTCTGTTGTAAACAATTCATTTCCCCATCTCCATGCAGTAATTGTATACAACAATATGTGTGACTATGTTACAGAAACAAGAAATTATCCAGAGTATTAAGTTAATGGAAATCTCTTGCCGTGGTACATAAACAAAATCAAGAACATTTTTTAATGTAATATATTTGTACAAACAACTTATGAATTTAAATAATTATTTGTCTAGGTAAAACGCTCTACATATCATTAAATAATTTTTTTATGTTACTAGACTTCTTTTTAAGCGCTGGACTTAAGTCCGATAACCTCATCCTTTTGATCACGTTTGGTGTTCCTTCAGGTGCTTTTCTTTTTTTCTAAAAAAAGTACAACGAAATGGGTAACTAGAAAAGTGATTGCAAATTTTATGAATAACGGTACTAAATAATGTACACTTATCCACAAAAGAGGTGAAGCTTCGGGCTAAAAGGGTCGTCTAAAAAGGTTCATGGTGATCCATTCAGTTAATACTGAAGCAATATAAATTTGTCCTGTCTAAATCACACTCGAATGCAAAATTGTTTCAATTAAAATGGGGTGAATTTGAGAAAAACCAAGTATACAAATTTCATTTTATGAAAATGAATTGAGACCCACATAAAAAATAAACGTTATCCATAAACATTTTTAAAAAAATTACATTAAAAATTTAAATGAAAATATCGTTAGAAATCATTTGTAAAAATTTTACTTTGTATAAGGTTTCCCTAAATACCATATATACCCTAAATACATCTGAAATTTTCAAATGTCACTTTTGACATAAAATTCAAAAATTTTAAGAATTCAAAAATTTATATTTAATATATAGGAAATGCTCTACTTAAAATAAGGAAGTTGTTACTTGTCTATAAATATACAATGAACATCTATATAGCAATATAATATTTGAAAAGCAAAAATGAACCCAAACAACTTTTTTCTTTCTTTGATATTTTTAACAGATTCTGAGAAAATTTATTATCCCATAATAAATGGGCCCTCTATACGTTGCAGTAATGCAGTTTCTACTGCATAGTGAATGGATATCTAAAGAAAGTTCCACATCCTCGATATTGCCACTCTTTTTTTGGCAACTATGATTATAAATACAAATTATAACTTAGATACCTCTACCATGTCCCCTGTAGCCGACATCTTCTGAAAAATAAAATTCTTTGTTGTTTTAGATGCGCCAAACCCAAGGACGGCTGTAACTTTAGAATATTCTGCTACTTTCTGAAGAACCTGGTCACCTCTACTTAAAAACGACCCTCTTTTATGCTAAAAATAAGTTACAATTGCGGGAGATGCGCTAGGAAAAAAATTATACCCACAAATAAACTGAACTGTTTTAGAACGGGGCTAGCTGTAGTTGCATCGGAGTTTTCAATATTTAACGAATTGTTTTGAGATTGGCTTTTCTGTAACACTTTGTGGCCAATTTTTAATAACTCGCTATTTTGCATCAAACCTTCAGTAGCTGAACTCTTTTGTTTCTGTTCTTTCAAGAACATCTCCCGTTCGTGACGTTTTTTTCTCCACTGTTCTTCGCTTTCTTCTTCTTCCATAAAAATATCATCATCCACTTTATTTTCTTCACCATCGTTGGCATCTACGAGGAAAAGGCATTTAGTTTCATAGTTGGTGTACGGCCTCAATGTAATATTTTGTCCAAAATACAAGGTTTTCCAAAAAATTTACTTTCGGGATGTATAAAGTTCTATTATAGTTTACCTTTTAAAACTATTTTCATGATATTCATGTTTTCCCAAACCTAAAAGTATCAAAGTTGTATTTTTTAAAACGAAACACGTTTATGATACCTAAACATTAAGGCTTTTTAAATAATTTGGGTTTTCAGTATGTTTCAATATGTTTTGTGTTTTTTTCTCCAAAACATTGAGAACACAACTGCTTCTATTAGAATATCCTCAAAATATTTTGGAGCAGATTGCAGAAGCAGCAGCAAGTTCTTAGATATATCTCGAGTTTTCAATTCTTTTTCAAAATGCTGTTTTTACTAACGTATTAGAACCTTATTTGGCCGCTCGACCCTATATCTTGTTAAGCTTAAGAAAATCCCTTTTCAACCAATGCAAGGTTGAAAAAATGTGTTCAGTCATTCTGAAGTTATCGACATTTATTTCCAAAATCTTTAGACACCCTCCACCACTTTGCATTTAGGATTTAGAGCAAAAACTATTTAACGAAAACAATTGATCAAAGCTGTAAAACAGTGTCCATTTTAGGTATCTGTCTATCTAAAAAAAAAAAAGATTTAAAAGTCTACAATACGATTACGTCCTCTGGTAGCCATTCTAGGAATTTTTAAATAATTTCCAGCATTTACTCTTGGCCGCTTTAGTCGTAAATATTTTTACTCCAAATTTTGACATTATTTTTGAATTGGCCACCCGATACTTTTCCATTACCCATCGAATGTTGTTAAGGCGTCCTACAGCTAATTCAATCCGGTTGTCAAAAGAATTTCCAAAAAGTTCTTGGCAAAGCTGTATATTATGGGGATGGAATCTCTATTCTAAAGAATTCTTGAATTAATGGTTTGTCTGTTTGTATTTTCGGACATCTGATTTTGATTATTGAATTTTCTATAACTGAACCATAAAAACCATAAAAACCTTTTCTTCATCTTCAGTGACATGTCTTCTTTTATTTGTTTTTAATGAACATTTTCACTTTCTTTAAAATAGTTTAATATTATCTTGAAAAGTCTGTGTTGAGATGACAATTTCCTTCATTTTTTTGGGTAAATCTTTTTTTGGACAAAACGACACCTCCTAGCCTAAATAATTTATCTGACATTTCCAAATTTCATAGGCAATGAGAAACAATAAAACTTATATTTAGAAAATACCAAATGGCACCAAAACCAATAATTTCAGGTAATTCTGCGAAAAAGAGTAGAGTTATAGATACCATTCGATAGGTAATTGAAAAGAACTCACTTAAATTAAACAAGTTATAGCCACCACAAGTTATTGGATTATAAAAAAATAATTGACCACTCTGTATAGACAAGAACTGATATAAAATATAATCTACTGCAAATTTCGCTTACATAACTTAAATATTTCTTATGTATTTTCTTATGTATTTGAGAAATAAAAATTAGATAACATTTTGATAAAAAAATATTAAGCTTTAGGTATCAAAAACCCTATTTTCTTCGTAAAATCCAAAAATGCTATAATCTAAAAAAGCACAACTATAATACTGGCAGTTTTGGGACAACCCTTATACCTGAAATGAATTTTTAAAAGTAACCATAATTAGACTTGGCCCATTCCAAAAGTAGAACTTTTGGAAAATTTTTGTACTGTACATTTGTCAGTCAGCCGATACACTAAGACCGAACCGCCTTCTTACCGTTAACATTTTTCCATTTAAATTGCCTTTGCCTTCCTGTACCGTGTAATTCGCCGTCCTCCAACAAAAGTTCCTGAAGAATTTTAACCTCACGCGTATCGTCATCTAATAACCTCCGCCTAAAATCACATTAATGTTTTCTCTATACCTGTAAATTAACCTATAAGTAATATGTGCAAACAAAACAACATGGGCATAAGTGCGTCATTTGTGTAAACATGCTTTATGTAGTCCCCTCTGATTTTGGGGAATGTTAATCAGAATCGTAAGGAATGGTCAATCTGTAAACTGGAGATATTAGCCATTAAAATATTATGTCTCAACATGCGTCATGCAGTAGATGCAGGTCGTTTAAAGTTTAAATTTTATTCTGAATTTCTTCCTTAATTAAGAAATTTTTTAAAGTATATTAATAAAAATTTGCAGTATTAAGGTTTTTGAAATGGCAATTGAAAATTTGAAACTTATTAGGACATTGCTTCTCATCTAAATTATGACCATATTTTTTGAATCTGTCCAATTATGATTGAAACATGATAAATATTTAAAAGAATGTTCAATTCTTCGTAGGAAAGGTACTCTTGCTTTTTCTATTTTTTTTATAAATACTTAAAAGATGAAAAGATACGAGGAGCAATAAAAAACCAACATTTAGCAATAACACTTTTGGTAATAATAAAAAAAAAAATTCAAAAATCAAATACTGACATTGTCATCTGCCTCAATACATTTTTACAATACAAATTTATGATGTTGCTATTGCTAATTTACATCTCATTAAATTTTGGTTAGTTTACATGCGTGTTACTACTGGTGCAAACGTATTAATTGGTAATTACAAAATGCCAGGACATAATCATTGTTCTTATAGTCAAAAACTGACACACTTCGACGGACTAAAAAGAACTACCTGTTTTATCAGAGTTTCATCACGTTTCAACCATAACTTTTCAGATAAAAAATATATGATTTGAATTAAATAAAAACTTTAAATAAAATTGAATGAATATACATATAGACAGAAAATTAAAATATAAAAATTAATTAATAAGCAAATAAATTATAAATAAAATAAATTGTTAATTTAAAAAATATATATGATTAGCTACTACACATTATTTGGAATACCGTTATAATAAATGTACATGGTTTCCCGAAAATAATTTAGGTAATCCAAACTCGACTTACATATGAATTTTTTCTAAATTTTCCCTAACTGTATCCTCGTCAAACTTTTCCATGTCACCCTCCTCAAACTCAAGTCTATCCAGATCTTGTTCATCTTCATCTTCACTGCCCCAATCAGACTCTGTGAGTTCTGCCTCATCCTCCAAGAAGTCTGTCATTTTTATCTCTGAAATTGTAGAAGGAAATAAGAAAAAGGAATGAACTGATCTAACTACTTATTACTTTGTTGCCGCGATGAATCAATTTCATTCTCTTCAGAATCATAATTGATGTCGTCTGGAGCAACATCATCCATTTCATCTACATCTGCCAATTCAATCTCCTCATCTTCTTCAGGATTTTCGTCGGCGCTTTCCTCATCTAAATTACGATAACAAATTCAAATATTGTGTCTATTCAATCACTTTGAAGGAGTTATACCTGAATATACAATTTGTTTCTTATTTGTCCTAACTTTTATTTCAATTTCATCTTCGTTCTCATCATCCGAATCAATAATACCACCTCCAACTGTTTCCTTGGCGTTTTTCTGTGTATTTTCATCTGCAGTTCTGTGCATATCAGAAAAACATTTATCTTCGCTGTTTATTCTGTCCGTTGGCGAATTAAATTTCTTTTTGAAATTTTCAATTTTCTTCTCATCTAAGAGCTGAGATATTAGAAAATCTTGATCGTCACCTGGAAGTAGAACAAAATTGAATGAACTGTTAAAAATCATAGACTATAAGTAGTGACCTAATAATTTTATTTCCTCGGGTTTGGATAGTTCTATATCATCTCTGTCAACTTTTGCTGAAGATTCTAACTGCGTTACTCCTGTAAATTGACCTGAACATATGTTTAACAAATCCTGCGTACATACTTCATTGGATTCATCCGCATACGGCTCTTTTAGGGCCACTGGTGTAGTCTGGAAAAACAACATTCCATTTTATTCTAAGGTAAACCAAACGGATGGTCAAAATAGTGGACTTGTAATAATTTTCTGATCATTATTCAATAATTATTACAAAAAAATTAAAAAAAAAAATCATAAACATTAAAAAAATTAAAAATCAATATCGGTGTTTCCTCCCTACTTCTTATAATCGATTGACATCGACGACTCATACTTCGAACCAGATATTTGATTTGTCGTGATAGATATTATAAGTTTCATTGTTTTGTTCTTCGAAATCTAGGAACTTTAAGGTTCCACAACTTTTATGTGGTTCCAGAACCAAAATCTTGGATTGGAACTGCTAAATCTAAACATGCGATTAGGACTGGTCAACCAATTCCCTTTTTTTAGCGGACATATAAAGAGGATAAAGTAATTCTCCCAATTTCTAAAATAGCAAAAGTTGAAGTTAATTTCTAGCCCTCAAACAACAATTTTTTCTGGCCATAAAACAACATATTTGATCATTGGATTAGGTTGAAATGTTTAAATCATGGTAAAGTTCAATATTGCAATGATTAATAAGAATTTTATTCAACATTAACTTCTAGTTATTGAATTACTGTATAATCGTGACACTGTGACTATACCACAATTTTTAATTGTGCTTTGAAACACATTTATTGCGATTCCTTTTCCGAAGTCCCACCCATAAATTGTTTGAGTGGAGAGGCGCTGTTATTGTAAACATAGTGCTTACTGGAGAGCTGGCAGTATCCTCGTCAAGAAATAACTTCTTTTGCGATGTTGAGAAGGCAGAATCTTTTGTTGGCGAATATTGATTTATTCGGAATGGAGAAATTAATATAGGAGAAGCTTTTGCTGACTGAAAAAATATTTATAAAATTAAATATATTAAAATGTACCAAGAATGTAACTTACTTTAGAGGCAGAATTAAGACTTTGAAGACCCGTCAAGAAAGATATAGGAGTAAGAAAATCAAAAGCAGATTTTTGCTGAGAGGTGGGTTGTCTGACAGGAGTAGTGTGGGACTGAGGTTGATTTGGAGGGATCACATCATCATCATCATCATCATTATCAACACCAACTGAAACATCAACTTTTAAATTAACAAAACACATTCAAAATTGTATCTACATCCTACTTGTATCCCTATTAGCAACACTGTTCTCATCATCGTCGGAATCTTCGAACGTATTCAATATTCTTTTCAAAGATTTCTTTTCCCCACAGTTTATTTCATCATCCACACTTTTGGTTGCAAAATTTGAATTGTCATCAATTATATCACAATTTTGATCAGTCAACTCATCTATTGCTTCATCTTCATCATGTTCCACTTCATGATCAATTTCTTCTATTCCACTTTCCTCAGCCTAAAAAGTAATTTTAAAATTAATTGCACACCAAAAATCCAACACACTTCTTCATCAAGAAAAACTGATTTTTTTGATGGTTTATCTTTAATGCAAACATCTTCAATCTCTTCTTCAGAATCTTCTGATTCAGTCAGAATCTCCTCTTCGTCATCAAAAGGAAGTTCTTCCTCATATCCTTCCTTTTTATCTAGAACAAGTAGTAATTTAAAAATAAGCTTTTTTAAATTATGTTCTCCCACCTTGAGACAACTGATTTAAAGCACTGGAAATATCCTTTGATGATTTTTGCTGCCATATAATTGATTTTCTTTGGGCCATCTGAGATTGCAACTCTTGTCTTAATTTCTTCAATTTCGCGCCAGGTTTTTGCTCTATTTCTGGATTATTACCATCATCAACATTCATTGCAACAGTCTCCTTGTGTATGTCGCCACCACTTTCAACTGTTACAATACTTAAATGAACTTTATGCTTATGGTTTTCTTTTTTGCTCGACACATGCTTCGCAAATCTTTGCATCAACTGCACAACCTCACTTGGTTTACTTCCATTTAAATTGAGGTCAATCAATTCATCTGGTTGTCCGCTCAGCTTGGGCTTAATATTCTGTACCTTCTCATTAAGGAGTTCCAATTTCGACTTTGGAACGAGATTACATAATTCATTTGAATTTTCATGTTTATGAAAATTTTCAGTTTTGTTGTTCAGATGTGTGAATACAAATTTGTCTCCTGTTCTTATTTCCAAATCATCCCTTTTATCACTTTCAGTCAAACTGTCACAATTTGATATACTTTCGGTATGTTGCTGTAGATCATCCAAATTAAAATTATAAGTAAGAGAATTGGGTTCCCCATCATTGGTTGTATGTTCAAATCCATTGAATTCAAGTGAGCTTTGTCCTTCTTGGCTACCCACTATTTCTGATTCCGTATAAATAGTTTTCTCATCAACTTCATTAGTATTTGGTTCTTGGTTATGTTTACTTCTTTCATCATTCTCTGGTAAAATATTAAACACAATTTGAGTACCTGATTCTTTTTCTCCAAGTGGAATTGCTGCATGTGCATTTGGATCAGTGTCTGTAGATGATGGTTTTATTATAACATGCTCTAGGTCCTCAGAAATACTAACACTCTGTTCATCTTGAGGTTCCTGAAGACTACCATTTTCTTTTTGTATAAAGCTGTCAATTGCTGGAGGCAAATAATCTTCGTCAGTACTCTTATCCTCCGAATCACTGTCCGACTTATAAAAGTTTTTCAATTTCTTTTCACGTTCCTTTAATTTTTCTCTGCAATATTTGAATAATGTGAGGGATTACAAATTTTACATGAAAAATTAATTTAAAAATTTTATTTTCACTTTTTAAAATTGAAAAGGGGATGTTTACAAACAATAAAATTTTAAAATTTTACATAAAACAATATACACCAGTACAAGTTTTCCCTTGCTGGTTTGAAATAAGAAAAAATGCTTACGAAATAACTGCCAATTGTTCAGTTGACATTTTGATAGCAACTGATGGAGGTGCAGCTATAGAAAGTGGAACTGTTATTGCTAATTTTGGTCGTTGTGAAAGGAACTCTTTTATATTGTGTGATCTGGGTTTATGATAGGGCAAAGCAACATTCTTTTCACGTATCATTCTTTGCGACTCTGACAGTATTTCCTTTCTTATTTCGGCTGCCTCCTTGGGTGTCATCTAAAAGTTACTTGCAAAGAAAATTACAAAAGCTTAAGCCTCACTGTTATCGAACTTACACGTTTTAATTTTTGAGATTTGGCTTTGCCTCTTTTCAAAGTGCTTTTACTTTTGCCTTTGAATTTTGGTATTTTTTGCTTTTCGCTGAAGTTTTGTTGACTCAACTGTTGTAATGATTCTTTCTCTCCTTCACTTATAAATTCATCTTCACTTTCTAAATCATAAAGTCCTTCTAAATTTGATTTATTCTAAAATCCAACAAATATTAATTAGTATTTTTTCAATTAAATTTTGTGTATGTAAAGCATCTTTTTGAGAATATTTGAAACTTGCCTGAGATGAACTATTTTCCTGTAGCAGCCGTCCTTTTGAATTGAAAATTATATTATCTACACCTTGGTTTCCACATTCATTTTCGCTATCTATAAGCGTAGATTTTCTGGATTTAGTGCCCTGTTCATATCTTTGTTCATCTATTTTTTGATCATCTGAATCACTATCCAAAACATATCGCTTTCTTATTATCGGCAGAGGGTTTTCATAGTCACCTATGTTGCTATTATCATCTTCCCAAGGTGTCATACCTTCACTTTGATCATTGTTTTTTGAATCATCACCTTCCATCACAAGATCTTTTGGCATTCCTCTCTACTGCATTGTATGCCAGAGGCAGTGTTGTTTCTATTTTTGTTGTTTTTTATTTCAAGAAATTTTTGCTCGGTATGTGTTTACAGCACTTCCTTTGTTACACTGGCAATCACTATTTTGTTGCTTTTACCGCCATTTATTAAATTTTTAGGTTAGTACCAAGGATGCCACAGAATTCCCAATATATTCTTAATCCAAACTCAGGAGGATAGGCTATACTGTGGGGGATTCTGTCTTGACCATCGAATATGGCGGTTTAACCTCCGCTCGCTCGTTACAGAATCCTTTGATAACGGTTCCAAATGAGTGGTTTTCGCTGTCTAAATGTTTACTGAAAGTTTTAAAGTGTCTAATCGTTGTCGGTACCGTTGTTTTTATCATCCATGCAAGTTGGATTCCGGATGGGCCTGGATGGTCTTTTGCGAAAGCGGGTGTGGCCATTTTTCTGTTATCTGTCAAAATCCTTCTTGGCAAGCTGAGAACAAATGTTGGTTATAGTTTTGTTTATGTGTTGGTCTGTGAATAAAAGAAAACTCCTCGGCGGATGCCGGAAAATGGGCAAATGATCACAGCAGTGTTGCCCAGCCGAGAGCAAATTGTATTTTCACGCAAATAGTTGGTAAGGCGTGAGACCTGCCAACTCTATTGGCAGAGGTTGTGGGTTCGATTCCCACGACAGCCTTGGGTGTTGGTGTGCCTGAAAAAATTGTTGTCAGTAAATTTTCCTCACCGGATGCCGGAAAATGGATGAATATGCTAATTTGAGATGAGCCCGTTTAAGCGTATATAAAAAATACTGAGGATGGTTACATCGAAGATTTATTTCCTTTAGTTTAGCACAACAGTAGCGTCACCTATCATCTTCGAAACAAGTTTTATGAATTATTTGCATCGAAGGATCTAGTTTAGTCTTTCCGTTACAGAACAAAATATATTATATTTGAAAAAAAAAAGAAAACATTTATAAAAATGTGAGATGAAATTCAGAAGGTTTCTTGAAAAAATATATCAACCTGTCAAAATTTGATATTAGAAGTTTGTTTAGAAAATCTTTAGTTTTGTATAATAGCCATTCGTTTTATTTTAATTGTATATTGTTTATGAAGTTGTTGGTAATCATTTATACTCATAAAGTATTATATTGTTATATATTATTTTATATAGTATTTTCGTGGACAAGTAACAACTTTTTTCTTGGGAAGATTCTAGTCGTATTTCGTATGTAACATCCTAGCTTATAGATTCTGACATATTTGAAATTATATGTCAAAAGTGACGTTTGTAGGTTTAAATATATCTACTGATTTGGGATATATTTCCTTATAGAACGGCATCTACATTAATAGCCTGTGTTGATATTTTAAATATAAATGAATGACCAAATAAATAAATATAAATGGATGACCAAAAACTAACATAAAAAACTGAGCCAAAAAATCGTTTTAATTTTTTTTCAAATGAAATTACCCTTTTTTTTCATTTTATCATTAACATTTATTAACAACCGCTCCGCTCGTGCCGAGTTAATTTTGTATCTAAAATAGCGTTTATCAAACTTGTTGCCTAATATATTCGAAAAAAAAAAGAAAACGTTTATAAATATGCGAAATGAAATTCAAAAAGTCGTAGATTTCCAAATATTAGTAAAAAAAAAAAATTCCATTGAAAAATGCTAAATGGCTATTAATTGACCAAGAAGCGGAATATGACAGAAACAATGGAGCACTAGTTACTGCCGTTTGACATTTTTTTTTTAATTCCTGTAAATTATACCTGGTACATAAGTTATTAACATAAAAAACTTTATGTTCGTTTAAAAAGATTTGGATATTCGCCGATCCAGATGGGCAAAAACTTGCAAGACTTTTGTAAAAACTTATTCTATATTCTAAAAAATCTCATTTTTATATAGTTTTTCTGAATGTTGAAAATAATAATAAATTGTCTTTTTTGTTGTTTTATTTACTATTTTTTTGTATTAAAATAACCATAAAAACAAACAATGATCTTAGGCGTTATAAAACTGTGTGGTAAACGGCACTCGCTAAGCACTCGTTCTGTTGCGCTCCGATCGTGCCAAATGTCGTGACTTAAAAAGTTTACCAAACGTGTTGCATACTCTTTATACGATTGTTCTCAAACCCTTGTGATAATATCCCCAAAATGTGGAAAGTGGCTAGCAGTCATAGGAAACTAAACTGACGACGTAAAATAATACTTTCCGCATGCTAGATCGGTGATTGATTGCAGCAAGAAGACGCAGTAAATTCAAAAAAAGTTCAGAAGTTCATAACGATAAATTTTAAAAACTATAATCCACTATAGGTTTTATTCATATCCTCGTGCGTCAATAAAAGCGGGGCGAGTACTTAATAAACGAATAACTTAAAGAGTTTTCCTTAAGAAATAGAGCAAAAACCATTAAATAAAGAAAGAAAAAGAATCGAATTTATCCCAGCCGCAGAACGCATGTAAGCTATCTGTAATACAAGATTAATACTGGATTTAAAATTCAAGAATGCGATTGTCCATTTTGCTTATATTCACGTCACCTCGTTCTTCTTTTAATTTTTGCAACTTTTGCGTGTTCATAAAATCTCCTTTTTTGAAGGATTTGCGAGTCTTTGCAGTCAGACAAGAAGCGACTGTTTCTGTTAACTAAACAAATAAATCTAGCAGGCTTAGAAATAAAATCGACAGAATTGGTTTTGCTTGTGACAGTAGTTAGTTAAAGTTTTGCATTTAGAAGTTTGATAGTCAAACGAGCTATTTATTAAGGATATGGAGAAAAGTGATCTCGATGATTTGGCGTCACGTTTTCCATACGAAAAACTTTATAACGTTACGGCTTTGGATTCGTATCAGATGGAGTAATAAACAAGACAAAAAGATACGCAAATGCGTCATTATTACTGATTTGTTTTAGAAAAGTTACCATGGAGTTGTTGAAACTTGTGAGAGGCGATGTTTTTTGCAAGTCCGATAAAAACGTAAAGAAAGCTTTGGACTTCATTTTATTGAATTTAACATACGATGAAAATGCACAAGATCATTTGCTGCACCTCATGTTTATGACTTTGAAACAGATAGTTAAAAGGTAAGCTTTGCTTCTGCACACAGTATAAGGAAAATAAAATTTCATTAAACATTTTTATTGTAGTTTAGCAATACACAACAAAGTTGGAATTGTTTCCTTGGAAAGTAACAGAATTTTTAAGGTGATCGAGTTTGTGTCAAATTTTCAAGCATTTTCTAAACCAGTTGCTCGTATATGTATCTCTACTTTATTTTGGATATTGAATCAATTGGATAAAATTCCTGATTCAGCATCGAAGCTGTTACTAAAAGTTGCTTTAAAACTGCGTGAAGAAAAATTGAGTTCCCTTATGATTAAATTATGTAAGATGGTTTTTCTACGGTGAGTCAACATCATTAATATTGTTACTTTTTTAAATCGACTATACTTAGTATCAGAGTACGTCTGAGAACAATTAAGGTGTTACAATAGTTTTTACTTGTAGCTGAAGCTATGATTGTTTCGAAAATTGTCGAGTCTGATACCAAGTGACAAATACAAGTGGCTCAAATATTAATTTTCACGTTTACGACTGAATTGCCAGGGCGAGTAGTCTTTCCGATTTTTAGATGATTAATTTATATGCCAATCAAATGACATACACTTCCATTATATGGGGTATCTTATAAGTCTAATTTTTGATTGACGTGTATATTGCTGCATTTTTGGTTTGTACAGAAAAAAAAACCCAAGTCCATTTTATTAACGTATATCTACAAAAATTGAAACTTTTAACGACTGATTTTTATTTTCGGTAAAAATTTAATTTTCAAAATGAACAGGTGATGTAAAGTGTGTCTCAAAGTATATCGTATTGACTTTTGACGGAACCTTTTCCAACATATAATTACGATCTTCATAATGGGTAAATCAAACAACCATTAATTTATTCATACTATAGGTAAATGACAAGACATGGGTGGGTCCGGTAAATGTTGGCTGATACCAGGTTACTTACACTACTGTGTTGGATAACCGGTCCCTATTTTGTATAAACTGAAAAGGAAGGTAGCAGAAGATGAAACCCATGTATTATTAGTCGAATTATGTGTAAAATGCGCACCGTCAGACAAAAGCACTTTTAAATAAAGTAAAGAAGAGGGATTTATTCCAAACTGCTTGCTGTTTTCTTCAAAGAATATTAGGGACTCCGTTTGTACTATCATGAAGATACAAGTGCAGAACTTTTTGAAAACTAGTTTCAAAATTATTTAATAAAAAATATTCCCTATATGGATAGCGCAAGCTCTCATTAAATTCATCAAATATAAAAACCGAAATTCAAAAATACTTATTACAAAATGATATTTAGTTTGAATCCAGTTACCAGAAAGGGCAACATTTGGAACTGTTAAATTGACATGCTATTAAATAGAATATGGATGTCATGGTTTAGCTCAACAGATTATTTTACGTCTTCCTCCATATCAATGTGTATATTTAACCTGATGGAATATTTGCGGCACTAAATAAAATCAAACGAGAGAGCTGAAAATGTTACTCCTACTTTGAGCCCGCTGAGAGGTTGAAAAATGCAGACAGCATATTTTAAAAACTCAAGATTCTTATATTCGCATGCAGAATAGAACTTTGAAAGTTATTAGTGGTCACAGAACAAAATAATTTTTTTCTCGTAGCATACGTGAAGATAAAATGTCCAGCCGAACATATACCATACTATTAAAAAACCTGATTTATTCGAATATGGTTCGGAATAATAAGTAACCCTAAGGCAGTTTGATAGAGAAATAAATTCTATTCTAAATTCTAAATTCTAAGTTTTATTTGAAATAAGAAAGTTGTCAACAAATTCCGGTTAAGCCGGAAAAAAAAAGAAGTACACTTGACATTTAACTTAATCTCAAAAATTGAAAGGCGTTTCTAAATCACATCACATCGCTTTAAACTTTTAATGCACTGAAATTAGAATTTAGAATTGAATTTATTTCTCTATCAAACTACCTTAGGGTTATTTATTATTCCGAACCATATTCGAATAAATCAGGTTTTTTAATAGTATCGTATATGTTCGGCTGGACATTTTTTCTTCACGTATGCTATGAAAGAACAATTATTTTGTATATTTAGTTGTTC